TCAATGGATTTTGTTGTCCCTGCATTTCCATCCACAGGACGAGGTATGATTTCCGGACCCATTGCAGGTACCCAAGCTAATATTTCAAGGTCCTCGACACCCCTTTCGCAGCATACTGAACTCGCGGATTACCGGTTCTCAGCCTACTACCTGCCTAGACATGCAGTTGCGTTGGCTCAAATTTCTCCAGCGACCATTGATAGCATCGTCGCCAGCGTAATGATGCAACCTGATGCAGATAGCCTGCACGAGTTGTATTTGACGGCTAAAAAAGTCAGGGAGGCGATGCCTTTTGACCCTTGGCTGATGGGACTTGATTTCCGCTACGATATGACTCCTGTTAGCAGAGTTCGAGACAGTAGAGCGCGACGGCCAGGCTGGGCACAAGTGCAATTTCACCTACGAGCAGATCCAGGCCTTCATGGCGCTCGGGGGAAATGGTATAGAAGACCCGAGATGACGGTGATAAATCTGCCACCGCTGCGCTTTCCAGTGTCCGATTTCGAGGGAACTGTGGAGACCGTCAGTGTCCAGCTTACACTGCAAACTCATCTTCATGCAAATAGAGGCAAGGGTATTCCGACGATGTTGAGCCATCTCTGCGATGTAGCTCGGCAAGTCATCGCACCAATACTGTCCGGCGAGATACCAGTGTCCATGGACGAATTCTCGGAAAGGTGCTCCCAGGCCATCCTTCAAAATGGTCAGCTTCTAAGTGAGGGACTTTCGGCCTCATCGGTCCAAGTTACCACTCAGTTGCATCCCACCCCCCAGCGGAGGACTTGGCACGCAGTCGGAGCGCTACCAGATGCATACATCAAAAATGAACTCAAAAAGTTCATTGCCCTTGGGAGTAACGTAGGCGATCGCATCGAGGCACTCGAGATCGCGTGTCGAACACTGGACCAGGACGAGGAGATTCACGTGGTCGAGACTAGCCCACTTTATGAGACAGAGCCGATGTATGTGGAAGATCAGGATTGCTTCCTAAACGGTGTTTGCGAGGTAAGTCTTTGTTCTCCTCTTCCAAACCTCAAGCTGATAAATTTAGATTGTGACGAATCTTGGCCCCCTTGAGCTCCTGGATCGTCTGCAAGCCATCGAAAATGGTCTTGGCCGGCACAAAACGATTGACAAAGGCCCCCGCAACATCGATCTCGACATCCTCACGTACGGTCAGAGGACTGTGAGTACTGAGCGTCTGACAGTGCCCCACGCATTGATGCTTGAACGTGAATTTGTTTTACGCCCTTTGTGCGAGTAAGTTCATTGATGTGGTGTCAAGGCGACGATATGCGACTGACGTAGCAACAGCACATCTGGAGGTTCCTGGCCGCATCCATCTACGCATGAATCGGCAGAAGCACATCTCCGGCGATTGCCGCCATCGACAACACCGATGTTTCCCATCACGGCGTTGGGAGCAGGGCTGGAGCCTCTACGATCACTTGATCCCAAGCGTAAAACGCGAGTGATGTCGATCCTCAACGTCACGCCAGACTCCTTCTCAGATGGAGGCATGAATCAGCCAACCGATCTGAACCATCTGAAAGAGACTATACTCGCAAACCTTGCCGCGGGCGCCACAATCATTGACATTGGCGGCCAGTCATCTCGACCAAACGCGGATGATGTCTCCGCTGAGGAGGAGATTTCCCGTGTTCTCCCAGCTATAGAGCTCATCAAAAGCCTACCCGAGGCTCAAGGCATTGCCATATCGATCGACACATACCGCGCGAGCGTGGCGGAGGCGGCCGTCAAAGCTGGCGCCCACATCGTGAATGACATCTCAGCTGGACTCCTTGACCCAGACATGCTCCCCACCATTGCGCGGTTGGGATGCACATACATTATGATGCACATGCGCGGAACACCAGCGACCATGCAAAACGAAGAGAATACCTCCTACCCCGACGGACTCATTCTCTCGGTCGCAAACGAGCTTCGCGGACGCCTCAACGCCGCGCGAGAAGCCGGAATTCGACGCTGGCGCATCATTCTCGACCCGGGCATCGGCTTTGCAAAGACTCTGGAGCAGAACGTTGAGCTTCTGAAACGCTTTGCAGAGCTCCGGAACTCGGAGGGATTGACGACGTATCCTTGGCTGGTCGGCACCAGCCGTAAAGGGTTTATTGGAAAGGTCACTGGAGTTAAGGATGCCAAGGATCGAGTCGGCGGTACTGCGGCGACTGTTACTGCTGCGGTGCAGGGCGGTGCGGAGATTGTGCGAGTGCATGATGTGAAGGAGATGGTGGAGGTGGTGAAGATGGCGGATGCTATGTATAGAGGTTGATCGGAGCTTCGCGTTTGGTATGTATGCATAGCGTGGCGTTTGTAAGGACGGTGTCAAGTTGGACGTCGTGCTTCGGTATCTGCTTCGTGCGTAGTGCAGCGTTGTGTTGTTTGCATTGGGTGGTGCGGACTTGAAAAGTGTGTAGATATAGGGGCGACCAGAAATGTAAGATCAAGCGGCTCGTACAACGCATGTTCTCTTGCGCTGTTCATCTGTGGTACGATGGCATATGGACCATCTTCGAATCTCGCCCTTGGCAAGAATACCACCAGCATTCCAACATGCTGTGTACTCATCGGTCTGGGAGCAGCGAGACTTTAAGCACCGGGGAGCAATCATTGTGTACTGCCTGCTCACTCGGTCTGCCGGTTGGCGTAATTCTKGGATGCAATTGCAAATGCATCTATTGCGTTCGAATCCACTCTCATAGGTTATCTCCTATAAACGCCCACCATTCATCTAMCTTTCCAGGATCCTCTCCATCCCGAACATTTCCACCCACGACCTTGACATCTACGCCATGCTCTTCCATCTGTGCGAACTTGAACTCCTTTGCACCAAACTCGCCCAACCAATTGCTCTCCTCATCCCCACCAGCATCGTCTTCCATACCAATCCCGCTATCCAGCACTCCTTTGCTCCTGTTCTTCCTGACACTTGCGATTTCTTGCTCAAGCTTCGTCTTCACCAATCCAGCGGGCAGCGAAGTAAAGACGTCCTGCTTATTCGCCGCGATCAACACTGGAATTGAAGTCGGTCCTTTTGAAGTCTTGCTCTGTGTATGCCGTTTCTGTAGGAGTAGTAGGATATCATGAAGATACTCGGCAGTTTCTGTGAGACCCGCCGCGGAGCTGACAGCGGCACTGTCTACGACAAACAGCAGGCCTCTGAGTGAGGCTCGGGTGGTGATGGAGGAAAGCGCATGGTGCCGTAGCTTGCCGTGGCCGGGCGTATCTACAAGTTGAAACTTTGGCTGTATACGGGCGGATGTGTCGTTTTCGGAGCGGTATTGGTCTGCGGAGGAACGGGTCGAGGATGGGAGTTCGCAGAGAGCGATTTGGGGTTCTTGGCTGGTATGGGTCGTAGTTGTGGTCCCGCTCGCGAACTGACTGTTGTTCAGTATTGACATTCAACGGTAGGTCGTCAAAGATACATACGAGAGTGAGAAGACTTGTCTTGCCCGCACCGCTGGGTCCCACAAGCAAGAAGCTGGGAACTTCTCTTGCGACTGCTTTGCGGTAGAGATATGTGTGGATGAGTATCGGCAGCAGTAAGCTGACGAGGAGCGTCACGATGATCGCAGATATTGACGGCGAGACAGACCAGGTGAGCCAGCGCTCAATGCTGCCTTGACCGACCATGTTGATGGATGGCAATCTGCTTGTGGAGGAAGTGTGTCGTCTGATTGTTAGCCAAACACGCGAGTCAGTTGAATGATCGGCGTCACTCTTGCCCCACATCCTGGTTAAACTTTTGACCACCAACAGAGTTCTACCTATTTTATTCCAACGTCGTCTGTCGTGAACAACATCGACATCAATCTTGAGACCAATCGCGTGCTGTTATCGCGGTGAATATCCGAGTCGATCTGCGCGTTCGACTCACCGACCACGATCGCTCGATGATATGACATTTGCTTCGAGTCTTGGCGGAATTTGCTATGCCAACACCAAATATATTGGACTCACAAGAGTCTTCAACAGGTTCGAGATGCAGAAATGCCGACTCACTTCTCTTCAGCTCTCTACTTTCCTTTAACAGTGTCAGGCTGTTATTGTCAGCCACTCGAGTCACTTGCAAGTATCAAGCAAGCTCCTGTAGTCCGGCACTTCTGTGAAGCCTTCTATTATCTAAGAGAAAACAGAATGAACCCTTTCAGGAGGGAGTGTAGGTTGAATTCTCACAGGTTGACACTTGATGATGACTGGTTCATCGAAGCTCTGCCATAATCTTTCCCTCTATTCTCAGACATCTGGCGTCTTACCACCCGCATCGGAATCAGCGCCGTCCTCACACAGAATGTAAAGAGGCATGAACGCCAACAAACAATTTGATGCAATCATCCGACACCCTCTCCCAGCAATTTCATCGCCTCGGTTTCCTTCAAGCATGATTGTCTCGTATGCTAAACATCCGAGGCACACCATCAATCTCAATTCTCCAACATCCACACCCTCAAAGAATGACCGACCGCCGGAACATATGCAGAGATCGGACCGACACAAGACAGAGACCCTGGGAGGCCACACTCCACCTACCTTAGCGTCCGGTGACTCAAAAGCTCAATCAAATACTTCCTGTGCGAGCACTACCTTGAACACCAACACGCCGGGACAGCTGGGCCCCAAGATCGCCAGGCGCAGCGCCACGTATCCAGACGCCACGCTTCTCGGGAGGCTTTTTTGTCACGGATCAGCGGGAAGCCTCCGTCTCATCATGCACGGGATGGTCATTCGTTCCGGGGCTGTCCATCGATGAATCGTCGGGGAGATCTTTTGAAGCGCTGCCATATTTCAGGAGGTGCCACAGGGGAAGGGATGGAGCGTGAAGATGTTGTGTTCATACCAGGCAAGCAACCGCATCATMGCGTGGTACACAGGGTTGATTGAATAGTGACTGTTCATTTCGGGGCTGGGCAAGCCCCCAGATTGACCGCTCAATATATGGGAGTATGCTCACGATCGAATTGACATGGGAAACCGAATGGAGTTGGAGTTGGAGAGGCGATTATTGATCTGACATAAGAAACCGAATGAAGTTGGAGTTGGAGATTGGGCCGCCTGTCATTCACAGACTCAACTAGCTACCTAGACAAAACATATAYATGGTTCAACCTCGCGATCAAGCTCGGACGTTTGCACWCCATCATCAGCATCTCGGCCGTTCAGCATGCATCATAAGCCATGATCCAGCCGTGGGCCATCAGCTTTTCAACAACCCTCCTTCGCTGCCCTCTCCATCCCACGCACTCCTCGCAATATTACCCTCGCCTTTTGTCGTACATGGGATGCCACCCAAATCCTTCCTTTATCGTGCGTGCCGGATTATCCCATGCCCATCCCATCCCATTCCATCCCGTTCATGCCCTTTCTAGCTCGGCACACTGTCCAGTAGTAAACGCTGTTCTGTCGATATTTTGATAATAATGCACATCATAAGTCATACTGTAATCGCGCCCAAAGAAAGGTTATTTTTTGCTTGGTCCGGCCGTTCTCATCAAAGACTTGGTCATCAATCTCACCCTGTCCCATCGATCGACGTCTTTGCGCCGCTRCAAATGCGATCCCATTTCCATCATCATTCAGTTCGTCGCCGAAAACGCCGCCGCTCCGATGCCGCCGCGTGAAGTTCGAAGAAAAGAAGGGAATTCCATGTATTAAATCATACTGGGCAAAGAATCCGAACGCAGAAGAAGCACATTGTCGTTCTGATGACCGAGGAGTAAACAATCGTCGTATTCGTCCGAATGGCCGCGATGTTGCCTGCGCTCCGGTTGAGCGTCCGAGCGCCCAGCGCCGGTGACCTCGGGAGCGAGCCAGCCAGCCAGTATCTGTGTGTGTGGTGATGTGAACAACGCAGCACATGCAATACAAAGGAAATGTTTGAAGTCCACGCTGGCCACAGTCCACGATCGGTGCTACAGAAACTCGGCGTTGAAGGAAGCAAAAGTATTGCGACCGGCGCCGAAGTTTATGAGTAGTTGTTCGATGCTAGATCAGGGAAGTAACCTCGACTTGACTCAACGCCTTGGAATCTTGTGATACTGTTCGCTGGCCATGGCGCTGCTGCGACGGGCTCGTGGTACTCATGCTTGACGGCCCATTGAGAGGGGTCTGTGGAGTATCGCGCAGTGCTCTCGATTTTCGGAAGAGGCAGGCCGGCATGCGGAGGAATGCCTTCGTAGATGGGACCCGGGTAGTATCGATAGCCTTCCTGTCCTTGCATGTCGTTTCTCTCAGCTTCTGACATGACGGCGTCGGGCTGGTACTCGGGGTCGGCGGCTCCTCCGTCGACACTGGACGCACTACTGCCAGAGTTCTCGGGTGAGTGATGGTATCCAGCGTATGCATTCGCACGGTATGACCCTCCGTTCATACCACCACCATAGCCAGAAGAAGAAGTCCGGAATCCTCCAGCGGTGAGACCCCCATAGTTTGCACCCCCGGTCGTGCTGTAACCACTGCTACCACCAGAGCTACCGGTCCTGCCGTTCTGGTGCTGACCCTCGTTCTGATAGTGGCTGGGCGATCGACCACGAACCACAATCTTCTCGCTGACTCTGTGGGCAACCTTGACCCAGGTAGGAGTATCGCTGTTCTCTTTTCGGACGTCTGCAAATAGCTCCACGATCAAGTGGAAGTACTGTTGTGATGCTCRTCGCTTGCCGTTGTTTGCTGTAGCCTGCTTGAACTGCACTCGTTCAAAGGTGTGAGATGTATTCTGACCAGGAAGCTGCACGTGAGATCCTGCTGCTGCTGAGTATGGATAAGGTGCAGGAAGTGCTGGGGCATTTGTTGAGGGCGACGCATTGGGRTCGTTGGCGTTCTGCAAGGGAAGGAATGGCCCAGGCACCTGGCCTGTTGCGTGAAAGGTAGACATCGGTGCCTGGTAGAGACCATGTGGTGAGACCATGTGTTCATTGCGCCCAGAGGTTGGTGTTGGTGAGACCCTTGTGATGTCAATCTTGTTCTTCGGGCCATTGTCGCGCTTGGGGGTGTGCTGAACAAGCTCGATACTCTTGCCACCAGGCCCATCAACGGCTGCTGACAACCGCATACCCATGGCTTGAATCTGTTCTGTATTCGGACTGTTCGTACGCTTGAGGAACATACGGCCATTGGTGATGTTCGGGTGCAATTCAAAGTTGCACTGGACAGAGAAGTAGTTGCGTCGATAACAGGTCCACTTCTGGTCGACGGTAGACAGGAAGAAGCCTTTCTCGACTTTAGCATGGACCTCTGGAGTGACGGCTTGACCCTCGGATGTCATTTCGGCGTGGATCTCCAGGGTCGGCCATGGGAATTGACTGCAAGAATCGCCGCTGCTCCCGTAGCCCGGTGGCGATGCCATGCTGTGGCTGGGGGTGCTGTTGGAGTAGTGAGACAAGCCGTTAAATAGTGTGCTCCTCGGTGTCTCTGTTGCGTATGAGTTGTAGCCAGTGTGGTTGCCTGAGATCGATTGAGATGTTCGCCCTAGTAGGGACGAATGCTGATACGCCTCGCGCTCGGTAGGTGATGGCCGAGTCAAAGGAGGCGGCAGCATACCACCCGCACTGTGAATCTGTCAGAACCATGTGAAAGCTTCGCCACTGGCGTAACACGAGGTTTGTGCGCCCAGTTCACCTACCGTGGGTTAGCATACGGTGCTGGTACGAACGGTTGTACAGATCCGGGAAAGCTAGGTATGGTCGCACAGGGATTCTGGCCCACGTATCCCGTATACGCGAGTGATGATGCTGCAGACGACGGACTGGTGCTAATGGATCCCGCCGAGCTTGATTGATCCGTGAAGTTGCTCGTTGTATGATAGCTGTGATGAGATGACAATTAGTTCTCGACGTTTCAGAAGGATACACCTGGCAGAACCGAGAGCAGCTCGTAATGAGGTGTAACAATATGACAGTAGAGTGGCGAGATGTCTGAAGACTCCAGAAAGTCTTGTGATCTCAAGACTGGGCGGTCTGCGTGATAGGCGGCCAGTGTGTCGGGAGGTTGTCCCACCCGAAACGATAGCGTAGCCGGGCTTTGGCAAGGTGTGGGTGAGCATGCAAGAGCTTCAGCATGGAGGATTCGTGCGGAGCCAATTGCCACGCAGCAAGGTGCCGGGGAGATTTGAGAGTAAGCCGGAACGACAACGTAGCCCGGGACATGGCGAAAAGATGCAATCTAAAGAAACATCAAAAGAAACATACCTGCTACTGTCTGACGCCACCCCACGATCAGAAACGAAGCGAGCAGCGCTGTTAGTGGCCGTAAAGTTGAAAGGTGCGGATCCCTGAAGAGAATTGTTGTTTTCCCGGCCTGCACCACCTGCCGTGAAGGATCCATGCCCAGAGAATTGATCGTTGTAGTCGTGATCCGATGGGAGGGAATAGTCGTGAATGGGAAGCTGATGCTGGAGGATGGCACCTGCGAGGAGTGAATCGAATTGTTAGCGCATGCACAACGAGAACAAAAGCTTGCAAAGTCGGATCGTCGCAGACTGCGATGCAGTTACACGACGCGTGAAATACAGCTGTTGAGAGGCAAAATCGAAGGCATTGTTGTTTCAAGTCGCACAAGTCATCAGAATCAATGCAAGATGGTAATGGCAGGTACTTTGAAAGGGACGCGTGTTTCTGGTAGACAAAGGCACACGCGAGAGCTGTGCTGCAAATGCCGTAGGGATCGCGGTGCAAGTTCCGAGATTCGGGCGCTTACCTTGCTCCATCGCCATATATGTAGCCTGTGGGCCGCTTTTTGTGGGAACGTACGCAGTCTGGCGGGTACGGTGTTGGAGAGCTGATGGTCGCCAGCTCCGGAAAATCTGCTGTCGGCGTAAATTCCACTCGCACTGGACTGGTAGCCGGGCAGCTCGATCGAATGGGTTGCTGTTTCGCTGGCAGAAACCGCACGATTGTTGGTCCGAGCGCGACTCCCTTGTCTGATCCAGGCGCGAATCCTCGGTGAGTTATGGCGGACGGTCGATCTCGTTGTATACAGACCGATCTCCGTTTAGAAAACACGACTCTCTTCCACAATTGAATCGTTGAAGACCTGCGTGATGTCAGCAGTGTTGCTCGCGCTCAAGATTGTTCGTGAACAGTATCTGTTGGCCAAAAATGAAGATGGCTTTTCTGATTGTGCAGCGACCTTGCAACGTCATAATGCTCTGGCTCAAGGGAAGCGATCCACGAGGCGTGAAGGTGAAGGGGTTCTATGAACACTGACCTCGAGTTGCGTGAGACTACGGCTCGTTCGAATGATTGCTGTAGCTTGCTGTCTCGCACAAGGTCGCACGGATGTGCAGAGTAGGTACTGCCCGCAGGAAGAAGTCTGGAACATGCGCGTCGGGGCCGCTGGACTGTTTCTGGTCGAACGACGGCAAAGTTCCTGAACGATATATGTCGAAGGTTGAATGCACCGTCTGGGTTGGCGATGAGGAGTGCGGCAGCACTGGCTGAAGTGTGGCACTCGCTTAAGACTGCCGTGTGGGCGCGGTGGAAACAAAGAGGCAATCTTGAAATGGCTTGAGGTGGTGAAGATGAAGTGCAATGAAGTCCGGCGGTGGATTGGCACGGCGGGTCTGCACGAATTGCTTGAAAATGGCGCCGGCGAGTCGAAGGAACAATGTTTTGAAGAGTAGCAACGAGATCCGCATCGACCAGGTAGGGATAGCCGACTTGGTGTTTCTCTGCAGAGACTGACTTCCCAGGATGTCGCTACCAGATTGACGGGTCTCCGTCAGCCTCGAGGAGCGCCGCTACTCGATCGTATTCGAGCAGCACCGCTCAGGCCACGCTGCTGCCGCGCAGGAGGGCACTCACTGGAGACAGCTGCACTGCGGTCTAATCATATCGCCGACGACGCCAGGGAGCGGCGGGCTCGCCGTCCCAACGTCGGCCAGGCTTGCTTGCTTCACCTCCAGGGCCTAAGATTCCTCTCCTTGCGCGCGCGCAGAGTCGACCGCTGTAGACTGTCGCCCACTGCGGCGATCGCGCCGTGCTCGCCAGTAGCGCTGGAGACGGTGGCCTGCCTCCATCAATCCATCCAGCGATCCGCACAGATCCCAAATCATCCAGCTCCACCCTCCCAGTATGATCGTCTCATGGGCTTGCTGCAGCCACAATGCAGCAGCCAGTGATCTCGCTGCCCTGGTAGCTCTCCCGCCAGCCCCAGTGCGTTCAACGCATCGATAGGCCGGCGAATCTATCACAAAACACAGCTTCCGCTCTGGTCACGCGAACCTGAATGACATTTATCCTACCCTGGACATTGCGCAACAGACGCATCGAAGAAGCGCGGGCGGCCCACGGCTAGCACTCGCACTAKGCGCTGAGGTACTGTCAGGGCCCTACAGTACTTGCTGATCTGATGCGACGCGTTTGCCATGATGATGACTGTCGTTTTGCCGCCCAAAAGGCATCGCCGCCGTCAATCGTCGTCACCCGCGGGCAGCACGCCGGGCCCGCGTGCCCTGGTTGCTTCTCGCCAAGTCTGCAGCATCCTGCTCAGGACCCTCGCCGTCTCCCGGGTTCGCCGCATGGGGCGCTCTGCCGCATGATGATATTGCGAGAGTGGACCTCCCCCTTGCTGAGCAGTGGAGATGTCGTCGGTCCCGCGAGCCAGTGACTCCGATTGGCTCGCCACGCCACGCAGGAGAGCAGCACCGGCTTTGCTATACAGCCGTCCACAGCACACCAAAAACTTCTACGACAACCAACATTCCAGGAGATATACTTAGCTCTGCTGTCATCCGGGCAAAGACCAGCGCTCCCGCTTCTGCGCGCTGCTGCCCTCGAAAGATACGCTGCTGTTTCCGGCCCCCCCATCATTATTGCGGCCTGCAGGTCCACGCGTCTCGAGGCTCCTTGCTCCCTCTGACCTCGTCCGAAATAATTGGCTACCAAAGGCAAGTTCGGTCCCGGCGAGAATGGCCAGCAACAAAGAAATCAGTCGTTGATTCTCGAAGCTGTCTGCTTGTTGCCTGTCCGGCGCGCGCCATGCCTTGCTACTCGCCACACAGCGCGAACGGGTGGCTGCAGCGTGATTATTGCTGGCACTTTCAGACATTGCTTCACCSCCTCTTTAGCCCCACAGCTCGTCGTTCGAATCAGCATCCGCACGTGATGGTTCGGCGACAGGCTGAAGCTGAGGCAGAGTAGGCGCTGCCGGGCCGAGTATGCCTTCTTCCAGCGGCCCCAACCTTGAAACCACGGCTTTCTTCGCTCTGGTTGTCATGTGGCTAATAAAGCAGCATGGATGCAGGCTGGCCCCCAAAGGCTCCCGCGCAGCGGCTACATTGTTGGGTCTTCAGGCCAGGCTGCAGGCGATCGATTACACGAAACACGGCCCACTACAATTCACTGGATCGTGCATCTATTCGATCGCCGGACGCCATCCGGGAAAATCCAGACTGCGCCCCAACCAATGCTGCCATCCGCTCTCACCTCTACACGGCAGTCGAACGACGGAGAAAAACGATCCTGTGACTTTGACCCTACAGCTCAACTGTGAGGGATGTCGCATTTGTCAAATGTCTCTCGGTATCGTACTACTTGTACTCACGAGCCGCAGCTTGATCTACCGCCCACGGTGATCCAGCACGTGCCTTGCTGTGTGTCGCACCTCCTCCACCATCGTATGAGAGTCTGAACCGCTGGTCCGTGCCCACCGTCTCGTATTGGACTTTGAAGGGCGTACTCGAGGTGCATGAAGCAGTTCTTCCTGGCCGTGTCGATCGTGACTGGTGTGTCGGCATGGAATACAGCAGCCAGTGATGGGAGCAGCTGCTGTGCCTGGTTCGTCCCTTCACATTGCAAATAATGATCCCGACGACCTGGTTCTCGCGGTTCAACACAATCAGGCCGATCCGCACCTCGGCAAATTTCTTGTACTTCTCATGTCTGCACCTGTTCTTCGGGCTGCTGAGGTTGTGGTGGGTACGTAGAGGAGCTCATTGGTAGGGCACGTGTGTTGGAGTGGGAGAGCGGACAGGTAGCAGGAGTTTTTGCAGGCGTGAGGACGGGGCTCAACAGCCGCGCGGACCGCCTTGTTTCGCAAAGGCGAGCATCCGGCTGCATCGCATTGGACAAGCCATTTTGCTTGGGACGACTGCACGGAGCGAAGACATCATAGGTGATCACAGTGAGTTCTCCTTGTCGGCGCGACGAACAACACCGACGGGAGCTGGTGAATGTCAGATTTACATCGGAGATGCGATGCTCGTCAGGCGAACTAGGCGTCTGCGATAGATCAAGACTAGGCAATGTCCTTTCTGTGCAAGACAGTCCGATCTCGCCTGTGTATAGCGAGCAGAGATAGGCTAACTACCAGTAGCTGGCACAAACAGTTGCTGTCAGAAGGTGTGCCACTGTTCCATCCGGCCCACGGCCGTATCCCTGGAGAACTTGTGTCCGGAGAACCTCGACAGAGCAATCTCTCTGCGCAGTCACGTCAGCGACCCTGGGACTCCTCGAACTCCTCGAATCTGCTGACACTGGACGTGTGGACTTCTACACGAACAATTCCGACAATCATGTCTCGCTTACCTGCAGCGGAGAGTTGAAGTGTGCTTCAAGCTGTCTTACAGCAGTCGGGTTCCTGCTGTGTCCACAACCTCGATCTCATGGAAAGAATCGACCAAGCCTGGCCTCCTTTCAATCAGCWGGTATGTGCTGTCAGCCTTCGCACGGAGCAAACAGAACATGTCTGCGAGGATTATTGCGAGGGTGGGCTGGGAGCGGTGTACCTGTTCTCCCGTCAGCAAACTCGCCGTAGAGGTATTGGTAAATGGCTTGCTTACAGCCAACCACGGAGAAATCTGGATCGACGTGGCGGCCAGTGGCACCCACCAGGATACTGCGTGGCCTGGCTGTGTTCACCGGGCTCTTCCCGTTGACGATATTGTGACCTCGGCACGAGGGTTGGCTGCGTAGATTGCGAGCGTCGAAGCACGAACTGCTCATCGGAGAGTGCCCCCGCAACATGTTCGCCAGGCGCTACTCCAGCCTTGTCYGCACGCATAATCTGCCTGGTCAAGGGCTCTACTGTGAGATCACAGCGAATCGGGACAGCTGACGATAACGACCTGGACTCGCGCAAGGGATGTTCAAATGATGGCGTCCCGGGGCCATGCCCGCGCCGACATCACCCGTAGTGTATGCAGCTTTGGTTGCATGCCTCTCTCAGATCTTGAGAAGAGCACTCCAGCGTCATCACGGCCCTGTGTCGGGCCAGCAGTCGCGGCATGTGTCAGTCTCGGCATGGTCGATGACACATGCATGATGTTCTAATCTGCTGTGGAGAAACTCGTGCGAGGGACTGGGATTGAAGGCTGCTCCCTGCCACCATTAGACGTGCTGTCCTTCCATCTTCAATGATGTGAGGATCAAAGCGGAACTCGTCAAAGGCATCTGACTCTTCCACAGAGCATGTCATGAGTGTGGCCATCTCTGTGCCGCGGGAGAACTCAGGATCCTCAATATCCTCGTTTGTCGAGGGTATCGTTCTCCTCGTGCGCTCCGTCATATTCACAAGGAGTTGATGGTTAGCTAGGTGTTCTCTCATCACGTTTCTATTTGCTCAGAATAGCACATCCGACCATCACCAACTACTTTCCTTCACATTTCGTTGCATATTCCATCCACGGCCGAGCTTCACGCAACTTGATTCGCTACTACCAAACATCTGCTTTACTCCTTTGCCCTTTTGCCTTTTGAGCGCTGCCCAATCGCAGCATGCGAAAGCTCGGATCCGATATATCCGAGAATCCGCAGCAACAGCCAACCACATGGAAACGTCACTTCGGGTGAGTATGAAGCATGAGGACGATCAGAGCAATTGCAAAGTGGTAGGATCCGAAGTCATGACGCAGTTACTGTGGTATTCCAAGAGAGAAACGTATATATAAGAGCGCAGCAGGGCTTCAATTCGATATCCGATCACCAAGCTACACATTCACAGCGAAGAAAGCGGTCCCAAGAAACCATCTCGCACATACATCTTATCGAATTCTCCCAACAAAAATGCCTTCGCCAAAGTTCTCTCCATCCTCTCCCCACGTCTTGATCATAGGCGCTGGTATCTCTGGCCTCGCACTGGCACACGGCTTCCAGAAATATGGAATCTCGTTCCACCTCTATGAACGAGACCATAGTCAGACCTACCGTGCTCAGGGTTACCGGCTTCGCATCGCCTCAGACGCCATCGCGGCGCTCCAATATCTCCTTCCCTCCAGCGTCTGGGAGACCTTCGAAGCTACCTGCGCTGAGATGAGACTTTCCCCGAGCATTCCATCAATCGACGCCGAGACGGGGGAAGTAGAGCTATCGGGCAAATCACAGAATCATGACCCTACCAAGCCTTTGCCACGAACTGTGGATCGCACGGTGTTCCGGGATGTTTTGCTCAAGAGATTACCTGAAGATTGTGTGAGTTACGGAAAGAGTTTTGAGCGATGCGAAGAAATGCATTCTGGAGTCCAAGTCTTCTTCACGGATGGCAGCCAAGCGAGTGGGACACTTCTCGTCGGCGCGGATGGAACTCGATCACGCGTTCGACGGCAGTTTCTTCCGCAGATCGAGGTCCTTGATACGGGAGCGAGATGCATATACGGCAAGACACCGCTTACGCCCAGTTTGCTGGAGAGACTGGAGCCGAATGTCATGAAAGGGATCTCTGGGGTCAGGGATCGTTCCAGAGAGTACATCATGTCAATGGTCGTCGAACCAATTACCTTCCCGACCCGCGGAGCAATGGAGCGCGAAGGAATTGCGTGTCCGCAAGATTACCTATATTGGGTACTCGTGGCGAAACCGCAGGTCATGGGCCTCTCCGAAGTCAACGAACCTCATCTTACAGCCGGTGAGTCAGAAGCCCTGGCTCTCAACGTGACCAACGGGTGGCACCCTAGTGTTCGAGCGATCGTGGAAGATCAGCGCAAGGGCGAAACCGCAACGCTAGCCATGTCGTCTGTAAAATCCGAGATTGGTTTCTGGGRGCCTCGAGAACATGTCACGGTAAGATGCAGCAGAGCACAAGGACAGTCCAATCGTAATATTCGGACTGCCCATGGCGGATGCCCATTCCAAGAATGGCGGAGACACAGCTAACATGTTCGCAGCTATTGGGTGATGCCGTACATCCCATGGTCGCCGCAGGATCAGGCGCGATAGTTGCGCTTCAAGATGCGCACACATTGTGTCGCTTGCTAGTCGAGGAAGGCCAGAGTCGAGACGCGATCGGAAAGTATGAAGAGTCGATGCGGGTTTACGCTGGAAAGTCGGTGGCAATGAGCTGGCAGGCTGGGAAGGTGATTTTTGGTCGCAAGAGTGACGACAACAGGCCTATCGGAGAGATCATGGAGGAGCTTCGCGCAAAGCGAAGCCAGTAGGGCCACTTTTGTGCCGCGGCGAGTTGGGATTTTTTGTGTTATTCGACCAGCTCGCAACGTCCATTAGGTATAATCTGTATTGATCACATTGTATCTTGATTGAGGTTCCAGCTGTTGATTTCAATCGTTGTCTTCCGGGTCGTCCTGATCGCTCTCCTCGTGCATCTTCTTGCTTGACGAATTCTTCCCGGCAATGTTCCTGGGCTGATAACCTTCAATCAGATCGTATGGACTCGCAAACTCTTCGTCAAGCTCGGGTGGTTTAGGCGGAGATGTCTTCTTCTTTTCCACAATCAGAGTCGTCATCACCTGATTGGGCTTGAAACTCGTGGGCTTCTCTCCTCTTTCCTGCGCCAAATCTTCATCATCCGCCACCCTCTGCCGCCACGCGTCCACCCTCGCTGCCCTCTTAGCTCGTCTGAGGGCAGTCTCACTGTCTTTGGGGAGGTCATCTTCGTGAAGTTGAACATCCGGCTGCTGGTCTCGTGCTCGCTCCCAGGCAGGGACCTCACTCAACTGTGTCTTGATGAATAGCCCCTTTTTGGCACAACTATCTGAACACCAATCTTGGGCCCCCTTCTTCAGTTTCCATGCCGCGCTGCCACCCATAGTGATGGAGCGGGGCTGGTTAGCACATAGCGTATAGCCGCATCTTCCGTCTATGCGGCGCTCTTCAATCAGACTGTCGTAGTCAGATGGCTGAAAGGCTTTCACCAGGCCTGTGAAGGTGAGAGCCTCTTGACTCGTGAACACATCCCGCGCCGGATAGTCTATGAGTGCAGTAATGGCATTGAGAATCTGCCCCTCGACATTCTTCTGATGCTGTATCAAATTCGCATGTGCCACGGCGATTTCGAGATTTTGCTTGTCCTTCTCGATTTGCGCCTTTTGCTCCTCTGAAATCTCAGGAACCTTCTTCTTAGGTCTCTGTGGTCGAAGGATGGATTTCAGGACCGGATCGCTGGTCGCCATGTTGATGTTCCTGATAATTTTAAAGCGCATGAAGATGTGATGGCCGTTGAATCTAAAGTAAGCAAGCGGGCGTCGGCAAAACTTAATTAGTAACCATGCCTTCCTCGTCATGGCCTCCACGTGCACCACCACATCCACGTCAACGTTTCATGCTACCTGAGCATAGCCCTGGCATTCGGCCAAGTTACTAATTAGAGAAGGCTACGCGTGTTTGAGCGACCAGCGTTCGATTGCGGGTATCTGCTTGCGTTGGAGCAGGATAGCAACTCTAGCAAGAGCGGGATTCACACGATACAATACACCTCGTCTGGACATTGACGCCATTTACCGCCCTCTCCAACGTATTGCGTACACCTCTCCCCGCTCCCCACCGCCGTCACAGCACCTGCCAAAATGGCTTCGCTTTTCAAGGTCAAAGCGCTATACGACTTCGAGGCGAAGGAGGAGGACGATTTGGGCTTTCCAGGCGGTCAAATAATCGACGTCACAGAGGTCGTCGACGACAACTGGCTGGAGGGCAAATACACCGATACCAGCGGCGATACGCAATCGGGTATCTTTCCTCGTGACTTCGTCGAGAAGTATGAGCCTGAGGTCCCCGCTCGTCCTTCGAGACCTGCCCGCGCGAAACAAGAAGGATCACATGCAACTGTATCTGCACCCACTCCCGCACCAGTTCCGGCAGCTGAGGCAGAGGCACAGTAYGACGATCCGCCAGCGGCCCCCTCTCTCAGCAAGCCGCAGCCTCCCCCGGTAGTGATACCGGCAGAGGTCAGCAAGGAGCCAGAATCGGTGCGCTCGCCGCCTTCTGCCTCGAGTCAGCAAGCTCCCCCTCCACCTGCTCGTAATGATCCTCCGCCTGCACCAACTCCTGCGTCTGCAGAGCCTATTTCCACGAAGAAGCCCCCTCCAATCGCCGCCAAATCCAACGCTTTCCGCGACAGAATTGCTGCTTTCAACCAAGGTGGTGCAACTCCGCTAGCTCCAATGGTTCCTGGTGGAAAGCCGCAGTCAAACACATTCATCAAAAAGCCGTTTGTCGCGCCTCCACCCATGGCAAATTCTTATGTACCGCCTCCCAAAGTCGAGACGGTTCACAAACCTTATATTCGAGAAGAAGACCCCGAGATCAAGCGTCGACAGGAGGAGGATCGCGCTGCTGCAGAGTCAGCCGGTCTTACGAGCGATGTTACTTCTGAGCAACAAGACGATGGTGAAGAAGCCCCCAAAGCACAGAGCCTGAAAGAGCGAATTGCACGACTTCAGCAACAGCAGTTGGAGCAAGCTCAGCGGAGGGCCGACGGGAGCGTGCCAAGGAAGGAGAAAAAGGTGCCGCCAACAAAGCAACTCTCGGGCTCGTCAGAACAAGCAGGTATGAAWGATGTCGAAGGCGATGCTGGAAGTCAAGATTACATACAGAGCCCCGCGGCGGAACGACAGTCTTTGGACATCTCGAGAGAGCGTCCACGTGTGCCATCTGCGCAGCGTTCGAAAGAATCTCCTCTCTCGCCCATCACTACTGCGGCCGAGCAAGAACCCATCAGTGATGGCAACGAGGCAGACCATTCTGCTGCTGGCGAGACCACTGAAGACGATGCCGGCACCATCGGTCCGGACGAAAGTGACGACAGACAAACACCGCCACCGCCACCGCGTGCCGCAACTGCCCCTAACCAACAGGCAGATGTAGGTGATGAAAAGGACCCTGAGGAAGGTGAAGATGAGGAAGATGATAGCGTCGACGAGGAAACTCGTCGACGTTTGGAACTCAGAGAGCGCATGGCAAAGATGAGTGGCGGCATGGGCATGGCTGGTATGTTCGGTCCCCCGGGAGGCATGCCTCTGCCTGGTTCTGTTCCTGCCAGGAGAAAGTCTACCAAGGATAGGAAGGCAAGCGAAGAGGTCGATCCGTCCTCGCAGCCTCAGCAGAGAGTTCCCATGGTCCCCATACCCGGAATGCARAGGGTCCAAAGCACGGAAACACAAGTTCAACGGGAGCGCGAAGATCCGATGACTGAAGAAGACGACATCACTGCATCGCCACCAAGGCGATCTGTGGGAGAGGACCGACCATCTGCGCCGCCAGTGCCAAAAGGTAAGCAGCATCACAAAACGCCCTATCAAAAACAGACAACCTGCGCCCACCAGCYCGATCGTCGTGATAAGCATCGTGATGCGTACGTGGAATCGTCCGACGGGGTCGCATATGTATTCATGACGAGCTCGATCATGATTCGTAGATTGTCTAACAACCTGCATCACAATTTATTTCCTGAAGCTGCAGGCACAAGCATCGAACATTTCGCTGACAGGAATACGATAGATTCTCGGCCTTCCTTCGAYCGTGGTGTGCCGCCACCTGTTCCAAACAGCGCCCTGCCAACGCCTCGTCCAGCAGAAACTCGCCCTGTGCCGCCGCCGCCGCCTGCAGTCACCATGTCTCCCGGCCCAGGGTCCGAATCAGATGATGAGTCGTCGCTACATCACACAGTTGAGACGCCAGATGCTCAGACCCCTGGGCCTCTACCCATAAGGACTGGCACGGGAATGGCCCCACCGGTACCAGGCACAAGTTCGGAGAACAGACGCATGTCCTATTTCGCCAATGAGCCTAACGCTGGCATCGCGGATAAGAGAGCTAGTCGACCTCCACCTCCTGTGCCGGGAAGTCCACTGACGTCTCCACGACCACCGCCGCCTCCACCGCCCGGACTCGGTCCCGGCCGCCAGTCGTTGGAATTCGCAGATGACATCAACGAACGCGGCGAGAGCGAGTATGAAGGCGACTATGATACCGATATCGCATCAAGTGCCAAGCATAAAGAAGCGCTCAAATCTCACGCCCGAGAGCTCAGCCTGGATGATAGTACTACGGCGGATGAGGCTTCGCTGGCTTCACCCCGAGCAAATGTGCCCAGATCCGTACCTCCGCCGCCACCATCGTCTCAGGCGCCGCCTCCAAGGCCGCGACAATCTATGGACACACCCAGAGCTCCACCTCCAGTCCCTCCAGGATCTAATTTATCGCCTGTTGAGGGTGACGAGGACTACGATCCATACAGGTACGATAGCCGCCGCGCTGCTCCTCCACCTGTCCCTGCTGTTGCTCCCGCTGCAGCGCCCCACACAGCACCGCCAATTCCTCCGAGAGATCAGGACGAAGGGCAGGAGAGCTCTGCAGACGAACTCTATACCGCGACTCCTCCACGCCGATCAGTAGAGCAACCGCCACCACCTCCTCCTCCTGCGCGAGCGGCGCCAAGAGAATCTTTGGACATTCGTCGATCGGACACCACGGGGCGACGTTCCATGGATGCAAGACCCACGGGTGATAATGGCCACATTGCTGCGGATGTTCCCTTGAGCGTAGACACCCCCTGGTGGACCGCGCCACAGCCTCTGCCACCTATTCTCCAGGCCCGCAATGGGGTAGACATCCTGTCAGAATGTGAAGAATCCACAACTTCCAAGCGCGGTGGTATCACTTATATATCCAAGGATATCTACGTCCTGTATATCGATTACAGTCAGACCATCATTACAGCTCGTTACGATGCACGCGAACCTGCAGACATCAATCTTGAGCAACGGCATCTCCCACCGCCTCCTAAACTCCGCCAAGATCAGCTTGAGAGCTTCTGGCAGATGTTTGGCAAGAACATCTCCGACACGGCCAATCAAGTAGGAAACAGCAAGAAGGATACTGTTGTTGGGGATGGCACTCCGGCCGGTTTTGTCGCCGAGCTCATCAAATCACAGGAGAAGGCTTTGCAGCCTGTTGGCAATCGCTCGTATGGTGCGCTGGTGTACGCGAATCTAGCCAATGCCAGCACAATGCAATTCGATGAGATCAGGCCGGGTGACATTATCACGCTGCGCAACGCGAGATTCGAAGGCACCCACGGAACCATGAAGCACAAGTACAAGCAGGACTATGGAATGCAACATGTGGCGGTTGTGGAGGAGTGGGATGGGACGCGAAGAGCAGTCCGTGGGTGGGAACAGGGTAGAGAGGGCTCTGGCAGTAAGAAGAGTGGTGTGCGAAGCGAGAAGTTCCGACTCGGTGACCTGAAGTCTGGGGAAGTGAGAGTCTGGAGGGTGGTATCTCGAGCTTATGTTGATTGGGAACAGTAGTATGTGGGCGATGTAATGGCAGTGGTTGTGTACATGGGGAATGTGGTGGTATCATCAAAGTCCGTTGTCGCCTCGAGGGTTTGTTTGACTTGCGTGCATAGGGTGTGGATATAGTTGGAGAAATGAGATGGTGAACGACGCTACAGCGCTTGCTAGCATCGCTTTGGAGATACCGTGGCATTCGTATGTCAACTCGTCTACAGCTCAGGATCGTTCTTGTTCTGGTGTCCCGCTGCCACTGTTTTAGTGATATGTTTGACGAGAATGAATGCACGCATTGCATTTGCGGTGAGCAACGGTTGAGTGCGACAGATCTAACTGTAATGGAGCAGAATAGAACAATCGGACCGTACACCATGTGACAGGATGTCATTGAGCTCAGTGTCGGGCAATTTATCGATTCCACCACTACCCCAACCCTAACCCTAGCACGACTTTCATATGGACTGCGAAATTAGCTTCATGCAGAGGACTTCACCTGTTAATCCTCTGGTCACAGATCATCTCTCGTCAAGTCCAATGTCACCTTCGATGATCGGGCTACCCGCCTCGGGCATCTCTAGAGCTATCGAGCATCTCCAGAACCGAGGCTGAAACAGAAATGTGTCGACAATGATGCTCGCATTTCATGCGTAATGAAATGCTCAAGCGTCGCTTACTTGCTGTTTGCGCCTTGGATTGAATGCCAGGGGTTCTATTGCTCAAATGCTAAGCCTCTATCTGAAGTCTGTCCCCACCACTGCCTCGAGGTCACTGCTGTCATTAGTCGACGAGATTTTTTCCGCGATCTCCTGTTGTTCCTTTGGAAAGCACCATCCCGGATGCCAGAAATTTAGTATGAGTGTTGCAATCCCGCATGTAACGCTATCCAGACCAATGAACAGGTCCTCGTTTCGCAGGATCTCATTGTCTTCTGACCAGCCTTTTGCCAGCTCCGCAAGCCTGCGTAGCAATTAGTACATGATCGTGAAGCGTCGGATTGGCTCAGCGTAGGGAACTTACCTATAGCAGCAACGGACAAGAACACACAGGTAAGCAATCCATAGTGCAGCAAGGAAAAGTTTAAAGCGCAGTGAGTCGCGAAGCTCCTCGGTCTTTGAGTTCAGACTTGAGCGATTTCGTCTGACAGCAAGACCATAGTCCGCTGCCAAAGCACCAAACGCCACCATTGTGGCTACCTGAAACGCTAGACCTGCAATCATCACATTGTCGCCTACTCTGAGAATAGTCATACTTGTGGACGCCGAAGCGAGTCCTCCACCGATGGCCTGTAGTACGATGCTGAATAGGTCACTTGATTGAGTCAGCGCAACTCAAGGAGACTGAGACTATATGAAGGGACAGCAGTGGAAGGTGTAATGTACCTACCATGAGATGAAGACCGTTGTGTACATCGATGGCCTGAGGCGGCTGAAGCTCGATCCGAACGTAAGGCAGATGTGCTGTATCCAAGATCAGTATCGGTAAATAGGAGCGTTGCTGCATATACCTCGCACCTTCAAGGTGTAGTATATTCCTGCGGCGAAGAAAGCTGGGGCAAAGGTGAGCACGACTACGCTCATCTTAAACCCAATATCCGAAAAGGGGTCATCATGGAGAAGTATTTTCGCGATGTATCCGATGACGGATGCCAGACAACCGATAGCCATCGCGATGCTGAAGAAATAGGTCCTGGTGGTGATGCCTTGCCAGAGATGTATGAGACCCGAAGTAGCGAACAAGATGAGGAAGATGACAGTAGCAGCCAGGTTTGGCTCGTAGCCGTAGATTGACTGTGAAGCTTCACATGTCGCCTTTGTGCAGCCTTGATTTGGATCAAGCCGTGGAAGTAGGTAGTTTGTCGCTTCCATGGCTGTTCGACGCTGATGGAAATGGTTCCGAGTCCTTCGGAGTATGATCTTCGACGTGAGAAAACCAAATGAATCAATGCCTGGGACAACGCTTTCATGTATATATAGCGGAAGAACCCAATACCTGGTGATTGCTCATGATTTCGTCAAAGCGGTCAGACCTATACGCGAATCGCTGTAGGCAGCAGCGCATCATGGATGTGTACATTACCATGCATGTCGCAACAATGCCGACGAGATTCTTGAACCACGAAGGAAGACCTTGCAGTCCGTTCGCAAACCTCGCAGACCTCGCAATGCGAAGTGAATTCGCAATGCGTGCCACATTGGACTTAGCTCGAGCGGCTGCCAAGACTGTTTGCGAGATGGAAGGATTCTTGGGCGTTCCTGACACCGGTATGACGAGCACACACAGCTGTGCAACGACCTGTTTGTTCCGCTAAACATCTCCAGTGCTACTCTCCTGGCGATTAATGCTTGTCAGACTTGATGCTCTGCAGGCGCCCTCTAGCAAGATGGAGCATGGTGTGTCAGGGGTCGAGCTTCATGCTCTGCCGACAGGCCGCAAAGCCGCGAAATGGGGACATCAGAAATGAAGACGAGGTGCACTCCATACCAAGAGCTTGGAGGTCCCAGTACAGTAAGGTGCCATGATTATTGATGGTGATGGTTGTTATGCGCGGAGCGTGGAGAGGGGCATCCTTGCCATCGGCAAATGCAGTCGGTCGGCATTTGGCCAATTTAGGCAGAAAGATCTTCCATGTCCTGCCAACAAACTGCTTTTGAGCTCGACGACATCTTCCTCACAACCTCAACCAACTGCACGAAACACGTCGAATCGGACCACTTCAAGATGACTACCTCCAAGCCTCGTATTGGATTCGCCGGCCTCGGTGCGATGGGTGGTGGCATGGCCAAGAACCTCGTCAAGGAAGGCTTCCAAGTCACTGGCTTCGATGTGTATCAGCCTCTTGTAGAGAGTCTGGTAGAAGCCGGCGGCAAGTCCGCAAAGACTCCGAGAGAAGCAGCTGCAGACGCAGACTTTTTCGTCAGCATGGTTGCCAACGCAGCACAGAATGCGAGTCTCTTGTTCGATGGAGAGGATGCCGTCATCAAAGGACTTGCAGAGGGCAAGACCTTCATCCTCTGTTCTACCACTCCCCCAGCATTCGTCCTCGAGTTGCGGAAAAGATTAGATGAAGCGGGAAGATCTGATGTCAAGCTGCTCGATTGTCCAGTATCTGGTGGTACGATCCGAGCAGCGAATGGGACCCTWTCAATCTTCGAGTCTRGCCCAGAGGAACATCTCAATGAAGCCAAGGATGTGCTACAGTGTATGTCGGGTAATCTCTACCGAATGGGAGATATTAGTGGAGGTACCAAAACGAAGACGGTTCACCAGCTGCTTGCCGCAACGAACATCATCTCTGCCTCCGAGGCTATGGGTCTAGCAGCAACTGTTGGGCTTAACACCGAGGCTGTCGTGGAAGCAGTCAACAAATCGGATGGTGCCAGCTTTATGTTCGAGAACCGTGCGCCCCATATGCTCAAGAATGACTGGCATCCATACTCCGCTCTTGGGATCATCCTCAAAGATGCCATGATTGTGACTGACACGGCCCGCAAGTCGCAATTCCCCACTCCGATTGTCGACACTGCAGAGCAGCTTTACCTACAGGGTGTTCAAGCTGGATTATTGAAAGAGGATGACGCAGCACTTGTCCAGCTCTATCTCCCTCAATCGCAAGGTGACCTCGTTAGTCAGATGACCAAAGCCGACGTCAACATGCGTGCTTCCCACAAGGTGAGCAAAGACACGATCGTGGATCTACTGGCGGGCATCCACCTTGCTGCTTCGGTGGAGGGTATGGCATTTTGCAAGCACCTGGAAATGAGCAGAAAGACACTGTACGAGATCATATCGAAAGCTGCAGGCTGGAACGCCATGTTTGACAAGAGCATACCGGGAATGCTGGAGAAAGATAGCTGGAGCTTGGCCGACTGTCCAGAGGCCGAAGAAGTGGGCCAAAAACTGGCGGAAGCTGTTGAGAAATGCAGACTCATCAGCTATCCGTGCCCAATGGCCACCATCGCGTTGCAACAATTTCAATTTGCGAAACTCCGCAATAAGCAGATCCACGGTCAGGACAGACACAGCCGGTAGATTGCCAATCCCGCAATGTTCATAATGCCGAAGTAGTATTCAACTAGATCAAAGGCACCATCAAAGTCTGGTGGCAATGACATGCGTTGTGAATACCGAGAAGAAGCAGCACAGCTATAACGCTCGAATTATCATCATAATAGTGTACAGCCCATCAACGCACTCAGTGCTTTTCATGGTACGCCGCAAACTGGACATCCCTTGGGTAATCATAGTTCAAGTCCCTCCAGTCGCCACGCAAGATCTCAATGCCATCCTTCTTGACTTCCTCGACCAAGCCTTTCACCTTGTTRGCAATCTTCTCGGCATTGAAGTTGAAGCGCTCATACACGTGGTTGCCAGTCAACGACTGCCCGAACGAATGCATAGAGTAACCAGCATCAGCCCAACGTTCCCAGCCGTAAGGTGAGTAGGCCTCTACAACGACTCGTGGCGCGGTACCCAAGACTTCTCGCTTGTATTCTTTGGGTTGCGTCTCAAAAAGCCGCTGACAAGGGAAGCTGATAACACGAGCCTTGATGCCGTACTGAACGAGCGCATCACGAGCTTCTACAGCGAAACGCATCTCCGCGCCGACACCAATGAGCGTGACGTCCGCATCCTTCTCCTCGATGAACACATAGGCACCCTTGGCGACGCCATCGCGACTGGAGTGCTTTGGGTATTGTGGGAGCTTCTGTCTCGAAACGGAGATCATCGATTGAGAGTCCTTGGCATTCATGGCGACGATGACGGCACCTGCTGTCTCCTCACCGTCCGCTGGACGGATGTACAAGAAGTTTGGCATGGAGCGATAGAGTGCCGCAAGCTCGATGGGCTGGTGAGTTGGTCCATCCTCGCCAGTTCCAATTGAGTCGTGCGTTGCGATGTGAATTGCTTGGAGTCCCTGGAGAGCACCCATTCGGAGACCTGGAGCGGCGTAGATGTAGAACATGAAGAAGCTGGATCTATAGACGGGAGATTTCAGTAAATATCCCTCTATAGGATCGGCGCTAGTTACTTACGTTATTGGCAGGATCGTGCCCTTGTTGAAGGCTGCCATTCCATTCGAAGCCGAAGCCATGCCGTGCTCACGGATTCCCCAATGGATATATCGACCAGAGTAGTCGCCGTTTAGACCACAGGCTGTTCGCAGATCTGGGTTCTGGAAGTCGACTTTGCCTTTCCAGGCCATGTTAACAGAGGGTGTGAGATCTCCCGTGCCGACCATCAAGCTGTTGATGTTCTGCGCAATTGGGTTGATGATCTGTCCCGCTGCTTTTCTGGTTGGTGTAGCTTCCGTGGGAAAGTCTTCAAGTTTGGGGATAAGTTTCGTCCAGTCCGCAATCATCTCACCCTTTACACGCTTGTCAAACTCAGCCGCAAGATCAGAGTACTCGTTGCCGTAGCTCTCACGAAGCGATGCCCAATCCTTCTCAAGCTGCTGGCCTCGTGGAACGGCTTCTCTGAAGTAATCGTAAACCTCATCGGAGACAACAAAGTGCTTTCCCGGGTCCATGCCGAAGCTCTTCTTGATGTGGATGATGTCTTCGGTTCCAAGGTCTGCACCATGAGTACTCGCGTTACCAGCAACTTTGCTTCCAAAGCCAATGTCCGTTCGAATGTTGATGAAAGTCGGCTTGTTCTTTGAAGCTCTTGCTTGGATCATGGCTTTGACGATGGCTTCAACATCGTTGTTGCCGTCCGCAATCTCAATGACCTCGAAACCGACAGCTCGCATCTTTGCGTTGACATCATCCGAGGAGCAAATATCGACGGATCCATCACAGGTAATTTCGTTCCTGTCGTACATGACACACAAGTTGTTCAGTTTCCAGTGGCCCGCAAGTTGGAACGCTTCCATACCAACACCCTCCTGCAGACATGCATCCCCGATCATGCACCAAGTCATGTTGTTGACGAGATCGTAGCCTGGACGGTTGTAGGTCGACCCCAGATTCTTGGTTGCCATTGCAAGGCCGACGGCATTCGCAACACCCTGTCCAAGAGGACCGGTCGTTACTTCAATACCATCGATTTCGATTTCCGGGTGTCCAGGAGTGATGGAATCGTATCGAGGGGAGTGGTAAGTAAGTAACTGCYCCCAGGTCATCTGCTTGTATCCCACCAGATGCAGAAACGTGTACTGGAACAGACATGCGTGACCGTYGCTTAGTACAAACCGATCTCTGTTGAAGAAGTCTGGGTTTGATGGAGAGTACTTCATGGCGTATTTCCAGAGAGCAACACCAATGGCTGCCATTCCCATGGCACTCCTGCAATACAGTTAGACTCAACACGATATACCTGCCACCACAACGTACCCAGGGTGACCACAGCCGAACTGATGACACAAATCTGCGATCAAACATCTAAATGTTCGCAGCACGAAGTCTGTCTTTTCGTGCTCCTCCATCTTGACATGCTCAACTCCGGTTTGTTTGCCATTGAGTTGCAATGGCAGGTTGGCAACATCCTCCTGACTGACTGCTGAAGGTGACATCTTGGAACTTGATATAAGAGATCTTTACGATCGATATTGCAGGGGAAGAATCAGAATCAAGTGGATGGAGTTACAAAAGGTTAAAAGTACATATATACGTCGCACCATATTCCTGACGGTCAAGAGCTCGATGCCTCCTCACGAAGAAACTGTGAGCTCTCTGTTTTGGAAAGGCGTGTAGCTGTGGCGATGAAGGAAGGGCTGCCGTGTTGGCGAAGAAGGCAAGTGGAAGCGCTTTTGAGTTGTTCCGGATTTCCTCTTCGGCATTCCCACTCCCACTTTCAACCCACTTTCCTGGCAGAGCCTGAACAAACCCAACGCGTGCCACTTCCCGATACTACTTCAGAGACACGCGTGTCGAACATGGTATCCACCAGWGGGGAGTAGATATGTGCAGCACTTTCGCCGAGCGTGATACAGTAAGTACCGATATTTCCTCCCTTTCTCCTTTTCGTCCTTCTTCAAATCTTGGAATATGGCTCCCTCAGCGATTGTCAGTGATCTTGCTACCCCTGCAGACGTTCCAGAGTCCAAGCAGACCCCGGCAAATGCCCCAACACCGCAACTGTTCTCTCTTGCTGGCCGGACCGTGGCCATCACTGGCGGTGGAAGAGGTGTTGGCATAACCCTCGCCATTGCCGTAGTCGAGGCCGGAGGATGCGTTGCTTGTCTAGATATCCTACCAGAGCCATCACCGGCAGAATGGAAGCAATTGCAACAACTTGCTCAAAAATCTGGACTCTCTGCAACGTACAGCAAATGCGACATCACGAACGAAGACGAGGTCTCTCGCCTACTAGATGAGATCGCAACAGAAGCAGCTGGAAGATCGGCTCCTTTCTCCGGAATCGTAGCTTGTGCGGGAATCCAGCAGACTACTCCAGTAGTAGACTATTCCGTGGCAGACTTCAATAGAATGATGAACGTTAACGTTACTGGTACCTTCATCACAGCAAAGCACGCCACACGAGTCTTCATCAAGAACAAGATCAAGGGGTCGATCGTCTTGATAGCTTCCATGTCCGGTAGTGTTGCAAACCGTGGACTTGCATGCAGTGCTTACAACACAAGCAAGTCTGCCTTGCTCCAATTGACCAGATCTATGGCGCAGGAGATTGGACAGCACGGTATCCGGATCAACTCTCTGTCCCCAGGATACATCCGAACTGCCATGACGGATGCGCTGCTTGCTGCGGAGCCTGAGGTGGAGAAAGTATGGATGGCAGGAGCGCTGTTGGGAAGATTGGGTGCTCCAGAAGACTTCAAAGCGCCGGCGGTTTTCTTACTGGCTGATGGCAGCTCATTCATGACTGGAGCCGACCTGCGAGTGGATGGTGGGCACTGCGCCTCTGCTTGAGGGAATGTGGTGGAGGCTACGATGAACTCGCTGAGGCGGTACGGCGGGATGTGGATCGATTGAAAGTCAATAGACTAGATTGTGATGGAAGCATGCAGGGCCTACTCAAAGTTTGTCACATGTGAACCAAGCCCTTTGGTCAATTCGCTTCCAGATTCCACTTTGTTTCAAAACCAAACAACATCACCACTGAAGCTTTTACTTTTTGCGAACAACATCCTAGCACTCCACGACATCCACACCATCACAAAGAGTTGTTTGGAAGACTGGATACCAAGCACTACWCCGCCGGAAAATTCGGCATGTCGGCCCCAACGCTGTCCCCTCCATCCCAGCACGATGCCTTCCGCGAAGGCATGCAAAGGTACGTACTCGAGTGCGACCGGCGACTTGCTTCACTTGGATGATTGTCAATGGAGGCGGCTGTCCCGAAGAACCAGACACTGACAATCGTAGACTCCAGCAGAGCGAAGGTCCGGCCCCTGACTTCATCATCGCAGTGGATGGCAAGGAATGGCCAGTTCACAAGCTCATTCTCTTTTGCCACTCGGACGTGCTCTACAAGATGAGCACAAATGCTGCCTTCACTGAAGGTCAGACCGGTCGGGTGCTCCTTAAGGATGTCGAACCCCGTTGCGTTGAAGCTATGGTTCATTTCTTCTACCATCAGGACTATCAGTACGATCCATGCACCATGTCTTTTCCGAGGCYAATCAGTCCTGGACCCTCCATCGCACCTGGCGATGATTCTAGCGGTGGTGAAGGCGACGGAGATATCCACAGCACCCACGATGGAGACGGCGAACATGAGGAGGATGAGAACGATATCGGAGGCGGTGGTGATGGAGGTGTAATCAGCTGGGACGATGTAGATGGCAACGATGGAGCAAGCTTCTCCAGCCTGAATGCAAGATGGGATCTCCCAACGCGACCGGCCTCTCCTGAGTCCTTGCCATACAGAGATCGCCTCAAAGATGACGAGGAGGCTGATCGGTTGGAGTTTCATCTCGCTGTCTGCGTCCTGGCCGAGTGCTACAACATCAAGGGACTGAAGCTGGCAGCTGAGGACAAGATTGTGACGCAACACCTCGATCCCGCGAGAAGCACCACGAATCTGGAGTTCGTCGTGGACAAGATTGCCGACAGTGATGCGGCCGAGAGCTTGCGAGATAAGGTGATCGACTCGGTAATCCACCAGACCGAGCACCTTCACTCCAGCGCACCTTATAGCCTGCTCGATCGCCGGCCTCAGCTTGCCATCGCGATCCTCAAGCAGATTGCTCAGAGGAGACACGCCGAGACCATGCCTGGCCAGCGAAAGAGATATCAGTGGATGACGGGTGCAAGGGTAGGATGAAAACATGCCTATGCGATGGTGATCTTGAGGCGAGACAGTTCACCAGGTGAACGAGCATGGCGGTCCTGAGGGTTCAATGAATTCTGAAGGCCAACGCGGGGGAGAAGCCGACAGGACGAGAATTGTATGATATGGCGTCAGTGGTCTCAAGGCTTCGAATGATCTTTTCTCGACATTGCTGTCGCTACTCGAGGCAGTACGACATATCATCGACTGCTGCAGGTACTTCAGAGCAGAAACCTTCAGTTTCCACAAGCCCTTGCCTGATGCGAGCCTCCTCGGTACGTACGTTTTGTCAAATCCGGGCCGGGAAGGAGGYAGAGATTCTTGAGTTGAAGCATCGAGAAGAATGCCACCGGAATACGCAGTCTCAGATGCTACTGCGAGTTTCAGCTTGCTTTCTTCGGGACTCATTCAGGGTTTGACGAGGATGCTTTTCAAGTACATACCATCATATTTGAGTGCCACTCACTTCTCGCTTTCCTCGTATCAAATGCGATTCTAAAAGCTATTCGCATCCGCAACATACCCCATGCCGTGAAAGTACCGCGAGATGAGGGCTTCTCATCCCAGCCGAAGAGCGTGAAGCCAGCCTTGTCCACTTCGCTTATGTATGCAGAGTCAAGATCTTCTGTAGCTCTGCAAGACACTCTGAGGCCACCTTATCGCTATCATGGCCGTAACCGGGCTCGGGCTCAGCTCTCAGCGATCTCATTACGATCTTGCGTTGCTTCCTAATGCTGCTAATCGTGCCTGCAATCAAGCCTCGCACGACAGAAGCACCCTCGCCATCGATAGACTGGTATTGGCCCTTGAGCATATCGACTAGAACGTCGGCTTTGTTGAAAGCGAAGTTTGTTTCTTTGATGATGTTGGGGTATTTCAACTCTGGGGTTCTCATAGTCATGGTGATAAGTTGAGCGAAGCTTCCAACACCGTTGATAGCGACATGACCATCAATCTTCAGGCGCTCAAGTTGTCGCAGTGCACTGGTCGCACCCCGATTAGACCATGCTGAGTAGTTGATATGAATGTCGAGGTATTTAAGACAATGCTCGTCCATTAGAAAAGCCACGAGCGTAGAGAGGCAATTCTGGACAAACTCCCAGCTACCGTGGTCGCGCGCGACAGCAAGGCCTTGGATCAGATTGATCTCGATGGACAGTTTCCGTACGCGTCGAAGATAGTCTGGCCATGCAGCGATTCCATCTGGGATCATCTCAAATGGGGTACTCTCCTTGTTGTGCTCTCCGTGATTCTGGACGTGGACGGTCTTGAACAACTTTTTAGTCTGATCATCGCCGTCGTGATCACGTCTCCAATCAGCGTGCACAAACATCTTGATCTCGTTCTCCGTGTACAACAGGTCCGTAGCCTCATCATGTATCTCACGGCAGGTCGAGAGAATCGCTGGGTGACAGTGACCGCCGAATTGTGATGGATCCTCATCGTAAGGGATGATCAGAAGATGCTCGTATACAAGATTCCTCATCTCGGCTGGCAAGTCCATGAAGCGGAAAACAGATGGAGATCGATCATCAGCCTCCAGCAGCTTGATGTAGTAGAACAAGAGCGTGAGGCCCTTGGGACAGCTGCGCGCAAGGTTAGCATGCATGCCTATGAAGCAAGATGAAGGCTCGAAGAAACTCTGTGCATGAATTTGACGCACGGATCTGGAATGCGTCTCTGTTTGACGAAGGTCTTTAGCTCCAAGGGTGTGCAGTTCTCGTAATCGATTACGAAACCCTCACGATAGCGGTAGAAACCCAAGCCGTTGGCATACATGCTTTCGTAGTTCTCATACAGGCCGCCTGGAGATGTCCAGAAGAGATGGGGAGACCAGAAATAGCGCGTACGTGGACATTCTTCGCACTCGCAAGTCGAAATGCAGTCGAGCTCACTGCACTCATCTCCGCACTCGCAGAGACTGCCCGGGAGCTGGAGTTCTCCCCACCCATTGTCGAAGGCATTGAGCTGACCTGGAGCGTGAAATCTCTGGCATTTTGTRCAATGCGGCATGTTTGGCTGGTCTGCCGGGGGAGTCTGGTATGGGTGGATGAAACAGATGGCGGTGGATGCCGAAAGATTGTGGTGGTGTGAAGGCGAAGACGGAGCGAAAGATGCGAAGGAAGCCACAGAGTCTCAGCGAGAGTTGAGGCAGTCGCGGAGCCTTGCCGATCTCCTTCTTCGAGGTGATGCTGCTCGCTTCATCACGATAATTCTAGCAAAAGTCTGTYAGACACTCGTCGGAAAACGTTCAAAACTAAAAGACCGAATCCAGAGCTCAAAGCATGTATTTCACCAGTCAATCACTATACGTCCATACAGCGACTGTCGCATCAGCTACATCACTGATATCTTTCTCTCGCGATTGGCCGTGCCAATGATTACTCGGAGTGAGGTTCACGCCTACCCAGGTCTTGAAGTCTTCCATATAGCCGCACAGATCCTTGGAAGATGTGAGACTTCGGAAGACGCATACCTACCTACCGTGAAACTGAAGAATCCTGAGACGCTGCAGGGCAGCTCATCTCAATTTGTGATGGCACAGCAGCATCAGGCAATGGGCCGCACTACATGCTGACGCAGTGCGCGGCCGTATGCAAACACTCGAAAGCAGTGTCCGCGTAAGCTTGATGAGGTGAAGTTGTCTTTGTACCTGCATATTCCGTGCGACAAAGATAGAGTGGCGGAGAGCGGGCCCAAGATTTGCGTATTCTCGCGCTAGTTCATTCTAGAACATGGAGACGACGGGAGATGGCGCTGCGTATTGTCGATATCCCAGCTGGCCGTGGCAAATTCTCCGCCATCCTGTGGCGGCCATTCGGGGGGGTTGGAACAGACAAAGAGAGACATTGCTGCTGGAAGGGAAAGGAGAAGAGCACGAGACGGGCACGGTGATTGGCAATGCCTCCGCAGCCAAGCTCCCTTTTAGTTTCACCTCTAGTCAATCAAAAGTTAGTAGGTCGTCAGTCGTCAGGGTAAAGCCGTAAAAGTAGATTGCCGTTCGCGATGGCAACCTCTCATCGTATACCGTGTAGTCCGATGCAATAGACCGGTGGATAGACCCAGATGCCACGAAGAAGTGGAAGCATCGTCGCCATCACCTTTCCTCCTTAAACCGCACGGCCGTCGCTCATATCACAAACAACAACCTCGCAGTCCAACGCCCGAGCCAGCGCAATCTTGCCTCCCCTTCGGCGTCACATCGTCTCGCGGTTTTGCCATTGGCGCCTGTACCACGACGCCCTTTGAGCACCTCGCACGGCGCCAATACGCATCCCTACCCACGTGTGATTTTCGCGTGTGACAAGAAAGGTGGATACCGACCGGGGAGCAGCAGGGGGACCCACTGGAGCGTGCACTGCGCCCGCCAGTGAGGACCTTTAACAAGATGTCGCAAGCGCCAGKTAGTTCAAGACTCAAGAACCACATCAATAATACCTCCCATTCCAACCCCAACAACAACAGCATCCATTCGCGGCGAGCGCCTCCCGGCAGCCTCGATCTCAATGGTCTGCCCACCAACTTCCCACCACCGCGCATAAACGCATACATGGACTTGCCGTCACCGCGAGCGGGCGAAGTGCCGCCCGCACTTTCACCGCTGGATRCCTTTGCCATGCAGTCGCGGTTGCTGGCCCGTCGTTTTGAGCAAGAGGCGCAGGATGGGCGCAGGATAAGTCGGCTGCCACCTGTGATGGTGGCCAAGGAAATGTCAAATCGCCCAGGATACTTCCGCAGCGCGAGCAATGAGAGCAGGATGAGCGATTTGGCAGAGGGCGAGGGCGAGGACGGCGTGGGAGAACTCGCACAGCGCGGTCTTGAGACACGGCCAGCACATGATAAAACCCGCCCGGCCAGCCAATATCCCATGATTGATCGCACGAGTGGAGTGCCAGAGACAGACGGTGAGAGTCATCTGCCGCCCACACCCTTCTACGATGCTGTGGAGCAGACCTCCTCGACCAAGAGTTCTCCCAGCTACTTTGGCATGCCCCGAGCATCATCGCCTGAGCCTGTGGATCCTAAAGTGGTAAACGTGCAGGCGCCCTCGCCCGGAGTGCCTAGCCTGACGGGCAGCGTCGACACCATATCTTCACATCCACGCACGCGCACCAACGATTCACAGCGATCACAGCGGTCTGTCAACTCCGACCGTGGTGGTCTCGCTCCACCACATTCGCCGCGTTATCCAAAGTCGCCGCGGAGCTTTCAGAGCATACGTTCAGTGCCACATGATAGTGGAGATGAGGACGGACAGTCATTGGGAGGATCACAGCATGTTTCATCAGCACGAAAGTTCTCGGGCAGCAGCAACATGTCCAGACCGCAATCTCCATTCTCACCCTGGCAGCAGCCGGCACACCGATCACCTTCGATGACATCCGAGTACTCCATGAGCGGTGGCTCTCATCATCCTCAGCGGCCGAGTGGTAACTATAACAACTTTTCGCGGCCGATGAGCGGCGCGAGCAGCAGACCTTCCCTCGATGTAAGGCCTTCCATGGACAGCCGAACTTCCTTCGAGGGACGGCCTGGGATGCCTCATCGGCAACCATCAGGCGCGAGCAACAGCAGCGCATATCTCTCATCCAAGTCCGCATTATCACGGAGTGGATCTGGGGATGATGTAGAAACACCACACTCCGACGGTCTGCACACGCCCAATGCAGGGAACTTTACATTTCCCGGAGGTGCTACGCCGGGTGGAAATTCGTCTGCTTCGTACATCTATGCAAAATATGCTCTACCACGCGGTAGACCTATGGAGAGGGATTCGACGGCGTTCAGAGATTCTTGGATACAGAAGCAGTTTGAATGGGACAGACAACGCGAAAAGTCTTACCCTCAAAATTCGCGTCACGAAAGAAATCAGTCCGACACACATCTGACCGAGCCCAAGGTAGTCCCTTCGACATCAGGATCAGACACGGCCCGGCCAGGTCGCGGATTAGCACCAGCTTCTAGCGCTACACGCAGCCACTCAGCCGACCCTCGAGGGACAGAGCGGGCAAAAGCAGTACATCGCGCGTCTCCCTCCGTTAAGACCGAGAGCACTGATCGAACGATTAAAGCTACACCCCTACATCAGAAATCTGCGTCGGTTGAACTCACTCCTGAAGAGCATCTCGAGATTGGCATTGAGGCACATGACTCGGGAGCGACCACAAAGTCAACATATCATTTACGTCTTGCTGCGATTGCCGGTCTCCCCACAGGCATGCTTCTCTACGCTCTCGCATGCAGACACGGGTGGGGCATGAGACCCAACCAAGAGGAAGGTGTCAAATGGCTACGAAAGGCGATTGACATTGCCGGGAATGATGTAGCCGAAGCGGACGAGAAGCTCACAGGTGCCATCCGCAAGTCGCAATTGAAGCTAAATCCTGCGACAGACGCAGTCGAGCGGAAGAAGCGGAAAGCGCAGTATGCCCTAGCCATTTACGAGCTTGGGAACAGTTCGATGAATGGTTGGGGATGTGCCAAGGATAAGCCTCTTGCAGTGCGATGTTACGAGATTGCAGGTGCTTGGGGTGATATGGATGCGCTTGCAGAGGCAGGCTTCTGCTACGCGCAAGGAGTTGGGTGTAAAAAGGATCTCAAAAAGGCCGCTTCACTATACAGGAAGGCTGCCGCTGGCGGAATGTCCATGGCTGGAAACAGCTGGTGAGTGAGCATGCGTTTGACTATTTGAGGTGCAACGATCGCTGACTGAACTTTGCAGGATTTACAAAGATAAATACATGGAGGAGCCAGCGCCGGCGAAGGGTCAGCAGGAGAAGCAAAGGCCGGATACTGCAGTCYCGAAGGAATCGACAAAGAAGGGAGACGAGAAGCCCGCAGGACGAGCGCGGTCGAGAAGTATTTGGAGGAAAGGCAAGGATAAGGAGAAGGATAAGGGGGCTCCCCCTCYTCTACCGCCGACATCTATTCCATCCTGAAGAAGGTAATTGCATATGTAATATCAACCATGCAACAGACGGCCGCTGGTGGACCTCGCCATGCGTCTATAATGAACTACCTTCAAGCGTCGGAACATGTAGGCTTGTGCTCGACAGGATCATCATCTCTTATCGTGAGTAGCGTTGACTGACGTTGCTRGCCATGGAGAATGCCTCGGTGAGCCGTGTCAAATCTCCGCGATGGAGGCGAATCTTCCGATAAGGCAAAAGAAGCACACGTCGCTAACAGCATCTCCAGGTTTTGGCCATGGCGAATGCTTGGTGTTGGACGAAAGCTGTACGTACCTTGGGTACGGTACCAAGCCCCAAGTCTCATCTCAATACCTTTGGAGCGCCACACGCGGAGAGCGGTGGAGGAAGAGTTTCCCAGGAATCGCGGTCTGACATCACCGGCAGACCCCACCTTAAAACGTGCGCGAGTAAAGTCATCTTTTCCGCCAACAACCGTGATCGAGCAGCATGTGCGACGGAAACCAACGTCTACAGCTCCAGCGATCTTCGTAAGCTAGCCGACATGCTCGCATGTACAGCTGGTTACGTAGGTGCAGCCGGTTCTGTGGCGTGTGATGCAAGAAGCGACCTGCTTCGCCAGCCCCTCAATCCGTTGGAAGCTTTCGAGGCTACCCGTACGTGCCGTACTTCCTGTGGCTAAACCTGCGTTGTTGGCGGGTAGGTATATAAGGTGGAATGGGACGCGTTGCACGGTGTGATCAGCATCTTCAGTGTTTTTACCGTCCGCATAGCAGGAAGATTCAGAGAACCAGCCTTTACCATTGACCCCCAGCAACAACACATATCCATCCAACATGGCCGAAGAACAATCCAGGAGTATGTTGCTATCTTGGCTGCAGCAGGATCCACAGTATAGAGACAGGGTACTGACTGATTCGTCCCGACTTTTGTAGTTGCTGCAGAGCAGGTACCGATCTACGAAAAGGCTCTCGAAGCCCAGTTGGGAGCAAGCGGTAGCTCGCAGAGCGGTACAAATGAAGGTACGGCCACGTCTGCGAAGATTCAGTCTCCACAACCACCGGCATCCAACCCCGGAGCGGACAATCCGTCTGGAGGTATTGCAGAAGGTGCTGGCGGTTTGAGTAGTACAGCACATATCGAGAGTCCGGTGCCGAACCATGAAAAGGGTCTGCTGTCCACTGTGAAGAGTATCTTTAGATTCGGAGCACTAGAAGAGATCAAAGCAGAGGACAAAGTTGCTGCGGAAGATGCAACGACTGCACCTTCAACATCCCTACTAGCTGGATCCGCGACCACTGCTCCTGCTGTAGCTGCTGCAGCTGCAGGARCGTTGGGGAGTTCCGATTCTTCCGATTCACCTCCAAGCATTGTTAGAGCCACACCCACTTCGTCTGACCGCCCAATTGCTGGAACTGGCCCAGGAACCTATCTCGATTACAGTCAAGTGACCGGAAACCCCACCTTTCCATCCTCTCAAACACTACCCATTCGATCCACCCCCGGAGCATCATCACTGCCCTTAGAAAGTTCTTCCACAGCAGCAAAGACTGACACAACCTCCAAATCGACAGGGTCGACAATCGATCGTAGCGCCTCGACTTCGAACACTGCCACCGCCGACGACAACACAAGCAGCAAGATGACAGGCACCGATACCAAGGAACGCACCGAACCACTAGAACACAAGCCACCACAGCCAGCTGACGGCAAGCCCTCTGGTGCCAAAGGCATGGAGAACCGTGATGCGATCCCCACTGCTGGCGGCAAGCGACTCGGCGAGGAGAACTGGGGTGAAAGCAAGATTGTGCCTGATGACCCCGGTGCCCCGCCTCATGAGAAGGGTATTTCTAGCGCTGCTGGTCAGCCCACTGGTAAGTCAGATAAAGGGGATTACTTATACAATTGACGATGCTGATAGGAGGGATTATAGAGCAAGTCAAAGACAACACTGCCAAGAACATGGGTGGTGCGACGAGCGGACCTAATGGCGGCAAGGAAGAGGGGAAGGAAAAGGAGAGTGTTGTTGACAAGATCAAGGATAAGCTGAACATTGGCAAGAAGTGAGATGTGATGCTTCTTCATTGATGAACGCAGCGAGATGATGCGTGATTATGAACGTGTTATGGCGGTATACGAGTTACACGACATGACCTGAGAATACTTACTTGATGATACCTACCAGGAAATGCATGAAAGATGATCGTTTCCTATGTTTCGTTACCTTCCAAACTATTCACCTCAACCCATCCTTCCCCTTCGGCACCGGCTTTACCCAACAAAGCACCACATTCAACCCCACAATCATAACACCAGCAATCCACAAACTCTCCTCATACCTCGTCCCATGAAATCTAAACAGCACCGCAAAACACACCCCTCCAAAATTCCCCGCGGCCCCAATAATCCCACTCAAAACTCCATTCGCACTGGGATGAACATGCGGCACCAAGGCGAAATTCGCCCCGTTCCCAGCCTCAAGAAACACAGCCATTCCAGCCACAAGTCCAAACATCAGCCCCTGATTTCTCGGATCCGTCAATCCAATCGCGATAAGAAAAGCTCCCGAAACAATCCCCACAAACACAATCCAGGCTTTCTTCGCCCAAACCGAGGAGGTGTGTTTATATATGACGTCGCTGAGAATTCCTCCCAAAGGACGAGTTATGATGTTCAGTAAACCGAACATGGACGCCCATCGACCTGAGCCTGTTTGTTCCAGGGAGGGGAAGTTGCGGAAATAGTAGGCTCCTAGGTAGGAATTGATGGCGAGTTCGCCGCCGAAGGAACAGAAGTATGTGGCGCAGTGGAAGAGAGTTTGTGGGGAGGTGAGGACGCGGAGGAGGTGGGTTAGAGTTGGTGGTTGGACGATTTGGGCGCGTGCGATTTCGATCATTTCGCCTTGGGAGAGTTCGATCTTGCTGCTGCTGTTGTTGTCGGAGGTTGATGATAGGGGTGCTTTGCCTTTTTCGGAGTCGCTTGTCATTGCTGGGGTGGAAGTGCCGGTGGAAGTGACTTTGTGGTCGACGTCGCCGGGGATGCTGACTATGGTGCTTTGGTTGATGCCATACGTATTGAGGATCCGTTCCACATTCGCGTGACGCTCGCTCCATTTTCCTGTGGGAGTGTCGTCGCAGAATAAGAGCATTCCTAAAGCGGTGGAGACGATGAGGATGAATGGGACGATGAAGGCGACCCTCCATGCGACGGACGATGAGAGACCTTGATCGGACTTGAGGCCTATATAAGTCAGTCAGTTCCAATTATTGTGAACTTCAATGGCTTTCGCGGCTTACTGTCGTAGATGAGTGGCATCAGAAAGTACGTGATTCCTCCACCTGCATTCCCCCAGCCTCCTATCAGAGCATTAGAAGATCCCACTACATTCTTGTCAAAGAATCCCATGCTCCAGACTTGACATGGTACAAAAGTGCCTCCTAGAATTCCCACAAAGAATCTCAGAGCTATGAGACCTTGCCAGTTCTTGACCAGTCCGGCCATTGCTGTTGGAATGGAACCAGCGATGAGAATGCCGATATATGTCCATCGTGGTCCAAAACGATCACATGCAGGTCCGGCGAAGAAGCGTACGAGCAAGGTGCCTGTGAGAGCGGCGATGTTGGAGTTGGCGATTTGATCCCGCGTAAGATCGAGGTCCTGTCGGATCGTGACTGTGAGAAGAGGTGGGAAAGCATACCTTTGCTGCCGTTAGCTTTGTATTAGATCACTGCGATTGGGATTGATCCTTACCAGGCCCAGAAGGAGATGAAGAAACCCCACCAGGAGAAGAAAAAGACGCGTCCATATTTGTTGATTGGGTTCAGGACTGGGATTGTGCGTGCTTTGTAGTTGACCGGGTTGATGGGCGGAGCCTGCCAGAGAGATCCTAGGGTCACCATGCTGTGTTGTGGGGCGATGGTTTGAAGAATCAAACAGAGTGAAGAAGTTCCGGCAAGGAAATGAAAATGGCGACTTGTACAGACTTACTACATGTAAGCCAAGGTCTACATTTGCACGTCGTGAAACAGAGATAGTGGCTGACAATGAGCTTTGCCCTAGGCTTGGGTGTACGACCAGCGTTTCCGCGGTGTACAATGCGATGAATTTCTGGCGAACAGAAAGCGTCAGCTTTGCTACTTTGCCTGAACTCATATCTGGCCCAGCATTGCCAAGCATACCAAGGACTGTTATCTATCAGCCACGTGAATATGCACGATAATGAGATTCATATGCCAGGGTATACAAGCCATGCCGCGGAGATCCAGTCCTCCACGAGATTCAGTACTGGGGATCTTCAAATTCAGGACATGTGTTGCTGAGAAGTTTCTCCAGGAGAATGTCGATATCGAGAGTCCTTGTGGATCTTCTTCCGGAGCCATCTTTGGAGCTAGATGAGTCTCAAAACGACTTACAGATTCTGACTTCGCTTTGGAAGACTGGACGTGCCAGAGGGTAGGGTCAGTATGAGAATAGTTATGCATCGAGGAGTCAGTCGTTGGTGAGAAATGTCCTTGCCAGGCGTGACCACTACTGATATTGGCCAAATTACTGCTGTTAACAGCCACGGCTACTCCAAACGAGAGTTGAAGGCTGCTGCTGCTCCAGAGCTACTCCTACTTACGCGAAGCAGCCTTCGCTAATATGCCAGCCAGGCACGTGCCAAGGGAGTATCAACTTTCGAGGCGTGTCAATATGTTCTGACCAGTGGACAATGATGAATGATGGGATTTGATCCTGAGCTTTCTGTACCGTGGACCGGCAGTCCTCCACAGAAGTATACTCCATGCAAACCTTGCATTGTTCTCCGTCGTGCAGCGAACAAGACCAATGGAGGTGTCCTTAACATCAAGGTCTTGATGATTCTCTTCTTGGCACTGCCCCTCATCGTATGATGTTGGGTCTTGATCTGATGTCTGTTGAGACAGCCTCTGAACAGGAACATCCTCATCCTCATCTTCTCGGTGTCAATACAGATGGGTGTTTCGGGACTGTGCAAAGCTCCCGTCCTCTTCCACTCGGACTCGGGGGTCGTGCTATTGTTGTCGGTTACCGAAGCCGGTGAGGGGATGTAGGACGAGAGCTGAATGGCTTTGTCTTTGACAAGCTGGAGCGTGTAGACTGGGCTGATGGAACGCGGTCTTGCAACCCTATCAGTTCCATTGTGATGGGTGAATGGGGACAGAATGGACAGATCCAATCCAGTCGGCTTGATGGTCAACGTTCATGGAGGTCGRTGACGCCGGCGTTGTTGAGTCCGTGATCGGCGAGGAATGTCACCGAAGGGAAAGGGAAAGCGCAGGGCAGGGCATTGTGGGAGGAAGGTGGGGTAGATTTCCTCGTCTCCAATGTTTTTGCCCCATGCCACCTTCTTCACAATGCCATCCACCTTTTATTGATCCCTGCATTGCGTGTCAGACCTCGCCCAGGCGTAATGGGATTATACAACGGACAGGAACTGGTCGACTTCAAAGCAAACTCCAGCGAGACGACCTACCGAGTTTAAGTAGAGGCCCATACTGGCTACCTCCCGAAACAATCCCAACAACATCATCGACCTCCCACCAGCCTTTAAGCACTTAGCACCCGCATCCACCGGCGATTACTTGCATCGCCCACCGCAGCTGTACGTCCGTCTCATCTCCGACTCCCTCTCCCTCTCCCTCTCCCACTCCCTCTCCACCTTTCTCTTCACATTCAGTCCCCACACCTCCCTCTCTTGGGATCAACAGCCTTGCCTCCACTGTACTGCACTGCATTGGCTTTGAGCGATTTTCAGCTAATACCAGCACGTCGATGCAGCTCCACTAGCATCCTATCCACACCACTTCACCACATCCTCCATCTCCTCCAGATCCACCTCTTGAGCCGCGACAGACGGGAATCCTCCCTCCCCTCAACAACAACACACCTCTCCCACGATGCACATCACGAAGAAGCTGGCGTCGGCCCATGCCAAGGGCACCGCCACTTATTCCTTTGAATACTTCCCGCCCAAGACGGCACAAGGTGTACAGAACCTGTATGATCGTATGGATCAGATGCACGGTCTGGGTCCTGCGTTCATTGACATCACCTGGGGTGCCGGTGGGCGCCACTCGTCACTCACTTGCGAAATGGTCAAGGTCGCTCAATCCGTATACGGACTGGAGACGTGTATGCACCTCACCTGTACCGACATGGAACTCAGCAAGGTCGACGATGCGTTGAAGGAGGCCTACCACTCCGGCTGCACCAACATTCTGGCATTGAGAGGTGATCCTCCAAGAGAGCAGSAAAAATGGGTGGAGACCCAAGGCGGATTCCGCTATGCCAGGGATTTGATCAAATACATCAGAAAGACCTACGGTAATCACTTTGATATCGGCATTGCTGGCTATCCCGAAGGACCAGATGAGACCACTACCGCCGACGAACACATTGTCTACTTGAAGGAAAAGGTCGATGCTGGCGGCACCTTTATCGTCGCCCAGATGTGCTACGATGCGGAGCTGTTCATCCAATGGGTCAAGGACTGCCGTGCTGCCGGAATTCCCGAGTCTGTTCCCATCATCCCTGGAATCATGCCCATTTCAACACACGCAGCGTTCCTTCGACGCGCCAATTGGTCTGGCGCACGCATCCCGCCAGCATGKAATGAGGCCTTGGATCCAATCAAGAACGATGACAGTGCAGTGAGGGAAGTTGGTCGAGACCTCATGGTAGAGTTTTGCCAAAAGCTGCTGGCGGCCGGAATCATGCATCTGCACTTTTACACCATGAACTTGGCAGGTGCGGTGCGAATGGTACTCGAAAGGCTCGACTTGACGCCCTCTGCGGAGAGCCCCGATCCCGAGATCAAGCCTTTGCCGTGGCGTCAATCTCTTGGACTTAACCGACGAGACGAGAACGTGCGGCCCATCTTCTGGCGAAACCGCAACCGCGCGTACGTTGCTCGAACCCAGGACTGGGATGAATTCCCCAATGGACGCTGGGGTGACAGTCGATCGCCTGCATTTGGTGGACTTGATGAATACGGTGTTGGTTTGAAGGGTACCAACGAAAGCAACCGCAAGCTGTGGGGAGAGCCGAAGAACGTGAATGACATTTCCAAACTCTTCGTCAAGTACATGACTGGCAAGGTCGAGACCTTGCCATGGTCAGAGGCACCCATTAATGAAGAAGCCAATGTCCTGGTGAAAGACCTGACAGACTTGAACAACCGGGGTCTACTTACTATCAACTCCCAGCCAGCAGTTGATGGTGCCAAGTCTTCACACCCCGTTTACGGTTGGGGTCCAAGGAACGGATACGTGTACCAGAAGCAATATCTCGAAGTTCTGGTCTGCCCGGAGCTCTTCCCAACGGTAATCCAGCGCATGGAGGCAGACCCAGACATCACCTACTACGCCGTCAACAACAGCGGAGATTTGAAGAGCAATGCTCCGACTGACGGCGGGCCCAATGCCGTGACCTGGGGCGTATTCCCAGGTAAGGAGATCGTACAGCCTACCATAGTCGWGACTGTATCCTTCCTGGCTTGGAGAGATGAATTCWATCACCTCGGTCTGGAATGGAGCAAGTGCTACGATGAAGGCAGCGAAAGCCGTGCTCTCATCACGGAGATTACCAAGAGCTGGTACTTGGTCAACATCGTGCACAACGACTTCCGCAACCAGAGTGGCATCTTCCCCATCTTCGAAGGCTTGACCGTCCCAGGTGTCGATGCCACACCAATCACCAATGGTCACACCAATGGCCACACCAACGGTCACACCGAGGCCGGAGCAAAGGAAAATGGCGGACCCAAGCCTGAGACGAATGGCGTCCCCGATGGCAATAATGTCGTTAATGGTGCCGATAAAGTAGCGGCATCAACTTGATAGACAATACTTGAGCGCCGAGGATTATTGCTAAAAGCTTGACAGCATTACCTTGGAATCAGAGCTTCTTCAACAAGAAGACTAAGATGATATTGGAGACGAAAAAGCCCGAGGTGAAGGCGTTTTTGAGCATGGTGTTTGATTTGCGATTTAAGATACCCCATTCAACCGGGACCGCGAAGGGATTTCCGCGGCATGATGTTTTGCTTTGTTTGATTTGCGTGGATCTGCACTCTCCAGATGGACGAGGAAATGTCATTCTCTAGATATAGAAGAGTACATGTAGTTGCATGTAGAGCGGTTACGTGCAGTTCATGACGCAACTTCTTTTTCGACTTCGTCAAGTGGACTGTAATCAGCGATGAGCAAGGTGAATTGAAGTCAGCAGATGGAGGAGAGAAACGTGGCTCCTATAGTATTATTCGTTGCCATGTATTTTATGCAATCTTGAAGAAATGGCAAGTGCTCAAAAAACTTGCTCAGACAAATCTGCGATAATCTGCTCATTCATCCTCAAATCTCCTTGGCCACGTGATGGAAATTCTCCGAAAAGAAACCAGGGTATCTTAGGGAAGGGGGTAGGTACATCAAGGTTGGGATGGGATTATTAAAGAGTACCCACCGTTCATGACCTTGTTGGATAGAGTATTGTTTGTTCCTGTCTCCTGTTTTCAACGACATCAACATTAACTTATTGAGATTTTCTTCTTCTGGCTTGCTTGGTGYAAAGAAAGAAATACCTGTTCGATACTATAGGACATATAAGGCCCAAGGTCTGATACGAGCGGCGGCATCAACATCTTACAACAACAACATCACTATCGAAAGAACAGGCGAACAAACGAACAAGAACAACAACAACAACAAAAAATGTGTAACGGCGAATCCACACGTACATCCCAAGGAGGAACCATTGCGATTTTGAAACCTATAACCCCGATATCCTCCTCAAATGATGAACTTCGTCCTTGTTTACAGCGAGAACTTTCCCTCAGGTTATCACCATCTTCATCATCAGGAGCAACAACAACAACAACAACAACAACAGCAACAACAACAAAAGCAACAATCACCGGCCTCTCAAATTTCCACTCAACAACCTCCAAAGCAACAGAAAGTTATTTTATAATCCAGTACGTTCTTTCCCCCCAAATCTTCCCCTTCCTTTCCACCTCCAACTAACACGGCATTTTTCCCAGTCGAACAGGAGATCTCCGACATGATTCTCAAAACCACCACCTAGAAGACTCATGTATCCTGCATACATTCAAAGTCCCTGGAAATACGATTGATCAAGTTTCGTTTTGTTTGGGGAAGGAATTGGATTTGGGGGTTGGTGGGGATGAAGGGGTTATTGGACGACGGGTGAGTTTTTTACAAGGGGGGAGGGTTTTGGGGGAGGGGGTTATGGGGTGGAATTGAATTGGATTAAATTGAATTGGATTGAATTGAATTGAATTGAATTGAATTGAATTGAATTGAATTGAGGAGGGATGGAGGGTGGGAGGGTAAGAGGGATGTGGTGATTGTAATTGAGGTGAGGATTTGATTGGTATCATCTTGAGAGGAAGGTTTACTTTCTCTGAAGAGAGATCGAGGGCATGTTTATACACCCCCTTCCATGACAGTCGCACGGCTAAGAACTGTAGATGAGTCCAAATCGAGAACTTCTTTGGCTTCGATTTGAGTTAACTTCCTCACTTCACTCATTCATCCCTTGAATTGCATTGGTATCTCCCCATCCCATTTGCAGGTTCAGCTTCGTCTTGAGTGAGCCTAAGAGTTCCTCCTGATAGACCAGTTGGAATCACCACTCTTCAAAATCGCATGATCTGCGTCCAAGGCCTTTAACGGGACGGTCCCCTATCATGATCAGTTCTCAAACAATTCCTGCAGCAATCGTACACACCTTTCAATTGACATACCAGCCATCATCCGAGAAGCTCTCTCCAGTCTCTCTCCTTCTCCGCATCTCTGGAATGTAGACTGGCTGCTGATAAGTTGGATGATGCCGAGTGACTGAGCGTGGGCGGTGACGTGACTGATGTTCGTGAAGGTATGATGCTATGTCGTTGATGTCGCTGGAAGTGTTGTTGTGGTAGGTATTGCAGCAAGTGTTATCGTGGAACTTGTTGTCGGTGATGAAGAAGAAGAAGAAGAAGGTCGCAGACATGAAGGCTTTATAGACAGACAGACGCCAACGACAGATTGCGTACGTACAGCGAGCAATCATATGCAAGACTTTACAAACTTCACTTCTCCCTCAATTCGAAACCTTTCAAGCCAGCTCTAAATAGCCAGCTCTTTCACTCTCTCTGTATGTATCCCCGTGTAAAGTCTTAAGCAAACATTCAGCACCGCCGCTCATATTGAACCAGAAAGATTTAAAGGAAGCGGCAGATAGCAATTTATTTTCAGCTACTTTGCAATGATCGTTCCCCGTGATAACCGCAACAATAAGGTAACTTCCATACCTACAGACAATCACATCCAATTAAACCCACTCAGCCTCTTCCTCTCCACCCCCACCCCCTCCCCCTCCCCCTCACTCCCACTCCCACTATCATCATCATCCAAAACCCCAGCCCCATCATCCTCAAGCGGCATAACAACCCTAATCCTCCTCTTAAGATCCTCCCTCCTCCTCATTGCTCGAGTCTCACGATAACTCTCCACAATAGGTCCAAACAGCGTAGGTTTAGTCGTCACATGCTCTTGCCCGCCTTCGCCTTCTCCATGTGAAGTCGCAAGCGAAATTTTTCGTCTTGGAGGAAACGCAGTCGCACGAGCTTGATCCCAAGTCGCTTTTGCCGTTTCTGTCCAGCCTGTATGATGAGTTGTTGTTGTTGTTGGCGCAAGCGAGGTTTTTTTCACGGGACTTGGGAGGAGATGAGGGGATTGTGGAGTGGCTATTCCTATTATGGAAGGAGTCCCTTCTTCTTCTTCTGCTTCTTCTTCTTCTGGAGAGGATGGGTCTTGTTGTTGTTGCTTAGAGCTCTTTCGTAATTGTTTCGTGATACCCCCTTTGAAACGTTGAAAGAGTGGTGGTCTTTTGCTTTCAGCAGCACCAGGACCACCGCTTGGTGTGATTTTCAAACCATCAAGAAGGATGTTACTAGCCAGAGGTGAAGTTTGCGGTGTGGTAYCTGGAGTACGTAGTTCAGCTGCGATGACTTCGGCTGGAAGTAAGGGCGCACCTACAGAGGGCCGCTTTATTGGGTGTTTGACGTTTGCGGTTGATTTCTTGTTCTTGCTGCGGGCCAAGAGATTGGGATATAGAGATGAGATTTTTGCTTCGTGCCCAGGTACTACTGGCTTTGGGGGGGATGTTTGGTTTGTGTTGATCGGATGTGGGACATTATATCGCACGGGATCGTTCTCGCTAGGTGGTGAAATGGGAATCATTCCAGTCGTACTGCTCTTGCTCTGTCGATGTCTTTTACTGCCAGGGGGTGGCGTCAAAGACAAACGAAGTGGAAAGCCACTAGATCGAGCCGAACTTGCACTCTCTTGACTTTGACGTTGCATTCGAGAAGATGAATACCCAACGGGGGTGTAGATGCCAGTTTTGCTACGTTTTGGATGTTGCGTGGGCGATTTAGTCTGGAAAAGGGGCTGTGGGATCATTTTCATATGTCCTCTAACGTCATCTTCAGAGTTGTAGCTCCTAGACTCGGATACCTGTCTGGGACTAACTTCTCGCTGCTCGGGTATAGGTCGAGGGTTCAGATCGTGCAGGAAGAATCTCTGAGGAGGTGTATATTCGCGGCTTGAAGAACCTCTTTGCCTTGTACGGCCACGTTCGTCGTCATCTCCCGAATCGTGATACCGTGCTGGAGGAGAAGGGGGAGCCATATTCCGAGCAGGACCCGTACCAACATGATATGCATTCGTAGAAGCATTGTAGCTTGAAAGTTGCTGTGCCGATTCAAGTGGAGGTCTCGAAAACGGCGACACTGAAGCACCCGTTGATGTCGACTGCGATCGCTCTCCTTCATAATTGAAAGCAGCAGGTGGCAATGGAGGAGGTCTAGGGGATACAAAAGTGTTTCCACTGTGATTTCGATGATGTGCCMGAGCTTCAGATTTCTTGGAGCTTTGTGCTCGCATCTCTTCGGGCAACAGGTGGATCGCACCAGGGGCGTTGAACAACCGATTAGCTTTGTCTAACGACATCATTCTGACCTTTGGTCGCTCTGGAACCGCAGGTGGATTCAGCATGAAAGTTGGAGGCTGGGATCTAGAGATGGTACTCACAGCGCTCAGCGTGGGAGAGGGGCTGGCGATGAGTGGCAAGCATTCTCGGGGTTCAAGAGATTCGGGAGTCGCACTTCTGAAGTCGAAGTGTGGAACATCCATGTTATATGAAAGTGCCCGGAGGTAAGGATTTGGTTCCGTTTCTACATTCTGTGGCGGATGCGCGTATGGTATCCATTGACTTTGCGTTCGGCTGTAGACACTTGATGATCGTCGGTCGGATGCATACCGCTCTGAGTCTGAGTCAAACGTATATCCTCCTGAGAGCCCGTCCTCTGCGTAATCGGTTGAGTTGACTGGACGTGATGGCGCCATAGCGGTCGGCGGCAGTGGTTTCTCCGTGACGATGGCTCGTGTCTGCTTGATGAAGTCCTGAAAGGGCTGTACTGACTCTTCTAGCCCACTCAGCGAAGATGAAGAAGATCCAGAGCGAAGGAACGGTGGTCGTGGCGAAGACCCGTGAAGCCTAAGACCCAAGGAGGAGGAAGACGAGCCGTTAGTGACCATAGGCGGTCTTTTCAAGCGTTGTGTATCAGGCATGCTCCAACCTCAGCRTTACCTAACATATGCTGCAGCTCGATTTTGACGCACATTATCAGCCATACAGTATGGAGAACCGACAGATGTGAGGACTCCTTCAAGGTGCGTAGATTGTCGACAAAGGAAACATGGCGCAGTAACCAGAATACGTCCATTGCGTGTCAACAAAGCCAAACAAAGACCAATTAATCGCATGTCATCAGATGCGGCAGGCTGCCTATCTCGCTCGTATTCAAAACATTTGCGGCGTCTTATGTCCAGGGCGAGACCCAAAAGCTCAAGATATGATCAACGCGAAATCAAACCCTAGCAGAACGCGAGMAACAAACATGACATTTCAACCTAACGCGCACCATTCTTCGTCGAAGCTGTACTTTCGACGTGCTTGGTGCCAGTTGWAGTAGTAGTTCCAGCTGCTTGCTGCATGGCGTCGGCATCTGGTCCCGAAGGTATATCAACCAGTACAGCAGGATCGACTTTACGATCTCGCATCAGGTCATCCCGCACCTAATAAAATCACCATCAGCTTGAAATGTACTGCAATCGATGATGCTTGATGGCCAAACCTTCTTGTCCTCTGTGTTGGGGTTTGACAAGATTTCCTCTGCTGACTTGGAGCCGCGTCTTTGCAGTCGCTCCGGAGAGATGGGCGTGCTTTCCAGCYCGACCGGCTCACTGTTGATGGACGCGGCGGAGAATGTCAGATGAGGTTTGGTGTTCCCCATGGGCGAAATGGGATTCTCGCGAGGTGGCATGGCGAATGAATGTAGATGAGGGAAAGATCAGTCCCTTGTGTTGCTGGAGGCGGATACAGGCTATTGGTTAAGAAAGAATGGGCGGGGCGACGGCGGTGGCGCAAAATGCGGGAGACGTCTTCCGTGGCTGTGGAATGGTCGTTCCGTTAAGTAAGGTAAGGTAAGATAGGTAGAGGGCGGCGAACGACGGGAAGAAAGTTGGAAGTCAGGTCTTCCCCGCCAATGGCTTGCGAAAATACCTCACGAGTCACAGCAAGTCGTGCACGACGATCTTTGCCTCAGAATTGTGAGGGCGCAAAGTCTGGATCGTCGCATCCAAGGTTAATCCAATGTACTTGCATGGAAGTAGGCGGTCTGCTATCATGCTGTACATAATTATTTCTGCGGAGATAAGACGCAGGGGTCTGCCCGGCTTCAAGCTGGTGTGAAACGGTAAATCTATTCGTAGTCTTTCGCTCAGAGATGCGCCTGTCATGTCTATTTACATACCAGAGACCTTCAAGTGTAATCATTTGACATCGTGAGAAGCATCTTGATGCAGAATGCTCTCTGGTATTGCCTCGACCGTACTGTTCTTCAATGGTGCAGGCGGTCCTTGGTGCAACTCGATATTATGGACGGCACTGTGCACCGCCGAGGTTATGTCGATGTGGAAGAATGRTCTGTTCAGGCCCTGCACGACTGCAACCCTGAGATTGTTGTTGGACATTGTGCCGTAAGCGTTCGACTTTTGTAATTGCTTGTCAATGTCATTCGAGCTGGATCCGCTTTCCGAATGGTTGATGCTGTCAACATCGCGCTGAGCATGCTCGACATCCTTCTGTGATCGTCGATAGAATTCTCGATTCGCGCGTTCCTCAGCTGAGGCAGCGGCACTCGACGAGCCTCCGAGCTCGGCAACGCTGAAGATGGGCTTCCACCGTTTGAATGTAGCTTCATTCTCCACTGCCGGATATCCGAACCCAGCCGACACCAACGCGCGTTTTGTCCAACGATTGTTGATGCAGGCAAAATGCCACTGTACTCTTTCGGGAGCAGTGTATCGATCAAGCTGGTTCCGCACATCAATCAAGTTTTGTACCGAGGTGATGTCCACATTGTTCACCGATGAGAAGTCGAGAATGATTGCCTTCAATGTCGGTCTGGTATCGCCAACAACGACCTCTTTGCCCAGCTTTGGACCGGGGTCGTTCCAAGGCCTGTCACCAGGTCTTGCAAAGCTGTTCGGGTTCGTGCGCTGGGTTTCGCGAAATATTGTGCTGGTGAGGAAATCGAGGTAGTGGTTGGCATTGGGGTAGTTGAACGCTTCCGAGAATCGGTATATGAATACGCCGGGGTACGGATGCTCAGCCTTGATCGAGGGATTAGAACCATCCTTGTGGTCGATTGGCAGGAAGATATTCCTAGAGCCCTTGTTCGGGTCACTGTCCGCTCCACTTTCCGCTCCAATCTTCACGACACCGGGCTTTGCATCCTCGCCATCGAGCAAGTGATCGCCGATGACTGAATGGACCTTGACGCGTCCGAGGAATCGGCCCTGTGCCTTGAAGACCCTGAAAAGAAAGACGGCCATGGAGGTGGCAATGGTCACATAGATGCCATCCTCAATCGTGCTGAAGATTGTCACAAAGACACCGGCAAAGAAAATGAGGACCTCAATCGGCGAAATCCGCCAGAATTGGTAGACTGTGTTGGGAGGCGTGATCAAATCACCCACGGCGTGAATGATGACTGCACTAAGTGCAGCGTTTGGGATGTAGAAGAAGACTGCGGGCAGAGCGTAGATTGCGAGGAGCACGACAATCGCAGTGATGACACCCGCGAATGGTGTTCGCACGCCGGCCTTTGATTTGATGGCAGTACGAGAGAATGATCCAGTGGCGGGATAGGCACCAAGGAAGGGACCCAGTAGGTTGGTGACTCCAATAGCGACGAGCTCCTGAGATGGATCGATGGTGTAGTTGTTCACTCTTCCAAAGGACTTTGAAATGGAAATGTGCTCAATAAGGAGAACAATAACGGAGGCGGGCAGCTCGCTAGCGAAGAGGCTTATGATATCAGTATTGACAGTAGGGACTGCAGMGTGCTTGAATCCTCGGGGAACAGCGCCCAAAAGTTGGAATGGCGACTTTTTGGCGTTGTGATCGGGTAGGTGAAGGTTCACCAGCCAACTGATTAGAGTGTAGAGCAAGATCACAAATGCCGTTCGGAGTGTACTGCAGAAGAACCAAAGCTTCTTGTGCTRCGGTTGTCTCTTGGCCATGTAGGCAAAGCCAGATCTGATCAGGTAAAGCATCGCCAGAGCAGTGAGTCCGAGCGCTGCATCGAGCTTCGCAGTAGGCAGAGCTCTCAGCGAGTTTATGATGACCAGGTACGTTGAGTCGCGGGTGTTGAGTCTGCCCGGCGGGGTTGACTTGTTCGTCTGAAGACCCATCAAGTTCGCAACCTGTCCAGCGGCGATGTTGATGGCGGAGCCTGTCATGAATGCAGAGATGGCAGTAAGCGAAATCAGTTCCACGAGCCAGCCGAGACGAGCAAGGCCCAGTGCACAGACGATGGCGCCTGCAATGACGGCGAGGGCAGATGCCACGACGTGACCTTCGTATTGAGGAGCCTTGTCCGCAACTTTGCTCACCACGTTCCCAACGATCGTAGACATGACAGCCACGGGCTATAGATGTGTCAGTATGGAGGCATTTCTGTCGCGAGAGAATGAAAGCTTACGCCGATGGTGATATCCTTCGAAGTCGCAAAGAACCAGTAGATGAGCACTCCCATGAATGAAGAGTAGAGACCAAATTCGGGAGCAAGATTTGCAAGTTTGGCATACGCCATACTCTGCGGTACAACGACCGCTCCGACGGTAATTCCAGCAACGAGATCTCCGTAAAGCCATTGTAGGTTGTATCGCATGATCCAACGTGTGAAGGGAACCAGGTTATGAAGGTACGTCTTGACTTCTCCTCCGGTGGGAACGACGGACCTGAGCCATTCGCCAGCGGTGGGCTCTTCTTCAACATAGCTGTCGCCACTGTCGACCGAGAARACAGATTCGCCGCGGGAGAGCTTCGAGGCTTCTGTCTCATTGCGATAATCAAGCTTGATGCCGAGCACCTTGGCAAGGCCGTGACCGACCTTGGTGCTGGTAGAAACCATGGTGGTAGGTTGGTAGGTAGAACTCCTGGGGCTCGAGGGTGCCAGTAGACTGTAGGCCTGGCGAGATCTGTATATGTGCAGTTTGGCTCGTCTTCGGATTGGAAAGAGCTAACGGGGAGATGATCTGGACCGCGGCGGATGCTGCAGGCAGGGTCCGGAGAATAATGCCTCGAACTCAATGGTCAGATCAATCGATTATGGTGTGCGGTGAAGCACACCACTTAAAGAGATATGTCGACGGCGCGGGCCAGACAGATCGCGACAGCGGAGCCTCAAACAAGACAGAAGTCGCCCTCGGGCACGCAGAATGTTGATCTTTACTGCAAGGCTTGGATGCTGTTCGATCTGCCAGTCGTGTGTCTTGATGTTGTACGCAAGACCGAATTGCGAGGCAATTCAATGGTTGGCTTTGTTAGCCACTTCAAACTTCAAGGGACAATCCTGCAACGTTCGAATCCAAGGATAGCCAACTGCCCCGGGCCTTGCAGACGAAGAGGGTTTTGATAAAAACTTTTGATCTTCGCAGGCACGCGCAGCCCTGCGTATAACAAAGGGTTCAGTGCAGAAATATTTGCGAATGCTGAGAAACATTAACGCATAGCGGGTCAGAACCGTCGTTTAGTCGATGGCGTGATGAGCATTGTTCCGGAATCTATCCGTTTTGGCTTTTGGCTTTGACCAGACGTGCCGACCACGAACCGCCCTTATCACACCTCGCTGACATGGGCAAATCCAATCGGCTACCATGTAGAAGGCGTGATCCTTGTGTGGCGGAACACTTGATCTGAGGCTTCGGTCTTCTTGTTTGCAAGACAAGATTGTGCATTCAGCGAAGGGGGGAATTCCTCGCTTCCCAAAGCATCGCAAAGACAATCCGCCAAGTCTCGCCGAGCTCGTCATTGTTGAGCTCCATTGTGCCATGCGATCGAGATCAAGGGCCCAACATTACACCGTTTTCAAGCTTGGAGCAGCCGATTGATAATGATGTAGGTATGGTCGAGCGCTGCTGCATTGCATTTGCTTGCTGATGGATGCTCTGATCATCRTCACGCGCAAGCAGAGAAAGGGATCCCTGTCGAGGTTTTGGCACGCCTGGTAATTGTCCAATAAGGTCGAAACCTGATTGCATTCAATGCATTGCTCTGGTCTGATTCACTCATCCATTCCCGGAAGTGAGAAGGGATCGTCAACGTTGCGTGTGGAGGTGTGCAGAACTACCCTTACCATGCCAAAAGTATGGCTCCGTCGTACATACTKCGTCGAGTCAGCAGACCGCCTCCCCACGCAGGCAGGCTGTTGCGTGGGGTGGGTATGGTCGAGAAGAGCACACACCATCACCGTGGTCGTAAGCAGTGTGATGGCCTTGTGCGTCCGAGCAATGTCGAGGTCGAAATGAGCGTCTCGTCCGCCCATGTAAGGTAGGTACGCGCGCAAAGATAGAAAGCCGAGCCTCGCACGAACTTCTTAATCCAGACACTGTGCGAAAAGTCGTGGCATACCTCGTCAGCAATATATTCTTACCACGCCCATCAGTGTCGGTCAGTTTCACCGCAGTTTCGAGTTAAGGATTCGACATGACGTCCAAATGGTAAATGTTGGTCGAGATTGCGACTCGCCAACGTTCACAGGCAAGCCATGGATCACCGTCCCATGTGGTTTCGGCCCGTAACCTTGTTGGAAAACGTCCCGTCTGTTTGTTGTGGGGGAAGGAACAGCTCGTAGCAACGGGGTCCAAAGTGGAAGACCCGACAGCTTCAATCATTCTTTCGATTGGGTTCAACACCGCCCGTCATCATACCTAGTCCGACATGGCTCATCTGGACATGTTTCTGCAGAATGGGCCTACAGATGGTGACCAGATGGCTGGGTTGGAAGAATTGCGGCGTGTGATTCTGCTCGACGGCATACCCTCCAACAGCGAGGGCATGGTACGTCTACTTTGCCATCCATTACAACCCTTGGGCTAACGCAATACCAGTCAGAATTGCGCATCTACATCTGGCTCATCTTGCTGAATGCTCCCCCGCTTCCGACGGATTCATACAAGGACCTTGTGGCGCAAGGCGCGTCTCCAGTCTATGCGAAKATTCGCAATGACACCCATCGCACGTTGACCACAGACCCTCTCTTCCGGAGACGCGTAACAGAGAACAGTCTCACTCGTGTGTTGAATGCCGTGGCTTGGAAACTTCATGATGCCGACGAGGCGCGCGTCAATGGTTGGATGTCGCCGCCTACTCTGGGAGTGCCGAAGAGCATTGACGGATCCGACCACGCCTTCACTTCCCCAGGCTCCGTCGGAACACGGCATACGAAGGATTCCGTAACGGGGACTGAAGGATCCGAAGCTGGCGAGACTGCCGCGCATATCGGCTATGTGCAAGGCATGAATGTCATGGCAGCTCCCTTTCTCTATGCTGCACGAAGTGAAGCGGAAGCATTTGCTGCATTCGACCGCTTCATCACTCACGAATGTCCGGGTTATGTGAGAGGCAGCATGGAAGGTGTGCACAAAGGTGTTGCTTTGGTCGACCAGATTTTGGGCATTGTCGACCCGAAGCTGGCATCACATCTCGCCTCCAAAGGCATGAAGGCTGAGATCTATGCATTTGCAAGTGTGTTGACCTTGTGCGCCTGCACACCGCCATTGCCCGAGGTTCTCCAACTTTGGGACTTTCTCTTCGCGTATGGACCGCACTTGAACCTACTGTGTATCGTCTCCCAGCTGGTGTTGATGAGAGATACATTGATGAACAGTAACAAGTAAGTCTAGTGCTCTGTGCTATTGGTGACACTAGCTGACACTTTGTAGTCCCAAACCAGACTTCAAGCCACTCCGAGCGCGCAAGGTAATTGACTATACCGTCAATTTCGCTCGCAAGATTCCTCAAGAGATATACGAACAGATGCTCGCTCATGCGAAGTGATGCCAAAGTGTTTCCGACTCATTGGAGTTTAAGACAGTGCACACTAAAGGCTATATGCCGCCTCAGCCCGTCGTGAAGGTGAATGGGGCACTTCAGCGAATAGTTGCCAATTAGCTGATGGATTGGACATTCGAGTCGCAACATCAGGGTTGCACGAATTGTACGATGGGATTGGAATTTGAAGCKCTCGWCGGGAAAGCGACAGCACTGCGGTGCTACGAAATGTGATCATAACGACATCGCCAGAACATGGGAAGATTGATACTCAGCATCAATACACATGCAGTCGAAAGATGAATGGATACTATGGAGAAACCACAGGGTCCGGGCCGAGTCGTTGGCCGGCGGCCTGTTCAGCTCCAGCTTTAACTCCATCTCCGCTCTCCAGCTCTGCTCGTCGTCGACTCATGATAACGCATACAACTCGAAATGCAGACCAGCGAAGACCTCCTCGTCTGCGTAGCTTGCGGAACGCAATTTGATGTCCCCTCTGACAAGCCATTGGAAGCGTGCCGAATTTGTGACGTGAGTAGTCCTTGAGCAATCTCCAAAGCCGTATCTGAACGACGAGCCGATGTAGGACCCACGTCAATTCGTCCCAGCAAGCGGCCAAGCATGGACAAGTCTAAAAGACCTACGAAACAAGCACCGCAACAAATTCCAGCAAGATGAAGTTGAGAAACGAATGTGGTCCATCACGACGGAGCCCAAATTCGCCATTGGACAGCGATGTATCTTACTCCAGACACCTGCGGGGAATGTCCTTTGGGATTGTATCACGTATCTTGATGAGGAGACTGTGGAGTTTATTCAGTCGAAAGGTGGACTCAAAGCGATTGTTATCAGCCATCYGCATTATTATACCACGCATTTGGATTGGGCGAGGATATTTGGTTGTCCGGTTTATTTCTCTGTGGAGGATGAGGAGTGGGTGTCGAGGCGTGATGATGTGGGTGCGAGGAAGCTGATTAGAGATGGGACGGAGGAGATTGTGGAGGGTGTGAAGGCCATTAAGGTGAGTTGTGAGGATTATTTAGATATACTATTGGTGTTTAATGATGAGGGAATTGTGCAGGTTGGGGGACACTTTCCAGGCAGTTTGGTACTGCTATGGGAGAAGAAGCTATTCATTGCTGATTCCCTCGTTACTGCTCCAGTGAGTGATCAAGTCTGTACAGAAGGACATGATGAAAGAGCTAACTTCTCAACAGTCGGCATACTACAATGTTGCAAGGCACCCAGGCACAACTTCCTACTCTTTCATGTGGTCCATACCCAACATGATTCCCTTGCCGCCTTCGGAAATGATCAAGATGTGGCAAGCAATGCGTCCCTTTGAGTTTGAAAGCACACACGGAGCCTTTACGGGTACTGAAGTGCGTGACAAGGACGTCAAAGCGCGAGTACTGAAGAGTTTCAGAATTCAAGCCAGAGGCGAAGGATGGGAAGATCATCCCATTATGCAGGAGTTTATCTAGAGATGGTAGTATACAAAACCGCGATGATGTCGCTCGGGGAACAATGCAATGCGCTGGTACTACATGTAGCCAAAACGACGACAAAGTGAAGACTACCTTACGCCATTTTTCTCCTCCGAAGCATCACCTCTTCGTTCCTTCGAAACTCCTCTCTACTTCTCTCAACAGCACGATCGAGACTGGCTTGAATTCTCCCTGCAATTTCTTCCACAGGCGTCTCCATACCCACGAGTCCAATGAATTTGCCCACTTTCCTCCTCTTGATCCTGATACGCTCTTTGTCGCTCAGTCCACGATACGCATTCGTACTCTCGCCATTTTGAGAAGGTAGAACTGGAGTCTGCAAGTCCTCGACAGTWTTCATCAAATCTTCCAACCAGATGCTCTCTTCCTGGCTTAGTTTTCTGCTGTGGCGAGATGGAGGAGGAGTGGGGAGATTCTCGGGTTTGGCGAGGTGTTCTTTGTCCCAGTTCATGGTTGCTGGGTAGTGGTATGTCCATTGCCCGGGTGTGCTTTGATGGTAGTAGTGTGCGATGCTGTCGAGTTCGTCCTCGGTGAGGAGGTGGAAGGCCATGAGAGTTTTGGGGAAGGCTGGATGAGGTGGGCCTGAGGGGAGAGGAACGAGAGGTGCGAGACGCAATTGTAGTGTTGCGATCTTCTTTGCGAGGGCCGAGTCTTGACGCGTCGAGGGTGCCATGATAGATGCTTGGAAGGTGGTGAGGTGGGATGTTTGTTCTGGTTCTAGAGACTTCCTGCGTCCTGCGTAGGGTTGTAAGAGTGGTGATGGGAGAGATGGATGGAGGCGACTTTCACGAGGTTTGCTGCCTTGATAAGGACTGTTCTTTGTCGCTGTCTTGAACGAAATGAGACAGACCTATAGAAATGTCTTCGAAATGCTGCGATTGTGGACAAAGCGAGTGAAATGGGCAGCATCGCCGGAGGATGGTGGCTTTGTTTGCATCGAGCCTATCTTCATTGTCTGCGGGAGAGTGTATCAAACTCGAAAGGCATGCGCGGGAAGTGTCCCATATCGGCTGGGGCAGTCATTACCACTGCTCTCCCGGGCGAGACCTTGTCTGAGGCGCCAAAGGAGTACGACGAGGTGGTATCGCGGAGATGGAAAAGAGCATCTACGTATCTACTACACTGTCTAGCAAGACGTGTCCCGAGAGACAACTTCGTGCTCACCTTTACCATACCACATCCGCGGGCTTTTCCTCTGCACCACCGTGTTGCATTCCTAGACCTCTCTTACTCCGGCTTCTACCGGATCATGTTCACGCGCCAGTGCGGCAGCGGTCAAGTTGACTGCATGCGCGCCGTCTCTTTCGCTCGTGTGTTCGTGTTCGTATATTCGTCGAGGAAGGATGCGGCTTCGTATAGTAAGCATCAGAGCCTGCAATGCGTTGTCGCTGGATCGAGGTCGGTAAGCGGCGCGGTCTCAGAGGAGGACAGCTCTCACGGCGACAGGTAGCAGAACGACGCAGGAGCGCGGTCCTCAAAATGGAAACCGTCGCCCGCGACGCGTTGACGCGTGCAAGCAAGCAAGCAGTCGCGGCCGGCGTATACAGAGCGACGATGGTAGTTCGGCGAGCAGGGCTGGCGGCAGTAGTAGCTCGCTATGCTGATGGGTGGAGTAGACATTCTTCTTCAAACGCTGGTGCGAGACCAACGTACTGATGAAAAGTGTGCGTTGCACGGTGACCATCAAAAATTGCGCCAAAGGCGGCCCCGAAGGACAACCATGGACACCCGCCGCCCCGCTGTGCAATGGAGGGAAGGTGACCAGAGAAAATCGATTCATGTGCTGACTTTCTCTCGACAAGGTCTGTGAAATTGTTAGCCAAAGTGAAAACTTGAGAGCGGATTGGGAGAGGACGGACAAGTATAAAGAGGAAGAGAAGTGGATGCGAAAAAAGGCGGCTTCTTATAGACGCCGTACACCGTGATACAGCCCGCGCGTCCAGTATGAGATATTCGCGGTGACGGCAAGGGAGTGGACCGGCGGAACCGGCGGAAGGCGCGTGCGGCGTGGCATGTGCGAGAAAGGAGTTGGCCTTGGCAAAGCTGGGATTCACTCATCCCGCGCTAGCATCACGTGATTTGCCAAGATTCGCCGAAATCGGAAGTTCCACAATCATCGACGTATATCACAAAATCGCCTATGCGCATGTGCAGTACCACCATCGCTGAGCGAGTAATAAGCAACCCTCGATATTCCGACATCTCTCAAGCCTCACGCGCGAGAGCTTCAAGCGTGCTGTAAACTTGCGCACAGTGAGGTCGTCTCGCTTTCGCTATTGTGTGACTTGAGCAAATACACGACTCCAAGAATWATGTGAACCTATCATGAGGTGGCCGCAATTGCAATGCCCGGTCCAGAACAGCACGCAGTCTATCGCTGGCAGCATTTCTAGCGGACTCTCGAGTCCGCATCATTCTCATTCAATCCCACCGCTTGAAACTACCTCTTGGAGAGTGTATTCCTCGTCTCCCCGGACCCTGCATCTATGTACGACTGTTTCTCATCGAACCGTCTTGCAACCTCGAGGCAACTCCGACCGAAGTGGGGCAGACGTGCTGACTGTACACTTTGAAACGCGCCTCGCGTCGTTCCCTCTCCTCCCAACGCGTCCGCGATCAATCAATCCCTGATCCCCAAATCCATTTCCCACATTTTCTTCCAACTCAATCGAAATGGCCGACCAAACTTCAACACCAGCACCCGATCACGAGATCCCCAGCTTGCCCGCATCACCTCTCCCCAAGCGAACAAAGTACACGGAGCCATCAAACCTCTCMGTAGCTTGTACGTAGCACCACTTCTTCATCAACCTATCCATCTAACACAATCTCAATCTCAGCAATCCTCAACGACCAAGCTCCAACTCCGACCCCAGACATGCCTTCTACAAACCTACCCACTCTCCCTCCCGTATCATTCGAGCCTCCGCCTCCAGCTCTTCAAGTCAAGCTCCTCTCTTCCACAGCACAACCTCCCACTCGTGGATCAGCTTTTGCTGCTGGCTACGACCTCTACGCTTCCAAAGCATCCACCATCCCAGCGCGGGGTAAAGTGCTTGTGGATACAGACATCAGCATTGCGGTTCCAGCAGGCACATACGGAAGAGTCGCACCGAGGAGTGGACTGGCGAGCAAGCACTCAATAGACGTGGGAGCTGGAGTGATTGATGCAGACTATCGAGGGCCGCTCAAGGTGCTGCTGTTCAACTTTGGAGATGCAGATTTCGAGGTTGCGGTGGGAGAGAGGGTTGCGCAGTTGATTGTTGAAAGGGTGAGTGTATTTGGGAGAGTATCAATGGCATCTTACTAATGATTAATGTGACAGATCTACACGCCGGAGGTAGTGGTTGTGCAGGATTTGGAGGAGAGTGTTAGAGGTGCTGGAGGATTTGGAAGTACGGGTGGCTTTGGAGGTACATTGCCGGGCATGCAGAGTGGGATGCCGGGTGTTTGAGAAGGAGGGGAGATGGCAGCCGCAAAAGGCAGTAGAGGACGACCGCACAGCGTTTACAATCTCATAAACGCTTGTGAGTTATGGATATGATTGAATGAAGAACGCGCATCACTGCTCTGCACTGCAATGTCTTTGGATTGTTCCTGTCGCTGCGTGCTAACGCTTGTTTACTCCAACTCTAGTTTCGTTGTGCGTACATTTTTGGATCTGAATCCATTTCCACTGACAGCTATCGTAGGACGATGGAGTTCCTACTTTGATCGTAAGACTGAGCTGGGATCCGTTCATGATTCTGATCCTTTGATCGCGACCCACGACTCGGATCTTTCCGAGGAACATCCGCTAGCGTCGAATGTAGAACATCCACCCACCGCAATGCTTTCACCTTGACCTGCCTTTCAGATCCCAAGCCCATCAACATGTTCTCCAACCGCGCCGTCACGGCGCTGCGGACTTCCTCTCGGCAATGCACCCGCCAAATCCACTGTTCAGTCCGCCAATGCGCAGAAGAGACCCCCAGACGCAATCGAAAGGAGCGCTCGACACTCATCTCCAATGAAGTCTCCAAACTCCGACAAGGCCCACCTCCATCCGCATCCCAGTCTCAAGCACCCACCGTATCTGCAGGCTTCCTAGATACTCCTCCATCTCCATCATCTTCCGGACGAATGGGTCAGAATGCGCCACCAGAACGAGAGGGCATCGCAGCACAGGGAATTGCCCGGCCTTCAACCATGACAGAACCGAGTGAGGGCGGTGTTGATGTACTATCAGCAAGCGCACCGGGGAGAGGGGGTGTAGCTGTCATGCCGCGACGATCAAATCTGCCCAAAGCTGCTGGGAGGGCGTATTCGCCGGTGGGCTTTGACAAGAAGTCACTGTTGAGGAGTGGTGAGGGTACGGCAACGATTGCGGGAGGTAATTTTGAAGGTGTGGTCGAGGATCGATTTCATCATGCCATCACTCCGGGGAGGAGAGCGGGCGTGACTGTGTCAATGGACCAGCAGGCCCAGAAGCTTAGGCAAGGGCAGGTCGCGAGGGCTACTCGGCAGCCTGATGGGAAGAGAGGCRCGGGAAACAAGGTGCTGCCTGAAGAGGTGAGGAATGCGATTGTTGAGAAGATGGTGAAGGGGACTTTCAACCAGAAGGCGCTGGCGTCTGGGCCGGTGGACAACCCTCATCCGGTGGCAGAGGTCAGGAAGAGGCTGTTATTGAACGGAACATATCTCAGATCAGATGCGAGCAAGTTGGCAAATAAGGTGGAGGCGTTTTTGACCAAGGAGCAGTGGAATAAGGTGCAACTTGCCGGCGGAAGATGATCGGATTGTGGGAGAGGAGTCCGCTGTACTATATGGGGAGGATGCGACTTGTACAAACAGGTGGATCATAGCGAGTAGCGATGTACAGTGATACGCTTGAGAGGCGGGATACTGCCCATGATGCTCTGCTGGGACAGCTCTGCGCCCAGTCTGTCCGGCAGACATCCAGAGTCGACAGAGTTGGACTCGGCCCGACCAACGTCTCCAAAGAATAAAAGAATGAGAGGGTCATTTTTACGAATCTATCTGGAGAAACAGCCGGCAGATCTAACATCTCAGCTCTTCCCTGCGTCAACTAATCTCCCCACCATTTCCCTCCTTCGCGAAACRCTCCTCATCAGCATTTTACTCCCCTTCTTCCTCATATCCCTCACCAGAATCTCTCGCAGCCTGACAATTTTCCTTCTCTGGCGGAAACAACTCACCTCTTCCATCCTTACCATGCCTCTCTCTAAGCAGGACCTGCGAATGCGTAGAAGAAAAAACACCAGAGCTACTGCGTATACTACCTCCCCACGTTTTCTTCAAACGTCACGATACATTTCAAAAACACATCAACCGCTAATCAACATTTACTTCATGTCTGAGTACTGCACCAATGATATTAACAAGGCAGCTTTGAGCATAATTCGGAGAGATGTAGTGATGGATCATGTAGCGTGTAACGATTTGCAAGCATGGCATTTTGAGAATGAGTCTGGCATGGATGGGTCTCCTGTCGAGATGTTGTTTAGAAAGCAGAGCGTCATTCAACCGGCTACTTGCTCAGCCGTGGAAAGAGTATACAACCACCAGGTACTCGGTAGCAGATGGTTGGCGAGGATGAGGGAACAATTGAGGTGTTGATCTCATATGCGGTCTTTGTGGTGGTTGCAAGATAAATTTCAGACGTGGAAGTTGTGTTGGTATGATCTTAATCGACCGAGGAGGCAACTGTGTTGAAGGCCTGATGTGCTGTCGAGTCTGGAATGACATCCTGCGGATCTGTATATAGATCCTTTAGAGTTTGTTTGTACATCCTTTTATCAGGCTTCCAGCAGTATTCTAGACCACCTCAAATGTAGAAATTCTTGCGAGTGCCTGGAAATGTGCCGCTTGATTACGAGGTGGCTTCTGAGAAGCATGATGTATTCGTTCGAGCCTTCAAAAAGGCATGGTACAGGTATATACATACAGCTGCATATCGATCCGCAGCAGTAACTCGACACGCCAAAAACAGTCGCCCTCATCGCCATCATGCAACAAACCGCAAGCCTCAGCCTCCTCACTCTCCTATCCGCCCTCTCAACGACCCAAGCAGTTCCCACGACTTCCTGTCCCCCAAGTCAGTTCTTCGTCTCTCCTCCTCACCTCCCACACTCACGCAACTACAGTCCACATTTTCGGCGCACGTGAAACGACGGCGAAACCGGGCTTTGGTCTCGCAGGCGCTTTCATCACGGATATAATCGACGCCTTCCCAGACGCTACGACCGAAGCAATCTCCTATCCAGCGAATGGAAACGCAGGCTTGACGGATTCGACGTATAAAACTTCTGTACGGTATGGAGTTGGGAATGCCACGCAGCAGATCAAGGCGTTTGCGGGAAAGTGTCCTGATGCTATGATTGTGTTGGTTGGGTATTCGCAAGGGTGAGTCGAGCCATTCCGTTCCTGGGTGAGAGGGAAAGAGGTTGAACGTGTATGCTGATATTCGTTTGTTTTGCAGATCGAAAGTCTTCGACGATGCACTTTGCGGCGGCGGAGATCCGAATATGGGTATCTCGAGTACAGACCCCACGATTGCGCAGTATAACATTCGCGCAGTGTTGTTGCCTGCTGATGATCGGTTCACGCCTGGTGAGCCGTATCATGTTGGCAACGCCACGCATGGAGGTGTACGCAGAATTTCTCGATGATGGATTGTTGAATTGAAGTACTGATGAGTGTGTTAGTTCGATGCGAGACCCTCTGATCAGATTCATTGCGGGAGCTTTGACGATCAAATCCAGCTGTATTGCGATGCTGAGGATAAGTATTGTTCGAATGGATCGAGCTTGAAGACTCATAATGGATATCATGGAGTGTATGGAGTGCAGGCTTTGGAATTCGTCAAGGGGAAGTTGAAAGGTTGACTTATCTACGCGTAGTGTCGAGGCGATACCACTGCGTGAATGGTTTCTGTCATCATCCCGCAGCGGATTGTATACTGCAACAAGAGTGTAGTTCGTCATTGTATATCGCTAATGTTAGAGAACAGTTCGAGTGATAATTATGACTCTTAGCTCTCATTTCGTGCCTAATCCCAGTCGCCACTGAGTACAGCTGAACGGTGGTAGAATGATGAGTGAACGTCTCAATTTTAAGGCGGCTTGGGAGTACTTACTTGGTTCGCCCTTGTTATAAGCTTCCATCAAGCCATCAATTGTCCAAGGCTTATACACCATTCCAGGAGGAGTATTAGTATTTGTGAACGGTGTCCCAGATTTGACATGTTCCAAAGCCGCCTCATAGTTCTGCAGCGCGTACTTCTCCGGATCATGCTGGGTAATCCAGGCTCCAAAATTCACAAAAGGCGTATCACTCTTCTCAGCGCCTTTGGTCTTGTTTAGGTCTCGTTGGTCACGATTCTTGACCCCGAAAGCTTGCAGGCACGATACTCGCTCGAAGCGCAGCAAGCTGTGCACTTTCGTGGCGTCCGGAATGTTCGATTTCCCGGCTTTGGATAAGCATGCTGCAAGACTCAACGCATCTTCTATCGCCTGTGTGCCACCATTGCCTGAGGATGGCAGGAAAGTGTGTGCTGCATCACCGATTTGCACGACAAAGCCGCCCGGAGAGCTTGATACTGGTTGTGGATCTCGCCACATTAGCYTCCAATCAATAAGCTGGTTCGGAGGCGTTGCTTTGATGACTCGGTTGCCAACTTCTGGAAAGCCCTCTAGAGTTGATGTGTACCTGGGTGATGATTAGCAGACTTTCGGTTACCAGGCAGGTTGGTTCGACGAACTTGATAGCGTCTTCTGGGTCGGCTTTACTTCCCCATGACTCTGCTGCACTGCCGTCGTCGGGATGCGTGATTGACCAATTCATCTCAGCCTCGTTCCTCCAGAAGAAGACTTGCATCCCCGGGGAGACCCACATCTCTATGACGCTATAGCCGTCTTCACGCATCTTGAACCGCTCTGCAATCACAGGATCTGCGAGCGCCAGCTCCACAGGGTACGCAACACGAAATACAGCATCCCCGCTGCTGCGGGCAGGTACYGGTTCGCCAGCGACGAGAGACCAAGAGTTTCCCCTGACGCCGTCTGCAGCTACCACGAGATCTGCCTCATACCTGGAACCGTCCTGAACAATAACTCCCGCCTGCGACTTTGCTGTATCTTCAAAGTATTTGGTCACTTGCATGTTATACTCAACTTCGAGACCAAGCTGTGCGAGTTGCTCGTGCATCATGGCATGGAATCTTGGCCGCGAATGCCGTTGCATGTTCATCCGAGTTTCCGAGCTCACTGATTCGGACATCAAGTTTGTGAGGGGAACAGGTTCCTTGAGTCGCTCCCCGCGTTGGTTGTGAACAGCCAACATGGTGTGGAATTGGATGTCCCTAGCCTTTTGGTACATGAATGGGTAGTTCTTGAAGGAATTGATGCTAGAATTGATCTGTTAGCCATCGACATGGAAGACGGAGGGTATAAGATCCTTACGCGCTGGGTCCTATCTGGAATGAATCGCCTAAAAGGCATGATGTGAGCTTTGTCACCGAACAACATTTGTCAATCTTTCACCAACCAACAGTAGAGAGTCCCTTTGCTCGTTCCAGGATTCGCACGTCACAACCATGCCGCCAGCACTCCAGCGCGGTCATTAGGCCTCCAATTCCGGCACCCACAATCAGCACAGATATGCCGCATGGTGGACTTCTTTCAACGGTGGAAGACATGTTGATGGTGCTTCTTGGAAATAACTGAAAGATGTCTCAAGGGGAAGGATTGGGGGAGACAGCAAGATCGCCTTGCTATATATATCTCTCTCACTCACATGCCACCTGATTTGACCGCAGGGCTGACCATAGAAGGATTTCGGAGTTGGATGCAATGCATCGCGCTGCATGCAGAGCTGATTCGCTGATCGCGGACATTTTCGCCTTTAAATCCGTCTCGACACCGCCTTCGCTCTTCGCCCTTCGCCCTGGACGGCGATGTCAGTTCCCACGCGGTAACTTATGGGAGCGAGTGTCCGAGGACACGATGTTCCTATGTGATTGTGATGCTTCCTCACCGGAGATAGCACATCACCCTTTACCTTACCGCCGGCCGTGTCCGGCACAGTACGGGCGAGTTAACACGAAGATCCTGGTCTATCATATCAGATCATCATGATTCCTCTCCATTCGCCTGATTCCAGGTATCGTGGACGTGATGTTCGAGGCCATCTGCGCTTGAGCTTGAGACGGAATGTGAGCACGAGCATGCTCATTAGTGACGCCAGACCGTTGACGGCCGACAATCATGTCTTTTCGCAACCCTGGCCAGCCACATGAGCTTACGAAAAGCGAGTGCAGTCAGAAGTTTGTGGATCCTGCTGTTTCCTCCACTGATCGTCGCAATCTCTTCAAATATTGATGAAAAGTCCAATAGATGCAAGACATGGCGATCGTCGGTCGATGAGAACCTTCAGTTTGGTGGACCCGTCATCTCGGAAGGGGCCGTGCAGCGCGAAAACTGAGCGTACCTGAAGGCCCGATCCAGAACATCACCCTCGCATCAACAAAGCCGAGCGTAAAATGAACAAATACGAYAACAACGGCCCGCCGTATGGCGGAGAGCAGCAGTACGGTGGTGGAGAATCGCAAGGATACTACAATGGAGGCCAGCAGGCACCCCCACAGCAGCCCTACCAGCAGTATCAACAGCCCGGATACGACCAACAACAACAAACACAACAAATGCCACCGCCGCCTTCCTACGGTCAGCAAAACCACGGTGATGGCAAGCCGACTTTCGATCAGACCTTCAAGGTAGAGCGCCCCAAGTGGAATGATCTTTGGGCTGGTATTTTGTTCATTCTTGTGTCTCTCGGATTCGTCGCAATCAGCGGTTACTGCTTGTACTCCTACTCCCAAACCAGCGGCACCACCAATGGCGGCTTCAATGGCTCCAACAACGACTTTGGCTTGAACGGCAACACTCTGGTGCTTTTCGCATTCGTTTTGGTCGCGTCGCTGGTCTTGGGCTACGGCTATATCTCTATGGCGCGGTTGTTTACCAAGCAGTTCATCTGGATCAGCGGGATCATCAACATCCTCATGACTTTGGGGACGGCCATTTACTACTTCTATCGCCATGCATACGCGGGTGGTGTGATCTTCCTCCTTTTCACCGTATTTTCGGTCATCTGCTTCATCTCCTGGATCAAGCGCATTCCCTTTTCGGTTCTGATTTTCCAGACGGTGGTCGACGCCTCCAGATCATATGGCCACGTCTATCTGGTGTCCTTCCTGGGAGGCCTCATCGCAGCGGCTTTCGGTGCTTGGTTCGCCGCGACAATGGTCGCCGTGTACGTCCGCTTCCAGCCTGGTAACAACCCCTCCTGCAGCACGACTGCTGGAGCATCGGGAGACTGCAGCAAGGCTACCGTAATTGGACTGATGGTCTACATCACCTTTGCCGGTTACTGGATCACCGAGTGGCTCAAGAACACGATCCACACGACCATCTCCGGAGTCTATGGTGCCTGGTACTTTGGTCCACGCAACCCGTCTACGGGTGCCACTCGTGGAGCAGCAAGACGCGCCCTCACATACAGTTTCGGCTCGATCTCTCTTGGAAGTTTGTTGGTCGCCATCCTCGATATGCTCCGCCTTGCCTGCTCTGTCGCTCGCAACCAGAACGGAGGAACCGGCAACTTCATGGCGGACTGTGCATTCTGTATCTTGCAGTGTATCCTTGGACTCGTGCAGTGGGCGTTGGAATTCGTCAATCGATACGCTTTCTCATACATCGCACTCTACGGAAAGAAGTATGCTGTATCCCAAAYTCGAAACGGGTGTACCTTATACTGACATATTCCAGCTACTTTGCCTCCGCCAAGGAGACCTGGAGAATGATCAAGGACAGAGGAATCGATGCTCTCATTAACGGCATGTCATTTCTTACCCCACAACCCATTGCACCAACTAATTATCTCGCAGAGTGCCTAGTTGGCCCAGTTCTGTCCCTTGGATGCATGTTTGTTGCTGTATCTTGCGCGCTGGTCGCCTATATTTACCTCGACGTTACGGACCCAGCCTACAACGAAGGTGGAGCTTTCACCGCCGTCATCGTCATCTACAGCTTTCTCATCGGACTGCAAATCGCCAGCTGCTTCGTTGTACCAATAAATTCCGGTGTGGACACGCTGTTCATGGCAGCGGCATGGGACCCACAGGTGCTGATGCAGGAGCATGGAGATTTGTACCACAGAATGGTCCAAGTCTACGTAAGTTTCATCCTGGTAGCACTTATGCAGCCTCGTCCCGAATGTCTTGCAGCAAAAATGACAGGGGTRTTTGGCGGCTGCTATTCAGATGTGCTAACAAGTCACTTTCTTCGCAGCCACACGTCCAGCAGGCAATACACGCTTGATTCCGTGCTATACTACGACGACGATCCGCCAATTAATGTAATACATAATACACGCAGAGGGAACAGCAGTCCCATGGTACACCCGCAGCAAACGAATGGAAAAGCGATTCGATGTGCAGAGCTTTCTTTGAGGAACGTGACACCAAGTGTGAGCAATATCGGGGCTAACGTTCATGCTGATGATGAAGCCGTCTTGATGCATGCATACCTTACTGTAGGTGAGGCCTTGCGGCCGGCGGTATGCTGCTTGTTTGAGTCTCTCCGATTGGTTCCGGGAAGTTGGGCACCTGCAGCCCCCTGCAGTGCTATACACGTTGTTGTCGCGATCGGAGAGCTGCGAATGCAGTGCGCTCTCGAGGTCTGAAAAAGTGCTTCGACAGCGGGTTGGACTGACAGATTTGACTGCGGCACAGAGTAACTTGTCGAATTAACGCAGCACGATACTAAGACGCATACTGTCATGTCATGTATAGCGATATTGCTGTATCGGAGTCTGAAGCAATCTTGCTTTGCACGAGCGTCCCGCGCCGAGGAAAGTGGGGTGCTGCGGGGAAAGAGCTGCATCGACTGCTGCATAGGTCATCCTTGGTAGGAAGTCGCAACTCTGGCCAGGTCTGGAAACGCATGTGCCCTTTCATCTCTTGATTTCTATCTTCTACTTCCTCTTATCCACCACCAAGAGCACTTCCGAGCGCCGCGTCCGCATCATAGTCCTGCAGCACTTTGGGTAGGTTCCGCAAGCTGACAGCCTGTCTGTTGCAAAACATACCGATAGTGGGGACGTCATACTAAGAGCTTGTTGTAGAATCTTCTACGACCAACGACGACATACGATCCGTTTCTGAACGACCACATAGGTATGCAGGTTTGCACAACGATCCACAGGACGTCTTCGGTCAACGTCACGCTGCATCATTTCTTGGAAACCAGCTTTTGAACAACTTTATTCACTCCAGCTAACCACTTCCTCCACAGCTCATCCTCTCCAACGCAACATCCACATTCACGCTTCCAACATGGGTCTCAAGGGCGTTCATTTCGGTGGAGGCAACATCGGTCGCGGTTTCGTGGCCGAGTTCCTCCACAACTCCGGTTTCGAAGTGGTGTTCGTCGATGTCATGGACAGCATTATCGAGTCTCTCCAGAAGAATCCCAGCTACGAAGTGACCGAGATTGGGCCTGACGGAGAGTCCAAATTCACAATCGACAACTACCGCGCAATCAACTCCAAGCACGAACTTCAGAAAGTCATCGACGAGATTGCTACTGCAGACGTTGTGACTTGTGCTGTTGGTCCCAATATCCTCAAATTCATCGCCGAGCCAATCGCCAAGGGTATTGACGCYCGCAAGGCCTCCTCTCCTCTTGCAGTCATTGCTTGTGAAAACGCAATTGGAGCAACCGACACTCTTCGCGGCTTCATCGAGGAGAAGCTTTCCGAAGACTCCAAGAAGAGCATTGCCGACAAGGCCGCATTCGCGAACTCTGCCATCGATCGCATTGTACCGATTCAAGATGAAGGCGCAGGCCTCAACGTCAAGATCGAGAAGTTTTATGAGTGGTGCGTAGAGGAGAAGCCCTTCAACGGTRATCCACCAAAGATCAAGGGTGTACACTACGTCGACGACCTCCAGCCGTACATTGAGCRCAAACTTTTCACCGTCAACACTGGCCACGCCACAGCCGCTTACTTTGGCCACCAACACAAGAAGCAATACATCCACGAAGTCCTCCAAGACAAGAAGCTCCACGATATCGTGCAGGAGACTCTCAAGGAGACCGCCCACCTTATCACCACCAAGCATATCCACATCTCCAAGGCAGACCAAGAAGACTACGTCCAGAAGATCGTCACCCGCATCAGCAACCCCGTGTTGAAAGACAACGTGGAGCGTGTCGGTCGCGCCCCCCTCCGCAAACTCTCTCGCAAGGAGCGTTTCATCGGACCCGCCGCTCATCTTGCTGAGCAAGGCGACAAAGTCGACTACTTGCTGGGAGGGATCGAGGCTTGTCTCCGCTTCCAGAATGTAGAGGGTGATGAGGAGTCTGTGGAGTTGGCGAAGAAACTCAAGGAGATGGATTCCAAGGCTGCAACGAAGGATATCACAGGTCTCGAGGAGAGCCACCCGCTTTTCGACAAGGTCGAGGCTGTGGTGAAGAAGGTCCAGGCAGATTCCAAGGTGCGTGGTGGTCCTTCTCCTAGTCTGTAATTGTTGAGTAGCCGGCTGATCTTTTGGTTCGGTTTAGTGATTAAGAGTGTATGCATATGCATGAGTGCATAGATGGACGATTGCATGGAAAGAACCTCGTTGGATGAGAGGACGAGGACAAGCTTTTCGAACGCATAGCGACGAAATCATGAAATGAAAAGAAAAGAAAAGAACTTTTTGAATACATTGATGCTTTCTATACCGGAAGAGGAACTGTCCCCGTGCTAAGTGATCGATGCCTGATTCATACTTGCATGTTGTACCTACCATGTTATGGAGATACACATACCCAAATCCTGCTACAAGTTAGGTCCGTCTAGAATCGAAAGAAGCATTAACAAGCCGCATCCTTATCCAAATATCGCGTGGAGTTGAGTCTTGGAAATCTCTATATCGACGCCGCTTCGTCCAAGACGACTTACCCCAACCCTAACCCTAGTCTAAACACCAACGCAACACGAGCCTAGCATCTGATACTTGGATAGACTGAAACCGGACACGAAGCAATCCGATATCTCCATCGCATCATCATCATCATAATCATGATTATTATCAAAGTAATTACATGAAGTTGTGAGCTAGATACCATCAACTCCAGAATAATAAAGAGCCCAGCTTTTTTTCGTTCGCTTCCGAAACTCCTCGCAAAGAAACAGCAAAGATAGAACAACCCATCCATCCGCCATAAAACTACCTCCCTGCCTCCTCATCTCTCATCTTCTCCCCCTCACTCCCCAAAACGGGACTGCCTCCTCCCTTCGAGCTCCTCTTCCCGCTCTTCTTCTCCGCCCTTTCCCTCACCCTAGCCTCAGCATTCTCCTTCTCAGCCTCCAATCCCGTCTTAGTCTCCTCATGCTCTCTAGTCAGTTTCTTGCCGGCGATTCCAAACATGACAATAAATCCCAACACCGCAAAGCACGTGTAAAGAATCCACATGGGCTGWAAGGATTTCGCAAAAGCCTCCCTCACCACGCCCTTGGCAGGTTGCGGTAATTGATTGATGAATTCCGTGCTGGCTCCTGCGTTGCCTCCTGTGACGCGACCCGCGGTTTCGGGGCCAATAGCGGAGGTGATTGTGGAGGTCTTCTTGTTCATTTGGTTTTGATACACAACCTCTCCAATCACCACCGAGATGGCGGTTGAGAGTTGACGGATGAAACCCAAAGTCGCCGTTGCGGTTCCGATATCTCTTGGCTTGATGTGTGCCTGCAACGCAATGATCGGAGCTTGAAATAATGGTCCAACTCCCATGCCAGCYACAGACTAGCAACATGTCAACACATCACTGCTCAAGATCTTGTCGATCGATGACTTACTTGGTAGATGATGATTTTGGCCCAGCCGGAATGCGCGCCCAGATTGATAAACAGCCCGAATCCGAGGACGAGCATGAAGAAGGCGAAGTAGATTGGTGGTCTGAACAGCCCGGTCTTCGCGATGAAGACTCCTGTGGCTAGGGAGCTGAACGCTAATGCTAGAGCGTGAGGAAGGAGGTAGACTCCTGAGAGTAGTGGAGTCGCTCCCAAAATTGCTTGAAAGTACAAGGGGAGGTAATAGGAAGCGGAGATGAAGACGAATCCGTGACAGAAGACTGTTGCCAAGGTGGCTTGGTTTGTGCGGGACGAGAAGAGAGCCAAGGGCATTATGGGATACTTTGCGAACCGCCATTCCCAGATTATGAAGAGGGAAAAGGTGAATGCGCCGAAGATAATGAGGCAGAGGACAAGAGTGGAGTCCCATGGAGCTGTGACGCCGCCGTATTGGAGACCGAAGAGGAACATGAGAGTTCCCCCAACGACGGTCAGAGAGCCGACCCAGTCAATTGCGCGAAGGCCGGACAGGATTGGGGTTCGGGGAGTTTTGATGTCGAGGAAGAAGAAGAGGATGAAGAAGGCGAGGCCATCGAGGGGCTAGACGACATGTTAGCTTGAGTAAAGGAGGAGGAGCAAGATGAATGTTGCTTACAAGGTTGATGTAGAAGCACCATCTCCAAGAGACGCCTTGAGTGAGAGCACCGCCGATGATGGGTCCCGTAGCAGAGGCTATAATCACACGTTAAAACCATATCCACATTCTCATTCCAGATCAACTCACCTATTGCCCAAACCCCTCCGATAATTCCGTAAAAAGCACCACGAATTCTCAGAGGAATGAGGTCTCCAATGACGATATTGACCAAGATAACTAGTCCACCTCCTCCAATTCCCTGTACGGCACGAGCAGCGATGAGCATGCCAATGCTATTCGCCAGAGCCGCGACGAGAGAGCCAATCAAGAAGATGACGTTTGCTAGTAGCAACATGGGCTTTCTGCCAAAGATGTCCGAGACCTTGCCCCTGCGATGAGTATCAGCCAATGCACTTTCATCGTGCTGTCYTGTATGTCTCTCACCATATTGGAATGGAAGCACTATTGGCCAGCAAAAATGCCGATCCAATCCTGTTCGAAATATATCAGCAATTYACCCTGAATCATGTCTTCTTGAAGATGTCCTACCAAGTATATCCTGCCGCAGAATTGAAATGCTGCGAAATCGTGGGCAGCGCAGTCGTAATGATGGTCACATCCAGCGCGGCCAAAAAGACGGCCATACACAGGGCAGCCATGATGACGGCCAATTTGCCTTTACTGCGACCCATGATCTTGCCATCTTGGTTGTTACTCTCCTCGTCTGTCGATGTGTGTTGTGCTGTCTTCTCTTCTGTGGTTTCTGGACTGGAGTCTCGTGGCGATGCTTCGTGGTTGTTGGCTAGGGTTTGCCCGGGTTCTTGCGCGTCTGGTTCGCGCGTTGATGAGGTCATTGTCGTAACGGTCGTCGGCGCACTTTTCTTTTCTTTTCCTTGATGAAATTGTTCTTGGGGAAGAGTGGACAGGACAGGACAGGACAAATCTAGAGGAAGAGATTCATACTAGTCAGATCTCAGTCCTTAGTACTTACCCCAGCATAGTTCTGTCAAGTCCGGCGGCCGAAGATCATGACGGCTCGAGACTCTCGTGGCTTGAAGAATGTGACAGCAACAAACCCGGTCATGGCTTAACTCCGATTGTCCGCTGTCCTCCTTGACTTCCCCTGTTTCCAAAGGCTTCCTCTCGGACCTCTCCCTAATAGACGAGGCTTGTCTATGCTTGGCGGTCGTGGAACGCCATTCATATCGCGTGCGACTGAACCGTCGCCTCTCCGATCAAGGGATAAGACTGTTGTCCCCTTCGATCGAGCAGATCGACACAAGGAAAACTTGCACGGAGATGACTGCGCAGGAATATGATTGGCGGCAGAAATGACGGGCGCATCTCGCCTATTGATGGCTTACGACATCACCCTTGGAGACTCACAACGCGAGCGAGGGCTCCGCGCCTTACAAATGTTCGACTCGCGTGATACTCTCCACACCGCCCGACAGCAGTGATGCCGGTTGGTAAAATGCTGTCGAAGGACTGTTCTGTTGCTGCTTAGGTGAGTCCGGATGGGCCGTGGTGGATGATGGGATAAGAGCAAGGCGGCGGTGTATGCTCTCTCTGAAATGTGAAGAGGATCAGTCTGTGGAGGGCATGCTTCGGGCATGGGTGACTTTTTTGAGATCAGTTCCCCGTCCAAAGCGATATCCTGTGCTGCGTGGAGCGCGTATGTGGTTCCGTACATGTAAGTTGTCACTTTCCTAGTCGACAATTCTTTCCTGCTCTTGCAGCAAGTAGGTGCGTCTGGCTTCTATCGTGGCTCTTATTTCTCTTGAAAGACCAAGAGACCTGAAGAAACATTCTCGCTCTCGAGCATCTCCGCAGTTACCATGCCGTTCAAGATTGCTCTGGGTCCATCAAAGGCGGCACCACCCAAGAGAGCACATCTCAACGTCTTAGATGTAGCTACGCGAGTAGAACAGGTTCTTCTAGAAGTCGATGCAACTCTTTCAACCCCCTAAGTTGTCCTGTTCATCTCCAGCATGGTATTCACAAAGATGGCCTCGTATTCCCATGCAAGAGTCACCCGCCCCAACCACGCGCACGCGAACYCGGTTCATCCCGCTAGCACAACAACAGCAACCTCACGACGACAAAACAAACAGGAACAGAAGGCTTCTCCCCGATAACCTAACACATACCAATCGAAATGTGCTTTCAAGGCTACGTCCACTGGCTCTGCGGCCACACGTCCCTCTTCGAGGAATCTTGCCCCGAAGCCCTCCTCCTCGACCTTCCCTTCCACCTCAAGCTCGCTTGTCCCGCGTACCAAATTATCTCCCGCTCCCAACAACAATACTGCGGAACAGGATCATTCTACTGCTCCCAAACACCCGACGGCATCAAACTCGACCACATCCACGGCGCGTTCAATMCCTGCCGCGAGTCCATCAAAGCGATCAAGTCGCAGATCTATGGGGAACAGGGACTGAGGAAATATGGACAAGCGATTGTGGATTCTCTTCTGAGGAATGGATGCAAGAAGGAAGATTGCCTGAAGGATGAGAGAGTTGAGCGCATCTACAAGGAAGTGGCGGGATTGAGAGGGGAGTTGGAGGGTTTGCAAATCAAGGAGAGAGAATTCGAGGCGTCAATCGAGAGGGCGAGGGTCTGGTTTGAGCATAAGGCTGGGCATGTGGGTCCGAATCCGAATGGATTGCCTCCGGGGTTGTATCCGCCTAGTTTGCAGGTGCAGCGGCCGACGAGACGATTGGCCGACCTCGGCGGTAACAGCGGAAGGGTGAGGGGAGTGAGCATGCCTGTGGCAGCATTCCAAGCTGGGATGATTCAGAATGGGTATCTCCAGGAAGCAGAGCAACCCAGTGAGCAGCGTTTGCCTGCAACCTCTTATGGATTCTTCCAGATGGGACAGTATCAAGTTGGATCTGATCAACTCGGGCTACAACAGACTGGACGACAACACCTTGGACCACATCAGCCTGAAGTGTATGACACGGGAAATAACACTCCCCTGTCCGTCTATCAATCCAAGCCCGCCCCCAAGAGACGCCAAAAGGAACCTTCAACAGATGAACCCTCTCCACCCATTCGCCGAAGCTCAAGAGTTCGCAAAAAGAGAGTTACATACGCGGAATACGAATCTGATTCCTTCTCTCGAACTCCTTCACCAGAGAAGTCTGATGCTGCGGATCCAAACTTTTCACCTTCGAAAGAGGCAGCAGCAGTAACAGCTGGAAGACCGCACATGGGACGGAGCAGTAGTCTTATGGAAAAGATTGGCGACTGGCAGAAACGTGAGATGAGTAAGACTTTGAGGGAACCTCTTGGACAAGGTTTGCAAGAATCCGTTGCCACTGGTCCCTTGGATAGCTCAGGACAGAAGCATATGAAGACCGAAACATGCTATGCAGATCTATCGCAACAGATCCGAGATTGTGCTGCCTCCTCCCCCTATCTCGACCCGATACCGAAGGCGACGAAGTGAAACACCAATCGTTGCGACGGAGATGCCGAGATTCCAGCGCAGAATTTCAGCGTCCGCGGAGGCCAAGGGTGGCAGGCGAATGGATACCATGCCGACCGTTCGATCCCTCCACCTGTCCACTCAGAGGCTAACCCCTGGAGCATGGACTATGCTTCTCTACCACAGAACTTCTGCGCGACTACGAATCTGGGACCACAGCTCCTAACAAAGAATACAAACTCCGAGCCGCAGAAACGTCGTCTGCCTGCTCTTTCACCAACCGCGACTGAGGTATATTCTCTGCCCAGCAAGCGCACGAAGTTCGCACACCTAGGGACAGCCAACTTCCCTGATTTGGTGGGAAATCTTGTCCCTCCAATTCCGGCGCTCACACCCGTGAGGCGATCTCTTCGAGTAAACAAGATAGAGGAAGACAAGGAAGAAGTGTCGGCATTGAAGGAAGATTCAGGTGTTGAAACGGAGACCAATTCTGATTTATCGGAAATCGATTGGGATGTACTTGAGGAGGGTATCTTGGCGGATTGAAACTTGCCTCTTGGTGCATGCTGGGATGATGCCAAGACTGCGAGTGAGGACGAGAGATGTGTGTGACGGTGTTTGCATGCGTCTTGATGGAAGTTGAGGTGGTGCTCGTGTTTAGCATGCATGATGAGATGAAGGGAACTCGACGAGACCATGATGAGAAGCAAGCAGTAATGATGAGAAGTCAACGAAGAGAGGCATACGATTGTTGAAATTGGGAAGAATATCCTGGTTTCGAACTTGTGTAATGTTCTGTAGTCAATTGTGTACAAGACAGCAGAGTCCAGCCTGTCCATCTCATCTCGATATATATCTCTCTGATCCATATGGTATGCCTCTTGAGTACCACTCTTCCCCAACCCATTCCCTTCCAGCGCCTCGCTAAATCTCACAAAAAGCATATATCTGTCCTGTTCATGCCACCCTATCCCGAAGCTCGAAGCGAAAATGACAAAAGAAAATCAACATCACAAACTCGTCCTCATCCCACCCTTCTCCCCTTGCTTGCCCTTCAAACTAATCACACTCTCCAACTCTCTCAACAAAGACACACTGGCATCTCTCTTAGCCCTCACAGCAGCCTGTCGATCCCTCTCCTCTTGCATCTTCAATATCCTTTCTTCCCGAGGAATCTGCACTAGACTGCCCTTCCTTCGAACTCGTGGGAGGGCGACAGCTTCAAAGACCATTGTGATGTCCCCTTCGGTGTCTGAAGCGTAGCAGGAAGAAGGCGTYATGCTGCTTCGATTGGATTTTGTAGGGTTATCGCCATTGAGGACCCGGAGTGCGTCGTCAGGGAATCCACCTCCGCCTTCTGAGACGGCTGTAAGGCCGCCAAGKCTGGAGACGGGCGAGCGTAGACCACCACTGCTGGATGCCATGGAGATGCGACGCTCTTGTTTAGTGATGTTTGATTGAAGGGATTGTTTGCCTTCTTCCCAGGCTTGCATTAATTCTTTCAAATCAGTGCCGATGGACTCGTATTGTGCCATGAGGGAGGGTCCAAGATCTGTGAGGTCCTCTGTCTGTTCAATGTTCTTGGACGTTTCTTCGCGCAGGATCTGCATCTTGGCTTGAAGGCCGCGGATACCGGAAGACAGTGTGCTGATTTTCCGGACTTGACTGCGCATCTTCTCGCGGCTCGGGCTGTGCTGGTACCCGCCGGAGGGTTTAGGAGGTGTGAGGGGGATAGAGATGCTGTCCATCTCGCTAAGGACGACACGGATTCGTTCAGCGGAGGCGGCGATGGAGGTGCTGAGCTTGGTGATGATGGAATTTGCCGTGCGCCAGCGAGGGAAGTCAGGATGTCCACCATCGGCTTCCAGGGCCATGAAGGAGCAGAGAGTGACGCGGCGAAGGATGGCGGCGCGGTAGCTAAGGACACGCAACGACTTGAGGGATTCTGGGTCGTCGTCCACGATGGACGTAGCGGTGTCTTTGACCGAGGCCTCGCGGGCATCTAGCAGGCTGATGTCGTAGACGTCAAAGTATCTTTCGAGATCGTCTTCGGTGATGAGAGCGCGTAGAGAATCAGACGCAGCGATGTAGGCGGGAATGGTTTCGGCGTAGGCCTTGAAGAGGACGGAGCGGAGTTTGGCGCATCTCCGTGAAACCGAGTTGCCTTCAATCCGTGAGACGGGAGGAAGCGGTGTGCTAAGTCGGAAGCCTTTTGACACCAACTCGACTTCTTGAATAAAGGCAAGAGCAGAGGTGGAGGAGAGCTCAAAGGCCTGCCATGTTGCGGTGAGGGTGGAAGCTCCATCGACAGCCTGCTGGCGGAGAGAGCGAAGTCGTAGTCGTCGATTGTATCCATATCCGACAACAGCAATGGCAGTCAAGGCCATGAGGACCAGCCCGACGCGACCCTTACTCAGCACATTGGAGCGCTGGGTACGGAAGCGGTCAAGCATGAATGCTATAACCATCGCCACGACCGTCACACCCGCCGCGCCATAGACACTTGTGGGAACCTTTTGTGTCATGCCTGGAGTGTCCGATGCGCCATCAAGTCCCAGCTTGGCATGTCCCGACGCGACAGCCGGGTTGAGGGAGCCATGATCGAGATATTGTTCCAGGAGTTGTGATGCCACGATGATGTACCGGAAATGCTCCAGAAAGCGCTCATTGTCCGCCCGCCCTAGCCATGAGTTCACCGCCGACGACCAGGCGTTGTGGAAGCGAGTGAGTCTGCGAGAAGTGGGAGAGTCGGATGCCTCCTGAATCTTGGTCGGCAGACTGTTCTTCCACTTCTTGATCCGCGGCTGCCATGATGGCGGTGCGAAGGAGCGTTGTTGTCGGTCATCCACATCATATCGCTTGTCGTTGCTGCTGGCGGAGTCGGATTCGTAGGAGCCATGGCCTTCGAGGTAGGCGGCGAGCGGGTTGCCGTCAGGGTGAAAGGTCTCCATGCATCGCAGAGCGAAGGAGTTGAGTGGAGCGGAAGATGTCGAGCAGCTTTGAGGCATGCGACGGACTGGTAGTGGCAGTGGCGGCGTCGCTCCCTGTTCCGCGGCGACGTGAGAAGTCGAGGACGGCGGTTTGATCAGCTGTCGCTGTCGCTGCTTTCGCGTGATGTTCGCTTGCCCAGATGATCTGCGAAGCTGCATTTCCGAGAGGGTTAGCGTCAGATTCTACCGAGCGAGGTACTTTTAGGGCTTGCGTGGGGAAATATATATCGTCCGGACTCACCTCCATTTCCCTGGCAGTTTCGCAAAGATTGGATCAAGAGTTCGTCTCACAACCTGCGACATCAGATCCGTTCTTCCCTCAGATTATGGGCTGAAACGACATCCTGATCAGGCCATTCTGTATATAGCATCACCGACTGCGTGGTACAATGATTCGAGGCAAAACTCAGTCTGCAAGGTCATCATCGCCTGACCAGGATGATCGGGTCTTGAACGCAAGAACTGGAAGGGGAAAAAGCTCGCAACATCCGAACAGCATGATTCTGCTGCGAGGACGGCAAGGTAACCGGATAACGGGCTCAGTGACGAATACGCAAGTCTTTGATCAGTTCTTCTCCCCGAAACGCTCGGCTTCTGCATCACTATGCCAAGGATACAGGCTCACAGGGCAGCAGATCAGGACCCCGGCATCTGACAAGCTCATGCTCTGGTCCAGGAAGTGCCCAACAAGTAGGGAAGAGGTCTCAACATCCCCACACGTGGCCCTGTGACTCCCCCAAATAACACCAAGATACTCCGGCTCTCATCCAGAGACCTCCAAACAGATGACGTTGCGAAAACTACTCACACCATAAAGACTGCAAACACATTCACATTGTCAAACCTGCCCTCGACCATCAACCACAATACCGTCCATCATCAAGCGTCATTCAAACCCTTGACGACAGACGGTCGCCACAAATGACGCTCAACATCCTCAGACCCTTTGGTATACAACCCGCCGAGTATAGGGCCCTGCAGAACTAAAAGCTCCCGAAACACCACCTCTCCAAAAGTCCTCAACAACTTCGATTGGATCATCTGACCCCGAAAATACTTGCTTGCGCTCAAAACACATCCTCAAGAAAAATCCTTCGAACTTCGAWCGCATTACATGAATATCAAAAGTTCCTCTCCCCCAAAACATCGCCGCATAAAAGATCCTTCCAATTCCGATCAAATTACCTGCAGTCACTCTAAGAATCACATTCACAGCCAAGAATCTCTCGGCACTTGCTCCCGCAACGGCGGTGTCCTTTCCAAAACATCTCCTGACTCAAACTCCGTGGCAACGCTTCCTCTGTGCAGCGGAGACCATCTCCGAGAGATCCCTGTTGTTCTTACCACTGGTCGTCGTCCTTTCCCGAACACACAAGTACATAGCACTACCTCGCCATACCTTGGTATATTGAACTCATCAATATCTCAACCCCGAAACACCGCCACCTTTGCCAAGCRCATTAACAGAAGTCATCTGACCACGTCTCAGGCAACCGGGTCGACCTTTCCGTGTCCTTCTCCGCGCTGAGTAGTGAACGACCAACAAACAAAGTCAACAGCCGGTGCCCTCTGTTTCGAAAACACGGAAAGTTTCCAACGTGTAAATGTGACAGGTTATTTTGACATTCTCCCTTCTCGATATCTCAGAGAAAATTCGCCCTGGCATATCAAGTCTAACAAAACGGATGAAGCTTGCAACATCTACATGTATATAACTACACCGTGTTTACCTGCATAAACTTGGTCTTCACCAGAAACTCGTTTTCTCACGAATGAGAATCCTCCAGAGGACTTGGGAAACACTTCGACTGAAGATGTTACGACAGTGATGAATGTGTCTTGAGAGGAGAACTTTGTTCATGATAATACATACTCACACAGCCATCTCTTTCCTAAAGTTACAAAACGCTCCAATCCTTCTTTCCATGCCCATGATATGCGCCAGCCAGGCTCATAGCCTCCATTCCACCACTTTTATATGTAATTAAGACATTGAAAAAGTTGCTTCGACCCAACTCCTCCACGATTCATGTGGAGCAGAGTATAAGTGTATCGAAACAGCTGTGAGTATCGGTACATGAAAAACTGCCTGGCAAAAGTCTCCGGGCAGTGGATGAGGGCGCTTTTTCGCTGGCTGCACAAGCGAAGCAGGTTTCGCTGGGGGTATAAAAGACATTTTACAAACAAACAACGAGGGAGCGAGCGCATTTAAGGCTTCTTCTCACCCTCGCCCTCCTGCTTGGGCTGCTCGCCGGAAGACTGCTCACCAGCAGGCTGCTCAGACGAAGCCTGGCTCTCCTGTCTCGCGCGGTGCATCTTGTCAAAGAGAGTGAGAGATGCGTTCTGGAGCTCATCGGTCTTGGCCTTGATCTCCTCGGCGGTGGCACCGCCCTCACCAGTCTGGTTGGCGGCGATGAACTCGCGCATGGAGGTGATCTTCTCACGGATAGAGTCGGCCTCGGTCTTGTCGAGCTTCTCCTCGAACTCCTTGAGTGCCTTCTCGGTGTCGTTCACAACGCTGTCGGCACGGTTGGCGGCCTCAATGGCACCCTTACGGTCCTTGTCTTGAGCGGCGTACTTCTCGGCGTCGTTGACCATGCCCTGGATCTCATCGTCGCTCAAACCAGAGCCAGATGCAATTGTGATGGACTGGTCCTTGTTGGTGGACTTGTCCTTGGCGTGGACGTGGACGATCGAGTCGGCGTCAATGTCAAAGGTGACCTCAATCTGAGGGACACCACGGTGGGCGGGTGGGATACCAACAAGCTGGAAGTTGCCGAGCATCTTGTTGTCGCGGACAAGCTCACGCTCACCCTGGTAGACCTTGATCTCAACAGCGGACTGGAAGTCAGCGGCAGTAGAGAACGTCTGCGACTTCTTGGTTGGAATGGTGGTGTTGCGGTTGATCAGACGAGTGAAGACACCGCCGAGGGTCTCAATTCCGAGGGAGAGAGGAGTAACGTCGAGGAGGAGGAGGTCGGTGACCTCACCAGCGAGCACACCACCCTGGATCGCGGCACCAATAGCGACAGCCTCATCTGGGTTGACAGACTTGGCTGGGTCACGGCCAAAGATGCTCTTGACGGACTCAATGACCTTTGGCATACGAGTCATACCACCGACAAGAATGACATCCTGAATGTCAGTGGCCTTGAGGCCGGCATCCTTGAGTGCCTTGCGGACGGGGTCGACGRTGCGGTTGATGAGTGGGTCAACAAGTCCCTCGAGCTGCGAGCGGGTCATCTTTGTGTTGATGTGCTTAGGTCCGGAAGAGTCGGCGGTGATGAAAGGAAGGTTGATGTCAGTCTGAACAGAAGACGACAGCTCAATCTTGGCCTTCTCGGCGGCTTCACGGATACGCTGGATAGCCATGCGGTCGCCAGAGAGATCAATTCCTTGCTCTTTCTTGAACTGCTGGACAAGGTGGCGGACGAGGGTGATGTCGAAGTCCTCACCACCAAGGTGAGTGTCACCGTTGGTAGCCTTGACCTCAAAGACACCGTTGGAGATTTCCAGAACGGAGATATCGAAGGTACCACCACCAAGATCATAGACCGCAATAACACGGTCGTCCTTCTCAAGACCGTAAGCTAAGGCAGCTGCGGTGGGCTCGTTGATTACACGGTGGACGGTCAGACCGGAAATCTGACCAGCATCCTTGGTAGCTTGTCGCTGCTGGTCGTTGAAGTATGCGGGGACGGTGACGACGGCATTTTTGATGTTCTTCCCGAGGAAGGCCTCGGCGGTCTCCTTCATCTTTCCAAGAACGAAACCACCAATCTGCGAAGGCGAGTAGCGCTGGCCCTGAGCCTCGAGCCATGCATCACCGTTGGTGTGCTGAACGATCTTGTAGGGCACCTGCTGGATGTCGCGCTGAACCTCGACGTCTGAGAACTTTCGTCCGATCAAACGCTTGGTGGCAAAGAGTGTGTTCTCGGGGTTGACAACGGCCTGGCGCTTTGCGGAGATACCGACTAATCGCTCGCCCTCCTTGGTGAAGCCAACAACTGATGGCGTTGTGCGCGCACCTGTAGAGTTTACTGTCAGTCCCTTGATCTGCCCCCATCTTCAAATATACATACCCTCGGAGTTTTCTATTATACGCGGCGCCTTGCCCTCCATGACAGCGACTGCAGAGTTGGTGGTACCCAGATCGATACCAATGATGGGGCCCTTGACCTTGCCGCCATCAGCATTCGTGTCCTCGGCATATCCTCTTCGGAATTGCGTTAGAGGCGCGCGGTATGCTGATGATCTGAGGGTGGATGTGGCGCGTGGAACAGCCTGTGTTGATGACAATCAGTCTTTGTGCTGTTGCTCGCGTGATGATGCGGCCATTGCGATGCGCCGAGCAATGTACTTACGTTCCGCAGAACTCTAGAGGACAACATGATTGTGGAAATAACACACTATGGCACAAAGCAAGAGTGCGACGGAGATGATGGATGGGAGGGAGGGAGGTTGGATGGATGGATGAGGATGGAGGAGGTTTGATGATGGATGATGGCGATCGTCTTCGAGCGAGCRAGAAAATCTAGGTTGGCCCGAGCTGCGAGCCCGGCAAGCTGTGTTTCTGTCCGGCTTCGATCGGTTTCCATTGCGACACCACTCCACGAGACATCATCGACTTTCCATCTTTTAGCGATAAGTCGCATATATCCTCGCTACGGGGTGAGTTTTTGCATCGAATCTAGTTTTTTAACCAATAGCGATCAAAGTGCGAGAAATGAATCGCTGTCAACTTGGAATGCACGAGTTGCGTGAGAGGACTGAAAGGACTGAACAGGTTCGCATCACCTCAGGTGCACAGAGTCAAAGTACCTCAGGCCAGGCACTCGTTCTGGTCGCAACCGAAGACGTAAGACGCCGGGTTTCTGCAGGAGAAGCCTCCATTGTTCATTGGTGAATTGAAGCTCTTCCCCGTTTTGTCAGGATGATGTTCAAGGTCAGCAGCATTGGAGCAGTTTGCGATTGCCATCTCCTATCTACAGCGAGCCTCCCACTGGTACCTTACCTACTGTACCAGTGCCGACGATGCATCGTTACTACGCATAACTTCCACTCTTGCTCCACTCACTCCAAGTCTCATATTTCATGCACCACAAATTCCCATCATCCACACATCTCACATCACTGCAATGGCTAAACTTTTGAGTTACATGGACTTTTTCCTGCCCGGTCCAGGATTTCGCATGCYAAACKATCCTGTCGAAAGAAGAAAAGTCGAAGTTTGTCTTGACATTTACATGAAGGTCAGTCCATGGAGACAGCTGCAAGACATGATCGATCACGGACTCATCCACCCGAATTCCTGCAGATCAGCGACCTCGTAAAGGAAGACACTGCAGCGTCTCTACGGCAAGCTCGAACAATGAACAAATCGCTTGCAAGCAATAGCAGTGCTGGGCTTGGCATGCAAGTAGCGGCTTGCCTATCGCTATCACTGCTTGAACAGTCGATTAGAAATCTTGACGAGGCAGTTGAGTGGGCGGACAAGGGCGCCCAGTATGCTGCTCAAATTCAACAGCCAGGAGACATGCCACGCCAGCTCATCATGGCAGAGAAGCGACGAGRGGATGCGAAAGAGTTGCAGAGCCTGGCGCAGAGTGCCAAAACTCTCAGGGAGCAGCTCAAGAGCACAGCGGGAAGCCAGGCAGTGCAGGACCCGAATCCTGGATCAAAGCCTATCGGAACTGTTTGCCAGGATGTTCACGACGACAACGCCTCGAGCGACGACACCAGCCAACCATTCACACCCCCATCTTCCGGGGCGAAGCCTATCGGACTTGTGCGGCAGGATACCCACAACGATGGCGCAGCGGCAAGCCAGACACCACCGGCCCCATGGTTTGGGATGGATTCCATCAACCCTTTTCGACCGCACGATTCACCCAATCGCAGCAAGGCGACAACTGAGCTATCTCCAAACCCATATAACTCGCCCATATCCACCCGCATCGTCGGCTTCACCGCAGGAGAACATGTCATGCAGGCCCTGAACGATGTCAGGTCTGAAATTGAAAAGGCTCTGTCCTCTGCCATTGATCATTTGGAGAAGGAATTCGTCCTACTGCGGCAACAGCCGTCTGCGAATCATGTTCCGTCAGACGAGGGCCGCGGACTTTGTCCTTGTTGGGACTGTTATGCGTTTCGGCTCCACTCGGTTTGTGAATTCGGTCTTGACAAAATCGAGCCCTGGATGTACGAAGTCCAATGGAAGTCCGAGATAGTAGACAATCGCATGGCGGATTAGCTGCCCGCCGCACAGATTCTTGAGACATTGAAATTGGCCTGTGGGGTTCGTTGCTGCTGAGAAACTGGATCTGAAAAATGGCGACCACTGACACATTTCTAGAGCTCCCCTCCGGCGGTCCCAGGGGCTGACAAACAAGTCGACGTCGTCAGCAGGGCGGAGGCTGCATATATCAAGACAATGAAGAGTGCAGAGCGTTTGGCTGCGGATGCGCTGTTAGAATTGTACGAATCATGCACTAGTGATGAGGATGTGGCGGCACAAGCATTGGCAAATGTGAAGCACCCAGGCACTTGAAGAGCTGTGGTTCTCCGCATAGGATTGGCACTACGGCATCACGAAAACCACCACACGCTCTTCTTGGAAGACATGCAATGGGAAGGGAAGGGGGAAATGGCAATCAAGCATTGTCCGAAGACGCAGCGACACCTGGGGTGGAGGAATTTCTCCATTTGCTCAGATAACAACTAGAGCTAGATAGGGCATCTCTGCAGCGACCATGGTATTGAAGCTGCAAGCCAACGCCTCAACTCCGGGAATCGTCGTGAAAGCATGGAAGAAATGCTTAAGCACGGGGTGCGCGGTCGCCGAAGCGGCGAGGTCGGTCGGCAACCTGCTGCTGCTGGACGGCAACCACGTTGACTGGGATGCTGTCGAACTGTGAAGTGTGTCAGCGGAGTTTGCACCACGGCTGTGTGGGTATGTGTTATGCGTACGCCGAGCGACTTGAGCAAGTCCTTGGTCTCCTGGTCGACATCCAATTGACCGCTCTCGCTGTTCTGGGTGAAGTCCAGAGCCGAAACCTCTGGCACGTACTGATCCTTCCTCTCACGCTCCTCCTCCTGTAGCTTGAAGGAGATACCGCGAACGGGTCCACGCTGAATACGCTTCATCAAGTGGGTGGTGTAACCGGCGATCTAGAAGACCAACTGTCAGTTGCCTGCTTCCGAATCTTCGTGGTGTATCGTAGGTTATGCGCACCTTGTTGCGCAGGCGCTTGCTGGCAATGACGGCGATTTCATCACAGATGCGCTTGTTGGTCTCGAAGTCGAGAGTGAGCTTGGGGTAGTAACGCTCGATGATGACCTTGGCGGACTTCTTCACGGTCTTGGTGCGGACGCGACCCATTTTGGCGGTATTTGGTGAAGGGAGTGAGGGGGTTTTCGTGGATTGGGTTCTTCCTTGACGGAGCAGGAGTTGAAGCGGTGCGAGAATTTGGGAGTTGAGGTGAAATTGAAGCTTGGCGGTGGCTTGCCGGGATCCGAAGGGCGATTGGATTCACATGATGAAGCGCGATCCACAAGCCGTTCCCATCACATCACGCTTCTTTCCATACTGTGGACATGCTCCATGATGCCAATGTTCGACCTGCAGCAATATCTATCTATGTCGCGGAAAGGCTCAATGCCATTCGATGATGGCTATGATTTGCAGTGGAGCCCCACCAGCGTCCCTTGCACCAACACCGAGTACGCGCCCTGAGCGGCACAGCAGCGCTTCAATCCGGAGAAGCTGCATTAGCATACTGCTGCTTCTAAACTTGCAGGCTTCTCAGCGGCAATCAGTCCTCGGGCATTTTCACAATTGTAGAGAGGAAGTCATATAGAAGTCTCAATGGTAAGCCACATTCTCGTCATCCAGGTTCCATCCACTCTTTCTTCCACACTCTTTATTTGCGCGCGACCCTTCAAGAATCAAATTTATCGGTCATATCAGCTCCTTCTAAAATGCTGTTCCTCCAATCGCTATGCAGACTATTGGCTGCCACCCTACTGGCATTTGGCATTGCACACGCCGATCAACAAATGCCTTTGGGCCAACATGCGGCCAAGAAGACCATCACATATACAATCCTTTCGACACGCACAAGATATGCCTTTCGACCCCATACAGCGACGATGATGCGGCCAACACCCACGCTATCTGCTCCGTGGCTTGCACAACTACACAAGAAACAGCGAAAGGACAACTGCGACGAGACTGCGTGTGCCATGTGCAAGTCCTCATCCCAGTGTGATACGACGAAGTCCACCTGGTGAGTAATCTGATGTTAATTAAAGGACGCTGTTTCGATCATACTGACTGGATAATAGTACGGAATGCGATGCAAAGCCCTACTGCGATTGTTGAGATTGGGTCAAGTGATCTATGCTCAGCTTTGCCATCGTTTATCGTCAGAGCCTTTCTATAAAGATCCAGCAAACCATTCTGTGTAAATACTTCAGACAATGCGATGGTTCTATATCAAATTCTGCAACGATTCGATGCTGCTTGCCAGTTTCATGAACGCTTGCTTCCGCTTTTGGCTCAGCAACAGCAGTCCTGCATGCGGTACGAGCTTATCGATTCCTGCAATGCGTGGTTGGACTCGAACGAGTAACACTTTGGAATCTCATGCCAAATAGCTTGCTACCCTCGATATACGCGCATGCAGAATCTTCAATCGTCAAGGCCGAGAACTTATGGCCGGTTTCTCTCCCCTCCCGTGAAGTCCCGCGACGTCAGACCGTCGATCTCCTACATCGGAGCTCAGCTCCTACCCATATGTATTGACCAAAACAACAGAACAACATCATACCTAAGTACACACGATCGATCTGACTTCAGTAAGATGAGCGTCAAGAACATTGTAAAGGCACTGGAACCATTCACCAGGCAAGCAAACACAACGCCAGGCACAGCACACTCTCACTAACACATGTCAAAGCTGCGATGTAGCCGACGCTCTCACCAAGCTCAAGATACCCCACGGAGGCTTCTTGCCCGGAATCACGATGTGGTCTCCTAAGCGACAAGAAGGTCCCACGAAGATTGTAGGACCTGCATATACCGTCAAATACGTCCGCAAGAACTACGAGAATGAACCCAAGCCTGCAGGCCATTATGTACGTTGATCGTTTTGTCTATTTGGTTCGAAAGCTGATCCATGAGTGTAGATTGACTCAGTCCCCGAAGGAGCAATAGTCTTCATCTCAGCGCCTCCGCGAATGCCAAATGCTTGCTATGGAGGCTTGATGAGCACGCGAGCTCAGTACTCGGGAGCTGCAGGCACAATCATCGATGGAAGACTTMGTGATCTTCAGGAGCATCGTGATCTCAACTTTCCAGTACGTCTCGAATTCAGCCTGTGTCGCTGAGTCTTGTTGCTGACAGTATCCTTTCCTCAAGGTCTTTGCGAGAGATGTTGGAACGACTGCTCCGCAAGAAGTGGCCCGCGTCAGCGAAGTGAGTTGTCCTTGTTGTCTCTGGTACGATATTAATATAAAGACAATACTCGCAGGTCAATGCACCGGTCCGACTCAATAGTGAGGATCAAGACACAATGATCCATCCTGGTGACTACCTGATTGGTGACATCAATGGTGTCGTGTGCCTTCCAAAAGACCTAGCGGAGCAGGCAATCAATTTGATCGCCTCGCAGGTGGAGGCCGACGAGAATACCGCCAAAGACCTTCGCAATGGCGCCAAATTTGCGGAGGCATCGAAGAAGCATCGAGCCAATGTCAAGCAGCCGAAGCTGGCATAAATGATATACACAGCTGTTTAATGAATGTCCGTGGTCGAAATGTCTAGCCTAAGTTTCAATCACCTCGTTGGTTCCAGATCTTGCCTTGCAACAGTATTTTTTAATACCCCTCAGTTCCTGCGAGTCTGAGCAGATGGAGCTCTAGTAAGCAGATGCTGAACTGGCTGGAGCGCTACTCATGGGAACAGCATCGCTAGGCATACTGCCAGTAGGCGCACCGCCAGTGCTGTTGCCACCTGGACCGCCGCCACCGCCACCCATGCCGGAGTTCTCGTTCGCAACACCGCCTGACTCATAATGGGTTCCAGCAGAAGTGACCTCAGAATCAGCAGTCGGGTCAATTCCCAAGCTAATCCAAGCCATGATACCATCCTCGATATCATCACCAATGAGCACATACTGCACAAAGGGATCCATGCTCTCCGTTTCTTCAGAAAGGATGCTGTCATCGGCGTTGAGTGTCAGTTCCTGTGTGTTGGTGTTGTAAGGTGCAGTTTCCGAGACCCGTGTCAGGAGATCTTGGTCTATGAATATTTGACCGACGTGCGAGGCATGGGTGGAGAAGTTTCCGAAGCCCTCGAGGATGGTACCGTTGGTCCTGACGATCGTGGTGTTGGTGTTGTGGCTGRGAACGTGGATGTGAGGAGCGCGGCCGGTGTAGTGCCCGGGGACAATGGTCTCGAATTGAGCTACGCCGTTGATGTCGGTTGGCTGGATACCGCGAAGGAAGGTGTTTTGGATATTCTCTGTATCGTCCTCGTTACCATTTCCAGATGCGGATACCCCAGAGTATACACCTGTGGCGTTACAGTGCCTGTTTTGATGTCAGTACTCTGCTGAGAGTCCACTGTTCGATCATGCAGGATGGGACACCGACCAAATATCGATGAACACGGCACGGACCGGCTCACAAGTGCTATACGTTCGTCAGTCTGATGCTACCGCCAAGGTATTTTGGTCAAGCATACCTAGTGTCAACTAGCTGTACATCGAGGTAAAGCGGCACACCTGCCTGATCTTCCGTGATATCGCTACGGATATTCTCGCCATCGATGTAGTACGCTGTGGCAGCATTAGTCAGTCACGTCTCCAAGCCCGCTGCATTCAGTGTATATGCTTACGCCCTTGGGTGACCTCCGGCTGCAGGACGCAACTAGAATTGTCAGAGAACAACGAGAGCTCATCAGATCCCATCGTGACGTCTAAGTCGGATGTATGAGAGATGTTGTATTCCGCAAAGTCACGGCGCTTGAAACGCTTGCTGGTGAGGCCTCGCTTAGCACGAGCATGCTTAGCCAGCTCCTGTCGACGAGCGAGAGCAGCTTCAAGATGACCTCGTCGTTGCAGTTCCCCTGCACAAGATCGAACGGAGTTGGGTTGACGAGCTCGCAACCACTGGCCACGCTCAGCGGCTTCTTGCCGAACAGAATGTCCCGGATGGGCGAGCGCAACGTTGATGGCCACAAGACCGGTCGCGAGCATCGAGAGAATGGGTGCCATTGTTCGACGGTGTGAGACTGTAATGAGATGGGATGGGATGGGATGATGTAGTGGATGACCAGTTCAGACGGGAGGGTTGCCTTTCATATACCGTTTCAACATAGATCTATCCTTCAAGACTGCAAAAGCCGCGTAATTCAAGCAATCAGCGGAAGACCTTGTGGACCAAGAGATAAGTGTATACGGTCAATGCTCGCAGTAGTAACGGACTAGTATGCCGCGTGGGAGGCGTATGATCGTCGAGTTAGAGCGAAGTTCATTCTACTCCACCAGCATACGTACGAAATTGACAAGAGCGAGCCTCTGATTCGTCTTCCAACTTCGTCGTGACTTGTTTTCTTGCAGCAGTGAATCGACGCGAAGCCAGGTGGACGTCTAAGCCTTCGAGTCTCAAACCACGCCGAGTGAAGCTGTTATTGTTGCATGTTTTGTCCACTGGTCCACATGTCTCCTGTGACAATTCACAGTTCCTCGCTCTTTGTGCTGCATTGGTGCTGAAAGCATGAACTGCAAGATGTCAAGTGCCAAATGGTAGAGCAATGCATCAATTTGATACGCCTCAACAGATAGTCTGGGTCCACCAGACTTGTCATCACGCCATTTGTGGCAGACCTACGATTGACGCCCGCATACGTACATCTTCTCTTTGAGGCTGTGGCCTATGAAACATGCCGCAGGGGTTGTTTGGTGGAAGTGGTCGGCTCGTGTGGTCGGCGCTACTTTGAAGCTTGAATAACGCGTGTATTCCTTGGCGCCGACGACACCTGAGCGATGATGCACGAGAGCATTGCGTTACATCACATCGAGGTGATAAAATTAACAGATTGATGGTACGTTGCAAGCTGTCTTCCGACGGCTTGCCTACGCGTCGCTGGTCTGTGTTGTGGAGTTGTTCAAGCCGAACGTCGCATGCAAGCACATTCCCCGTCTGATCGTCTCGAGTGCGTCGCGAGACATGAGTATACTGTGGGTCAAGCCAATGCGCAAGAGGACCTTGATAGATGCAAGACTGGTCTTCAGGTGAGCTGGTGCTGCTCGCACTGCGCAAGCAGAGCTCACTTGAAATTCCGTACAGAATCCTGGTCACGCAGCGAAAGGTGTGCCCGAGGGAGAGAAGTTCGCGATTCACCAGTAGGAGACAAGTCAAATATCTTCAGACGCAATGTCCGCTGAACAGTTTCGTTTCGATTGGAGGTGCTTTATCTGTCATATGCCTAGGGAGCCAAGAATGATGATGGCTCTACGCTGTCAGGCTATGGCTCATCGACAACCAGAGTGGTCCGACCGCTCTCGCCAGCTACCTCCTCCGCCTCCAACGCAGTGAAACCGTCATCCGTAAGCCTGACTGCTCCGGCACGCACCAAAGCTTGAGCAAGATCGTCGCGCAGGTCATCCAAATCCTCAATGCCAATGCAGAGGCGAATGATGTCTTCGGGCAGAGCACGTGCCTTGCGCGTGGCTGGATCGATGCTCGCGTGACTCATGCGGCAAGGCATCGAGATGAGCGAGTTCACACAGCCAAAGGAGACAGAGATGCCAAAAAGCTTGGTGGACTCCACAATGCGCTCGGACAGGGCAATAGAACCAGTTTCAAAGCTCAAGACTGCGCCGGCGCCGCGAGCCTGCTGCCAATGGAGCTTGTATTGTGGGTGAGACTTCAAACCGGGGTAGCGCACCTTGAAGCCGTGGGCTTCGAGGTAGTGAGCGATTGCATCAGCRTTTGCCTGCTGTTTCTCCATGCGGATTGCCAAGGTCTTCACACCGCGCATGAGCAGCGAGCAGTCCTGTGGGTTCAGACCAACACCAGTGGAGTTGATCAAGGCATAGAACTTGTCGCCGAGAGCAACGCTGTTGATGCCAATAACGCCAGCCATAAGATCGTGATGACCCGAGAGGTACTTGGTACCACTCTCGTAGACCACGTCGGCTCCAAGATCAAGTGGGTTCTGGAGATACGGGGACAGCATCGTGTTATCTACAGCGACTACTGCGTCTGCATTGGCCTCGTGCGCAATCGCGGAGATTGCTGAGATGTCGCAAATCTTGATCAATGGGTTGGTGGGCGACTCGAGGAGCACCATGGCGGTCTTTTCAGACACTGCGGCCTTCACAGCCTCGAGATCAGTCGTGTCAACATGACGCACGACAATTCCACCATTTTCTGACATGTACTTGAGCAGTCTGTTCGTGCCGCCATACAGATCGTCTCCGGTGATGACTTCGTCACCGGGCTTGAGTATCCTGGTAATGACATCTGCCGCGCCCATGCCCGAGCCAACAACGAGGGTTCGCCTGACGTTCATGACCCGGGCGAGATGACGCTCCAAGTGGGTTCTAGTGGGGTTGCCACTGCGAGTATAGTCGTACTCCTGGCCTGGGCCACCTTTAAAGGTGGCGGACAAGTAGATGGGCATGCTGGAGGCATTGTACTGGTCGTTGGTCTCGGTGTAGACCAACTCGGTGGCGAGGGCGTAGCGGCGGCCATTGGACGGGCTCGAGGGCGCCGGCGACGGCGGAAGAGCGTGGCCGTCGAGGTCCAGGTTCTTAAGGGCTTTGCCCATGCCATTGGCGTTGTTGCTGCCAGACATGATGTAGTGGGGCGCAGTTTAAAAGGACTGACGCTGTGACCTGTGCTGTGTTTTATGAGGGTAGAATGGTGGAGACGACGAGGGGAGGTTGTCGCCGGTGAAATATGAGGTTTCGGTGCTGGTGCGGTGRGGGATGTTGTCAGGATTGCGGAGGTCGAAGATTTGTCGGAGTCAGATGGAATGCAGGCCGGGGTGCAGTGGTGCAATCGCGGATAGCATGCGACATCGGAGCGGGCATTGATTGATCAAATTCTATGAACGGCCTTCACTCGCCTATCTTTGCCAACAACTAATCGCAATTGCTTGTCCTTTTCTCCGCCAAATATGCTGTGCCTCAGCACATCAGTGTAGAGCTCGTAGCAAGGATAGTAGCCATTCACAAAGTTAACAACCTGCTCTTTGGTCATGCCAGTGCCTTTGGAGGCTCGCATGGCAGCTTCCTGTTCCTCTCTCCAGTGGTATACGTAGACAGGGTCTTCGGCATCACTTTGCAAGCGTGTCAGTTTCGATTGTAGTAGATCCAGATGATGCAACTTACATGTGCACGAAAGCCCCAAACTTGTCTGTCAAAGCATCATAGTCTCTCAGCTGATTGTTGATGAACATAACATCTTCAAGCTTGAGTCTGCCCAGTTGACCCTGGTAGTCGTTGGCACTGTCTTCGGCTTCGGCCTTCGCTGCTAGMCACTTGCACTCGACCTCTGCATCGGTCAAAGGACGAAATCCAACGCACCAACCTTCAAAAATGACAACCTCTACTGGTTTTTGTCCATTCGCATTCACAATCTCCCAGTCGCTCTCCGGACGGCGATCGCCGGCTCCATTGTGCTGACTTTTGTCGTAGCTGGGCAATTTGATGTTGGTCTTTCGGCTCGAGATGGCATCGAAGAGCTCTTTTCCGGTCTTGATATCATGAGTGGATGGAACACCACGGTGTTGAACGAGGGGATTATCTGGATAGGCGTCGGCCAGAGCCTTTTGCTGATCATGGGAAAGGTACAAGTCGTCGATGGAGAGCACCACGACCGGCAGGCCATGTGGTGGGCTCGAAAGTGTCTTGCTTAGAGTTTCAACCTGGTATGGTGAGTATGAGTGTCGAAGCTGGATAAGACGTGCTTATAAAACTGAGAGTCCTAAATCGTCGAAAGTGTTGAAATAGAAGTCCTCACTTACCAATGTTGTCTTACCAGCGCCTTGCACGCCATTCAGCCCGAGGAAGAAGGGTGGAGGTACCTCTCTCTTGCTCTCGTATTGCTCACGGTGCTGCTTGAGTCGCTCGATAATGAAAGGAACACAGTGCTCAGACTTGTCATCAACAATCTTGGCCATCTTTGCAAGACGTTGGCGAGGCGCCGACAAGTGAAAAGGATTGCAGACCACTCATGAAGCTCCCACCTTCGATGCTAGAAAGTTGAGCCGTGGTCCCACATGTGACATGTCCACATCCTTCGGCATTCGTCACGGCGGACTTTTCACATGAAGATCTTTGAGAGCTCATGATTGCCTGATCCCGCGACTGACCAGGCACAATAGCTCCGGGGTTTTGGAGCGCTTCAGAGATGGATGAGTCCGGCAATCGACATGCCTGCTTACGGCCGATGGGACATGAACGCGATGACCCTTTGAAACAGTATGCTCGGCAAGTGCCTGTCCTGGAGAGATGCAAGCTGCGTTGTCCAGCCACAAAGTGTAGGAAGCCCACAAAGGTCAACAGATCAACAAAGCCATCGGTGCGTAAGAGCGCCTTGACGCGCTTGAGAGCCACAGATTCCACGACAATTTCACAAGCGTGGATAATGACGCCGTCACCCATGATCAGCAGCCGCGCTTTGATGATGAACCTCGGCTTCCGCTTCGGCCATTCCAGAATGGCAGAACATCAGGTGCTGCGAGGCTAAGTACATACAAGTTCCAGTAAGCTGGATACGTTTCCTCCTCCTTCTTCCTCTCCATACGCGCACCTCGAGTCGCACAACCATACACTCCTTCTTTCACCACACCGTAATCATGGCAGGCGAACAGCTCCGGTGGGACGGTCAGACCGTCGTTGTGACCGGCGCAGGCGGTGGTTTGGGAAGAGCATATGCCACCTTCTACGGCAGTAGAGGAGCAAACGTCGTCGTCAACGACCTCGGTGGCAGCTTCAAGGGCGAGGGCGGTAGTCAGACTGTAAGGTGTATCTTGGAGGACTTCGAGAGGAGGCTTTGCTAACAAGATTGTGATGCAGGCGGCCCAGAAAGTAGTAGATGAGATCAACAAGGCCGGCGGAAAGGCAGTAGCCAACTACGATTCGGTCGAGAACGGCGAGAACATTATCAAGACCGCCATCGACAACTTCGGCCGCATAGACGTGCTGATCAACAATGCCGGCATTCTCCGCGATATCAGCTTCAAGAACTTGAAAGATGAGGACTGGGATCTTATTATGAAGGTGCACGTCGTTGGTGCTTACAAGTGCGCAAGAGCCGCATGGCCATATTTCCGCAAGCAAAAGTACGGACGAGTTATTAACACTGCATCTGCCGCCGGGCTATTTGGAAGTTTTGGTCAGACCAACTACTCAGCAGCCAAGCTTGCGATGGTGGGATTCACCGAGACACTTGCAAAAGAGGGCGCCAAGTACAACATTCTCTCCAACGTCATTGCACCAATCGCTGCGTCAAGAATGACAGCGACGGTCATGCCAAAAGAGGTGCTGGATGCCCTCAAGCCGGAGATGGTCGTCCCTCTTGTTGCTGCCCTGACTCACTCTTCAACAAAACCTACTGATAATGGTGGAATCTACGAGGTGGGTGGTGGACACATGGCCCAGCTTCGTTGGGAGAGATCCAAGGGTGCTCTGCTCAAAGCCGATAACACCTTTACTCCTGGCGCATTACTCTCCAAGTGGAGCGACATCGAGGACTTCACAAACCCACAACACCCAACAGGACCAAACGATTTTCTCGCTCTCCTGGAGSAGGCCCAGAAGCTGCCTCCAAGCCCCAAGGCACAGGAGCTGGACTTTTCGGGCAAGGTCGCTGTGGTGACTGGTGGTGGTGCCGGTCTCGGTCGCAGCTACTGCCTCACCCTGGCCAAGTATGGCGCTTCAATTGTCGTCAACGATCTTGCGGACCCTGAACCGGTTGTTCAAGAAATCAAGAAGCTCGGCGGCAAAGCAGCGGGTGTTAAGTGCAGCGCTGAAGAGGGCGACAAGGTTATCAAGGCTGCAATCGACGCCTTTGGTCGTGTGGATATCCTGATCAACAACGCCGGAATCCTCCGTGACAAGTCTTTCCACAACATGGACGACAAGATGTTCCACCAAGTGCTGGACGTTCACCTTCGAGGCACATACAAGGCCTCGAAGGCGGCTTGGCCATACATGCTGAAGCAGAAGTATGGTCGCATCATTAACACCACCTCCACCTCCGGTATCTACGGCAACTTTGGACAGGCCAACTACGCGGCTGCAAAGTGCGGTATCCTTGGTTTCTCACGCGCTCTAGCCCRTGAAGGCGAGAAGTACAACATCTTTGTMAACACAATCGCCCCCAACGCTGGCACCAACATGACTCGCTCTATCATGCCAGAGGAGATGGTCCAGGCGTTCAAGCCAGACTACGTTGTGCCGGTCGTGCTTATCATGGCCTCTGACAAGATGCCGGGCAAGCCAACCGGCCGTCTCTTTGAGAGCGGTTCCGGTTGGGCTGGCGAGACCAGATGGCAGCGAACCGCTGGTGCTCAATTCCCCGCCACCAAGGAGCTCACCCCCGAGACTGTCTTGCAGTCATGGTCAAAGATCACGACCTTTGATGGTAACTCCGACAACCCTTCGGAACCCTCAGCTGGTACCGAGAAGATCATGGCAAATCTGTCCAACACTGGTAGCAGCGAGTCGTCCAGTGGCGATGACTACAACGCCAAGATCGCGGAAGCGCAGAAGGCACAGGCACAGGGTACCGACTTCACGTACGATGAGCGCGATGTYATTCTCTACAGTAAGTAAAGTGTTGCGTCCGCGAGCTATATTTTACTAACATGATCATAATAGACCTGGGCATTGGAGCAAAGCGCACCGAGCTGCCATTTGTCTACGAGAATGACGACAACTTCCAGGTGATCCCAACATTTGGTGTCATTCCCAACTTCAGCGCCGAGGCGCCATTCAGCATGTCCGAGATTGTCCCCAATTTCTCGATGAACATGCTCCTACATGGCGAACAGTACCTCGAGATTCGCTCGTTCCCAATCCCAACCGAGGCTACACTCACCTCGTATCCCAGGCTGGTGGAAGTGAACGACAAGGGCAAGGCCGCCGCTATCGTCACTGGCAGCGTCACCAAGGACAAGCGTACTGGCAAGGAGATCTTCTACAACGAGTCTACTGCCTTTGTTCGTGGCTCTGGCGGTTTCGGTGGACAGAAGCAGGGCAGCGACCGTGGTGCTGCTACCAAGGTCCACACTCCTCCCAAGCGCAAGCCTGATGCCGTTGTCGAGGAGAAGACCAGCGAGGAACTCGCTGCAATCTACCGTCTCTCTGGTGACCGCAACCCTCTCCACCTCGACCCTGAATTTGCCAAGGTCGGCGGTTTTGACGTTCCAATCCTCCACGGTCTTTGCTCGTTCGGTATTGCCGGCAAGGCAGTGCTGAAGACATACGGACAATTCAAGAATATCAAGGTCCGATTCGCCGGAACTGTTCTTCCTGGTCAGACTTTGATCACGGAGATGTGGAAGGAGGGTAACACCGTCATCTTCCAGGTGAAGGTCAAGGAGACTGGCAAGCCAGCGATCTCAGGCGCTGGTGCCGAGCTCGTTGATTCCGGCAAGTCGAAGTTGTAGGTGATGGAGGATGATGTATCCAAGCTGTAACCAACAACAGGCTGGAGGAAAAGATGGGCATGTTTAGCAATTACTCTATTGATACATTATGTATGACTTAAGCGTTTGTTCATTGAATGTCTGTTTGAATGTATCGTGAAAGTAGTTTCCTTGGATGGCACGTACGCGAGTGATTACGCTTATGGAGGGCCTACTAGTGCTCGGCGGGTTTATAGAAAGCTCAAACAGAATCTCTTGTTCCATTAGCTCGTAGATGATGATTCTGTTTGCATCGCACTGTCACAGAATTGAATAGCGTTCAGCGGTTTGTGCAAGCCAATCCACTTGCCGCCACGGCTGCATTGACACCAGGTAGTTTCTGGGTTCGAAGCTATCTACTCAACCGCAGTACAGTGATTCGTTCAGTTCGTCGAGCACAGCCACACGACTTCAAGCAACTGAGACAATCAAGAAGCGTGGTAAGATACCAAAAGAAGTCAATTAGAAGAAGAAGAAGAAGATGCCTGTCTGCCCATCCATAAACTCGTAGCTCGTAACACATGTAAGAAACAAACTGGTAGGATTGGCAATAATGACTGCCAACTACCTCTTCGGACAGCACAGCACAGCGACTGATTGCAGCAGTAACGCCACGTCTCGCATGCCGCTCGTATCGAGAGCTCTGTTACTATGCTCCTTTTGACTGCTGCCCTCCTACTTACGGCATGTACCCCAGTGCTACCTCGAAGGATGTACCGTGGCCACATACAAGGAAGCACCCTCATGAGACTTTATCACGAATGTCAGCAATTCATTCTTCCATCAYTGTAGAGACAAGACGACTTACACTTCCACCGATTGCCACAGAGCACACACTCGCAGAACGTCGTGAGAGGCTCATCAGCGGATCGAGTCTGAGCTTGTGAGTACGACACCTTGGACTGCTTGCATTTGCCGCACGTGAACCTGGCATACCTGATTAGCCTTGTTTTTCACCAGACGCAAATAAAACCCTGCACCCCCGTCCCATGCAAGGAACGAGAGCGCAGGGTTGCTTTGGGTCAGTAGAGACGTACGTGGTGGATATGGCCTTCACTTCCTGGGGAGTCATGGATTTGTTCATGTTTTCCTTCTCGAGCAAAGCATCCTCGGCTCGCTTTTCCGCGGATTTGRGCTCGTCGGAGGACATGGTAACTATAGTATGTTAAGTTAGTGATGGCATGTACACTGGAAATCTCGGCCGAATATACCAAATTTGGTAGCAGAAATGGTCTCGCTGAAGACGTCTTTTCGTAGGGAGTCATTCGGCTTCATCTTGAGGTTCTGATACAGACTTCGCATCTTGGTCTTGTACTCGGGGCTGGTAGTCTGCTTGAAGTGCTCAAAAGCCGCGACCTCAACCTTGCGCGCTACTTTCAGGACATCGTCGGGCGACTCATTGGACATGAAAGCAATGCCGTCGTACATCAGCTTCAGACACCCATCGCGTACAACATCACCGGTGACCTGGTTGTTCACGCTGTCCGTCTTGGTGTTGCGTTTCTCCGGATCGATCTTGCTCTTCTTGTCCTCCTTCTCCACTTCCTTGGCCGGCGGCACGGGACTGCTTGTAGCGCTGTTTCGTGCGGATGAAGCGGCTGCACCGTTCAGAGCCTTGTTGGCGGCAGGCGCAGGACTACTATCTCCTCCTGCGCGCTTCTTCTTGCTCTGTGAAACCTCCTGCTTCCACCGACTGACCAGCCGCGTTGCTGCCTCGCTCACTTTGGGGTCCTTGTTCTGGCGCAGCTTGGTGACGGCAACACCGATCTTGCTCTGGCGCAGCAAGTCTTCCGTCGCCTTGAACTTCTCCAGTGGCGCCAGAATGGCCAAGATCGAGGTGGAAGAGTCGCCCGATTCGGTGGCTTTTTGAATCTGTTTTGCGACCTCGAACAGCTGCTTCGGGTCCATTGCGCTGGCTGCCATTTTGGAGGACTGGCTCGCCCTGTCGCGGTTGTCGGCGGAAGTGATGTTGAGGAGTATTATTAGCTGCTGACAGTCGGCGATTACGGTGTATTCGGTGCAGAGTCGCGCGTGTTGTGGTTTGTAGGAAAGAAGAAAGGACGTCGAGATGCTAGGCAGGACTAGTTCTAAAGCGAATGCGGTGCTGACAAAGTGATGTCTTTTAGGCAGCGCAAGTCGATAACGATAGAAGTTACCTCATCACACGATGAATGTCAAATGCATCGCGAAGCTTGCTGGCAGGCAAATAGCGAGGTCTGGACTATCCACACGGTCGATATCGAAGCAATGTCTCATCGTGCGCACACAAAACCCCCAAACATCAACGAGACAGGATCATCTCACGCGGCTGAATCTCCATCGAGCATTCTCGACCACACAATGTCTGGCCAAAAGCAGAAAGCCCGGAAAGGCGGGAAAGGAAGAGAAACAGGCTCCATCAAAAGCTGGGAATGAGGCTTCCACAGACGATCCCTTTGACTTCACAGCCCTCGAGGCGGACATTGCCAATGCGTTGGAGAAGCTCAAGAATGACCTATCGAAGCTGCGGGCGGGTGGCAGGTTCAACCTGGAAGTGGTAGAGAATCTGCGCGTGCAGCCAGACAAGAACGTCGACCAGACATTGAAGCTCAGTGATGTTGCACAGGTCATTCCCAAGGGTCGCACGGTGCAGGTGCTCGTTGGGGAGAAGGACGTGAGTATCTCATGCTGCAGCAGAGGGGAGAGCAACCGCAGGGTACAAGACTAATACTTGCAAAAGCACGTCAAAGCAGTGTCTTCTGCCATACAATCCTCCTCACTCTCCCTCACCCCTCAGCCGGATCCCACAGGCGCAAATCCGCTCCTGCTGGTAGTCAACATCCCGCCTCCAACGGCTGATTCGCGGAAAGCCGTCATAGCTGAAGCTGCAAAGGCCGGCGAGAAAGCAAGCACAGGGGTTCGCGATGCTCGAGGCAAGCAGCAGAAGAAGCTGCGCGCGATGCAGCGGAGCAAAGCGGCGAGACCTGATGATTTGAAGAAAGCGGGCACGCAGATGGAGAAGGTGGTGRAGAAGGGGACTTCCGAGCTGAAGAAGGTGGTCGACAATGCTAAGAAGGTTCTGGAGAGCGGTTGAAGAGTTGCAAAAGATCTCCAAACACCCGCGATCCACCCTGGCGCTCTTTGGGGTGCTGAAGCGCGGGAGCACCCGCAAGAACCTGACCACCTTATGCTTCGCACGTGAGCACAATCTCATGTACGAACTGAACATCCATTAGCTTCCGGGCACTCAGAGCCAATGGGACGCAGGACATGATCCAAAACAGCCCTGCGTTGGATCACATGGGAGATGGGAAGGTCACAAGCTGTGAGTGATGATAGAAGAATCTGCCGCTCGATCCCTCCGCGTGTCAGCCTACCTTAGGTATGTCCAAAAGTCCATCGAACTGAGGCCAGGATTTTCGATTTAAGAGATATGTAAGATCCTTCCTTCTGCCCTCCATCGGAACCAGTACTCAAATCCGTTGCCTTCATTGCTGTCTCTCAGCCCTTCTATCCCTTTCAGTGCGTTTATTCGGTTTCTTTCATCGTCTCGGTCCGGACCTAGAGGCCAACTCCAGCAAGCTCTGCCAGGCGTCCTTCTATCTCCGTAGACAATAGAGCACGTTGCGGGACGGGCAGCTCTTGGCTAGCTCCACATCTCACTCCCCCTGGGGAGAAGTTGTATAAGAAGAAATATTGGACACGGCTTGCAACCGAGAACACCCATTATCTACTTTGCACCAGTGTCATACACGATGTTTGATAAAGACGCCCGCAAGCAACGTGAACAAGCTCAGWACTTGATCGGAAATCTCGTCATCATTGGCGTAGGCAAAACAACGCAACCTTTCGAGGTGTCTCAATCAAATCACATGCTGGTCGTCCAACAGGGCGGAGGCAGGCTAGCAAACTGCTCAAAGCGCGGCTCGATAAGTGCTTTACAGCACCATGAAGGTCTCATCATTGAAGTTGTCAAAAAGCTTTCGACTAAGGCGTTTTCTCCACCTTCCTCGCCTCCCTTATAACGACGGCTCAAGCCATTCTCCAACACACTGCGACAACTCTTCAAACTTCCCCGTCAGCCTCTCTCCCCTCTTCGCATCTCTCCGAACATATTTCCATCATAAATGAGAATACCAAAACCTCCTCTGCGCTTCCAGAAACTTCCTGCTCTCCACGTTCTCTATCGTTCCCATTACTTCCTTAAATGCTTCGCAACACGATATTCACAAGCCCTTCAACGCATGCCCCTTGTTTTTCACCTTACGTCTCCTTTTCAAGTCTTTGTGTGAGGTTCATCGCACACATTCAATGAGTGTCTACGCTTCTCGCCCATGCTGAAACGGCTCGCCAAGTTGATTTTCCGCGGCGCCAAATGCTGGAATATTCGAGTGTGGATTTTGCTGATCGCCCGCTGCGTATTTACGCACATCACTTGCATTGAATGACGTGGTTTTGAGAATCTGTTCTGGTGGTTATGGTGGTTGCTGTGCCGTTCGAGCCATTCGAAAGTTGAAGCTCAGATTTGACTGTTGATAGCTCGTCTCCGAGATCATCTTCCATCTCGGAGGACGAGGCACCCATACCCACGCTCTAGCTCGTCTTTGGCCTTGGAGAGTGCTGCCTTGAGGTTCTCGGCTTTCTTCTTGAAATGGTCACGTTCCCTGTCGAGCTTTGCATTCTGCAAGCGAAGAAGATCGTTCCGGGGGTTGAATCCCATCTGTAGGTCAGAATGGTCGACCATGTCGAATGTCTGCGGTGGCATTGCTGCAATGGTTGTTGAATGGTTGGAGGACCGGGTGGTAGAGCACAGTTTCTGTTGTTCAGCAAAGGACATGTCACTMGCATGTTTCTTCTCTTTGATGACCCACTTTTGCGCGAGCAAAGATTTTGACTCTCACTTACCTTTGGTCGATCTGAGATTTGAGATTTGAACATTCATCAACAAATTTGCCTCGCATTCAGAATGTGGTATCGATATGGCATCGCTGCCTCCATCACATCTCCAGAAGCTAGCAGCAGGTGGCCCTCTAGATCCACCGATTCTTTTCCATTTCCAGTACAGCAATGATTTCACAATTTAACAAACGCAGGTAGAACGCTTCATTCATTTGATCAGCAGAGCGCCACACGAACGCCTTGCAAACGCAACAATACCTTTGCCACAAGGATCCAAACTCTTTGGGTCCAGTGGCAAAGAATCTTCGTTTATTATACAACGGCAGCCTACAAAGGCTTACCGCCAATGAAGTCGCTCCATCTGCGGACCTCGGACGGGATGCCCTCCTTCTTGGGCAGTTTTTCGCTCATACACTGAGCGAAGAGAACGGCGGTCTGTGTATCGTTAGTAAAGCTCATGAATCAGAAAGCACGACGAAACTCACTCTGGGCTCCATGAAGAGTGGGACACCAAAATCTACGGCATTTCTCCTCATGACGTAGTCCTCATCGACCATGCTGCTGGCCCTTCTCTTAGCCAAATTGAATACACCCTTGATGTCGTACTGTGCGAACACCTCACGAAGAGCACGCTTGTCTTCCTTGGGGAATTCGATGACTTCAACCTTGACGCTACCGTCCTTGGACGTTGACTCAAGATGCTCCTTGACCTCCTGGTTGGCAGCAAAAAGCTTGTAGCCAAGTGGGTTTAGGTAGTCGACAATCTTTCCAAGGTCCGGAGTGGCAGTGTCTCCGCCGAAAAGGAGACCCTCGCCTGGCTCAGGAAGACGGAAGTTCATGGTGCTTTGCATGGCAGTCCAATAGGCCTCAACGAGGTTAGTACCGAAGCAAGCCATCTCACCGGTGCTGGCCATCTCAACACCAAGGTATGGGTCAGCTCCGGCGAGACGAGTCCAGGAGAATTGGGGGACCTTGACGGCGAGGTAGTCACGGGCAATGCTCATCAGGTCGACTGGCTCAGGGACATCCTTTCCGATGAGAGCACGAGTAGCGACATCAATGAAATTGGTTCCGAGGACCTTGCTGACGAATGGGAAGGAACGAGAAGCGCGGAGGTTGCATTCGATGACCTTGAGGAGAGGCTCGCCACCTTCGGGGTTCTCAGCGCAGATGATTTGCATGTTGAATGGACCAGTGATGGACCATGCCTTTGCGACCTTTTCGGCGATCTCCTTGACACGTTCAATGGTACGCTTAGGGAGATGAGCAGGCGGGAGAACGAGARAAGCATCACCGGAGTGGACACCAGCGTTTTCGACGTGCTCGGAGACAGCGTGGACAAGAAGCTTGCCGTTCGAGGCAACAGCATCGCAGTCGATTTCAAGTGCGCCTTCGATGAACTTGGTGATGACTACGGGGTGGTCAGGGCTGACGTTGCTGGCAGCCGTAAGCTTATCCTCAAGTTCTTCCTCAGATCTGATGACAGTCATAGCAGCGCCAGAAAGAACGTAGCTGGGACGGACAAGCACCGGGTAGGAGACCTCATTGGCAAAAGCTTGGGCTTCCTTGTAGCTAGTGAGTTCCTTCCAGGCGGGCTGGTCAACACCGATGGAGTCCAAGATCTGAGAGAACTTGTGTCGGTCCTCAGCCTTGTCGATGTCCTTGGGATCAGTACCGAGAACCTTGGCCTTTCCAACCTCCTGGAGTTTCAAAGCCATGTTTTGAGGCAGCTGGCCACCGACAGAAACGACAACACCGGAAGAATTCTCGAGTTCATAGATATCCATAACACGCTCGTAGCTCAGCTCCTCAAAGTAGAGGCGGTCGGGAACGTCGAAATCGGTGCTGTAGGTCTCCGGATTATCCGCTTCGGTGTCAGTATATAGTGCATGAAGAATGGTGTGAAGTGTTGGTGCAGCGAGTCTGTGTAGTAAGTGTGTTGCGCTGGTGACGGGCAAGGGCCAGTGAAATTGAAGATATTCGACTCTCCGCACGGCTGCTGCATTTTATGCTTATAGCTACCTGCTCGTGAGCATTGTCGTCGATTCACCACATGGAGAGGCGGCGATCTTATCGAACAATGTCTTCTTAATCGTGCTGTCGTTATTGCAGACAACACGAATTTCGACTGCGACAGGCAGGGCGGCCCACCGTAAGTTTCACCGGCCCTCGGGGTGTTGTGGTTGTGAGCTGCAATGTGGGAAAACCAGGCAGAGAGCGAAGCGAGGGGAGGGGAGGGGGAAGGGGTAATTTACTTACAATTGATCATGACAGTCTTCTTTCCAAGCTCCTTCAAGGAGAGAGTGGCGTTGACGGCACACCAGTCGAATTCAACAGAGCTTCCAATACGGTAGACACCAGATCCGAGAACGATGATACCGTGGTCATCAAACTTGACATCGTGGCTGGAGGCGTTGTAAGTGGTGTACAGGTAGTTTGTGTCAGCAGGGAATTCAGCAGCCAGTGTGTCAATCTTCTTGACCCAAGGGCGGATGTTGAAGTTCTTCCGGCGAGCGCGGACCTCATCCTCAGTGCTGTTGACTGCCTTTGCGATTTGGATATCGCTAAAGCCGAGCTTCTTAGCCTTGAGCATGGTCTCCTTCTTGACGCCGAACAGGGAGCCAATTGCCTCGAGTTCATGGGTAAGATCAACAATGTTCTGAATCTTGTACAAGAACCACTTGTCAATCTTTGAGAGTTCATGTACGCGATCGACCGTGTAACCTTCGTGGAGCATGGCCTGACCGACAGCGAGCCATCGGCGATCGGTTGGGTTCTTCAGAATGTCATCGAGAGGCTCGTCGAACTTGTCACCTTGGACACCGTGGAAACGAGGATCAACCTGGCGAATGGCTTTCTGAAAACTCTCTTCGAAGGTACGGCCAATAGCCATGACTTCTCCGACAGACTTCATGCTAGATCCAATATCGCGGTTGACATTCTGGAACTTGGCCAGATCCCAACGTGGCATCTTGGTGACGATGTAATCGAGCGATGGCTCAAAGTTGGCGGTCGTTGTGCGGGTGACGGCGTTGGGGAGCTCAGGAAGAGTGTGGCCAAGACCAATCTTCGCAGCAGTGTAGGCGAGAGGGTATCCAGTAGCTTTTGATGCAAGGGCAGATGAACGAGACAGACGGGCGTTAACTTCAATAACTCTGTAGTCGAGACCATCGGGTTGAAGGGCATATTGAACGTTGCACTCTCCAACCACACCAAGATGGCGGATGATCTTAATAGCAGCAGTTCGGAGCATGTGGTACTCCTCATCGCTGAAAGTTTGCGAAGGCGAGACCACAATGCTGTCACCAGTGTGCACACCGAGTGGATCGAAGTTCTCCATGTTGCAGACAGTGATGCAGTTGTCCGAGGCATCACGAACAACCTCGTACTCGGCCTCTTTCCAGCCCTTGAGCGACTTTTCCACCAAAATTTGAGGTGAAAGTGTCAAAGACCGGGCAGCCAAGTTTCGCAGCTCATCAGCATTGTCCGCAAAGCCAGATCCAAGACCACCAAGTGCGTACGCCGCGCGCACAATGATTGGGTATCCAACAGACTCCGCAGCTGCGAGAGCCTYATCGATCGTAGAGACAGCAATGGACTCGGCGATGGGAATGTTGATCTCCTCGAGTGCCTTGGCGAAGAGGTCGCGATCCTCGCTGGTCTTCAATGTCTGCACACTGGTTCCCAACACCTTGACGCCGTAGCGATCAAAGATGCCCATCTCGTCCATCTTGACTCCCAAGTTGAGGGCCGTCTGTCCCCCGAACGACAGGAAGACGCCGTCCGGCCTCTCCTTCTCGATGACATATGTAACATACTCGGGAGTGACCGGGAGGTAGTAGATCTCGTCGGCCAACACATGAGAAGTCTGGATTGTAGCGATGTTCGGGTTGATGAGTACGGATGCAATACCAGCCTCCTTCAGCGCTTTGAGAGCCTGCGAGCCCGAGTAATCGAACTCGCCGGCTTGTCCGATTGCAAGCCCACCAGATCCAATGACCAACACTTTTTTGACATCGACCAGATCCTGACCGCCAGCAATTACACCACTCTCGAGGTAAGCTTTGGCATTGGGTGCGACCTCAGTCTGGTTGGCACGAACGGCAGCACGGGAGAACTGACGCAACTGTCGGGATAGCACCTTGCTCTGACGGGCGAGGAGTGGTGCACGCGGCGCGGCTGATTGCGAGACCAGTGTGCGGCGGGTCACGCGAGGGAGCGTCTGCTTGCTCTGGTGGAGGATCTCATGCGGCAGCTGGCGAGCAATGCGCCCGCTGAGAGCAGCCATGATGGCTAATTATGGTGCTGTTGCGTCCACCGACTGATCGGTCGAAGCCTGCGCGACACAATCTGCAGTCAATGGGTGTGTGTGAAGGTTGTCGTGTGCTGATTGAGAAGAGCTATCAGCTGTGACACAGACAAATTTATCTGTCYGCCGATGCCGCTCCCCTGCGATTGACTCAACTCTCGAGGCTGGAAAACCTTCGCTTGCGATAAGAGAGCCTCTCTATCCAGCGAACGTGAGAGGTGTAGGCATTGGTGGTCAGAGAGGGAAAAGAATGTGATGATGGAGTGTTGCTCTGCTTGAAAAATATCGTCCTCTTTTCTCTGCCTTCAAGGTATCCATCTGGAGCTCGCTAGAATATCAATGCTTGTAATCCAATCTGCCCAATCCAGCCTCGCGAAATCATCCACAGGCAGGGATAAATTTTTCTATCGCAGTGGCTACATATGGGGCTACATAGTGGGGACGTCAAGCTCGAACTCCTGCAGCTATTCGAATGCTTCTTGTGTTTTAGCTGGTAGTGGATGCAAGAATGGAGCACGGTAGCGGTTTCGGCGCATGTTCTATCGGGCCTATCGCTGGAGATGCCATGCTCTATCAAAGTTTGATGGTGAAGAGGGGAGGAAGCATCGAGATCGAGCAAGTTGAATTCCCGTGCGACGATCGCGCAGCACAGCACAATGGAGGATGAGATATCAAAGGTGGACGGCTTCCATTTTGTTCTCCATATCCATCTCCGCCTCGACTATGTACAAGCAGCCCTACATCTTCTTCTTTCGTCCATTTCCTTTCATCCACATGTCTTTGCTGCCTATGGACAAGTGAACACATTTATCGCCCTCCCTCTCTCTCCTTCACGCCCAAAAGGACTCCAACACACATCGTATACATTAGTGGCTGCCCATTACTTCAGAGAAGTTTTGTATCCTATTCCACTCCTCCTGCAGCCCAGAAGTGTGGATAACGAACTCGAAAAAGGATTGTGCCGGTTGAAGATCCCGGCGGGTATGCTTCGCTAACAAGGACCGAACAAGTGACAAAAGGAGAAGGGTGAACAAAGAGATCAAGTTTTGAGTGTCGAGCGCTGAAGAGCGGTGGGGATGAGGCTTTTGCGGTGGGATGGGCCTCCAAGTCGTCGATTGGCCGGTCAAACGCAGCAAGGTCGTAAAGGTATCGTGACGGCGTAAGCAAGGCAATGGTTGACGAGCTTTTCAAATTTTGGGGGTTTTGCCCTTGGTCTCCATGTTGGAAAACAGTGCTTCTGGGGGCAAGCGTGCAATGTTGCTGCTCTTGTCTGCTGTCATTGGGATATATCCTTCCCGTCTCCTCCGTTGCCGTTCAAGGAGAATACCTGCGCATACCAGAAGGAAGATGATACCAAGCGCGATTGCGAGACCAATCACGACCACTATACCCAGAGCGAGGTGGTGGCTGGAATTAGTGATGAAGTTTTGGGGATTGCTGACGAACACGGCCGATAGACTGCCTTGGCTGCCGTCTTGCATGCTGGTGAGAAGGAAAGGGTCGTAGTGGGTTCCGTTGTAGAGGACTGCGCTGGCGTTGCCCACGTCCGGAACATTGACATTGCCAAGAATCATCAGTACTTGATTGTTGGACATCAGGTCGCTGTCGTCGTGGTTGGAACTCAAAGGCATGATCTGAAGCTTGCGGATGGTAGTAGCCGCACCAAGACCGGATGCAGGCGTCCAGGTGCCGCCAGAGTACCTCGACAGAAACGCCGAGTTATCGCTTGAGGAAACCCCACCGGCCCAAAACTCCGTGTACTGGCTGTTTACTGCAGTAATCGCGACAATCGGACCGGGAAGTGTGTCGGCGCCCATGTAGGCTTCGAAAGTCTGCTTCTTTGTATCGTATGTGGCGAGTGTGGTTCGTTGTCCAGCAATTGTGAGGTCGCCAGCAATCATGAGCATGGTGTTTGAAGACCAGATCATGGCATTGACGGTGCCGCGGAGTCCAGTGCCGGTAGTCTGCCAAGCTTGGGCATTGGTATCGTAGCGGCAAAGCGCACCACACGGCAGTGAACCGGCGGTTGCGAAATCCCCACCAACATAGACKCTGGAACTCGAAGGCTGAGCAGAAATGGCATTGACTACAACATTGTCGCCGGCAAGTGCAGGGGGATGTGGGGACACATAGTCGTTGGTAGCCAGGTCGTAAACAATGAGGCCAGTAGCCTCGTTGCCGTTGACCGTTCCGTTGACGGCGCCTCCCGCCCAGAGTTGAGTGCCATGCGTGTCCATCGCGACGAAGATGGAGTCCGAGTCAAGACCGCTCACGCCAGAGATGGTCTTGTCTGTGTTGGTATAGTTCACAAAAACCAGGTTGCCCGTGGACGATCCATCAGTGGTGGTTGTAGTAAAGCTGCCACCGAGAACTGTGATGTTGAGGCCGCTGTCGCCATAGAACAGACCATCATACACGCCGGTATAATTCTGTCCAGAGGTTTGGCCGATAAGAGCTCGCTTTTGTTTCGCGGAGGAGCTAGTCGCAGGAGCCTGAGAACTTTGCTCTAGCTGGACGCCGATAGATCTGAGTGAAGGCAAGCTCTTGCCAGACCCGACAAGTTCCACCGCGCTGCTGTAGTCAATGCCTTGCGAGTTGATGCTGCCTCCGTATAATGGCGAATTGTTCGGCACCTCGGTGTACGAAGTAAGCTGGCCGCCAATGGCGACATCAGCAGAGGCGATGTTGTTGAGCCAGTTGGTCTGGCCGGGAACCCACACCGCAAACCCATCAGCGTTGAAGGCCGCATTGCCTGAAAAGGCGTTGACGGAGGTGAAGTTGCCAGTGATCGTGAAGACGTCCTGCAGGTCTCCTGAAGAGATGTTCAGCTTCAGCGGAATGATGCTGAACACAGCACCATTAACACCTGCTCCAAGTGCAGACCAAGACTTGTCCGCGGTTGAGTAGACGGCGACGTTATTCAAGCCTGGTGTGTTGATGTCTGACGTGTCGTTGAAGCTGCCGCCAATGTAAAGTCGTGTATCGTCCAGGAGCATGACCAACACAGGTCCGTCCAGACCGCCGCTGGGCAGCGCAGTCACGTTGCTGTCGATGGCCATGATGTTGTTGATACCGCTAGCACTGAAACGGCCAGCAACATAAAACGCGTTGCTGCCCTGAACGACAGCGTTCACCTGGGCGCGCGAATCCAAGGAAGAACCGGCGGTATTGATTGCGGATGAAGAGAAGTCTGTGTCGGTTGTTGCCTCATCTGGATTGTACTCGTACAGGCCATTGAGGCCGCCGGTCGTCGTGACCAGCTCGAAGCGCACTCTAGAGGCTACCACATTGAGTGGGACTGACTGTCCAGACACGGGCGCCAATGTCACGGCCGGACGGAAGGCATCGGTGTCCGCATCGATGTAGCCATAGTAGATCTGGTCAAACTTGTCGTAGTTGTTGGTCTGGRAGAGGGTAGTGGTTACAGACTCAGAGTCTGCACTCATAGTCGCGGTCATGTTCACCTGCCCACGGGTTGCACACGAATTGTCGAGGATGCATCCCGGGGTGTAAACCATGACTGAATAGTTGCCAGACTGTCTCACGTTGGGCCGGAAAACAACCTGGGTGTCAGAATTGACCTGTGATGCTTCGGTAAGTGTAGCAGACAGGAAGTCCGAGTTGGTTCGGCCGTCGTTCGCAACTCGTCTCCACAGATTGTCGGGGGTAGTCGTCGAGGACGATCCCGATCCGTTTGTGACGGCTCCGCATTGTTGCGGCTCGTTGAACGAGTCCACAGCGTAGCTGAAAATGTCGTCTTGGAACATCTCAATCCCGCTGAGTCCCGCACCAGAGCCGTACCATGACGTGATGAATATGCGAAAATGATTCATGCCAACTGGGGCGACGAAGCGGAAGTCCTGAGCAGTGCTGTTGTTCTCGGGCAGAGGACAACTTTGAATGCACGACTCTTCACGACCGGTCGTCGGGTCGACGTAGGTGAGGTTTAGAATGCCGCCGCTGTTCATCTCCTCGAAATAAAAGGTCTTGGTTCCACGGCCATCCTGCGCAGTGTTGTGAAGGCGCATCTTCGTCGGGATGAAGCCATATCCGAACGTACCGTCCCAGAACCCTTCCCTGTTGTCCGCGAGCAGCCAGGTATTGCCGGCACCTTCAGGCTCTCCCGTCTTGCAAATGATGTTGCTCGGGTCGGAGAATCCTGCCGTCGTTGTGGATCCTTCGGCAGAGATGGTGCCTCCGCCAAGATTGACCACTTGTTGGTCCGCAACCTCAGGTGATGTAGCATTGCCCAGCCCGTCAAATTGTCCTCCGAACACGATGTTTCCAGCGGTGTTCTTCGCGATTGATTGAACGGGTCCGTTAAACCCAGCGAATGGGAGGTTGAGCCATCCGTCTGCCCAAGCCATAGCGTTGGTGGAACTGCCGCCCATGAAATTACCACCAACATACACCGTGCCGGATGTTTCATCGCAATAGAGCGCGTTCACAGGCCCTGAGAGACCAGGCAGCGCTGTGACCTCTTTACTCGAGGGATTCCAGAGCGCGACCGACGCCGCTGCAACTCCTCCCAAGCTCGTGAAGTTCCCGCCAACAACAACCCCTTTCAGATCTCCATCCTTGACGTATGGGCACATTGCAGCGATTGACGCGTCGGCATCAGCCAGTGCCAATGACTGGAACGTGCCATCGGCGTATCGTGTGAGCAGTGACTCGCTGCCATTGGTGGAGGTGTTCTCGTTTTGGCCTGCATTTGCGTAGAGCGAGATACTATCAAAGTCGCCGCCAACAGCCACACGTCCGAGTTGCGAGAGATCGAGGTTGGTGAATGGTGATGCTGACTGTGCAGATGCGGCATGCGCGCTGCCCGTGAACAGGGGAGCTGTGAGAATGTATATGGCCAGCTCCGGGCCGAGCGCAAGCAGATGCGACAGCGCGCTCTTCATTGTCGCTTCGCGCAGGTGCGCGGCGGGAATTGGACGTCAAGTCTATCAATGCACAGGAAATGGATAGGGCCACAGGTCTCCTCTTCTCACGTCTGCATGATCCTCCCACGGCCAAAATGCTCAATCAAGTGTGCTGCACACCAAAGTTGTTTGTTACCTTTTGACTTTCCAGAGGCGATCGAATAGCGGGTGAGACGTCGAAAAGAAATCGCGAAGTCGTCGAGACTGCGAGGCGTGAAGAATAGAAAACGAATGTGGGTCGCCGTCGAGCCTGATCGCGGTGGCAGCGAGGTGGTCGGCTGGTGAGAGGTTGAAGCGTCGTACTGGCCGTGGAATGGATGGGTTGGCAGGGAGAAGGAGAAGGTGCGAACGTCACGTGTAAGCACAGACTGCAATTCGTGGCTGCGTAAGTTCCGGATTCAGCCAATGAGAAGGTGGACAGCAGTTGGAGTAAGATTAAGGTCTGGATGTGAGATCGTGATAGGGACGGCGACTCGAGCATAAAACAAAACAACGATATCGTCGAATGCCACCTTGAGTGGGAGCAGACGGCAACAATTAACAATGAACGCGCGGGCGATTGCGCTCGAATGCCGAAGGGTGGCTTTTCCATGGATGTTCTCATGTTGCACCAACTCACAGACCTCGTATCCGCATCCTCGGAGTCTCGTGTTGTGAAACGACTGAATCGTTTGCGATGGTTGGAAAGCAAAGAAATGCTGCAACATTATTGCCGCGATGCCTTGGGAGAATTCTAGCCAGGCTCTACCAGAGCGGCGTGGTGTCTACATCGTCTCTCTCTCGAAGCCTCGACGGCTAAAGCATGCGATCCAGGTTTTGATCGAATACGAACGAACCAGCCCTCCTGGATCGCATTTGTCTCTCCTCAGTCCCGCGCCGTGGCTGGCGCCCATATTGCTGTGTAACAGCGAAACACCAAGCCAGTGGTACTTCCGGCGCAACTGCAGGAACTGATGTGACCCTTCACACATCTCATACATAGTTCCTCCCGCCCACCACAGGAGGTACCGACGGCAGACCTTTCAAACGACTTTCCTTGCGTTGATGCCACGCGGGTAGTGCTAATATGCCCCTACCTCGTGCAGCCCGAGGCTGGAAGGCCGATACCAGCATGTCCTCATGCTGCTTGACAGCATACTGTCTGGCGTCAGCAACCTTGTACGCCACCGCAACGCAAATTCTCCGCTTCGAGGCTCGAGTTACACTCCCCACAATCAGCCCTGCATGAGTTGCCTTTGTGCCGCGGACAATCACAACGCTCGGGTGTGCAGGTCTGCCACCGGGGCCGGAGCAAGTCGCTGGTGTAAGAGAGAGTCCATTTACAGAGTCTCTTCTTTGCCTCGGGGGGTTTTCGTTCTACAGACTCCTCTTCAACATGCTCCTACGTTGGCAGCGAGTTTATCCTCCCAGATTCGCAGCGGAGGTGGTCATGTGGCTGTCTAGTCGCCTCACATCAATCGGCTCTGTTCGCCATAGTGAGCGAAGGTAGTTGCATAGATGTTGAAGATATCGACACCCTACTGCATGAAGACAGCAGAGTCAGCAAAAGAATGTTTTCTCTCTCAACAGCCATTCCCTCTGCGGTCCCGAAGGGCCTATGGAATGTTCACTTGTAGGTAGAGATGCAAATTCGAGATACCCTCGCATTTCTTTCTGATACATTACGTACGATGCTCAGCGGTTGAACATTCTCTTGTGCATGTCTGTCCCGTTCAGAGTCTCTGTACAATAGCCAAGGAAACACTGAAAGCTGTGGGCGTTCTTTGCCTTGCACTATCCCCCGACATCAGCGACGCCACGTTCACTGCGACCCTCATGGGCGATTATCTTGTCAGCGATACTCCTGAAGTTCCTTGCAAGAACCACCACGACAATCTCCAAGCATCCCTCTATCCATAAAGCTCCTTACGCTTGTGATCTATAGCTACGATCAAGTGATCGCGCAGCCACTTTGCCTCGGCGTATATGTCGTGATTTCGGCTCACTTGATAGCGTGGAGAGACATCGTTCCACCACATCAACGAGCTTCCCATGACAAGATACGGGCATTTGTCTGCTCTACAGTCGCAGCGAGGTCCGGTATTGATTAGGCACTTGCATAGAGCACAGTCGAGGCAGGTCCTGGTGTTGCAGGGAGTAACAGCCCAGAACACCGATATCGAGGTCTGGCATTCGCGGCATTCCGGATCCCCTCCAGTGTTACGTTCGAAGGCGCCGGGCATAGGTGGACATTTGACGTGCTTTTCGGGGCGGGCTTCGAGATCATCCGTCGGGCAGACGCATTGCTGGTGATACGTTGCGAGCGACTGTCCACGCGCAGCTGCAGCGGTTGTAGCATCGATGGCTTGTGTTTGCAGCGGCTGAAGCAGGCGGATCCTCTCAACACTGTGCATCTTGCTCAGGCTCTCAAGAGGCATGTTGAGGCGGAAGCCAGACTCACGGTATCCCTTGAGGCGACCGGGAATGATGATCCAAGACGGATCATTGCKGCCTTTGGGAGGTAGATCTCTGCGATGGACATAACGACATTCTTCGTTCGGGCACTGATCCTTGAAGGGGCTCAGAATACACTCTCGGTGGACGCATGGTTGTCCGTGGAGCTCGCATTGATCGCATACTGATGCTTCGGTGCACCTGTGCATGCTGACATTAGCACATTTTTGGGTGAGTGGTAGAATATGGTGCTTACTTCAAAGAATGGGAATGGCAATGGTCACACACCATGAACTTRCCATAGAAGCGCCCGTCCCGCCACTGCGCCTCACCTGTACTCTGCTGCAAGATGTCAGTTGCGGTCGTTACATTCTCTGCAATGTGCTTACGTTATTCTTTTGGAGGTCTGGCTGTGACTGTGGAGCGGGCTGGGTTGAAGGTTGCGGCGGTGGCTCTGCGGCATCCCGGGCGCGGGCGCGGTATCGTTCGCGAAGTTCATCCTCCTGGGTACCAGTGCGCTCTTCAGGCGTGAACTCATGTGTGAAGTGCTTCTGGTGTCTACCCCAGGCGTCTCTTGTATTGAGCCAGGCTTCCCAGAGTGCATCTGCAATGCCGCCTGAGACTCCATCTGTAGGACGAGGCTTCTCAAAGAGGTTCCAGAGGCTGTCGTATGGCAGGCGAAATTCTTGACAATCCTCGCAGTGACATTCAACATTGGGCGGAGGAGGCTGCGCTGTGCATTAGCTATGCTTCTCAAGGACGCATGTGTTAACCCACTTTATCAGTCTCAACAGCGGGTGCCATGCCTGCGGCTCGAGCGGTGCGGCAGACGATGTTGATGATGGAGTTCAAGATCGCTGTTGATTTTTGATCAATGGCAAACAGCAACCGCATTTCGTGGCGTAGCAACCAACTCTGAAAAGATCGACACGCTCCCGACAACACGACAAGGGATGTAGAAGGATGATGAAAGATCAACATCGAGAGAGAGATGGGCCATGATGCAGGCAGACTAGGTGGTTGTACAAGTAGATGGAATCAGAACACTTACGTGGGCTACTTACCAATCCTGGGTCACCAGCATTATCCGCTCACAGATTTGAGGCCGCGAATTCCTCACGATCGTTTCTCATTGCACATCGTTGCAGCAGGGCACGCACACCACTCACTGAAAGCATAGAAAGTGCTAAATTCTTGCTTTCAACCACTACAAGATCAGCCCTGCACTCTGAATGTCCTTCCACTTGCAGTCTTCCTCTCCTTCTCCTCGGTCTCTGGTCTAGCTCTCCGTAGTACTGGGAATAGTCAGCCAATAGTTCGTCATCTGTGCCTGACCACCAATATCACCCAAGTATGCTTACCTTGAAGGAAGTCGGCTGTCCGCCTCCGCATACGGCTGTGAATGTATGCCTTGCTGGCCTTGATGTGATAGTGAAAGTAGTCACGGAACGTCTGGATGTGGGAGATGACCTCGTATCGCCGTTGCGGTGTGAGATGGCGGGGAAACAGGACTATGCAGCCATTGTCAGTCTCATCCAGTCCCCTTTCAGCAAAGGTATTGTCTTACCGAATGTGATGTATCCGACTTCTCCCTTCCCACTCTGCAATCCCTTTTGTCCCTGTAGTTCCAATGGTGGGTCATTCCTGAATAGTACCTGGGGCGCATTCTGAATTGCTCTCCGCCTCGCATCCACAAACTCCTGCAAAAACACCTTGCCAAAGATCCTGTCCGTCTCGTCTGTGAAAATCGTGCTGAATATCACTGTCACGCGATCATGCGAAGCTTTGATGTAGATAGCCTCCTGATCTCTGTAGTGAATAGCCCGCACCTCGCCTCCTTCTTGAACACCCTGTGGTGCAGTCTCGCTCGTAAAGTGGCTCGCCTGTTCCTGTAGCGTAGCGTATTCATCGAAAGCCTGCTCGAAGGGTGCAGCCATGGCATTGCGTTTCAGCAAGCTGATTCGTCTGATCAAGTCGTCCTTCTCTTCTTGTTCGGAAGGCAAGTTCTCAAGGTCCACCTGAATGCTGAAGTCATAGCCTTGCTCCGGATCGACAATGTAGGGGCCATATTCGCGCTCGAGAACGGCTTGGGCACCGTAGGTCACCAGCTCTGGGAAGCACTTTACAGCGATGGAGATGAGGATCTGAGTCTTGACATTTGGTGTAGAGATGTGGAAGGTGACATTGTCAAAGTCGGAGACGACTTGGTCGATTGAGGAGGGGCTTGAGCTGTGAAGGTGTCAGAGGTACGGCATTGCGTAAGAGCTGGCATACGACTTGTATTTACTCTGAGGAGAAACGGTCTTTGAGCAGCGACTCGATCAGCACGTTCTGATAGTCAAGAAGCAGCATGGCGGCTGGTGGAGGACGGTGTATTCTGGTAAAAGTGCAAGTCGGTGTTTGTGGTCGCAATTGGCTGCCTTCTCTTGCGCGGCAAGGTGGAGTGAAGTGGTGTCGGCGAACCCTAGGATCTGCCGATCTCTCCAAAAGTTTCTCGGAAGCAATGATCGAGACAATCTTTCTTTGCGACTCTCCATCTTCTGCTTTTGAGGCAAAGCGGGACGATGGTGAAGAGCTACAGGAAATACGAGGCTGCACAGGTCTTCAGCACTGTATGTACGGCCTCATCCAACATCGTATGGACGCCTGATGCATCGAGCCGGACGGGACGAGCATTCGCAGGYGCAAACGAGGAAGTGCTCTGCTGGGATGTCAAAAAAGGCGAATTACTGTCGCGATGGCACGACAAGGACAATAAGAGCGAGGTCACGTGCATATCGCAATGTCAAGTCCAACCGGATCTGATCGCGGTGGGATATGCGGATGGATCCATACGGATTTGGGACGCTCTGTCCGGCCAGATTGTAGTGAGCTTCAACGGACATCGCAGTGCAGTGACCCATTTGCAGTTCGATCAGGAAGGCTCACGATTGGCCAGCGGGAGTAAAGACACGGACATCATCATCTGGAATCTGCTCTCCGAAACGTCGGAGTTCAGGCTACGAGGACACAAAGATCAAATCACCGGACTGGCCTTCCTGCGGACACCTGTACCTGGACTTGCAGCTTCTGACGATGAGTTCATCAGCGAGGACGTGGAGGAAAAGTATCTACTGTCAACATCAAAGGACGCTTTGGTGAAAATTTGGGACCTCACATCACCGCACTGCATCGAGACGCACGTTGCGCAGACCAGCGGCGAGTGTTGGGCATTGGGTCTAAGCCCGGATGGTGCTGGCTGTATTACCGCTGGTAATGACGGAGAGCTGAAGGTTTGGCGGATAGATACATTGGCCCTGGCACAATTGAGCAATACTGTAAGCGAAGGCAAGACGCTGGATGTTCTCACAAGTCAGGGCRTCATACGTCGGCAGGGCGCAGACAGGACTATTGGCGTGACCTTCCACCCCAATCAGGATTACATCGCGATTCATGGTTCGGAAAAGGCAGTCGAGATCTGGCGGATACGATCTGCGGACGAGCTACATAAACACATGCAGCGGAAGAGGAAGCGGAGACGTGAAAAGGCTGCAGCTGCAGGCGAAACACTCGTTCCGGAGAAGGAGGAAGATCTCGAGAAGCCAGGAGTCACCGACGTCTTCAGTCCATATGTGATTGTCCGCTCGGGTGGTAGAGTACGGTCCACGTCGTGGGTCACATCAGGTCCAAAGGCTTCGAAGACTGTGCAAATACTGGTTGCGACTACCAACAATCTGTTGGAATTGTACAATGTAACGAGTCAGAAATCTGACAAACGGGAGGTTGAGTACGCTCGCTCACTTGCCGTTGAGCTTCCGGGTCATCGCTCTGACATCCGTACCCTTGCACTCTCTTCAGACGATCGTATGCTTGCCAGCGCTTCGGCGGGTGCGCTGAAAGTATGGAATCTCCGCACACAGTCTTGTCTCAGGACACTCGAATGTGGACAAGCACTCTGCTCTGCCTTCCTCCCTGGCGACCGAATGGTATTACTGGGTACGAAATCGGGAGAGCTGGAGCTCTACGATATCAGTACGAGCACCTTGATTGAGAAGATCGCTGCCCACGATGGTCCAATCTGGACGCTAGCTGTAAATCCGGATGGGCGCTCAGTCGTAACAGGATCTGCCGATAAGAGCGCCAAGTTCTGGCGATTTGATGTGGTCGACGAGGAGATTCCCGGCACGAGGAGAACGACGCAAAAGCTGAAGCTTACACAAACACGGCAACTCAAGGTCTCTGATGATGTGCTCTCGGTGTGCTTCTCGCCAGATCTCAAGTACCTGGCGCTCAGCACGTTGGACAACACTGTGAAGCTGTTCTTCGTCGATACCCTCAAGCCATACCACATCTTGTACGGACATAAACTCCCCGTACTGAATATCAGCATAAGCAGCGACTCGAAGCTGGTTGCAACTTGCAGTGCGGACAAGAACGTCCGCATTTGGGGACTGGATTTTGGCGACTGTCACAAAGCCTTCTTCGCCCATCAAGACAGTGTTATGCAAGTTGGCTTCATCGCGCATCCTGTCGAGCAGGAAGAGAGACATACAGTCTTCAGCGTGAGCAAGGACGGCGCGCTAAAATCTTGGGACGCGGATAAGTTTGAGCAGATCCAGAAGCTGGACAGCCACCACGGTGAAATCTGGGCAATGGCGATCAGTCAGACTGGTGATACTATCGTCACAGCCTCGCATGATAAGAGCATCCGACTCTGGCAAGTCGGCGACGACCTCATCTTTCTCGAGGAAGAGCGCGAGCGCGAACTCGAAGAGATGTACGAGTCGACCCTCGCCCAGAACATGGATCGTGACTTCCAGGATGAAGATGAGCAAAACGACGACGTCGCAGCAGCGAGCAAGCAGACCATTGGTACTCTTACTCACGGTGAGAAGATCATGGAAGCACTCGAAGTCGGCTTTACGGATCTCGAGCTCATGCGCGCTTATGAGAGGGATAAGAAGWCCAACCCTAAAATGGCTGTGCCCCAACGCGATCCCGTCTTCCTCGCACTTGGTAACATAACCGCGGAACAGCACGTCTTCCGCACACTCAGGAGAGTACCTACACCAGCTCTCAACGACGCTCTACTGGTCATCCCTTTCAGCATGCTTCCCACCCTATTCACATTCCTGGCCATCTTCTTGCAGAAAAGAATGCAACCTGAGTTGGCTTGGCGGATCAGCTACTTCATGCTGCAGGCACACATGAACCAAATCGTGGCGAGCAAGCAGCTGAAGCCCATGCTCACAGATGTTTACGAGGCGTACGAGGCCTGGGTGGAGGAGGAGCGGAGGGTGATGGGTTTCAACCTCGCAGGTTTGGAGATAATGGGAAGAGAAGCGCGGGAGATTGAGAGTGGCGATTACGTGGATGATGTTGTGGAGGAACAAAAAGCGGATGCTGAGAAGGGGAGGAAGAAGAGGGCTTTCGCTAGCGTGGCATAGATGTATAGTCGGTGTACACTCAACGCAACATTGCTCGACTGTACGTTGCTTTGCTTGCAGTTGCTGAAGAGCATAGAAGAGATATTTCTCTTAATCTGTACGGACCGTCCTCGTTGCATCCTATTGGTCATTTCTTATCGACGTTGTTCAAGCGGACTGTCAGTGCCTTTCCATGTTGAATCTGAAGACATCACTATGCATGTTTGTCGCTGAAACGGCGTCAACACCGTCAATAGGAAATTACAGCACAACATCGAGAGAGAGGAAGACGTTTAAACGTAAACGACTGTCTAGAGACCCTCCCGGGTACGAAGTATACTAAGCATTCCCCGAGAGTCACCTGCGTCGAAGCTGAACGTCGTCAACCAGTTAACCCAACCCTAACCCTATGGCTACAGCCATGAGCCAGAAAAACGAAAAAAATGGAACACCGGTGTAATCTGATCGGCAGCGGTTCTGTTGCTTATCATTCCAGTTATTTAGCACTTATTACCCACTTGGGGAATTCAATTCGGACAGTTCTCCGACCCATTGTTCACATAGCGGAACCTGGAACGTGAACTAAGTCACGGACCTCAGAGTGATCACCATCTCTATTCCCCTCTTGCAGATCATCTAAGCACCTAGACGACGCCGTCACGGGCGATAGCGTCTCCCACCGGCCAGAGTCAGAACACAGTTTCGCATTGAACGTTCACTCGCTCACAATCTACCGCAGCATGTGGTTGCACTCGGCACCCGGTTGACAACAACCACCACATACTCGGCGTCCTCGGAACATCGAGAAAGACACACTCTCACGCGACACATTCTTGACGCCCAACATGGCCTGCTCACCGCCCTCGTCGCTAGCAGCGTCGCCACTACATACTGCAGGCAGTAATGCACGCTTATTCCAACCGCCGAAGTCTCCCGTAACTACGAATGTCACACCGTATTATGCCAATGCCGGCGACTATTTCTCCACGGGCTCAAGAAAAAGGCTGCGTCCCGACGCCTCAAGAGCACATGACCGATACCTGGATCAGAATCACAGCCAACCACACAATCCCCGAACGACCTCGTGGGCTGGAACGCCAGCCTGGCAGTTATCAACACCTACCGACTCCATTCATGGGAGTCCGTTCGAGGAAGATTCCGCATTTGTGAACGAACGATACCGGCTGGCCGGAGGATTTGACACACCGTCTCTACCCCAGGAACCTGTCATTGAAAACGAGCACGTGTTCCGGCGGCGGCTCAGAGACGACGATATGGACCGCTTCGTGGGCGGGGACTGCGTCTTTGGACCTCTATCACGGGAACGCAATGGCGTCGGGAGGGTGCTAGGGACGGGCAATGGAGAATCTTCTCGAAACACATGGACCGGATTGGCGTTCGGCGCAATCGGGATCGTAGGCAAAGTGTTTAGCTTTGGTACGACTGTTGTACGAGGATTCTATGCGGGCGGCGGAAAGGGCTATGATATACACAACGAGACATCGCCTGGACTGGTCACACCGAACACTCTGCTACGCCAGGCAGCGGCATCATCGATTCCTGGCAGCTGGGCAAATGAGGATGAGCTGTTGGGAGAAGAGGAGCCCTCCTATTTCACATCTCCTGCCCAGGAGATGCCATCAACCACCCAGGAGATGCCATCAAACAAGAGGAGACAGACGGATAGAGACGAATGGGTAGTGATAGGAACCCCTGACACGGAAGAAGGACCGAATGCAAACCTGAAGCGAAGGATCTCCAGTAACAACGTGCCGCGAAGCAGTCTTGCAGTGACCGCATCCCGAGCATCAAGCAGACGGAACCTTGCACCAGTCACACGACGCCCGAGCTCGTACGCCAATGTTAATGGCAGTCCGGCACAGCGGAATGCGCAGCCGGGCGGCGGGCACAGCAGACGCGCTTCGATTGCTCCTTCGCGCTCTCCACAGGCATGTGCACGGCCGGGCAGTGGTGGCTCCGCAGCCAGTCAAATGAGTCAGGAGACGGAGCGTTTTGCAAAACGTCAGGCGAAGCAGGAGCGCCAAGTCGATAAGACCATGAGCTCAATGGAGCAGCGAATGAAGGCTATGATCCAGCAAGCTCAGCAAGCCCTCGGAACAAAATACTCAGTGGAGGGCGATAACAATATGGACTTGGCTGATGACGGTTTCTCAAGCGATGAGGGCTGGTGATCTTTGAGGAATGTGAATATGTCTGAACATCCAGAGCAGTCTACGAGGGGGTTTGGGATGAGATTTGGCGCAAGATACCCACGAACGAACGGCCTGGGAGTATAAGTACTCATATTGCTATCTATATTGTTGTTTGAAGATACCCACGGGGAAGCAAGGGCGCGGGAGTGAACAGGACCGCAGTTATGAGACGACGAATTGATTTCATGGTTACCTTCCTTTTCACAACAATCCTTTCACTCACATCCACAATTGTATTGCTATTCCATTTTCAAGGCCTCGTCGTTTACGAGGTTCGGCAACATCTCCATACTGTGAGGGCCGAACCCCGGGCAGCTTACATCCATGGATGCATTTGACGGAGAGCCAGCGTACAGCATCTCTTGGCAGCGGACGGTGTTCATGATTATGAAGCGCCCACTCTCGGAGCGATTTCGYGAGAGTCGATTCGCCGCCATCGCACGAGCAGCAGGATGCTCGGAAGGACTAGAAAACCTCTGATATAAGACGCACTGTACAGGGAGTTGTTGCCATTGACGAGCACCGAAAGGCCGATGACCCCATCAATGCCAATTTGCATCCTGAACAACCGAAAGTACTGTATCCATACCCAGTAGGTATGAATGCGTACTCCCGAGTGACAGGCTTCGATTCCTCGCGCCGTGTCGTGAATATGTGCTCCAAAAGTCCACATCCTCGTTGTTATGGAAACGCGGCGCAGACCTCCTGGCGGACCAAGCGCCCCTTCAGACTAGTCCTGACCGTCCCAAACTCCCAGTCGGAGCATCCTGACAATTGCCTTGTGATTCTCGCGAAACACACTTCTCCAATCGAAAAAGACACAGCCCGCACAGCAACGCATCTGAAATTCCACCGGCGGCAAGAGCAAGTTACAATGGTACGTGATCATCCCGACCTTTGACTGGTCCCTGAGATGCGCGGCCGCCTTCCTTCAGTCGGCTCGGGCCAAAGTCAACAAGCAAAGCACGAATCAGCTGAGGAAGACGGGAATCACATCACCTCACGCTCTGTTGTCTGCTTCGCTCGCCGAATCTCACGCGCATCWCCCACAAACATCGACTGACAAAACATGGCGGATCAGGCGCAAAGCACAAACTTCAAGGAGGCCTTCTCGTTATTCGACAAGCGCGGCACCGGACGTGTGCAAATCGACTCGCTCGGCGATTTGTTGCGCGCATGCGGACAGAACCCAACGCTGGCGGAGATCAAGGATCTGGAGCACCAGATGGGCGGCGACTGTGAGTACAGCGATCAGAGGGCACGCGATGGATCGCTCGTGGGCCAGCATGCAGAAAAATACATGGGAAGGTGACTGACGCGAGACACAACAACAGTCGACTTTGACTCCTTCACCCGCGTACTCAACCGACCTGGCGGATTCCGTGATCCCGGCGAGCCAGAGGAATATTGCCGCGGTTTCCAAGTCTTTGACAAGGACTTGACGGGCTTCATTGGCGTCGGCCAATTCCGCTATATCCTGACCAACCTGGGCGAGAAGATGAGCGATGATGAGGTGGATGAGCTGCTCAAGGCTGTGGATACCAGCAGTGGAGAGTTGAACTATATGGGTAAGTTGGCAGTATCGTAGTAGTGGGGACATGGAGCTAACAACTTCATTCTAGACATGGTTAAGATGATTTTGCAGAATTGAGCTGCAGTCTTCTTTTGGGATGGATAGGAGTATTTGGGTCTCAAAGGGTTTGCTGGGGTGTATTGAGAGCGTTCGGCGTTTGGGACTGGTCTTCGATATGAGATGAAACATCAAAGACTTTCAGGCTTTGGCTGGCTATGAAACATGATTGAGTGTTGACGCGGCGTAACAGCTATGTAGCCGAGGATTCAATGTGCACACGAGTTCCCAGTTGAGTCACGAGTAGGACGACACGGAGAAGCGGGCTGAGTGGCAATGCATTTTGTATTGGAGTCTGCCCAGAAGAACATAGAGCCAGTCGTGAGAAAATTAAATCCTATCTAGACAACCAAATTCTTCGCAGACTCTTCATACGTTTCAGCAAAGAACTTCAAACCTTCACACACTCCCCTGATAACATCAAGCCTCCTCTTTCACAGAGACGCCCTCACTAAGCACCTCCGGAAGAGCCTTCCTGCCGGCAATGTGAGCATGAAGAGCATGTCTCACCTTCGAAAGCTTCGTTTGCAGCTCACGCGCAGTATGCTGCATATCCTGCAGCGTTCCCTGGTCGAGGCCGGACGCCGCCATCTGCTTCGCGGCTCCCCCCAAGCCAGTGTGCGCATGAACCATGTGTCTTGCCTGCGCAAGTTGGGCTTGCAGAGTGTGGACACTGTGTTGTAGATCTTGCAGGACTCCTTGGTCAATTCCATCTGGAAGTAATGCCATCTTTTTTGCACCAAAAGCACGAACCTTGCCGAAATACGAATGGACCGAGAATCTTGCTTTCGCGAGGCGAGTCTGCATTGATTGGACGGTTTTTTGTAATTCTTGGAGAGTATTTTGTTCATCTGAGTTCGCCTCTGGCTTTTCGCCCTCCACATGACCAGACTGGTGGGCATCTGCGAGTTGTGACTTGTGCTGAGCCTGAGCCAACTGGGCTTGCAAAGTGTGAATAGTCATCTGTACGTCCTTGAAAAGGCCCTTCGGAGCCATGGCCTTCTTAGGCGCCGCTGCGATGCTGCCTTCGAATTCCAGATTTACGGCCATAGACTCGCGTCTTGCATGTGGCGCGTCACCGCAAACTGGTCTGACGTAATTGTCCCTGTTTTCGACTTTCCATATTGAGCATCCGGAGACGAGTTTGATTGTCGCGATCTGGTAAGTCTGCGAGTTGATGTTAGCGGGGGTTTATTATTCACCTGAGTGCGATTGATTGCTTACGGTTTCGTTGCCTTCGTCTGGCTCCCACCCCTTGCACTCCGGTGCGATGACTGGTTGGTTGTGTTTGTCTCCCTTTTCGACTGCGTGGACTTTCCAGCCGGCACATACTTGGCCTGGTCTGGAGACTTCCTCAAATTGTACGGGTGTTCCGCCTGGTACGCCGGGCTTAGTCTTTTCTCGATCGCCAGGGATTGGTGCAGCTGTGGCTAGTGCCGCAAAGGCAAAGGCGAGGGCATGTACTCTCATGACTACGAAGGTGACGCTGTCTGCTGTGCGTGTGGTTTTGAGAGAGGGAATTGGTATGGCTTAGAAAAAAAGTTATTGGAAAGAAGATGGAGAGAAGTATGGAAAGGGAGAAACTGAGGGCAGACCAAAAACAACGGTTGGTAGACTTGGGTAATGGTACTTCACTCCATGGCCTGGTACAGCCAGTCTGAGTCTCGACAACTCTAATCAGCTGAGTCTGTCTCGTCAAAGTGTCGAGCCTATGCGTCCGGTACCACTAGTAGATCATGACGAGCCAGAAACAACCTTCGGCCCCGGATGGAGGCGGCATAAGTCCAGAGAATGCTGCCAAATTTCGAGGTTGACTCGCATGAACTGCTTGTTGCTGCTTCGGTTTCTTGTTAATCGAGAAGCATCGCATCCATTMAAAAGCGGATCTCTCGTGAGAGGGTTCGCACGAGTTCAAACGAATGAACGGCCCTCAACGGCGAGCCCTGCCGAATGATGTGGTTGTATTTCGTGTTTGGAACATCTCCCGCGGGGGGGGCGTGTACAATTGGCGTGTCCATTACAGCTTCCCAGTACCGTGCTCATCCTTGGACATCTCTTCTCGTAACCATTGAGCCTCCTTGTCCATTTCTTCCTTCGTCCTTGGCTTCCGCTCATTGTCTTTGACCCACTCGCCAGCTTTCCGCTCATCCGCCTGTTTCTGATGTTGTCCAACATTGCCTTCCTCGCCTTCCAGCCATTCGTGGACCTTATCATCACCGCCCGGATCGCCTGTAGTTCGTGGAATCACATGACAGTGTACGTGAGGTACACTCTGGCCTGCAGCCACGCCGTCCTGTACTGCTACGTTGAACGCWTCGGCCTTGTAGACACGCTTTAAAGTGCGTTGAATACGCGTCACTGTCAGGAAGAGGTCGCTGATCTCGTCCTTGGTCAGGTCGGAGAGATGCGGCTTGACTCGTAGCGGCGAGACAAGAATGTGTCCAGGGAGTAATGGCTTGAGGTTCACTAGAGCGAACGAGTGTTTGGTGATATGGAAGACCTACCGTTCGTCCTTAGCCTGTGTTGGCGGTACTTCTAGAAGCATGGCCGTGTACCTGAGAGGTCACATTGAACGTGCCGAATGTGATACTCCGGCCTGGAAAGGGAGGCATCTCGTCGGTCTTTTGCTCGCTCATTGGGTTAGTGGTGGTGGATATGTTCAAGGCAACGCTGTATTCCGAAGCGTGGGAGGGTTGTCGCTGACGTCAAGCTCCTTTGACGATCGAAGGTCCACGTGCAGTACATGTGCGGTACACGATGCTATCGGCCAATACAGTGCCATTCCTAGGCGTCGAAGGCAACAGAACGATGCACGACTCAATGTTAAACGACCTTTCGCCAACATCAAAGCTCTCAGTTCTGGTGTCGAGTTCTGGTACACAGCATCCCCAGGACAAACCCTACCTCCGAAGAGCCTCGAAATTTGAATCTGGATATGGCCTCATTCACGCCATGCAGAAGCACAAGAGCCGGTGAAAGTGAGAGTTGCCGCACTACCTTTAGCGATGCAAGAGTCTTTTTTCGATAACAACATAACACGACCACGGAGATGCGGTCTCATGGGACACTTGACTGCTTATTACTCTTTATATCATGACTACCTAGTACACACCCRCGAGCGTAGTCGCCGATCCACTGCCAGGAGAGGCTGCAGTCTTCATTAAAGTGTTTCCCCGTGGCCAGCCAAAGAAAGGCAAAGAAAAGAAAAGAATCGCATTGAGGCCTCATGGAGCGTCCACATCTGCCGCCATAGGAATCCCCCAACTCGTGAACGATTCTCAAGCCTCATCACCTTACCACACATTTTCAAAACGGGCGATTTGAGATCCGAACACGCCGCTTTCGAGGCCCTGAATAAGGCCGACCAACCATTGCAGCTTGGATAAGAGGTGGCCGCCCGAAACTACTTCTTTGGAAGCACTTCGCCGTCGCAAGCCCCTCGTCTAGCAGCATCCCGCAATCAGGCGCAGTCCAAGCCCCGAGGGGGGTGAGGGTCCTTCTGGTGTGCATCAGTAGTTCAATCTGGCTTGAACGATCTGCTCGATTTCTCCTGCGCCTGCAATTCATTGTCCATATAGGGGAGAATCCAAACACTTGACTGGAGCACTTCGCGTTCAGTAAATCTTGAAGGTAATAATAAGACTGCGTGCGAGGTTCGCAGATAATCTCTAGCAAAGACAATCAATTGTGCATGTATCAGACGCTGTCGACGCGTGACGGTGTCTCTCTCTCCAAGCATGAAAGTTGGCATACGCGTGTTTGTTCAAGAAAGTCATTGATTGCTGGCATCGATACTTTTTATGATGCAGAGCTTTCAACCTGTGAGTGAGCTGGTCACGTTTTGGAGAGGGAGCACCCGCGGTACCCCATTGCGAAAAGAAAAGATTGACGTTAGCGCCGATCGCTCCCCACAATCTTCCGGTAAACCCTCACACGACAGATTTTCATCACTGGCATCCTTCGACAACATCCACTCGCAGAATCGCTCCTCACCACGAAGGATATCGCACACCCATGCTGCCGACATGGTGTCCTTATCAGCGACCCCGCCCGTCGGCGCCATGCTCCCGCCGCCGACACCCATTGTAAAGCGGCCGACGCTCGGCTTGAAGCGCGACAGTTCCTACCTGGACACGGACGATGAGGCTGGACTCACACCCTCAGCAAAGAGATTGAAAGTCGCATTCAGTGATGATGTTGATGTCCGTATCATGGATGATTGGAATGAAAAGAGCTTCGAGCTGGTGAAGGAGGAAGTTCGACTCGGCATCTCGCGCCATCTTGCAACCGACGAGCAGCGCGACGATACACAATACGCGCGGCTTCTGCACATTCTCAACCAGGATGCTTTTGCGGGTGACGCTCCGAGCACGAAGCTGCTAAAGCGCTACATCATGGCCATCAATTGGCGCATAACGGYGCTTGGCGAATGTAGCAAGCTTGTGCTGGCCGTGTTGGATCTCTCCTGGTTGGGGCGGGACGACGAGTTTGTGGAAGTCTACACCAAGTTTCTGGTCATCCTGGCAAGCACCCACTCCAAGTTCATTTCCCCCATGATGGACCGACTTGTTTCACATCTCGAAAGACTGCCCGCCTCAGCTGGACGACTGCCCGGCGAAGATCCTGTGACGCGCGCCACAATGTTTGACAGACTACACGCTATCCTCCAGACGCTCTCAAGACGTGTACCCTCGACCGCGAGTGTACTCATGCGAATACTGAAACACCAGTTTCCTACCGACATGTCCACTGCAAAGGGCCACCTTCAATACCAACGACACATCTTGCGGATTGCACACGAGCTGCCGGAGTTGAAGACCGAGATGATGGCGTTGATTGTACAACGACTGGTCAACATAGACGTGCAAATACAGCAAGATATTGATGAGTTGGAGGACGATGAAGAAGACCGATTCCTACAACGCCCACAACTGGGAGGCAACGCTGGCGATCCATACGACTCTGACGATAGCGATGTCGAGTCTGTCTCGGAGTCCGAGCTGACTACGACTGACGATGAGACGCGTATACGAGACCTGCGATTGAAGGTCGCTAAAATGGACGGCACTCAAGACCTCCTATTCGAGCACTACGCACCATCCTTCACCGCAGCACCGGAACAGCCACGGCAGAATGCTGCATAWCTGGAATTGTTGTCTCAATTCGAGAACTTCATCATGCCCAACCGGTCGAGACATGCGCAATTCCTGCTCTTCCACTTCGCACAAACTTCGCCCAGATACGCATCACATTTTGCTTCCCATTGCCTGTCGACAGCCTGCGACAAGAATGTTGCGACTACGGTGAGGCTGACCGCTTGCGCTTATGTTGCTAGCTTCGTGGCTCGGGGTTCTCTGGTTGAGCAAAAGCTTGTCCGAGAAGTGGTGAACACGCTGACCTCATATCTGGAGGACATGCGCAAATTGTACGAGCCCAACTGCCAGGCACCAGATCGGAGAGCATACAGCATATACTACGCTATTGCGCAAGCGATTTTCTACATTTTCTGCTTCAGGTGGCGGGACTTGGTTGTCGGATCATCAAACTCACAACCCGAGGACGCCAATATGACCGAAGAGGACATTCTTGCAGAAGGGCGCGATCTAATCTGGATTTCCGGATTGAAGGAGATCCTCAATCGAAATATGCATTCGGTTCTCAATCCGCTCAAGGTCTGCTCCGCCGCGATTATTGGCGAATTTGCAAAGATTGCCAACCACCTGCGTTTCCTGTACGTTTTCTCTCTTCTAGAGCGGAACAAGCGTGTCCGGCTCGGACAAGCGCACGTATACTCACGAATGGGTGGTGGAATCGACATCGGACGTAGAGAGACTGCCTGGGACCGCAAGACAGGAGACGCGCATCACCAGCTTGAGCCATATTTCCCCTTCGACCCATACCATCTTCCGCTGAGCAAGAGATGGATGCAAAACGAGTACAATACCTGGAAACTACCACAAGGCATGAAGCAAGATGACGAGGACGAGCAAGACGAGTCTGAGGAGGAAGACGAAAGCGATGATGACTCGATTCCCGAGGATTTGACGGGAGAGCCAACTGGGATGATGGCATCGGACGCCATTCCAATTAGCAGTTGTTGAGGCGGTGCGTTTTGTCTACAAGGAGTTTTGATTTTAGCGTTGGAGTTGGGGGAGTATAAATCTTGGTGCGTTCATAGCGGGAAACTGTCACACGTCTGGAGTGGATTTTAACGCGGAAAAGCGTATTTGTTGACGGAGGACTCACATAGCTACAACGAAACGAACTGGTATGAMTGAATTCTGTGTACTTCKGTCCTCCTCCTGGTGCTGTCCTTCCATCGCGATAGCGTCCCATCATATTCCCAGATGGTTTGATCCACTCGTCTTCTTACCCGCGCTACTGACCGTCGGCTTAGATACTCCTGCTCCAGCGAGACCCAACGGATTGTTGCTCGTACTGACGCGACCTCCTCCCACCCCAACTGCGTCTTTGAGATAGTTTCCTTGTTCTGCTACACCCTGTCCCCATCCACGAGTGGTATTTGCGATGCTGCATAGAAGAAAAGTGTGAGGCTGGCTTCCACACATAGGTAGGATTCGAACACTTGCTTACCTATTCCCAACTCCTTCACCAACTTTGTTCACGCTGTTTCCGATTCCATAGACGAAGGAACTTGCGTAATTCCCCACTCCAGCAACGCTGTTCTGTACGGTTCTGTTGATCCAGTTGCCGGCCTTTGGTGCTTCCGCTGCTTTTGCTACAGATTTGGCGGGAGGTTTGGATGGCCTCACGGGTGTCTTTGGGATTGGCTTCTTCGCCGCAGGGTTCTTGATCGGCGGAGAACGTACTGTTGGTTTGCCAGTTGGTGGAACAGGTTTGGCTCGAGGGTTAGACATTTTATTGTGAGAAATCAGTTTGATGTCGACTGTGAGAAGCAACTATGAAAACGATTCACTCAAGAGCCACCACCATGATCATGGCCGAGTCCCGTCGCCTGACTACATGACGACTTGTCAAGTTTCCTGGCAGCTTGTGGTTGCACAGAATCAACGTCACTCACTGCAGGGATAATCCACACGCGGTGACAGATCCATCCATCCATGCCAAGCCATTGCTTTCAATAAGGAACAGTCGGCGAAACGACGTTCTCGATCAGGCAGGCCGATTTTGTGCGTTCAGTAAGCTTCTTCTTGACCTTTCCTCTTGAGTCGGGTGAAAAACGGATATCGTGGGGAGTATAAGATGTGAAGGTGTAGGTAACACCGAGCGCAAAAGGCGTTGGTGGCACGTGCATATAACCGCACGGCAAGGCCCGCGCTTCGCGTCCCGCCACTTCACTTGACCTTCCTCTCCCAGGAAGAAACACACCACGGACCCGGTTTTGATTTGTTTGTTGTTCGCGAACGGTACCTCCGAACGAGCCTCTGTTGAAGAAGCTGAGATACCGAAGAATGTGTGCAATACTGACGGGCCCAAGGTGAAGAGTCAGTGTTGGGAGACGATTCGGGGGGGAAGAGTACCAGAATGATTCTCCTTTCCTCTCGAGACCAATTGTGTAAATCGCACATGTCAAACTAGCCTCTGCAAGTGAATCAATCGTAAGCAGCACGTCGACTACTAGGTGAGTAGCGCTTCCACACCCCAGCACTCAACACAGCATCATCAACCTCCTTTTCACGACTTCAATCCGCCCGCTGCTCGCTCTTGGTCATGCCCTTTAGATCAAAAAGGCATGCGAGTGATGGGCAGATCTCGAACGAGGCTGGCCTGTTGAGGGCCACTTGTAATTCTCCAGAGATACTGACTACGCCTCCACGTGCAGTTGACCGTCGACGATTCGCAAGCAGGGAGTTTCACTATCAAGACTCTGAAGCACTTCCATTCCAGGAGTCGACACCGGTAACACCGCCAAAATCTCGGAGTCGAAAACAGAGTGTCGCAAGCTCACTCTCTGAACGTAAGTGCATTCTGTGAATCTCCTGGCAATTCGCTTTTGGTGGACTTGTATGTTTTGGCGGAGTCGGTGATGTGAAGACAGTGGGCGGTGGAAGAACTGCAAATCAGTGCTTCATCTTATCCGAGTGCATTGCGATTCTCATGGGCCGTCCTGGGAGCACTGCCCGTGGCCAATGCGGTGGAGGGCATCAGGTTATGGTGCGTGTTTTACGGTACAGTGTACAGAGAATCGTGGTGCTGTCCGGTACGCTACGCGAGGGCATGATCTCCCGCATTGCTGACACATCTGATCTGATTGTCGCATCGTTACACCGTTGCGTCAAACCCGAACTGGTACCCTAGCCTGGCGATGCCAGGTCGAAGTTTCTATTGTCCTTCTATTCTGACACATCGCAGGGCTCAAAGGTACTCTTGACCAGATCTCATTCGGTAGCTTGGTCGAGGCATTCCGACGCGCCAGAAGGGAAAGGCAAGAGAAGGGCGATCTGCTTGACAGAACAGAAACCGACAAGCTCAAAAGTTTCTGGGATTTCTTTGAAGCAAAAGACTCTAATCACCCTCCACCCGCGCAAGATCTTCCGCAAGGCCATCTCAAAGTTGACGAGGCTGCCGAAGACCGTGCTACTGATCAGCAACGTCCCTCCACCAGCTGTCGTCTATCGGACATCACGGAGCGCTCCGGACAAGTTCACCCACACGGCCCAACTCTTACTACAAACATGGACATCTCTCGCCTATCGGCACCCAGCTCGAGCGTCCTTGCCGACCAGCAAGACAAAGCTCGGAGGGTGAAAGATGCCCAGGCAGTCTACCAGAAAATTGTTCGCGACGCACAAAAGTCAAATACACAAATACCACCATATGATTTCCTTGAGCTGATCGGCAAGGGTGCTTTCGGAAGAGTCTACAAATGTCGAGATCAGCGCACTGGGAACCTAGTAGCCGTGAAGATTCTGAACATTGATGAACAGGATTGGTCGTCAGGATTCGGAGCTCAGGATCCTCGCGACGAGACCATCAAAGATTTCAGGAAAGAAGTCGGCATATTGCAGCAGCTGAAGGACAACAACGTCAAGAATGTCAATGTCATCCACGATGCATTTGATCTGCACTCCCAGCTATGGATGGTATCCGACTACTGTACCGGTGGAAGCTTGCGCACTCTCCTTCGCCCTTTCGAGAAGAATGGCCGACCGGCTGGATTTCCACTCGAGTGCATCATACCCGTTGCTCGTGAGCTAGCGATAGCAGTTGCTGGGATTCACGAGATGCATATCATACACCGCGACATTAAATGTGCCAATGTCTACATTACCGAAGATGGTGAGCTTCAGCTTGGCGACTTTGGCATTGTTGCTGTGATGGACGATGTTTCGTCAAAACGCAAAACGGTCATTGGAACCCCGCATTGGATGGCTGAAGAGATGCTCGCTGGGATGGACTCGGGAACTACTACAGAAGGCTACGGCACAGAGATTGACATCTGGTCCTATGGATGTACGGTGTGGGAAATGGCCACCGGAACGCCCCCGAATTCAAACAGACATCCAATGGATGTCGGTGATGCGCTTGCAGACATGACGCCGCGATTGACAGGCGATGAATATCCTGAGGTGCTGCGCGACTTTATTGCCTTTTGTCTCAATCCCGACGCAAAGGCTCGGCCTACTGCAGCTGAGATATTGAGGCATCCGTTCATTGCGGATACCAGCATATCACATCCCACAAGTGGACTCGTCCCTCTGATCGAGCGCTTCAAGCTATGGGAGCACGGCGGTGGCTCTCGGGCCTCGCTATGGATTGCTGGTCCAGCAGATCCTCGCGCCACCGTTCATGGCGATGAAACGTCTGATAGCAACGACGACGACAGCTTTGGCAATTGGAACTTCAGTACTTCCGGGAACTTCGATCAGGCATTCGGCAGGCGTTTCAGCCAGCTGTCAAACTTAGGCCACGACGAGCAGAGCCAATGGTCTCCGCATGCAGCGGCTCTCCCTCCCCTTACCACCGCTGGTCTTAGCGTCGCAGAACGGATCAAGCGAGAGCATACTGAACTATCTGCGAATAGAGGAGAGCAGTCGCTAGCTCGTCTCTACGATCCCTACGACCCTTCTGGCTATCAGATAGCTACTCCAATCTCGGCGCCATCTGCTCCTCCCTCTCCTCCACCATCGGATCTGCCGCTGCGAACTTTCACAAGTGGCGCGCCCACCAGAGAGAGCATGATTGAGATTGATCTAAACGAGGCGGAGGTCGGCGAAACTGCCACATCGGTATTTGCGTTACACATGGATGCAATCAATGAGCAAACGATGAAGGCAGTACCCAGGCACACTCTTCAAGATGACGACGAAGACGACGACTACGGGTACGCACAGCGTGACAATGATGATCGACGTGCGACGCTGGAATGGACGTTCCCATCATCCCAGACAATTGCTGCGCCTGAACTCAAGCGCGGCACTATGGATTGGACATTCAACACAGCCGAAGCTAGAGAGCCCGATGAACCTGAACCTCAAATGGACCTGCTATCACCACGCCGTGGGGGAGAACTTCCGCCTGGCTTCAAGCCCCAGCTCAAGCATTCTGCGACTGAACCGTTGGGTCATTTTCGGACCATCTCGCACGACACTGGCAAATCGGCGCCATCACCCATACGAGAGTCCATCGGGTCCATGATTGATCTGGACATGAGCTTCGCGGAATCATCGCAGATCCGCCGCCCGTCCACTGCCAGCTCCATGGCTGGTTCGACCATGACAGACATGACCTCAGGAAACCCGTTTGACCTTGAGGACGATCAAGATCACCACGAGGCCGACCGTAGTCGGTTCTCGTATCATAAGCAATGGCAATCGGATGGCGGCCATCCCAAGAGAAGCAGTCACAAGACGATGCCAATGCACGCTCGTGGTAGTAGTCTCTCAAGTACAGGCTCCGACTTGGATCGCCGGCTCTCTAACGCCGGCGACAGCTTTCAAGATCCATCATATTTTGTGACTCAGCAGCCTTTTGGACTTGATCAGCCATTCACTCACCAGAACGACAATTCGTCCAGCGATCAATGGCCCAATTTTGATGAGTTCGAGGCGAGCCCGAGATTCAACACACTTACCGACGTCCCTAGGTTGGGAACGGCGGCATTTCCGCTGGATGCCGGTATTCAGACCAACGGCTTCGACAGTTCTTCAGCTCGCTCGCGAGCGCATAGCAGCGAGCCGACATCAGGACCGGAAATCAGCTTCCCGCATATCCAAGCACCACATCCCGACGCCTTGGATGAAGAGGCTGACCCGCGATTTCTTTACGATGAAATGGCACGTATCCTGGAGGATCTCAGCCATGGTCTAAATAGCACTCATCAGGCCTTGACCCGTTCGGCTGCTCTCGGCGAAGACGATGATGGCTACATGAGCTCTGCCATGGACGGCTATTTGAGTTCCGACATTGACGGCGGCTTCGATAGCATGAAAGATAACACCGAAGATGAGGGCACTCCTGACTACTCGGATCAGCTCACTGCGAGACGCAAACCTCGAAAGATTGAGATTCGCTCTCCGTCGCAGCACTCCCCGTAGTGAACACTTTGCACTGAACCAGTCACTGCACTGCCTCATGATATTGATCTGCAAAGAGCACGGGATTGAAAAAATACTTATGATTTTTAGCTTGGAATGAAGATGATTGTATCTTTGGGGATTGTATGATATCGCACGCAGCTACTGCGGCACACATGATACTACGGCACAGAGCGATGGCGCATGACCTACTTATGCTGCGATATGATTTATGTATACTAGCCAAGGTCAGACGTAGCAACCTGCGTCGAAAATTCAAAAGGAAGCGCACGAAACAGCTTTTAACGACGTTCCGCCACTCGTGACTCCTTCCGAATGTTGGTCGACAGCGTATGTTCGGACCACTGGGCGAAATGCTCGCTCCGTTCAATGTTCAGAGTACGTGCAACTCGGATCTAACAAGCATTGTGTGCCGACTGATGATGCTCCTGGCCATGCTCACATGATGGAAGGTGTAGAGTAGTAGAATATGCAGAGGTGTTGCAGATTCGCCGAATAGAGGAAGGAGGCTTCGCAAGGCGATCAGTAGCAATGATATAATGTAAAAGTGAAGAAGAAGAAGAAGAAGAAGAAGAAGAAGTTGGGAAAATGATGGGTTTGTCGCTCAGCCCGAAATACAGCGCAAGTTGCAATAAAGCGCAAATTGCGAGCTCCTCATGTAAGCCCGGTTGATATGGAAGATTTTCAGCAAGGTGGCGGCTCAATCTCTTCATAGCGGACCTCTTCATCTCCATTTCCTTTGCGGTTGCTCGTACAGATCCTGTGGCGGCAATGTCAGTCTTCCTGATGAAAGCCTGGATCTGTAAGATCAATGACATTCAAAGGCCTAGATCGTAGCGTTCTGGCACCAAGGAGGAATACTCATTCGTGGAGAAACGGATCATTGTATGCCTAAATGAATGCAGCAATGATGCGCTTTTCTTCGGAGCACTATTCGGACAGAGCGAGGCGGCATGCACAGTCGTTGGGGCATTACTGAATCGGGCATGTCGGTGTCATTCTCGGGCAGATCTCAAGCTGCGATACTCAAGTAAGGTTTGAGAGGCACAAGTCCACCAAGCGTCGTCAACCAGATGGAGAGACCGTTGTGGGCATTAGTGCCGGACTTGCGARACCGTAGGACCTCTAGTAGGAAACACCTTGGGAGCTCGCAGAATACGCTTTCAAAATCTCAAGACCACACGCGACGTCCTCCAAGCGAGTAGCACACCGATTCGGACGATGGTGGAAGGATGAGGAAGGTGTGTAAACATAGTTCGTACRCGTCTTTAGTCATGGCGGCCACTGGAGCATTTCGCACTCGGGTAGAGTCGCGTCCTTCGGCATTGCACATGCCATCATGCTGAACCTCGGGGCTGAGTCGGTGGTGTAGCAGCACATGGCGCCCTCGTGGTACGCGTTGGCGATGAGGTGGAGGATGATGGTGTTGATGATGATGAAGGAGTTGGAGGTGAAGAGGTCAGCAGCCATGATGGGCAAATCATGACAGGGGGTCTGATTGGGTGGAGAGCGGTAGCCGACGACGGGAGGGAAGCGGCGATCCTTTGCCGCGCTCAGAGGTCCGTCCGGTGACTCGCGGTGAAGCAAGAAAGCCGGGGTAACATTTCCTTCCTTTTGTGCCACCAATCCCACGTCTGCAGAGCCTCCCGCGTAGCAACCTCACTTCGCTAGGCGCCGACCAGCGCACATGAGAGACGTGTCCACGCGGAGGAATAATGTAGGTAGGTACCGGTCGGCCACTTGACGGCGTAGCACGCCGTCAGGGTGCTCGACCGGACCAACTCCCAGCTACCCTCGAACTCAAAAATGCTAGAGCATCTTGCACTCGCAAGGCTCGGAAAGAGCAGGCGAGAAAGCAGTGCGCATTGCCTCGTGATGGTCACCAGTCCGCAGCATTCCTATAAAGACGACTGTCAAGTCCAGCTCAACTTCAGCTTTGTAGTACAACCACAACACCCTTCTCACCATCATTAGAGAGGCCGTCATGCAGCTGCTTTACAGCATTCTGCCGCTTTTTGGCCTGGCTTCTGCCTTCCCCCCTCAAAWCCCACCGCAGCACGTTCTAGATGCTCGAGCAACTGGCTCACTTTCATCCTGGCTCGCCTACCAGAGTCCTGTTGCTCTCCAGGGAATCCTCGACAATGTAGGCTCTTCGGGTGCCAAAGCAGGAGGCGCCAGCCCGGGAGTCATTGTTGCATCCCCTTCAAAGAGCAACCCCGACTACTTCTACACCTGGACCAGGGACGCTGGATTGGTGACCAAATGCCTGGTGGACCAATTCCTCGCCGGCGGTCCTGCCAGTCTTGAGGGAACCATCCAGGACTATATCAACGCACAGACTGTTGTACAGACAATCAACAATCCATCAGGCGGTCTCTGCTCCGGTGGTCTCGCTGAGCCCAAGTACGAGGTTGATCTGACCGCCTTCACTGGCGCCTGGGGACGACCGCAGCGTGATGGCCCAGCTTTACGGGCCACTGCTATGATTGCATATGCAAACTATCTCATAAGCAAGGGCAATACCAGCGTGGTGACTAACATYATTTGGCCTATCGTGAGCAATGATCTATCCTATGTGTCGCAGAACTGGAACCAGACCGGTTTCGATCTGTGGGAAGAGATCAACAGCTCCTCATTCTTCACTACTGCTGTGCAATACCGATCTTTGATCGAAGGATCTGCCTTGGCAGCAAAGATTGGAAAGAGCTGTGCTCACTGCGACTCTCAGGCGCCTCAAGTCCTCTGCTTCTTGCAGTCCTACTGGACCGGATCGTATGCATTATCCAACACTGGTGGTGGCCGCTCGGGAAAGGACGCCAACTCGATTCTGACGAGCATCCACATGTTTGACCCAGCTACTGGCTGCAATTCCAACACCTTCCAGCCTTGTTCAGACAGGGCTCTCGCAAACCATAAGGTCAGTTTTGACGCGCTTGAGCACTCGCAATCTCCCTTTTTCAGTCTGGCCGGCATCTGAACATGGCCATTCTGCAGTTCTTTGCTAAATATAGTTGTAAATCAGGTCGTCACGGATTCCTTCCGCTCCATCTACTCGATCAACAGCGGCATCCCACAAGGCAAGGGAGTGGCGGTAGGGCGATATGCAGAAGACTCCTATCAAGGCGGCCACCCTTGGTACTTGAGCACTTTTGCTGCCGCGGAGCAGCTCTATGATGCCATCTATCAGTGGAAACAACAAGGTTCGATTGCAATTACCGCAACGTCCCTGCCATTCTTCAAGGACGTGTATTCGTCTGCTGCCGTCGGAACATATGGCTCGTCTTCTGCGACATTCACGTCCATCATAAATGCAGTCGCGACATATGCTGATAGCTACATGTCGAATGCGGTAAGTTACAATGGTGCGGAAATGTCGACTTAGCTTCTCTTCTGACACGCAATACAGCAACAATACACTCCTCAGAGCGGCGCTCTTGCTGAGCAGTATTCTCGTTCGAACGGTAGCCCACTTTCGGCCACTGATCTCACATGGTCATACGCTGCGTTTCTAACGGCCAATAATGCCCGGAAAGCGGCGATGCCAGCTTCTTGGGGTGCTGCAGCGGTATGTGCGAGGTCATCTGAAGCACTTAGTTCCGTCGTCACTAATATGTTTTGTGCAAGGCAAAACTTCCCTCTAGCTGTTCCCGCAGCTCAGCTAACGGACCGTGTGCTACTGCTACGAGCACCTTCTCTCGACCAACACCGCCAACTCCTACTTGCACCGCGACTCCGACTCTCACAAAAGTACTCTTCAATGAGATTGCCACAACCACATATGGCGAGAGTGTTTTCATCGTTGGAAGCATCCCGCAGCTTGGAAGCTGGAATGTCAACAATGCGATTGCATTGAGTGCCGACAAATACACAAGTTCCAACAACCTTTGGTACGTTACGGTCAGCTTGCCTGCTAGTGGCAGCTTTGACTACAAGTACATTCGCAAAGAGTCGGACGGAAGTGTAAGGTRCGAGAGCGATCCGAATAGGAAGTACACCACTCCTTCCAATTGTAGAGGCGAGGCCACGCAGAATGACACTTGGCGATGAGGGTTATTGAGGGCGCAGTCGATGCAAGTGTCGGAGAAGTTTGGCATTCAACGCGAGGAAAGACCGATTGGCAATCGATGGTCACTGTCCTCTGGAGGACCCGCTAGGAGCTTCGACGAGGGCTTCCGAGGTCAGTCTCGTACCACACAGCAACTATTGTGATGGTCAGAAAAGCAGKTTTAAAACAAAAAGTACAACATACGAGTTTCATGAAATYGACGACTATTGGACAAGTCTTTCATCATTCGACATGACAGATACACGGTTTCTATGTGAGACAGTTCGAAGGGGTTACTCTTCCTGTGATGTAACGACCTATGTACGACAACGAACATTCCCAACATAGCTCACAAGCCTCCAGATCTCAAACGCCCTACTGACATTCGGTGTTCCCGGCGCAGGCCATCTAGTTGAAGTAGGTATTTGAGTCCTCAGATTTGATGCGCTGCTACAAACTAATGCGTTTATCAAGGACCCATCCCAAGCAGACTTGCTCCAAACAACACCGAAATGGGGAAAAGTTGACTAGCGTGGTGTCCGCCCTGCCTGGAGTCTCAAAGATACCCAAGGATAAGCATTGGACGCATGTTCCAGCTTCAGGTGAATGACCCGCCGAACTCCTTCGACTGTGTCCTTTAGGTCTCGCTAGTTTACATGCTATATTCACTAGCGCCTTCGTCAGACTTGGTCGTAAACAAGCAAAAAGCGGCAGAGCAGATAGTTGCTGTCCTGGGAGACATTGTTGTTGCTGTCATAGCTGGAGGAGCCCGAGATGTCGTTACTTATGGCGGAATGTATAAAGGTGGGAATTTCAAAGTCTGCTCGAGAGGTCTCTCTTCTGTGCGTACGAGTTAACAAGCCAAGCCGTGGGCGATTGATGTGCCCTGTAAAATTTCGTTCAGTGGAACTCCAGCTTGGAGACATTCCTTGCGCGGATGAGAGGGAAAGTGTGGTATGTATGATCCCTAAGGCGATGTTGGAAAGGGTTGTGCAAGTTTTGCCGAAGCTCAAAGAAGTGGACGATGGTGTTCTGGGGGATGTGCAGAATAGAGGGAATGTGGACCTGTTTTTTGTTGAATATTCGAGAACATTCACTTGGGAGGATTCACTTACTTTATTTGTAATATGGGACCTTTTTGTATTTGAGCTAGTGGGTGTATATAGAGGTTCCCACTCACTCATTAGATAGGCAAGCCATCAACTCAATTCAATTCACTTTTGCTGCTCGTTCGGCTATTATAAGGACTTCTCATGCTAGGTATTACGATGAATGGCCGCTAAAGACATGCTTCCGCTCGCATTGATGATATAAGTCGTATCAACCGTACTGTTCCAGAAGATGGAACCGGGAATTAAATCAATCGTCTCAATCCAAGCACCAATGAGTCTTGCATTCGCTATAGAAGGTTTTATATATCGTTTCCATCCCTCCAGATCAATTTCATAGATCAACAATTCACTTCGGCCTCGTAACTTTCTTCATAACTATTGAATCCTGCGCCCTCATCCCAAGCTACAAATCAAAATCAGCAAACATTCAATTTTGTAAAAAAAAAAAAGAAGTAAGGAACCACATACCGTCTCCGCCGTATCACAATCCCTAACTTTAACCCCCTGATACCACAAAGAAAAATCCTTAACATCAACCCCATTGGTCCTCGAAAGTGCAGCTCTCAAAGAACTCATCTTAGTCCAACAATCCAATCGATATTTCTTACTATCCACACTCCCTTCCACCCTCAACAACACCCCAACAACGCGAGGATCATCATCAGGTTTTCGGAATCGGGTCACTTTTGTATATGTGACTTTTTTGGAAGGCGCTGGAACATCTCTGCCTAGCGGAGGAGCAGCGCAGGGATTGCGGATTAAATCGCTGGACGTCGTCATTTGGATTGCTTTTCGGAGAGCTCGGAGGATTTCTGGATTGTTTTCTGGTGCGAGGCCGGATTGGAGATCTTGGAAACTTGAGAGGGGGATTGAGAGGGTGATTTCGACGGACATTGTTTTTTATTTTCAGGGAGCTTTTGTTCGATTTGGTAATTGATGAATGGCTGGCTGGTCGGCAATTTCGTCTCTCTCTCGCTGCTCGGCGATGGGAAGAGTGTTTCTTCGAAATCTAGGACCTGGGGTCCAGCTTCCTTATTCAAGTATCGGAGACCTTTGCGTGGGATTGTGATACACAGGTGCTCTGACGTGTACATGTTGGCAATGTGGTTGAAGGAAGAGTAGACTGATTTCGAAACATGTTTTCCACAATCGGGATGGGTTTTCCGCCAGAAAGCTTCCCAATCTCTGGGATAGCTCGATGTAGTTTAGATATGGAGGGTGTTCTACAATGGATGAGCATGTGGTGTCTGATGATCTTTGAAAATTTCCTGATTCGGATTGGAAAAGTTTGGTACAATTCGAGCGTTTGCCATGGGCAGGGTGAAACTGACTGAACGGTTGTAGATCCTCCAATAATGTTACATCGATTGCTGGAGAGGATCTGGCTCGGTGGATGAAGTGTGGGACATCGATGGTTCTGTTCGATCAACCAATATTGTGCAGTGAAACAAGGCAGTAATGTGGATGCCCCCTGGGACCCTGAGGATAGAATTCCGCGCACAAAAAGGTACCTAGCTTCTAGAATGGGAACGTGCTCTTCTAACGCAGACCAAAACGACTCTCTCTAATTTTGTAGTTGTCCTCCACCAAAGCATGGCCTCATCTTCCCCTCCCAATGTCCTTCTTTCTTCTCTCTTCTTCGAAGCAAACGCTGTTCATGATTCATCATCAATCATACCCGATGATTGCATCTTCGTCATCATAAATTCATTAGAAAAATTTAACGGCCATTGCCGTTGTACGCAAGTGCGTTGGGGGATCCTGAGCCCACATTCGCGATGACGTTCTTGACCGCAAGGTCCTTGATGCGCTGACAGAGGGCAGCTGGGGAACGAGTTCCCTCAAGGCCGATGAGGTAAGCAGCAAGACCAGCAATGTGCTAGGAGATGTCAGCATATAGTCCGGCTGGAGAGTCTTGAAAGATCTTACAGGTGTAGCCATGGAGGTCCCAGAGATGGTGTTGACAGCGGTAGTCGAGCCGATCCAGGTGGACTGTCAGGTATTAGCCAATGTGTAGATGGATCGCATTCAGAACAGCTACAAATGCGTACCTGGATGCTAGTGCCTGGAGCGAAGATGTCGACAAGAGATCCGTAGTTGGAGAATGACGAGCGGTTGTCGTTGATGTCAGTGGCACCAACGGTGCAAGCTGATGGCTCAGAAGCAGGACTGTAGTTGGCGGCATTGGCGTTGTTGTTGCCAGCAGCCACAGTGACAAACGCACCGGCCGCGACGGCTTGCGCGACGGCATTGTTGGAGGACTGAGAGAATGGAGAGCCGAGAGATAGGGACAGAACAGCACGGCTGATACCGACGGTGCTGCGCGCGTTGCTCAAGGCCCAGTTGATGCCATTCAAAATCCCAGACAGAGATCCACTGCCTGCGTTACCAAGGACCTTGACACCGACGACAGTAGCACGCTTGGCCTGAGAGAAGTCAGTACTGTACCATGTAGTAGTTGTGGATATACTTACCACACCGTAAGTCGTGCCAGCAGCAGTACCAGAGCAATGAGTACCGTGGCCGTTGCCGTCTGTAATGGACTCGCCGGTCACGAAGTTGGCTCCCTGAATACTATATGGCGGTCAGCAAAGGTATTTGACATCAAGGGGCTTACTCACGCTCGACCGCCGAAATCTTGGTGTGCGGAGTTGATGCCCTGCATGACCATGTCAGTTTCACTCGCCTGAAGAGTCGACCACAATGCCACTCACAGTATCAATGACATAGATACGGGTACCAGCCCCGGCAGTGTTGTCATAAACGTAGCTGCTACCGCCGGGAGTACGGCTAGAAATACGAGCAGTGCCCCATGTTGAAGGACTCTGAGTTACGAGTGCGCGTTTGTCAACAACCGGAGCGTAAGCCTACTCTATGTCAGTCCAGAGATCCAATACCTTTCGCGATTATCATCTCGATATGCCGATATGGTCTGATTTTATAAGACTCACCTCGACAACAACATCAGCTTCGATGCGCTTGAGAGCGCCCATCTCGGCGAGAGCATCAACAACGGAATCATCGCCATCAAATGCGAAACCCTGGAAGCCACCAATGGTGTATTTACTCTTAGCCTCAACTCCAGTCTCTTCTGAGACCTTTTTCAATGTCGCGGCGAGGTCTGCATCGTCTTCCAGCTCAACAATCCAGGAGTCGGCGATACGTTGGACGCCAGCATCCTGTCTCCTGTCGATGGTAGGAAGGGCCAATACAAGCGGCAGAGCCAAGATGAAGTTGAGTGTGGCCCGCATGTTGACTTGGAGAGTGTAGTCGGAGGATGCAAAAGTATATTCGTTTTGTTGGAAGCTGTATGATGTATTGGCGGGCTGGTGATGGATGATTGAGCTGGGGAAGATGGCTTGTTATATAACGGTCTTCGAGCTCGTCGCATGTGTTGGCGAAGGGCGCTACCTTCTGTTCACACGTTCACCCACGGCTGAGTTGAGATAGCTGATCGCGTAGTGTCCTGCATGATTGGCGTGATTGCTATTGTGCAATCTACGGAGGTGAAGCTGTAGTCGCAACGGAGCAAACTACCTGCTAGATACGGTTACATTTACCCTCCTCGCATGGCACCACGAGGACAGTATGTTGGTGGTCGGGCAAGGATAAGCGGTTCCGAAGAGGTGGGTTGCAAAAACGTCCGACGTTGAAGCAGTTGCCAAGGAGCTGGAAAGATATCCGACCTACGACTTGGATGAAGAATCTTGCAKCAGGTACAGCTCTCACTGCGTCTCGCTGCTCGCCTGATCCAAAGAAAAAACTTGGCAGCCATACACCAAGACTTGATCCACCTCCTTAGGCTCCGCATTCGGCAGCTGGTAAGAAAGCCATCCGTAACCAAAGCGGTCTAGCTCTTCAGATATTCTTGGCGCTTGAGAGAGCGGCGGTCAATCACAGCTCCAAACGATGTGGTCGTCTTGACTCACCTGCCATTCGCAGCATAGCGGCCTTATCGTACCTGTTGCCGACGTTTTTTGCGCCAACGCACTCTACCCTGGTGGTGCATCTTCGGCAGGCTGACAGCTTCTAGAAGGTGAAATCTGCTGCCCTGCAATGCGCAGTCGATCTTTCTCTTCGTTTCCAAGGTGCTCCAAGATCTCTTGATTGTTGAATGAACGCGCTGTATTGGTGTCGCGAATGTCGGCGGCACCAAAGGATGTGACCTTCCGTTTTGCGCGCATGATAGGTGCAAACTACCAGGAACGGCAGTGCACCGTCGGTAGAAGATAGTCGATGCTCGGCTTTGCAGACGGATAGAACAGGGACAACGGCTCTGTGATAGGGCAGTGAAAGGCAGGAGGATTGTGCGTAAGACACTGAAGAGTGTCAAGGCAGTTGATCCAGCAGATGTTTTGTCAGCTTGGTTATTCCACAGTTCAATGCGTACGAGTCTTCTGGTTGTATGCATCTTACCAACGTGCCTACCTCCGTCAAGACTGCCATGGTCACGCCTGTACGAGCCTTCATCACAAGCATGCCACCGATCTCCGCAGATCCCGGTTGGCACTTTTACTCGAGTAGGAAGGTTCTGACTTCGTCTCGCGGCCTGTAAGGTCTAGTCTGTGAAATTTGTCTGCAAGGTTTGAGCCGCTGTGAATCCTCCGCGCTCGATCCCTCGAATCCTCAAATGTCTAGCATAGGCGAAGCCGTCTGGGTGCAGGGATGCCTCGGGAAGGATCCAAATCAGATCCTCTCCGACGACGTAGAGTCTACAGACAGATACAGCTCGTTCTCGAGCAATCACGAGCAGATTGAACACTCCACCATCCTCAGCATAAGCACTCGAGTCGGGCTCAGAATTTGGAAGACAGGCGCCACTAGATATGCTGATCCCGCAACTTGGAGACCCAGTCGGGACAGGTGGAAGGAATGTCAAAGATATGCTTGCGACACAGGAGAACAGTCGGCTTTCGGATGATTCTCCGTCTGTAGGTGGAGCCAGATTTACAGCAGGAGCGGCCGCACGCGTGGCAGGCACATCGTTTAGCAGAGGAGGAGATAGTGGTGGAAAGAGCGGGACCAATGGCAAGTTGAAGCAGATTGGGCAACTGACCAAAGTGGATCCCAGATGTTGCGGGAACTGCATACATCGTGATCCTGTCACAAAACAAGCGGACCTCTGGGCTTGAGAGAAACGGTACTTGCATTGCCCGATCCAGTGCGGATGAAAACAGCCGCTTCAAGTCCAGTCCGTACGAAGCGGCGTCCAGAATCCATCCAGCACGCATGTCGTCGGCATGTACTGTAGGTATGCTTGGATTGAGGTCCCGAGTCGCGACCATGCAGCACGCCTTGCAGCAGAGGAGCCGCAAGCGCCGCCCAGCAAATGCCAGATGTACAGCATCCTTCTAGAAGACGGCAACAGCGAATCGCCCTCGTGGACGGAAAAGATAAGTTAGCAGGGTCGGGTGTTGTGATAAGAAGCGAGACAAGCGAGGACTGTGGCGCCTCACCGCATCGGAGCGGATTGCGCGGCCAGAGTCACGTGCAGCTCAGCGGTATCCTCGCTCGTTCCAGACGAGAGGAACTCGCACTTGCAATCCATTCACTCAACAATGATAATTAATGCCGGTTGGACACGTGAAGCTGATGCGCTGCGCCTTAACTTAGGTATGTACGGAGTCCGGAGTGAAGATGCACCTCCCCTCCCAAGCTAGACTCGTATAGCCTCGTATACTAGCGTTGCACTCTAAGTTGAACTTTCAAACACGTCTGCCCAGCATCCTAGGGATTGCATCTTTCCAATCATCCCACAAACGCCAAGTTTTAATGATCAAAGACGCTAGCAACACACCATTTACACCCGCAAGCTGCCATCTTGCCCTTCATGAACAGCTCACGCGCTTTGTGAGGGAGTCAAATCGGATCTACAAGACCCTACACTCGGTTTGGACTCCAATTTCACCCCTCCCACGCATGCGATGTCGACGGTTCTCCATCACCATAAAGTGTACCTTAGCTGAGAAGCTCCGTTCCGGCTACAAAGGAGCAAGGGCGACTTACATCAGCAAATGTTCATCTTTGTTATTGGCCCTGCACCGCAATATACCAACTTGTGCGTTGCGGTTTTGTATGATGAGTGTTTACAACTTACGAACGCTTGCCGGTCCTAGTAAAATCTTGCGGGATGGATCAACAGAGGTAGGGACGAGGATATGTGACTGTCGGTGATTCCTTGAATCCGAATTGTGCAAGCTATGCATACACATAATGTGCACACCCAATCGACACACTCGTACGACACATATAGCGTCTTCTCGCATCGGGAGTTTGTCCTGATGGCCAACATAAAAAAGGCATACTCTCGCTGCGGTGTTGAGAAAGTTGACTCACTGCTGACGAGAGGCCTCTGTTAGCTGGTTTGGACAGCCGCCGGTGCGGAGAGATGCTGTACAGTCAAGTTATGAAAATACCGCGAACGGATATGGCTGGCGACAATCCTCGAGTACGAATTGAACGAGCAATGACATGTGCCAACATGTGCCAACATGCACCCATGCATACCCATGGCAATCCGAGTACAAAAGGGCTGCCTTTGCATGAGATGGGCCGATCTAAGCTTCTTCCAAACCTGCAAACATGCTGCTCACTTCCGAGAATCTTTCCACTGCTACTCTAAGCGTCGCAATTGTCTTCGGCGTGGCTGCTTTCATCCTTCCATTCTTCTCCAACTCACCAAAGGCCAGATACTTCGACTCACAATCGTGGGCAGGACTACAGAAGCAATGGTTCGCCCGGTTCCGTGCAGGCATTGCCTCTCTCACCAAGACCCAAGTCATGCTAGTTGAAGGCTACAACGAGGTACTGGCATCTATATGCACCCACTCGGCGAACTGATCCGACTAACCTGTCGTTAGTTCTCGAAGAATGGAAAGATTTGGGCCCTGCCTCAGTTTTTCCACGATCCATTAATCATGCTACCCGTCCAAAAGATTCAGGAAGTCATGGCACTGCCGGATGAACAGCTCGAACCTCATGAGGGCAATGCCGAAAGTTTCCAGCCCAAGTACACTGTCGGAGAAGATGTCGTAACTGGACCTCACACCGACATAGTCCGAAGGCAACTCACCCGTCGACTTCCTACGCTGACCGCCGACGTACATGAAGAGCTAGTACTAGGAATGGAGCAAACTTGGGATCCCCAGTTCGAGTGGAAGTCGGTCAAGGTATTTGGATCGAGCATGGAGATTGTTAGCCGGGCCGCGAACAGAGTCTTTTGTGGAACTGAGTTGTGTCGCAACCCCAAATTCCTCGATGCTACCCGGGAGCACGCGGTTGGAGTGTTCGGGACCGGGTTCAAACTCAGCGTATTCCCTCCGTGGATGCATCCTATTGTAGGACCGTTTGCTGCATATCCAGTCACGAAGAATCGGGCAATCGCCAAGCGCATCTGTGTCCCTGTTATTCGGGAAAGGGTACACAACATACTGAATCCAGACCAGGCGTTGAAGAACAACTGGGAAGCACCAAACGATGCGCTTCAATGGTTGCTAGAGGATCTAGTCGCTCGCGGAGACATCACCCCGAAGAAGATGAACATGGACTTGGTCGTGCGACAGTTGCTCTTCCTCAACATGGTTGCCATCCACACAACAAGCATGGTCATAACGAATACCATCCTTGATCTATACAGCCATCCCGATTCAGAGACATTTATTGCAGGCCTACGAGAAGAATGCGAGAGAGTCTTTGCGGAGCACCACGGCCAGTGGTCCAAGGATGCCGTCAACCAGCTCGTCCGCGTAGACTCCGTCATCCGTGAGACGATGCGCATATCCACCCTGACAGATTTCGGATTCCGACGAGTGGTGAGTCAAATCCATCCAAAACTGCCGTCATCTTTCATACTCACATCAGCTCATCATAGGTTCGACCTTCTTCCGGCATTACTCTCGCCGATGGTACGCATATTCCCCACGGCGTCATGATTGCTTTCCCCAACTATTCCATCCAACGAGACCCAGCTTTCTACCCCGAGAAGCACGACACATGGGACGGCTTTCGATTTTCCGCCCCTCGCGAACAGAATCAGGGCGCGAAGAAAGATTTGTCGAAAGTGCTTGAGCRGAAGAATCAGAATTTGACCGCTATTGGGCCGGATTTCCTCCAATTTGGTCTCGGGAGGCATGCGTGCCCAGGACGATTCTTCGCTAGTCAAGAAATCAAGTTGATGCTCGCACATATCATTATCAACTTTGATATCAGGGTTCCCGGGGGCAGACCTCCGAATTTCAATTTTGCGGGCCAATCTGTCCCGTCTGAAGAGGCGGAGATTCAAATCAAGTTGCGGCAATGATGGATGAGTTGGGGATGATCTTTCTGGTATTGATTGGGAAGAGAGTTTGGGGAATTCTGGGATAGAATAGAGTTGATTATTAGTGATGTAAATGCATTACGCTCTGAAGTTCTTGTGTGCAATGATGGCCTTCCCCTGAATCTAGCACATTGCAAACTGCCTCCGTGTTCTTCCAAGTGCACACTGTAACATATCAGCACGACAATCTCGACCACATCTCATGGCTATAATGGTATCAAAAACAGCTCTCCTTTCAGCTCGACTTCGGGTGCGTGTCGTTTGTCGCATGTCTCCTCGAATTGATGTGCTGAAGCTTTGATATGCAGCGAAGGCGATTTCGTTAACAAACTTCATAAAGGCAACGAAACTAGCTGAAGAGCTTTCTCTCTTGATTTCCTAGTTCGTGGTCTGCGTAGTTTGTAGTCGGAATCCCCTCTTAGCATATCGAGGCCAATATCACGACTCGCACATCTCCAAATCTAAACCATGGGCTGGTCATCGAACACATTCTGGAATGTAGAATTCTCACCAGGCAACAATATACTTCAGAGCAATCAGATGGATCATCCTTATAACCAGAAGAAGATAGCATAAAACAACCGATTCAGATACTCAGTAGCTACTTATGTGCAGAAACGTCCAACTACTTGGCCGCACTCTTCGCCTTCTCATACGCAGCACTAATACCCTCCGCCAACTTAGGGCTAACAATCCCCCACTGCTTCATAATCCCCTCAAACACCTCCTTATTATCAACATTGACCAAAGTGCCCGCGATATTGCTATACAAATTCTCCTTATCCTGTTGCGAGAAACTCTCATAAAACAACGCAGGTTGCTCATAGTCGATATTCTCATCGATTTGCGATTGCCAAAAGACAGTAGTACCATCAATTTTAACATCCGTCTCAGTAGCAGGTCGGCTAATCACATTGATCGGATCAATGAACTCCGCAGGGAAATTCTTGCGAGAGCCCTGGTTGCCTTGTTGAGAGAGATGGCCATCGCGGTCGAAATTCGCAACGCTCGCGTGAGGGCAGTTGACGGGGATATCATCGCCATTGACGCCGAGTCTGTATCGTCCCGCGTCGCCGTATGCGAAAAGTCGGGATTGGAGAACTGGGTCTGCAGAGGGCTCCCAGCCGGGAACGGTGTTCCCAGGGGTGAAGTGGGCTTGCTCGATTTCTGCGTGGTAGTTGGTGGGGTTCTGGGTGAGGTGGATGCGTCCAATCTCGTGGTACTCCACCCCGAGCCAGTCCTTTGTGAGGTCCAGAACGTCGTAGCGGTAGTTGGCGGCTTCCTCTTCGGTCATTGTGGCGATTCCCACGGTCCAGGAAGGGTAGTCGCCACTTTCGATGGTGTCGAATAATTCCTTGGTGGCCCAGGCATCGTTGTCTCCGGCTTTCGCGGCGGATTCGGCGGCGGTGAAGTTTTTGATGCCTTGGTCGGTGGAAAGATAGACTCGGGTGTAGACCCAGCTTCCATCGGGTTTGACTAGGCGGTATGTGTGACCGGACCATGCATCCATATGTCTGAAACCGTAAGGGGTACCGAGGTCGCTGAAAAGTCTACTCGATTGTTAGGATGGAACGTGTTAGAGTGGATGTGAACAAGCTCACCTCAGAAACTGCAGTAGAGACTCTGGGAACTGAGCTGGCCATGACCAAAAGGTGTTCCAGTCGCGGACATTAGTAGCCGGGTCCGTTTTCTGCGTGTGGATGAAACGAGGAAACTTGGCGGGATCGCGGATGAAAAAGACAGGAGTGTTGTTGAACTGATCAAAATCATTAGTCGTCTATCGCAATATCAGTAATGGAATGTCAACTCACCACCCAGTCAAGGATTCCTTGCTTTGTTCGCATCTTGATCGCTACCCCTCGAGGGTCTCTTGCTTGATCAGCACTGCCACGAGCACCTCCAACAGTAGAAAATCGCATGGTAACGGAGGTCCGAGTTCCCTTGACGAAAACATAGGCAGCAGAAAGCTTCTCGGCGTAATCTGTGGTGGCCTCAAAGAATCCGTGAGCACCTGCGCCACGAGCGTGGACGATTCTCTCCGGAACACGTTCTCGATTGAACGTAGCCAGCGTATCGATTAGATGAACGTCCTGGAGGAGTAAAGGGCCCTTCTCGCCCGCTCTTTGAGCACCAAGTGGCTGGAAGTACTGCTTGCCATTACGTTGCGTGTAGGTCAAGTCAGAGTTGTTGAGAGATGACTCCTGCTGCTTGAGAGTGGTGCCTTCGAATAAGTCTGTCTTGTACTCCTCGTTGGTGTTGTCAGGGGTCGTTGCTCGGACCAGGGGACTTCCTATCTCAAACATTTAAGGATCAGCAAATGCTTGAACAGCCAATACTGCCCAGAAACATTCTCACTTGTTAAATCAGCTGCCGTTGCCAATAACGGACCTGCCGCAAGGGCTAATAGAGAGACTCTCATAGTTGTAGGAAACTTTTCGACAWGTGGGTTGCAAACAAGAGGAAGAAGACTCTGGGACTACAAACATGGGAAAGTCTTTAAATGCGGACACCGGTCTATTCGTTATTATTGTAGCAGTCGGTCTGTCATCAGGCTCGAACTACCCGCAAGTACGACTACTGGTCGTTAATCTCGCACCTCAGCATAGACGCATTCGGTGAAAATGCAGCGAACAGGCGGCCGGGAAATGCTCGTGGTTCACCACATGTTGAATTGCGACCAGGATTAAGACAGCGAGCACATGTGCAGACAGGGTAGTTCTACCTCGCACTCACCAATCCGTGCGGAGAAAATCTCTCCGCGGCGGCATAGGGGAGAAGCATCGAATCATTCCCTCTACAACGTGCTCCTAGTGCCGGTCCCATCAACGTGCCAAGACTAATTGCCGCCCGACCAGGATGCGAAGAGTGAGGATTGATCAATCACGAGTTCGCAGTTGTCATGGACAAAGCAGAGCCAAGTTTGAAGCGCATTTGCAATTGTCCAATCTCCAAGCGACAATTGTTCTATTGTCCCTGCCGTCGATCCCGACCACGTGGAGTAATCACATGCTACTGTGCTCAGAGTGTGATGTATCATCAGAGTTCCACTTTTACAGTGGCAAAGCCATACTTGGCACACACTTTTCCAAGCAGGCTTTCTCGTGTTTCGCCAATGTTGTGCTTGGAAAATTCTGGCCAGACCAGATTTCGTTGAGTCTTGAAAGTCTTTGTACAAATCTCGGCGTTCTGGACTCCTTGACAAGCGGTCTGGTTGGTTGTAAGGTATGCGCTATATAACCCGCCAGGTGCTAGGGATTTGGCGGGGAACCGCCCTTCAGGGGTCGAGGTGGTTGAAACTTGAGCCGAACAGGAAAAATCGACTAAGAACATCCGAATACCTCGTAATTTCCTCGCGAGAAACACTCGTTGCACCTCGGAGGCACTATGATCTGGACCATTCCCATACTGATCTCTTGCGTCGAGCTACTGTGCAGCATCTCTTATCCGAAGATGAGATGATGCTAATATTCATTATTCAAGAGCGAAAAATGCCCATCCATTCGGCAACTTTCCATCTCAGCTTCTCCCTCGGTCCGACGTTAGGACATCCAATACTCCTTGTTCAACTCACAGTCGCTAACTAGAGAAAGAAGGGCAGCACCCGGCTACCGAAATTTTGCGAAATGGATTGCATMGCTGTTCCAAATGTCCAAATTGAATAGGACTATGTAAAGCTGACTGCCAGAAAACATCACGTGACTATAGAAATGAAATTTGCGTGATTAGCTCAATAGCTCATGAGGTCCGTGTCGCTTATAGCCCTATGCGACATGAGTGTAGTATGTATGSGTGAAGCTTTGTTTGAGAGACATCCCTTAGGGCTTCGGGTGTTGGGAATTGAGAGACACCCCTTAGGGCTTCGGGTGTTGGGAATTGCAACACAAGACACCGACTGTATCGATATTCCAATTCTTCAATTGTCATACGCAAACCTCGAGGTTCACGTCTTGTTCATTGCCTCATGAGACTGGCCATGGCTTGGGAATCGATTTCCCATGACACCCAATGACGGTCTCTCTACGCTGATTACCGACCACTAGGTGACGCACCACCCTTTGCCAGACTGCTCCGACGTGAAGTGTCAGATCCCACCGCCGGCATTCTGGGTTCCCGACCTGCAAGTCTCTTGCTCGTTCGACCCTCACTCGAATCATCTGCCGATGCGCGTTTCAACGAGGCCTTTTGGACGGGAGCTTGCCCAAAAGTTCGACCAGGCTGTCCAAACATAATGTTATCCGGTGTTGGGGGATCACCTGGCAGTCTTGTGCCTCGACCTGGTGCGGGAGGAGCTGTGGTGTTAGGAGGCAGCCACGCTGCATTTGCCATTTTCCCACCAAGTCCATAATTATCTACACCGAGAGGGACGGGGAACCTGCCAGCGTTCGTGGGATTTGCTTCTGCGTGTCGCAGACCTTGTGAGAGATCGTTGGCGACATGAGAGCCGGTGTGGAGGTTTATATAGTGCAGAAGTTGGAGGAAATTCGGTCGTTCGGCTGGCTGGTATCTCAAGCAGCGATACTGCATCAACGAGACAGGATCGTTAGCTTTCACATTCCGAAATAGAAACATTACGAAGGTCAGTAATATGTGAACTTACAATCGCATTTCTCAAAGTCGGGCTGTATGCCGTCTGATCGATGGAATATTGCAGGGTCCTTTCCCTCTGAAATTGGCCATTGGGACTCATTGCTTGTCGATAAGACGGATCGACACCCTTTCCCGTCAAAAGTGACCACATGACGTATCCCACGGCCCAGACATCTGACTTTGACGACAGCCCCGTCTCTGGACTACCCAGGGGCAAACCAGTAAGAGGCGGCAAAACTTGCCCCGGTTGAAGTAGTCTGGAGTTACATTGTTCCTTGATGTTGGTCAGATGGAGAAACTTCCTGTGATGGCGGATATGCTTACCGGTGCCATATACCCGATAGGTTGGTTCCATGCATACTTGGTCGCAGGAGGTTTTGGAAAGACGGCAAGACCAAAGTCGCCAAGCTGCCGAAACATGAGTGGCGGTCGTTGCAGAGTCACAAATGACATTCATTACCTTTGGAATCGGATAGTTTCGATAGACGTCGGTCGGATTATCTGCCATGAATACTATCACATGTCGTCAGCTGCTGATTTCACCATGTGCACAAATCACTCACAGTTCGGGGGTTTCATATCACGGTGCACAATGCCCTCCCAGCCTTGGATCGGTTGATCAAGATCTCCTTGTCTCATGAGCAAGCCCGCTTTGACCAGATTCTCCAACACACACCAAGCAAATGGCTCTGGGACGAAGCCATCAAGCCTGAGACCCATAACAGGCTTGTAATGATCTGAAAGGGCCGCGAGGTCGCCGTACGGACTAGCCATTTGTCATTAGCTCCAAGGTTTGGTGCGTGCGTGCGCAAGAGACAACCTACCAGAACTCCATGTATATCTTGTGCCTGAACCTATTATGAGCGACTGCCCAATTTCTGATCTGGACAATACATTCTGAGTTGGAGCATTTTTGTAATTGCACCATTGCAGTGGCTCTGAGAGGAATTGTCAGCCTTGTTAAAGTCTAATCGTTATACTCTCGCAAAGAATGCTCACTCAGTTGGCGCCGTTCCACTACTGTTCCATAAGCGCTCATCGTTGGGGTCAATATCGCTGGTCTTGATGGCAATTCTCTGTGGGTCAAACCTGCAGTCAGCAACAAGCATACTCACTCATATAAAGAGCAACAAAACCTACATCAGTCACTACTCCGTCCGCGTTCTGTCTGAGAAACACTACTGACTCGCCATAAGTACCCTTTCCCAGAACACCACCTTTCACCCAATCCTTCCCCGGATCACCAGTCATCCGTTTGTTCCGAATGACGGCCAATTGTGCCTTGAGGCGGGGGAGGTTGACAGTCTCTCCATCGAGTTCATTCTGCTGAGCGGCTTTCGTATGCGTCATCCAGTTGACTAGTGTGTCCCTGAGTGTGGCAGTCAGGAATCCATCGCTTGCAGCGGCCTGGATAGAAGATTCAACAGCCTGGGTAGCCGTAGGAAGATGGGCTCTGGCTCTTTGGAGATCCTCTTGTAAACCCACATATTGCGTGAAAACATCGTATTGACTCGGGTCGGGCGCTATCCTATCGTAGCCACACAGATTTTTGATGAGTGCGATCCTGAAATTGAGGTCTGCTTCTGCGTTCTCGTAGGCTTCTAGGCTATTATGAAACGATACTTGCGTGTCGTAGTCGAAATTTTGCCATACTCTTAGATCGTCTAGTGGACTAGGATCTGCGCCAATAGTTAGCCACTGTGCTCTCTGAAGATATGCTCGCTTGGTACGCACAGTTATTTTTGTATTCGTGAGCCCGTCGGCAAAAGGCTGTCCAATGCTCGGAGGGCACCGAAGGCGAGCGTTGTTGAGTACTCTCCATTATGGGCTTTCACAGAGCTGGTCACCGTTCGTTCTCCGGATGATCTGGCAAAATTATTGGAAGAGTAAGTCACTCCAATGCCTGGTATCAAGAACAATCGCTCGAGACTTCTTTTGTCCTTTGTAACATTCTGAATGGATTTCCGCATCCGTCGATTCCAACGTGTTGCCCGTTCTCTTTGTTTTCGTCCAGGTTCGAAATTCACATCCCCATGACGCCGAAGTGAAACGACCGAAGTTAAATGCGATCTGAAATTGATGTCGAACAACCAGCGAGAGGACTTCGCACCTAACGTGCCCAACGCCAAGCCAAGTATACAACCATCCTAGATATCCCTCCCCTCCTAGTTGAACTCCCCCACGAATAAGAGCATAATCATTTCATATCTCCTGGAGTCAACGCCTGAACAACACTAGTCCCGTCCATAAACCTCGTTCGGAAAATCCGATTGGCATTCCCAAACATGCCATCTTTCAAACTAACCACAATGAATTGACTCCCCTTGAATCTTGTCCGGATCAATCGTCCGATGTTTTGCGTATGAGACAAATCCAACGCCGCATCAACCTCATCGAGAATGTACATCGGTGCTGGGGAGTATTGTAAGAGTGAAAGAATCAGGGAGAGTGCGATGAGAGATCTGCGAAACGGTCAGTAAACCCCTCGTGCCAAACCAGGGAAGAGAATTTACGTACCTCTGTCCACCACTCAGTTCCGTCAAGCTGCTCTTCCATACTTTCCCAAGACAGACTTTCACTTCGAGACCATCACTAATGGTCTTGCCTTCAGGTGGATCCAACTTCGCGGTATTTCCCGGTAGGAGATCATTGAAGATCAATCCGAAATCCTTGTTGACTTGCGACCAAGTTTTCTCCAGTGCGGCTTTCTTGTATTCATCCAGACTCGTAATCGTATCTTCAATCTTCTTCTTATCTTTGATGACCGTCCGCWTCATGTTCTTCAATGCGGACTCTTTCTTCTCGACGCTGTCGATGGTAGCCATGACGGCCGGGTTGATCTTCTTCTTCATCCCCTGGAAGCGCTCAGAGATCAATTTGAGGTTACCCTTGGCTTCGCCCATGTTCGTTCCGCTCCAGTCGTAAGGCGTGCCCGCTCTGCCAAACGAGTTGTGCTCCTCAAGAATCCAGTCGTGCTCTTTTTCAAGATTCGTTACTGCTGCACTAGCGGCGTGTTGCGCTTTGGCGAAGTTATCAATGGCATGGCCGAGTTTCTGCGCATCAATCTTCTCGTCGGAGATTTGCTGCACTTTGCGCTTGGATGCCTTGTCAAGATCTGCAATCTCATCGTCAAAGCTGCTGAGCTTCTTACGTTCATCATTCAGCTCGGCTTCGGCCTCGTCGTGTGCCTCTTGCGCTTTAGCCTGCTCCGATTGATGACCCTGCATCTCTTCCTGGTTCCCCTTGAGCGTGATTTCAGCATCGTGCAGCTCTTCTTGAGCAGACGCGAGATCACTACCACYCTGCTCGGCTTCGATGCTAGCCTCTCTAACTTCTTGTTGCAACGGCTTGATGGCYCCTTGTGTCTTCGCCAATGCCTTTTTCAGCTTCTCAACCTCAGCTTGAAGTTGATCAAGCTTGGCACCCTTATTTGAGGAGAAATCTTTCATGTCCTTCTCGACACGCTTGACTTCTTGCTCGGCATCCTTCTTKCGTGAAGTGGCATCGACAATGACATCCTTGAGAGCCGAAATTGTGGTCTTCATTTCCATGACGGATGCAATGATGCTGCTGCTCGAGTTGCTCGCTATTTGTCCTTCTGCGAGTTGGATCTCATGTGTTTTGAGGTCGAGTGCCTGCTTGTACTTCCTCGCGCTACTCAGCTTCTGTGCATCTCTTGCCATGGCCTGCTCCAGGACGTCGAGCTTTGCTTGTTCCCTTTCCAGTTCTTGTGTAATGGCATTGAGCTTCTGGAGCTTGAGGAGGACGCCACTACCCTGCGCTGCTGAACCTCCGGAAAGCGTGCCGCTCGGGTCGTAAACGTCGCCTTCGACCGTGACACTCTTCAGTCGCACAGACGGGTCGAACGTGACCTTTTTCGCGGTCGAAGCATCTGCACAGACGAGTGTGCTTCCAAAGACAAACTCCATTGCTTTTTCAATCTCATGCGCATATCCGATCAGACTGAGTGCGAGATGAACCTTGCCTGGGGCAAGCTTTTGAGCGTTGTTGACTCTGTCCGCAGGGGCACGGTAGGAATCGATCTTGTCAAGCGGGACAATTGTGACTCGTCGTCTGAGCTTTCCGTGGTCGATTAGAAGTGACGATGTCTTTGCGCTGTCAACGACAACGTTGTAAAGTCTACCACCAGCACAGATTTCAAGCGCCGTTGACGCTTCAGTCGAGCTCTCTGGTAGTTGGAAGAGCTGTGCCACCAAACCCTTCACTCGCCGTCTGTCGAAGTCGGGAGTGGGATCGGAATAGGAGAAATCAAGGCCCGAGACTTGTCTTCTTAGCCCATCCGCCTCGCTTTGCAATGCCCGGATCCTCTTCTCAAGCTGAGACTTTTCCGCGGACTGCTCCTCTTCCTTGCCGGGTTGGAAGCCCAGCTTCTCCAGCTCGTTTTGTAATTTTGTGGCTTGAGATCGCAATGACTCCAGATCTTTGAGAAGTCCATCATTTTCCTTTTCGGCCTTCTTTGCTCGCGGTTCGTCCTCTTTGATGCGGGATTCCAGATGGGAGATCTTCAGCTTCGATTGTTCAATTTCAGTTCCTGCCTTACTAGCGCCATCTCTCGCGGCGGTCAATTGACCAGCATATCCACCATCGGAACCTGCGTTTGAGGAGATTCCAGTTTGCAGGGTTTGGAGTAGCTCTTCTTTCTTCTCGACCTCAGCTTTCTGCTCCTCCAGCTCCTTGTTGGACTGCTCGAATTGCGTCTGCAGCTTCTCATGTGCAGCTGTCTTCTGCTTCAGTTGCTTCTCCAGCTCTTTCACTGCAGCCTGGGCCTTTTGCAGACGTTCCTGCTCTTCTTTGACCGAAGCATTTGCAATCTCCACCTTGGTATCTAGCCGCACAACGTCCTCAGAGTATGTCTTCACCGCAGCCTCTAGCTCGGCAAACCTGCCGCCTTTCCTCAACTCCTTGTCGCGCGCTGCACGAACCTTCTTCGCATCTTCCTCCAACACAACAATCTCACGCTGTAGCTTCTCGGCGTTCTCCTCCAAATGTGTAGCACGCTCTTTCTTCGCTGCGAGGTCCTGTGCACTCTGTTCCATCTTCTGCTTCGACTTGACGTAATCGTAAGCAACCACCAGTTTTGTCAATCGCTCCAGATCGCTCTGTGTAGATTGAAACTCGAGAAACGCCCGCTTCTCATTCCGCAGCTTGTCCAGCTTCGGCTCAATCTCTTCCTTTAGCAGGCCCTCCAGTTCCTCGACCTTGGCCTGCTTCTTGTTCATCGTCCGCAGCGCCTTCTCGCGCCTGTCCTCAAACATCCGTGTACCTGCAGCCTCCTCCACCATACCCAGAATCTCCTGACTCTTCATGTTCAGCACTTTGGTAATCTTTCCCTGCATAATGAGGAAGTTGGGATTGTTGATATTGAGCTGCACGCTCTGGAACAGATTCTGCACCGTCTGTTGCTGYGCGCGATGGCCATTGATCAGGTATTTGCTCGTCCCGCCGAGCACAATCTGTCGCGTAACGCTGATGCTGGCATAATCCTCAAAGCCAATGGGTGACTTGGGCTTGTCACTGTTGTCGAAGACCAGTGTGACCGACGCCTTGGTAATGCCAGCCTGTCCACGCTTGTAGATCAGGTCGCTGGCACCGCCAGAGGCACGCAGCAGCTCGAATCGTCCAATTCCCAAGCAGAAACATATCGCGTCGAGGATGTTGGATTTCCCGGATCCGTTCAGGCCTGTGATCGCATTGAAAGTCGGGTCCCAGCCAGAGATGACGGTGCGCACAGCGTATGACTTGAAGCCATCGATGACCAGCTCGTTGATGCGCATGTTGTGGGGTGGAGGTGTAGAGTGAGGTGACTTCTAGTCTACCTTGTGCGCTTCATGCTATGTCAGTATCACCCTGGTCGTTCAGTCGTAGAAGTCGTGGTTGTGGGTCGTGCCTGCTGTAAACAAACATCAAAGTCTAAATCGCCCCGACGCGCAGATCCGCGCGTGGTCTGCGCCACAGATGCCACAGACCGGAATCCTCCTTGCGCCACATGGCGGACTATACATCCGCAACAACATCTTCGATAGATACTTTAATATAATTGTCATCGATGGTAGCGTCTACTGGCAACGCTCGCTACGTGCTCGCCAACACACTTTGCATGCGCGCTCACTAATGTACAACTCACGCCCGCACAAGTCTCCCCGGCGGAGAACAGTTCATTTGTAGTGTGCTTTGGTCCGCTCACCGACTTGCACACTTGAGTCACCCCACTCGCCAAATTTAGTGCTAGTTTCAAACCGCTCGGCGAAAGCGCCGTCATTTTCTTCTTATCAGATCGTATATAAGTCCCTCATCTCCGCCTCGCAAGTACACGAAACTGTGTGGTAGCAAAGGAAGCCGGCACAGGATTACGACGACGACGCAGATCGTCTTCACGCCTTGTGACTCTTTCCTCACCCCAGGTTTTTCGGCTTCTCCTGGGGACATTGATCCTGCACTCCCTCCTCTAGGCTTCTTCAAACAACCTGACATGGAACAATGGCTGCACTGGCGAGTTCGAAGACAGCCTGCGGACACCTTAAGGTGACCCTTCTCAATTGCTCCCGCCACTACTCCACAACTCCTGCACCAATAACTTCAGCAAGTCCAGGAAACGTTATTATCAATGGCAGACATTCTCGCAACTACTCCGAGGACGGCGAGGCTCAGAGAGATCTCTTTGTGAACGTCCTCAACGCAAATGCTACTCGACGAGATGCTAAGCAATGGTTGTCTCGCTTCCCAGAAAGCAGAAAGGAAAAACGTTCGGCTGCCATTCAAGACGAACGCAATGCTCGCCACATGAGAGATCAGGATCGTCTGGACAGGCTGGGAGTCAATCTGGGAGGTCTTTATACGCCTGCCAGAGCTATTGCCGATACGCCTCAGTTCACGCAGCAGGAAGGTATCCGCGATCAGCCTGCAACTTCCCCTCAGCAACCTCTCCATGTTGCATTGGTTTGCTTGAGGGGTCCAGAGGACATTGACGATGTTACTCTGGATGGTCTAGYGGTGACTCTTGGTCAGCTCGTGAAGCTGGATATGAGAATCGTCCTGGTAGTGGCTTCAAACCAACCAACAGAAAAGGCAGGCCTTGAAGCGAAGGAGCCGGTTGATGTGAAACCCATTCGGAAAGCTTTTGCTCTCCAAGCAGATCGTCTCTGCGATGCCATTGATCGGCATAACCCCGAAGGAGGCCGCGCTGTTCCCAACGCCCTCGAATTCTCAGGAGATGGAGACCTCTCGGTTGGCATGCCAAATCTGGTCATGGATCCTCTCAAGCGAGGCATGATTCCCATCGTTCCATCACTAGCATACACGGCCTCCGGACAGCTCGTCCCAGTCTGCAGTGCAGACGCCATGATAGCCATGACCAAACACCTCTCAGGTCTTGATGCGTCGAGTGGAAAGCATCCCGAAGCTGAGGCTACCGCTCTAGACCGCATCATCGTCCTCGACAGCATTGGCGGTATTCCCAGCAAAGAACGCGGAGATGGAGCTCACGTGTTCATCAACCTCCAACAAGAATATTCCGGCATCTCCTCAGAGCTCGGCGTATACTCTACCGCTCTCAAAGCCGAAAACGGTTTATCACAAACCACTCCAACAGTCTACGACCAACACCACGCGAACATGACTCTCGTTCAGTCATGTCTAGATCTTCTCCCCTCAGCCTCTTCAGCTCTGATCGTAACACCTTACGAAGCAGCATCCTCCTCCCGAACCCGCCTCCCATCTCTAGGAGCCGGAACCCGTCGACAAAAGAACCCTCTAATCCACAACCTCCTAACAAACAAACCTCTCGTCTCCTCCTCGCTCCCCACCGCTCGAAATCCCGAAAACAGCACCTCCCCATCTCCATACCCCTGTTCAGGCCAAACCGGCGCAGGCCGCAATTCCACCGTATTGCGCAAGGGGATKCCGCTCACCATCATCCCTTCAACGCACCGCTCAGTAGGTTGGAAAGTCCCAGAAAACGGAACCACGAGTCTACGATTAGAAAGTGATCCAAGGGTCGATTTCGCGAGACTAGTATACCTGATCGAAGACTCCTTTCGAAGAAAACTCAACGTCAAGCATTACCTCAACCGAATCGATGGGCGAGTCGCGGGACTGATCATAGCGGGCGAATACGAAGGCGGAGCAATATTGACCTGGGAAATGCCTCCCGGAACAAACGATCCCAAGAGACTCGTTCCCTATCTCGACAAATTCGCCGTCTTGCAAAGTTCCCAAGGCAGCTCCGGGGTAGCGGATGTGGTATTCCAAGCCATGGTTCGGAGTTGTTTTCCCAATGGTATGTGCATGTCTATCTTCTCAAAAACAAAATTTCATTCCATTCCGCAAAGTGAATTACCCGCTGACTTTGTAATCATAGGTGTCTGCTGGCGCTCCAGAAGTGACAACCCGGTCAACAAATGGTATTTCGAGCGCTGTGATGGAATGTGGCAAATTCCGGGAAGTGGATGGACGATGTTCTGGACTGGACAGGGGATTGTGGAGAATGAGGAGAAGTTTAAGGATTATGTGGGTGTTTGTGAGAATATCCCGGCTAGTTTGGCTCCTATTGGCGGGAAGAAGAGTTTTGAGTGAATGGGCATGATATGGGATTTGAACAGAAGTGAGGTGCATCTGGCGTTATGATGGGACCGAGGAGCAATGAATCGCTAAGCGTGAGCGATTGTTAGCGTAGTCGTTCGTCTGCAGCGTGACGTTTGGAAGTGTGTTTTCGTCAAAGTCTCACATCAATGAAAGTGAAATATTTACAGTGCGCTCAACTCATTTGATGCGGCCGGTCGATGGACCTATCTATTTTTTCTGGTTTCATGACATCATAACATGCCGCAACTCGTGCTCATGTCTTGCTTCACGCGACAAACGTCCCCACGCCCTCCTATTCGTACACAAAATCTAGGTACCCGCAACAAGCTCGTACCCGCCGTCAACTGTCACGGTCTTGCCGTTGAGGTACTGGTTGGTCACGACAAAGAGCACAGCACCTGCCATATCCTTGTCGTTGCCAGGACGCTGAGCGGACGTCTTGTCCTCGTACTTCTCCTTTTCGATGCTGCGTTGACGGTTAGTACCGATGTCACCTTTCGTGATCAACAATAACTTACTGAGACTTCTGCTGCTCGTCGCTCTCTCCGGCCGTCATCTCCGAGGGGAAGACTCCCGGAGCGATGGAGTTGRCTCTAATCTTGAGGCCGTTTTGCTGGATCTCATTTGCGAGCATCTTTGTCAAATGGATGGTTGCAGCCTTGCTGGCGTTGTACTGAGGGTGATGCTGCATCGTCTTGACCTCTCCAGACATGGATGAGATGTTGAGCACAGTAGCAGACCATCCGTGCGTTTTTCCTGTCGCTTTCTGCAGGAGGGGTAAGAAGCAGGTGGTCATGAAGTAAATCTGCGAAACATTTGTGCGGTACACATCATCCCAGTCCTCGAATGTGGCTTCCTCGTTGTCAAACAAGTTCTTCCTCATCTCCTCGGCACTAGAGGACTCCGTCTTGAAGGTCTTGGTGGAGATTCCGGCATTGTTGACCAAGATATCCAGGTGTGATTCCTTGGAGGAGATCTCCTCGTAAAGCTTTGCGATGTCGGCTTTCTTGGACACGTCTGCGACGAGTGGGATGATTTGCCCGGAAATACCCTGTCCATAAGTCTTCGCCACCGTGTCGAGCTTCTCCTTGGTACGTCCCACGATGTACACTTTGGCACCGTTGACCTGGAGTTGTTGTCAGACGTATGGCGATCTCGCGGAGCTATACAACTCACAGCAAGAGCCTGTGTGGCCATCAGACCGATTCCCGATCCACCGCTGTCACATATCAGCATTCTTACTTCGGGTGCATTCTAACGACGAGATGAATGTCTTCGATCGAGAGTGAAGAGTACTCACCCAGTAATCAAGGCAGTCTTGCCAGTGCTACGAGATTGTCAGACATGGATTTTGTATACAGTGAGCAGGCATCACCAACACATTGAAGACGGTTTCCAATTTGAAGGAATCATTGTTGTTGGACATGTTGGAAGCTGGTCGTGCGGTAGTGGCGAATTGTCTGGTGAGGGCGGTCAATCTGTTTTGCGAAGAAATCGTGGTGGTATTGTAATGAGAAGAGAGTCTCGCAATGGATGACACTTTGAAAGATAATATATGGAGAGAAGGAGGATGAAAAGGCATGCACGTCACAGCGCGTAACTGCTGCCGGTACATGCTTGTGGGTGCGGATCGTATGGCTGACATTATTTGTGGGAAGAAATCTCAATGGACTGTCATGACAAGCAAGAGACGAAAAATCAGCTCATCCCTCGACGACAATCAACAWCATTGTGTCTCGTCATGATGATGGATATTTCTTCCATCAAATGGGCACAGAGGGTGACACTTACATTCGAGCATGAAGATGTGGGGGCAGAAAGTCTTGGCATGGCTCAGTCAGCATTTAATCAACAGACAACTCCCAGTCGTCCGCCCTACCTCGCCCTTTCACGACGACCTCGAATTGGCCATCTCCCCTCTGCCACTGCTGCTACCGCTTCGGACGAATGCTATGAACAATCGTCGCTAACACGGCAGTCCGTCGGGCCAATTCTGGAAAACCGTGTCCGCCGGCGCCAACCATCCCTTATCACGCGCATTCACCCACCAACGAGGGCGAGGTGAATCTCCGCCGCCATGGTCGGTCCCAAGTCCTTCTCTGTCGAGCTCAAGGAGAGTCTCCTTGAGTACCTGTTGGAGCAGGCGGAAGACTGGGATGGCGACTCCCCCGACATGTGTGTATGAGCCTTGGCGCAAAGCTAGTGAGACATGGCTGACATGATGACCTTTTTAGCCGCATCTTCTGGCACACCATAGAGCGGGACTTTGAAGGCGCCAAGGGCACGACCTGGCATGGGAAAGACTTTGAGCAGAAGATGGAGCGGGAGGAGGAGGCGTGGCTGGAGGAGTGTGAGGATCCGGATAAGAAGCGGAGGCGCGGGCATGAAAAGGACAGCAACTACGACAAGTTGATGGCCAAGTGGTGCGCGATATGGAACAAGATGTTGCAGAAGCACTGGCAATACATGGTCGATACCGGCGAGGAGCAGTTTGAGCTGGTCCCAAAGGAGTTCCAGCCACTAATCAAGGTGCCGAAGCCGCACTACGAGTACGACGGTGCCAAATTGCAGCGAGTTGTGCAGGCTGCCATGGAGCGTGCCCGTGAGTCTGGCAAGTACGACTTGTCTGCTGCCGTAGAGCAGGTCTACTTCGACGCCCTGAACGACACCAAGCTACGGATGCTACTCGAGGCCATACTCACTCAAAAGGCCGATCGCCAGCAAAATGAAGAGTTCCAGGCATATGTGAAGCTTGCTAAGGCCAAGATCAGAGAGCAGAATGTTCAGAAGCAGAAACAGGATGACTTCAAAGCCGCCGCGGCGAACGCTGCGAAGGCCCATCCTGTCTCTGCAACAGCAATCCCAAATCCTGTTGTACACATGCCGATTCCGAACCCGTACACAAATCCTCCGCCCGCTACTACTACAGTTGTACATCATGCTCCGCTTCCAGCTCAAGCTCCGGTCCAGATTCCGACTCCAGCCATAGCCAAAGGGTTGAGCATCGTGGAAGCTGCGCCTCCGCCTCCGCCGCCGCCTGCGCCCGCACCCGCCGCCAGCGTGGCGGCTGGTGCATCTACACCTGTGGTCACGCCACAGCAGCCAGCGTCCGCGAAAAAGGCCACCAAGACACCTCAGAAGACCACTCCCAAGGCGAAGCCCGCTAGTAAGATAAAGCTCCCGGGCCAGCCGAAGATTGTTCCCAACGCCAAGGCGAAACCGCAGGCTGAAGCACCACTTCAGCCGGGAGTTGGTTCCAACACATCAGTGCAAATCAGCTCATCGACCATCACGCAACCCATCTCTTCCGCCACTACGCAACCCAGTTTGTCGACCATAATACAGCCAGAATCCACGCAAGATTTCGGCCCACGAGTCACCGCCATACTGGGCGACCTCCAATTTGCAACAACCGCACAACAGATATTGAGAGCCGCGCCCGACATTGGTGACTCTCGCCTTCACGCTTTGAAGTCGACGTTGATCAATCATCCAGAGACCAAAACTGACTTCAACGCTCTTGCCGCCCGGTTGGAGAAGGAGAGTTCGGTCGCTGCGGACTCGCAAGCAGTTGCTGRTGCTTCTCGTCCTGCCCGGGTCAATGCTGGAAAACGTCGACGAACCTCAGCGAGTGCGTCCTCAATGGCCGAGGCCGAACAGGACGATCTACTCGAAGCGCAACGTGCCGCTAAGCGTCGTCGCGGTGAGTTGGGCGAGGACGATGGCGGAGATTATCATCCTCTTAAAGCGGTTCGTGAAAAGTCACGCAAGAAGAAGAAATCGGGTGTTCGTCCAAGCAATTCCCAGTCAGGTGATGCGTCCAACAGTCGAGACACCTCCCCGTTGTCCGACCTTTCCGAGATGGACATCGAGTCTACCAAGTCTGCATATGTTGATGAGCTAGTTCGACGGCGAACCGTCGAGCAGGCGCGCAACGATATTGTAGAGCAGTACGGACCTGTATCACCTACTGATGCAGGTGACAACGACGAAGACTGGGCCAGTATGGCCAGTCCAACCCTGGGGCCTACACAGCTCGATGGAGATGGAGGACAATTCCAACTCACTGAGCGTGTTCCATCGCCTCCTCCAGAGCCCGCTCCAGCCGAGAACGACGCCTTGCGTCTCATCTCAGGAGCAGCGGCTCAGGCTGTCGCCCGAGACCCTGGAATTGGCCGATTGGAAGCCAAACTCGATAGTCTCATCACCGCATCTTCAGGATCGAACGGCCAAACCGCAAATGACTTGAATCGCACCAACACTGAGACACTAAAACAGATAGCGAATGTTTTGACCACGGCGGATCTGGCTGCTACTCGGCCGGAGTTTGTGAAGCTGGTTCTGCAACTTACAACGAACGCTGCGGAGGCAGCCATCCATTCTGCGGAAGCCGCGAAGAAAGCTGGAGAGATGGCCAGGGATGTGGGTCTAATTCTGGGACAGCTGGGCATTCAGGGTGCTGGAGGGCAGCCTGCCACTCCTTTGTCGGAGAACTAGGCGCTGAGCGATGATGCTGCCAGGTCGAACTGAATGCTGAGGATGTGCGGCGATCGTTACGGAAGAATACCACTGTCGACGAGGTGCTCTTCTCTACGAAAACGGAGATTGAGAGACTGAAGATGGGACGTACAATGGAATTTGAGAGCGTATGTTTCCGGCGATGGAAATCGATGGGACTGAGCTCTGCTTTTTCTGCAAGGACCCGGAACTCTTCGTGCAAGCGAATGGGTCTTTAATGGATTATGATGGAAAATACAAGGCGTTTGAGTGGGATGAATGGAGGGTGGTTTTGCTTTCCATGTTCTTCTTGTTCTTCATTAAATCGGATGGATGGTGTGTATACTATAAGGGAGTCTATAGATATGTGAGTGGCTGTGCGGTGAATGAAAGTCTTTGAGAAGGATCAATGCCTACATCTCTGCCTTGTTTGAAATCGCTTTAATTGATCCGGACTCTGCTTTCATTTGATGAGAAGAGCACCCGACGACTTCTAGACTACAAAACAATGGCCGAAGCGTAACGTAGGCCGAGTCGTGAGAATGGCAAGGGGATGTTCTTCCAAGTTGGATTATGTTTCCTCGCATGAATGAGCGCATAAGTACGACGAGATGAGCAACTAAGTCACGCAGAAAGACGACATCGTACAACAGCTACAGTCATCACTATGTCTTACCTGTACGCCTGCTTAGAATATCCCTGATGAACCACCTCATTGTTTCACATATTGATGTCACGCTACCCCAACCCTAACCCTCAAAACGATCACCAGGAGAAAAACGGGCATAAGAAGGCGGTAACTCCTAGCCCAACAATTGCAAATACAAAGAATGTGAAGAGTTCGAAGTGCGACGCTCGTTAATCTATTTCCTACAGCCATTGATGTAATAATAATCATTGGAGCTATTGGAAAACTTGAAAATCTGCCTAGCTTAGTATTGGTGGCGTTATGGGATGGCAGAAAGTGAACCGGAAAGCTCCGAGTTCATATAATAGGCTTCACGGAGGAGTTCGCTCTAATCAAACCATCGAGAGAGGCCCCAGCCGCGGCCGAGGGGCGTTCCGTGGCAACCACAGAGATCGACATTCGGACTCTGTGCCCCAAACGCGGGCTGGACTCCAAATGGCCCAACAGAAAACAGGGATGTTGGTGAAGTTTGAACTACATACAGCCCGGGCTAGATTCCGAGGGAGTAAGAGGGCTATGGGAGCCGAGTTCGATAAAAGAGGATCGACGCTGGAAACAACCTCTCGAGATGCGTGAAGTGTCCCCTGAGGATATCAAGATGAAATCAACTTCTCGAGATAGGTGAATTGCACGCTCAGGAGATCGGGATTGCTGTTCAGGACATCATCAAGAATACAAAGAGATTTGAAAGCTGTAGAAGCTATATTTATGTACACACATTTAAAAGACCCATGCGCTTCATCATTCATTCATTATGTCAAAAATCATACATTGGAACAACAAATCCCAACCGATTTTTTTCCAATTCATTCAAGCTTTTGTGTGTACTTGTTGCACTTCTTGCAGCGGTTCAATAGCAGGCATGGCCGCGATTCCCCCGGGAGAATCGAGTTCATCCATGGTCCATGTACTGTCCACTTGTGATTTGCCCGAGTTGACCATGTCGAAGCTCGGGGAATTGACTGTTCGGAAGGCGCCCATTGAATCGCGGTGTTGGGCGCGGTACCAGCATCGTTTGAGGAGACCAGCCATCTAAGATCATGTTAGAATTTGCATGTCATGTAGTGCGGAGGAAGGGGTGGGATTGCTTACGGCTGGCATGCAACAGCATATCATGCTCACGTACACCTCTACCAAGCTCCAGAAGCCAGCGGCAGTGAAGTCCCATCTGTCAAGGACGGTCAATAATTGCTTAGATTGGCGAATGTGTTGTGAACTTACGTGATGTTTCGGGCAGTTGTAATACCCTGGAGCTCAGTCATACGAATGATACTGCAGGCTGTAGCGACGAGCCCGACCAGGAAGCAACACATAATCCTACAACGAGTCAGTTTTGGAAGGCCACAAACGATTCGAGACGTTACCCACCCAATCTTCTGCCCTGTTGATACCTTCAGCCGGAGCAATCCGGGGATAGGCAGAGCAATCACAATCAAGTCGTAGACGATGTTCAACGCGCCGTAGACGTAAGCACCAGCCACACGATCGGTGCAAGTTCCCATTGCGCGGTTGGCGTACCTCCAGGCATTCGAGATGGGATGGCAGGAGAAGATCATGGCCAGTGTAGCACCAATTGCAGTCCCCATGAGCACGAAGATCATGATGTAGCACATGGCATGGAAAAATGTCCACACATCGCCACGCCTTCGCGGCCAAATACGGAGGTAGAGGAGGATCAGAGAGAGCTTCGTGCTGAAGACTGCAAAGATGTAGAATGGCTGACTTGCGTAGAACCACTGTGAACGATGTTAGTCACCTGTGGAGTGTTGCGTGGAAGATAAGGGACACACCTTCGCGTAGTGAAGAACGGAGTGAATGTCTGACGTCCACATGTCCTTTCCAGCTCCAAAGGTTTGTAACATAGCGCAGCAGACCGTCACGCCAACCACTGGAACGTAGCACATCAACACAACGCCTGTAGCCTGGTCAGCTTCCCGTATGCAACTTCTTCCACTCGTGCATGGAGGACCTACCATCGTCCCAACTCAGTCCAGCACCTCTCAACCGAGGCCAACGAGAGAGAAAGCGGGCAATCATAAACAGAGATGCCAATCCGAATAGAACGTACGCGATTCCAGAGGTGAGTGGTCCAATGTTACGATCCGTTCGGTATCCRCATGTCAGAGCCTGGAATTTGAGACCTGCTAGAGCGTCACCCAGAGACGGACATCCTCCAATAACGCAGGATGCGATTGCATCCTCGATTGGCCCCTTTCGAGAACAGTAACAGTCGGTTCCTATTGTGCAATTGAACTTTGGCAGAATCTCAATGCCACATTTTGTGACACATTCTGGGAGGGCGAGAGCGGCCTCGATAGCTTCGGGGCTCAGTGATTGCGCCCAGGTTGTTGCAGTAAGCAGAGATAGGACGAAAATGGAAGTGATGCCGGGTCCCATGTTTAGGAATGGTATAGAGCCAGGATGCTCTTCGTAAGGCCGATCAACAGGGAAGTGACAGACTGGCAACAAGGGCATATGTAGATTGCCCTTGAAGACCTCACCTTTTGCCCGCCGTTACGTTAGCCTGAATTAGGCCTCAGCGCTACGGGCAATGTCATGATCGACCTAGGTCCCGCGTGTGATGGTACCTGAATCGCGCATGAGTGATCGCCTTTAGCCACGGCAACCAGCGTTGACTTCAAGGGGAGCAAAGACGATTTGGAGACGGTCCTTGAGCTTATCCAGAATGATTGGATACAATCTCCGCGGTAGAGACATATACTCCGTACAGTTTGGTACGGCTTCGCTCGGCACCTGTGTAGAGCGACTAATAAGTGAGAGTGAATGTGTGTGATCTTGGATATAACCTGCGCAAGCTTGGGCACCATTTCTTGCGCCATGCATGAAGAGCGCTATTCTACACGGACCGGCGAACCGAATGATGTTGCCGCGGACCGTGGCAAATCACGAGTGAGAGCAGTGTGCTTAGTGCTGTTTACCCCATAGTGGGGAGGGGTGTTGCTTTCGATAAAATGACCAAAGCTAGCTGTTTGCTGGAGTGATCATCGCTGGGCTGTTCCGTCTGTGCCAAGTGCGATCGCATTGGCGCGACCTGTACATAGGAGGTACAGTACTCTATCCATTGATTAGCGGAGCAAAGTCCAAAGCACTGGCCGATTTCGTCGCTGCCAATCCGGACAGAATACAATTTCAAGCCCTACCTTATCACACACTCAAGACTAAAGGGGAAAACGCTGCCAATCTGCATAGTGCTTTCAACTTTGTTTTTTCGACTTGTTTGATGAGGACCCACGACAGCTGAACTGCACCTGCAGGTCCGAGGATGAAATGGCCAGAAGCAGGATTCAGGATTCAGGATCAACGCCCAGCACGGTGACGAAGTTTTGAAGGCCCTGCCTGCCGTCCAGACACCTTTTGATGCGAACCCTTTGATCGGCGACCTGCGCCGCAGTAGTCGTCGAAACTTGAAGGTACCGTACCGAAGATGAAACTTGGCGAGATGCAATAGCCGAGACTGCCGGGACATCYAGAGGTGACGTTTCGTAGAGCACTTTGACTGGTGAAAATAGACCAAAAGAAGGGATTGGGCGAGATGTAGCTCGCTCAGACCCGGACTTGGACCTTGCAACTCTGAGACATGTGGTAAGACATGCCACGGCCTAGTCCCAAACCCGTAGGTTGACATGTGTCTTGGTAGTCCCGCACCAGCCTTTATTAGATAGACAGTTCGTGGGCCTCGCGCAGTGTTGCGCCGTTATAGCTCTAGAAGCCTGAAGGTAGCTTTGAGAGCAAAGGAGCTAACTCCTCGCAGTTGCACGGCTGATCGGAGGCACCGGCAGCTCGCCTACTTTGTCGATGCGGACACAGGTATGTTCGCCTGCTCGTTGATAGATCAGTTGTGAGTCGTGACAGTATGCATGGCTTCGAACTATCCAGTGCGAAGAGGGGAGAAGGTGTAGTTGTCTGCTCTTTGCGATTGGCGTTTGAAGTCCAGCCTCAGCCACTTCAGCATCATCTCCGGATATTGAAACTTCGTCAGTGCCTAGATCCAATACTTGGCAGGAGAGTTCCGGTATAAATTGAGGCCAGTGGGTCCCTGAGATTAATTATCACGGCAATAGTGTGCAAAGGGGACTTCGTGTAGATAATGAGCCCGCGAGAAGCAGGACTGCCGCACTTTGCRCCAAGAATCGCGTCGTGGGTGCGATGCGTTCTCAAGCGCAAACGACAACGCGTGCACAACTTAAAGCTGTTAGGTGATCTTCCACTGCATGAAGTCTTGTCATGGAGTGCAGCCCATCTCTCCTGGTCCACTCCTTCAAGAACTCAATAATCCGGATTGAGAACAACCAGAACAGGCAATCGATCTTTCCTGCAACCTCTCATGAGATTCATGGCCTCGGCTCTTCTTCTTCATCAAGTGCATGCTGTCGTCTTGAATGAGTGGCTGTGTCGTGCCATGTCCTCAGCGTAGCTTGGAGCTCTATCTATACGCATGTCGAGATATCTGGAGCTGGAGACACCTTGCTACAAGCTCCAGCTCACCGTTTGCGGTGTGGTGACCATGGTTTCTCGCATGCTMAGGCCACATGTACGCACGTAAGAAATCCGGTAGCGGCCGACTCCAATGACTGCTCTTGACTCTTGAGAATAAAGAGGTTGGTGATCATGCCCACGCCACCTTCGGTGGGAAGCGATGTTCTTGACGTTACCGTGGGCGTTCTCGCTCCACACGAGGTGGACACGAAGAGACGGCAAGAAGCACGCCCAAGTTTGGACATGGACCCCTGAGTATTTTTAGAGTCTTGGCGCTTTGACGTCACGATCCCGGCCCCGTCTTCCGTGGAGGGGTCGGGAAGGCCCCGATTGAGTGAATCTCGCGAAAATCTTTGAATCAATAATGGCAAAGTGTCACCGCAACCGCTCGTAAGTCGACCTCTGAACAGCAGACCTATGATGCAACTCTGCAACACTGCCCTATTTGAAGGAATGTACGAGCACTCAAAGCATCGAGTCGACCGGACACGAGAAGCCTTAGCGTAATGATGCACTACCTTCCGCAAGCAGCATGATGGGTATTGCAGAGTAGGTGCCATCTATAAAGTTGCACATGGTCGCCTCTCAAGATCTGCTAGAGTTTCTTTTTCAAGGAAACTACTGCTTGAACAAGATACACACTACTCTACAGTGCATCCCATTTCAACCTGCAGCGATTCTATCGAATCCACAAGACAAGACAGCTCATCACCCGTCAACATGAAGGCCGTCTTTATCACTACGGTTGCCCTTGCGGCTCTTGCCTGGGCAGCTCCTCTTTCAAAGAGAGTAAGTATGGTTGGATCATCACACGTCTCTCGACAAACGCTGACAAGACACTCTTCCAGCAATGCTTTGTCGATGAACATGGCGTACAAGGCTGCATCGACAACCCAATCTGTACTATCCATGACGATGGATCAGTGAGCTGTATATCGAAGCGGGACAATATCCAGAAGAGACAATGCTACGTCTCCAAAGACGGCGTGCAGTCTTGCATCGACAACCCTCAGTGCCACAAAAACGAGGATGGGAGCGTATACTGCGTTTCGAAGATCAAGCGAAGCGAGAGCGTGACTATGGAAGAGAGAGATGCACTGCCCACGAACGAGAAGAGACAGTGCAATTTTGACGAGGAAGGTGACCCGGATTGCGTTGAGACGCCAACATGCGACCCCAAGGAGGACGGCTCGCAGGCTTGCGTTTTGTGAAGGAGCACCGAGCTCATGACCTACAACAAGCGAGTTGGGTGCCGAGGAACGAATGACGAGATATGATGAATGAATACGGAACGTTAGGGATAGAACAGCATGCTACATTAACCAACAGCTGGTAGCAGCCGAACAGAAGCCAGGCTGAATTGCAAGTTCATAACATATTCCGTCTTGGTCTCCAAGCAATGTTCGGGCTGTACAGTTTCTTTACATCGGAGATATTCCATGTTCACAGAGCCTTCTGGAGCATCCTGGCGCCGTTGCGTTGGCAGCGAGCCAAGCCTGCAAAACGTAATGAAAGCGGACCTTTGGATATCAAGAGTCAGCTTCCTATGCAAAGAGAGGCTCGTTGCAGAGCACAAAGCGATTTCGATAGCACGTTGTAGTGGAATCCGCAGGCGCAAGGATCAGAACGAGCAGAACGGGGATTGTTGCCTGGGAAACGGCAATCAGGCATCCATCTTATCGAGCACGTCTATATATCACATTTACCGATTGGAATACTACATTGAGAGAGCTACTTCATTTAAAGATTCCATTACCATCAAAAAGCCATCATGGACAAATTCTATCTAAAAAACGCAGCCGTCTACAAAAAGTTGGTAGATTCACTCGACTTTACCAAGCCGGCCCCGCATTTTAGCCGCCACGAAGCGACGTCCGTCGAAGAAGAAGGTCAAACCATCATGTCGGAAAAACTCAACCCAGATATAATCATCGGCGCTCGAATTCGTCCGATGCTAGAGACAGACATCGCAGCAGGCTTCCCATGCGCAGTACACCCACGTGCACCCGATGAGAACGGAGCTCAGATTGTGGATCTCCATGATCTTTATCATCATCCCACACGGCCTCCCATGCTAAAGGTTCACATCCAGCGTCAATGATATCTTGTGGTGTAGCTAAAAGTAGTCTAGTCTTCCAAATATCAAGTCGATAGACTCTTCGATGCCGAAACAACCACGGAGGAAATCTACGAGAATCTCATTGCCGATCTTGTGACTTTTGCTCAGGGAGGAGGGATAGGGACGCTCTTTGCTTACGGCCAGACTGGTTCTGGAAAGACATTTACGATTAGTCAACTTCAGAAATTGGCGGTTTCATCACTGATGAGCGATGCGGATGATGAACAGGAAGTCTACATTACAATCTGTGATCTTGCTGGAAAGGCTGCTTTCGACTTACTGGCCTCTCGGCAACCGATATCGATCCTTCAAGATGCGTCTGGAGCAACGCAATTGGCGGGCGCGGTGGAACATCGTGTATACGACGGAGGCGAAGTGCTGGATTTGCTCGATGAGGCTGCGTCTTTTCGACAAACGGCTTCGACGGTCAAGAATGATGCTTCTTCTCGCTCTCATAGCATTTGTCGGATTCGGATCGGAAATTCTGCGGCGCCGAAAGGGGAAAGTGGATTCCTCTACCTGGTTGATTTGGCGGGGTCAGAAGCTGCTCGAGATGTGGCGGAGCATGGAGCCGATCGGATGCGTGAGACGAGGGAGATTAACATGAGTTTGTCTGTGTTGAAAGATTGAGTTCGAGGGAAAGCGGAGTTTGAAATGAAGAGAAGGAGATTGGGAGGTTTGAAACAGGCAAGACTTCCAATTCGACAGAGTACTTTGACAAGGGTTTTGAAGCATGTTTTCGATCCCGAGGAAGAGAGAGAGTGTCGGACGGTTGTTATTGCTTGCGTGAATCCGGCTCTGGCGGATGTTGGGTCGAGTAAGAATACATTGAGATATGCGGAGATGCTGAGGGTACCGATACCCGTCTAGACTTGATGAATGAGTGGGATTTTGCGCAGTGTAGAGCAGTATATCTTCGCCTGAAGGTCAAGGGAGCCGCGTCTTCAGTCGATCTCCCAAGGTAGGAGATAACCAGACAGATTAGATCGACGCATGTTGTTGAGCGAAGATGTAAAGAACCTTGTGGCAGAAGAAACGACTGACGGGCGGAGCTCGGCCCGAACCCGGCAGGTAAGTGAAGGCAAACCGACAGCAACACACAATAAGACTTGCTCACCCGTCCCTAGCACTGCTGCACATAGTCGTACCAATCCTCGAGGAAGACTCAAAAGGTGAATGGTCACCTCTATCCGCAGGACGGATCCTCCAGCTTACCGAGACCCCCTTCACAATTGTCCATCATGAAGCTCCATCTGCGGCATGACGGTAGTCCTGCTTTGACTGAAGTCATTCATTACGAAAAGAATGCGAGACGCATCGGGGAGTGCTGATCATGAAATCGATTTTCCAAATCTCCAGACCAAGTTCGCATTTCTCCGTTAGCTTCAAACCTCCATCAAAACATGTTCCAACATCTCTACGAAGCGCTCCCGGTGAGAGCGACAAAGCTCCTTACCCTGCGTGAAAAACACAAGCCACGCTCTCTTTATAAGAGGTACATGCGAAAGGCCCAAAAGCAATCACTAAGCTCTTCACGATGGAGGCTAAAGATCTTGCCGTTCAGAAATACAATCTTTCCGATGTCATTCCACGTATCCTATCAACCATTCCCCCAGTATTCAACACCCTACGACTGCGTGGGCATATCAACCTTTGCCCTCGTAGAAACAGCATCCTCACTCTTCCAAAAGCTCGTGACGGTCTTCTGCTGCGTGTAAAACGAAATGCCCTGTTTGCCATAGAAAGTGTTCGCACCGCCACCTGCGATACTCTTCTTGTTTCCCGTGAAGCTGAACATGGGAAGCGGGACGGGAATGGGAACATTGATTCCCACCTGTCCGGCCTCGATTTCTTTTTGGAATTTCCCGGCCGTGGCGCCTGAAGAGGTGAAGATCGCGGTACCGTTGCCGTATTCGTTGGCGTTGATGAGGGAGATGGCGTCGTCGAGGGTGGGAACGTTGAGGCAGACGAGGACGGGGCCGAATATTTCTTCTTTGTAGCACGTCATCTCGGGCGTGACGTTGGCGATGATTGTTGGGCCAACCTAGAAGTATCACTTTAGTTGGAAGGACATGGTGTGGGACGCTTTCAAGACTCACCCAGTTGCCATTGGGATACTTGGCGGGCTTCTGGCCACGACCGTCAAGAACAATGGTAGCACCCTCCTTCTCAGCAGTGGCGATGATGTCTTCGATCCGCTTCTTRGCTTGAGGAGAGATGACGGGACCGAGATCTGCGCCTTCTTCGAAACCTCCGTTCATGGAGAGGGCCTTTGCTCGCTCGGCGATTTCAGGTGCCCACTCCTTAGTCTCACCCACGAGAACCAGAGTAGACAGAGCCATGCATCTCTGACCAGCAGCACCGAACGCAGCACCTGCAATGGCGTTCAAAGCCTGGTTCTTGTTGCAGTCCGGGAGGACAGCGGCATGGTTCTTCGCACCCAAGTTGGCTTGAACACGCTTTCCATTGGCGCTACCACGGGTGTAGATGTATTCACCCGCCTTGTTGGATCCCACGAATGAAATGGCCTTGATACGAGGCTCATCAATGATGAAATCCACCGTCTTGGCAGATCCGTGAATGATGTTGACAACACCTGGTGGGAATCCCGCCTTCTCGGCCAACTCGGCTAAGATCATACATGCACCTGGATCCCGCTCGGAAGGCTTGATGACCATGGTGTTACCGGTAATAGCAGCAACGGGAATTGTCCACAGCGGAATCATAGCAGGGAAGTTGAATGGGCAAATGGCAGCAATGACACCCAAAGGTTCACGGTACGATCTCGTCTCCATATCCTTGGCCACCTCCAACACCTCACCCTTTAGATCGCTGGTAATGGCACAAGACTGCTCGGCGACTTGCAGTCCACGCAGAACATCACCCTTGGCATCGGCAAAAGTCTTGCCTTGCTCCAGAGTAATGCTAGCTGCCAGACGATCCCAATGCTCACGGATCAAGGCAACATACTTGAACATGATCGTCTGTCGGTGGAGRATACTGGTAGCTCTCCACGCCGGGAACGCCTTCTCCGCACTATCCACCGCCGCCTTCAACTCCGCATCTGTGGATTGCGGTACGCGAGTCACGAGGTTGTTGGTGGCCGGGTCGTGCAAATCGATCCATTGTGTGGCTTGTGAGGCGACAAACTTGTTGTCGAGGAAGTTCTGCGTGTCCGCCGGCTGCTCCACTTTATCATGTGTTTTGGGGAAGTCGGTGGCGGTGGACGCAGCGGAAGTGGTAGCAGGAGCGAGGTGGGCGGTGGTGGCGTGTAGTCTGCGCAYCGCCATCTTGCTGGCATTGGCCGATTGAGGCATTCTTCTGCTGCCGATTCGCACGGCGGGGCGAAGCGTGAGGTTCTGGAGCGTACGGCTGGCAATAGCGCGGCGGGCGGCCATAGTTGGGGGGGATGTTGAGGGTGTAGAGCTCGCAGTCTTCTATTCAAAGAGACGGGCGAGGATGAAATGTGTACACAATTCTGTGGTCAAGTGAAATAAGACGTAGGGTAGACACGGCCAGGCTAGCATCATGAGCTTGTTGCCCGTGTCGCCGAGCTCGCTCTCCCCGCAAAAGCCCGCGCGTAGCCGAGGAGCTTCGGATCCGATGGGAAGCTTTCATTCACTTGCACGCGGCACAAGGCTACTGGACGGATAGGGTCTGGCGCGGGAAGCACATTCTTCATCTAGTGTAGTGCGGTATCTCACTCTGCCGGAATAATTCTCAGCCAATCTGCCTCGCAAAGCTATTCCAGAACTATCTCCACCTGTGAACAGTCGAAGCTGCTTCACTTTCTACCTATCCATTAACTTCTGCGTTGATGAGAGAAAGCACACAGGTTAAGATGGAAGGGTGGGAATTCGGTTGTGGTTCCATGTCGCACCACATCAAACAAGTTAACAACATTCTTGTCCGACTTCACTCTGCGTCAGAGCTTTCAGAGATGGTGATGAGGTATTGAACTATTGATCAGTTCCATGCCATTGCTTAGATATTTTCAAATAATCCCATCTATACCCAAGCACAATCATCATCATATACAGCGCTATATAGAATCCTCAAGTCAACTCAGCTGTCGGCTCTCTTCTTTCTCAAGCTTCCAATTCGCTTCTTCAATCCTGCCCGCAAGCTTCCACTCCTCTGCACGCCGGCATCGCCACCTGCATCGTGGTCGTTGGTGGCAGCGATCTCCATATCTTGATATTTCCCTTCTCCTCCCGCTAGCAGGACTGGATCTCTCAGGTCCTTGGATCCAGATTTTTTGTGGCCGGGCGAGCGATCCGACATCTCTATCCCTTCGTCTTTGATGGTGTGTCTCTGAAGTGCTCGGTCAAGGGAGAAGGTAGGTTCAGACTTCCCCTTTAGATCATCTTTGTGATAGTCCTATGGTTCATCACGTTAGCACCCCGTCATCGTACTAGTTGTGTGGTTCTTCTCACCTTTCCGGCCCATCGTTTATATCCAGGTCCATCTGGCCCATCCTCGTGCATCAAATCGGCACCTTCCTCATAGTTGTACGTTCTTCCAAATCGATCGACCATCCCGGGTGGAATGTGAGCCACACCGTCCAACGGTTTATGCCTTTCAAGTGCATCGCGTATGTTCTCTTGAGGAGTAGCCTTCAAAGCCTCCTGATTCGTCTCCTTCAAAGCAGCCACGGGGGAGATCTTGTAACTCGAATTCCTCGCCAACAAAGCAGCATCATATGGACCCTCATGAKGGTATGCACGACCTCCCAATGCGGGATCTAATCGATCGATCGTATCGGGACCGGGAAGATGGCGCTTGTTCAAGTGTGGAGAGCGGTGCGCTTTCTTGWTGWCTTTGATGATCGATTCCAATGGTAGGTGACTGGTATCGCCAGGGTAGCGAGCAGACAACGAACTCGTTCGCCGACGATGTCCGCGTTCTTTTGGAGACAAGCTGGCTGCGTCGTAGGCTCGAGGTGAGCGTCCCTGGCTACCAGCGCGGGGATTGCTGTTGTTGCTCACAGCTCGTCGGTGGGAAGATTCACCTCCAAAAGCTTGTGAGCGATAGGGTGGAGGATCTTCACGGGGGCTGGCAGTTCTGCTTCCGCTACCATCTCGGAATGGGTTCTTCGAGCTGAAAGAGGAGCGACCAGCTGGCGGCGACGGCGTCTTGGTGATGCGGGGTTTCTGTACTGCGGGTGCTGCAGCATACGTCGAACCAAAATGCGACCCAGGACCAGTTTCGGCAGAGGGTTCGGGAGCGTTGAGAGGGTCAATCAGAACTGCAGCGGCAGACTGGAATGCGGGAGTCAGTCGTCATGCCATCGTCTCACCAAGACRAAGCTGACGGAACAGCCTGCGGGTTTCAAGCTTATCTTACCTTGGAATCCATGGCTGCCGACATTTCAGCTCGTTGACAATATTATTGGTAGCTTTACAAGTGTGAGAGGGATAGACGAATATGCGCACAAGAAGGAAAAAGGAATGCACATGAAAGGAAGGATATCAGCACCAAGTTCCCCGACCACAAGAGCTTCGCCATCCTTCGAGCGTCTGACGCGTCGTCCTTGCCCTGCAAAAAGTCTACGTCATGAACGTGCTTGGCAGGTACGACAGCCCAAAATCTCTTCGGATCGCGGCGGATGTCCGGATAGGTGGGTCCCTCTTGAACCACACACGCGGCGCCGACGACACCCAATCGTCCCTTTCGTCATCAGCCTCGACATCAATCCTTCGCGTTCTTGAGGCATTGCAATGGGTCTCGTCGAGTATTCCTCCTCCTCGGAAGACGACAACGATGACATCGAACAACACACAGCAAAGCGACGCAAACTCTTGGACGAGAATAACCTGCTTCCGCCCCTGCCCTCCAATTTCCGCGACCTGTATTCCTCAACTGTACGCACCAGCACACAGGATGATCCCTCTTTACACGGAGGCCGGAAAAGAGTCACACCGCATGTAGCGGGGAATTGGCCTGCGCATGTTTATTTGGAGTGTAAGTATGAATTGCCGTTCATTGTATTCATTTCCTACATATTGCCAGAGCTGTCAATGTGAGGATTCTACAAAAACCGAGTCTTGAGGCTGCTCTCTCGAAACAGCCATGTTTGGAAGGGAATGGAGGCCCATTAGGGGAGATTGGGAGACCTTGTATAACCCAGGTCTAACCTCGTTGGAGAATCCCTCATATTGACAGCTCTGCGTGAGAATCCAATTCATTTTCTCTTCAAAGCATTGTACAGGATGGCACAGATGAATTAATGTCAATACTAATGAACCACTCGAGGGACCCCGGAAAAGAATCAGCAAATTGTACTCGAGAATTTGGTCTCCAGTATTCAGGACAAGGAGACCGAGGGGAAAAAAATCCACACCCTCCTGGAAAATGACCTGGGCGTTCAACTCCCACTGCACATCTCCCTCTCCCGACCTCTGACGCTCAAGACTGCCCAGAAAGACAAATTCCTTGCGGATTTGAAGACTGCGATTAGCACGACCGGCGTTCGAGGTTTCGCGGTCACTCCGAACAAACTGACATGGCATCCCAACGAAGATGGGACGCGCTGGTTTCTGGTGTTGAGTCTCATACGTCCGGAGAACAATGAATTGCAAAAATTGCTGGATGTCTGTAATAAGCTAGCTGGAGAGGCTGGGCAGCCATTACTCTACCAAGGTTCGAAGAGCAGAGAAGTGGATGACGGAAAATTCCATCTGAGTGTGGCTTGGTCGTTGACACCTCAAGAAGAAGGAGAGGTTGATGTTGCGACTGGCATCAAGGAGAAGCTGAAGGGTCTGAAAATAGAGCTTGGGGAAGTGAAGGCGAGAATCGGGCAGGACGTCACGAGTATTCCGTTGAGGAAAAGAAGAGGAGCGCTATTCGGAAGGGAAGACTGAAGGCCTCCTTGCAGGTATCTCACCGTGGTTGGCATACAGTCATTGAAAGATGTAAGTGGATTGACTCTGTACTTGGAAATATCGCACAGAAAGTCCATGCGAAAATTGCCGAAACTTGCGCTCTCAACCTTCTCCCAGCAATCGCTGTTTCCCAGCTTTCGTGATTATTGCTGCTGTATCGGCAATGCCTTGCTTCAGTCATTGTTGCTACTTTGCCCACTTTCGCCATGACCTTCTCTGCAGCTAGCTCCCCTCATCTGTCATTCTCCCCTCATAAGTCTCAGCAACAACGTCCACATCTCGCCAGCTCTCATCAAACAGACTTTGGAGCGACCCAGCCATCCTTCGTGGTCCATTCCACGTACAACATATCCTCGCCGAAGTCTTCCGGAAGTTCCGACATCTTATGATCGCCACACCCAAAGACCCGCAACCGCGTAACGGGATGAGCCTCTGTCATCTCCCTCAAAGCTTTCGGAAGGCTGGAAATGTGCGTTGTCCTAGGCCATGTGCACTTGTTGTCCGGATGTAGACACTGGAGCGCCAAGTTGACTTGAACGCCATTCAAACTGCCCAGCATGGAGATGGTTGCGCGGATCCAGCTCGCCGCGTTCAGAGTGTCGACCTCGCAATCAATCGTGTCTTTGCAATGCACTACGCCAAAGTACTTCATCTTCGTGACCCACTTGAAGTGTGGGACATGAATGGCGCCGGGTTCGAATGGCTGGAAGCCGTCGTTAACCCCGTGGTCATGCACGATCAGCTCGGTTTGTTTGGCAGYACGCTGCTCGTACTCCATCTTCATCTCGCGGCTGACACACAAGAGATTGATGACTGGTGGCGCGCTGATCGCCAGTTTCAGAGCACATTCATCCTCAATCAGGTAGTCCGAACGATCTCTGGTATCTGACTCTTCGCGAGAATCAATATCTGACTCTTCGCCAGAGTCATAACCAAGCCCGTAGATCTCGCGCAGAGTAGACAGCTGCACTGTCGGTCCGATCATGTAGTCGTAGCACCAGTCGCGCAACTCGCGAGGCAGGTCGAAGAACCTGAATGGCCGCGCGTTGTCGAGTTCCTTGCAGATGGCGATCGGCAATGGATCGACAATGGACGCCATTCTCTCCCTGCTGCGGTGGTTTGTTGTAGTGGATGGAGAATGTTGGGTGTCGAGGTTGACGTGATTGCGAAGTTGGGAAAGTACAGACGGCAAGCGCGAAGAAGGCAGCAGCCGGGACAGTAAGCGCCCACATTCTCTTCATTACAATCCCAATCCGCTTTCGAACTAGGAGAAAAATTATGTGACACGTTCTCGGTCTTTGAGATCACATTCTTCACCGTAGCATTGAGCAAGTAACAAAATTCACTCCTTGTTCATGTCCGTCATCKCCGAAGCAGTAAAGCTAGATACACTGCTGAGTGTGCTTCCCACATGCTTCTATCTCCATCCATCTCGACCTTTGCAGTCCTTTATATTCTCCTTAATCACTTCTTCCCGTCGTAATTTCATGCGCCATGCCCTGGTCTGCTACCTGCTGTTAATGCGTCATAGCTATCACTCCGCCAAACCCTCCCCGTCGGTTGCGAACAAGCCCCCAGTCCCGACATGAAGACCTGCCTCTCCATGACCCCCATCAGTAGACTTCGGCGCCACCCATCCGTTCGTCTTGGTCCATCCAACGAATAGCAACTTCTCGTCCGGCACCTCCTTCGCCTGTAAAGTGGGGAGACCACCACGAAATACCTCCAGCCGCTCCACTTCGTCAACTTTAGTAATCGCTTGCAGATGTGTTTGGATGTAAGCATTGTGTGAGTAATCTGGCCGCTTGCAATATTCATCAATGGCCTCGTCTGGCAGTGCCAAGAAGACTCCAAGGCGTTTCAAATTCTGCAGCTTTCTGACAGCGATTTTGATCCAGACTGCTACCGCTGCGATTCCAGCATCAATGTCCGTTTCAAACTCATTGAGTATGGTGCCGGAACAGTCCGCGTGGACCACCCAGTCGAAGTTTGAGATGGCGTAGTGTGTTGGGTCGAAAGGGAATGTCGGGAGTTCGCCGTGGTCGTAGATTTCGAGGGTGGTCTGCTTGATGATGCGCTGCTGATACTCCGATTTCATTTCCCGACTGGCGCAGAGAATGCTCGTAAGTCGTGGTGCTTTGACAGCGATATGCAGAGCCCAATCATCGAGATTCACATAAGTGCCGCTGTTTTCCTCTGCTTCAAACGTACGCTGAGGTTGGAATGTGGGCCCAATCATGTAGTCGTAGCACCAGTCGCGTAGTTCGCGAGGGAGGTCAAAGAATCTGAAGTRCTGTATCTCATTTTCATTGTCTCCGTCGCTGATGGTGGTAGGCGATGGAAATCCATGGTCCGTCATCTTGTGCTGTAATGTATTGGTGTTTGCGAGTGACAGTGTTGATTTCAATGTCTGAAAGGTGGAAAGTACCTAGAGAAGGCAAAACGCGGAACAGACAGCCAGCATCCACCCTTCCATGTAAAATGCCGATCTATTTCCAGAATGGGAAGGAACACATCAACAAACCCAAAAACCCAAGGTACGGTTGATTCTCGACAATTCGTCTCTGGGCTCGCGTCCATGGCAACCACACTTACTTATCACCAGCAACAAGCTCGTCATATGTCAGTAACACCACCATCTCGTCAGTTCTCGTCACTTCTTTCACACACACGATCATCATCGCCGTCAACATCAACATGGCATACGATCCGCCTTTCCGCTTCATGGACATGCCGCGCGAGCTGCGCGACCTCATATATGATAAATTCAAGCGCGACTTCGACCTGGGCGATCCTATCCTGGGTCTCTCTGCATGGCAATCGCGACTTGTAAGTGCAGACATGACGTCAGGACCGCAAGCATCATTGCTTCGCGYTAGCAAGAAGTTCAGCGCGGAGTACAGGGAGTATGTGAAGAGGACGGCGGCCGTGGTGATTGAGGACCGCCACCTCTATCCCGAACTCATCGATTGGACATCATCCCTTCACGAGCCTCTCAAGCATATCAACAAGGTCCAGCTGTGTGTATGGAGACGAGGCAACGACGCTTTGTTGACCGAGCGGGTAGTACGTCGATGGGTGTCACGTCTGCAGTCGCTGTCGGGCGATTCGCTGCAGATCAAGCTCATTTTGAAGCTCTGCGGGGCAGATGGGGACCACTACTTCCCAAATGTCAACGGAAGCGATCCTATATGGAAGGCTATCTCGGCATATACTCTCCCAGGGGGTTGTGGAAATGCAGATCGAAGGCCGGATCAGGGGCTTGACGGGCTCGCGGGTGTTGAGAGTGTTGAGGTACGCTACACGCGACACAATCCTTGTGAGGCGTTAAAAGAAGGACCGATACCTAGCAGATACAAAGTCTATGGGACTTGGACGATCGGGCAGGGTTGGAGATCTGGGAAGCTTGAGGAGGGCTAATTCGCAAGACCATGCTTGGAAGTCAAAGCAAACGACGACACCAATTTCACAGCAACGCCCTTTGGCACCCGCCTCGCGTCCAGGCGCATCCGCATGATTATCATCGTCGACCTCATAATAAGCCTAGAACCAGCAACCAATCCTCACAGCCCCTGCAGAGACATTCTCGTCTGATCTGCTTAGTCAGTCAGTTCTCATTTCTCAAGCCCAGCCAACTTCGAGGTTCCATCCCCGTCTTCAACTTGATCTACCCATCAACCGGGTCAATTTTGACCTGTACTACGATCGGAATCTCTCCAAAGCAACGAGTCAAATACGAGACAAACACCACGGTGAAGCAAACTTTCCAGCATCACGGTACACGAGCACCACACTCATCAACATCAGCTCACCATGTCTACACCCGTCGATTCGTCATACACAGCAAGCTGCAAACTACCTCATCTCGCGTATATTACTTTCAGACCCTCGAGCCCAAAGACCTGGATGGCGTTGATAGAATTGAGGTGAGGTGCAGTCGGGAACATTGCCACCCAGAGATGGAGGGGTCACATGGAGTTTGTAGGGTTGGAGAGTAAGGAGAAATAGATAGATTCGAGTATAGTATAATAATATAGGCGGGTGTTTAATACGGTAGGGACATTCCCACGACGAGGTGATCTTTCACTTGATGATCCCGCTTAGTCAGCCACTCCAGCCATTGGTTTTGTTTAGGTACTATCTTGTCTCTTTGATGAGTAAATTGTCCATGACTGAACGTCAACGCATTGCAGACCTGCGCGCATGTTTGCCTTGGTCTACCCACTGTCTCTGACCCGCTCTGCTGTTATCGTATGGGTGACTACGAAACTACTGCCGCCGGCCCAGGCATTACTGTTAAATAAAACGCAAGCGTCGTTACATTATTCCAACCAACACTGTGGCATCGATTTAGCACGAATTCCCACGCAATGAAAATGTCTAGACTAGCGCCACTTACCGAACCTGACCATCATTCGTGACGGCTATCATCGAGCCTTTGGAGGTCCTAGATTCGACCCTACACGTACAGGATCAGCGAAATTCGCACGAAGCCATGTTCATTCACATCGAGTCCGCTTACTTGACCGCAAAGGGATAGTCAACATTGTWGATGAAAAAGTGCTGCTTGTCATCTACGGCGTTGTACGGAACTCTGAGCAAGCCCCAGAAGTACTCTGTTGTTGAGAGTTGCCCTTCGTGGGTAGGGAGAGCAACTGAAGCTCTTTGGTGGGTAGCGAGAGCAACTAAAGCTCTTTGTCAGTTATGATCGTCCACAGCTAATGACACATCGGACTCGAATGCGCACCTTTCTCTCCCCGATACATGGTCGTCAACATCCACCAGTGCGCCTCGTCGCTGCCATGACGCTCCAGCGTGAGAGTGTGATTCTCATGGCCATGGATTGGTGGGCCGTACAGCGTGCAGTTGACATTGCTGGCAAAGTCGAGAACTTTTCGACTCGTGACGGCCATCATCTGCGTCCGCACGCCGTTCCACYGCGGACCCAAAGCCTGGCCGACTTTGGTCCCGTGTTGCTGGTTTTCAACCTGCCGGCCTTGAGAATACAGCATCCAGGGGTCGCCGAGAGGCTTGTGCACCACGATCTGCGTGGCCTTGGCTTTTTCCAACGCGGCGTTGGCGTCGTTGACGTTTTTCTTGAGGCGGGCGATCTCGTCCTGCAGGGCTTTCCTTTCGTTTGCTGTGGTGGTGTCGGACCCTTGCTTTTCGAATGGATCGCGAACGTCGGGCATCAGTCGGTCGGTCAGCATACATGGGGTTTGGTTTTCCATTCCCGTGGCACAGTACAATTGCCCATTTGCTCGGATTTGGTAGAATATCGCTGATGCCTTGTTACGGCCTGGCAAAGGGTCCTGCTCCATGGCAAAGTAAGCGTTGTTTTCGCAGGCGAGAAAGATAAAAGAGTCGCAGCTAGTCACGGCAGAAAGATTTGGGAATCACTCACCACACGACCCAATACATCTAGGTTTATGTTGATGTGACGAGTACCTTTACCATTGTCGTAATTCTTCTCGATTTGTGATGAAACAGCGCCGACGTGTTCCGCTTCCGAGAAGTGCTTTCCACCGACTACAATGGCTACGATTGACCAGGTCGCTGCGTTCCAAGCCGTGGGCTGTACCTGCGGGTAATTGGCCGACTCGGCTACAGTGACTGTGTGGACTTTGCCCTGTTGGAGAGGGGAATGAGTAAACAGCCTCATCGGCCCGTCGTCGTACCGGAAAACAAAGGAAAGGAACAAGTCAGCGTCCAAGACTCGCTGAGGGAGGCTGTGGCCGGAGAGAAGAGATGGAAGGCGAATGGTGTCAATTCTCAGACTTCCATCCGGTTGCACCAGAGCGTGGAGGTCGTCGGTGCAAGTAACAACACCGCAGGCAGCGGAGAGGATTTCGAGTTGCGGAGTTTCAGCTTTCACTTTGGGCTGAGGTCAGTCGTTTGGTGGAGCGATGGGAAAATTGACCGCTAGCGATGAAGGCATGACGATACCGTGATCGAGAATGTACAAACTAGGAGAGGCATTTTCACATATGCTCTTCAAGACCTCAAGATGCGCTTGGACACGGTGGGCGATGGAGGTCTGGGAGATTCCTCGGACTACATGCTGGCGGGTTTCGCTCAGAAACAAGACGAGACTAAGTTCACCCAGGATATCAGTATTCATCCGCCCCGTCCACCTCCGGTCAATGTACGACGACTGGGATTTGCAGAAATTATGGGTGATTTACCCTTTCAAGTCAACGATATTTATTGGTGACTGCAGCAATTTGTAACAGCTCTTAATGAAGGCTACAAACCATTACCTACTTTACATCTACAACTGAAAAGCAACTTCGATCGCGGAAGCGACATGCCGTGAGCCTTCCCTACTAGCCGAGCGAGTGTCTATCATGCCGCCTCGGCGCTCAGCTACTCCGCAGTGGTGGCGCAGCAGCAGCAGCAGCAGCAGCAGCAGCAGCAAGCAACGATGTAAGTCGAGCTGGATCCAGTCCATATGTGATGACTGGCTGAGAGGTGCGTCTAGTAGTCCATCCGTGGCTGGCTGGCTGAAGAGATGCGTCCCGTCAGGTGACGACGCTTCACAGCTGATTATCTCCTTGGCGGCGACCACATGTGACTGCGTAGATTTGCCCGCGGGCGCATAGAATATGGGGCCGATTCCAGGTCAATTGGTCCCGCGCTTTTTGCGCCCTTCGATAATACTGCTAGGACCTTCAAGGCGAAAGTCATTGGCGTTCGACGCCTCATCGAATAGGTAAGGTAGTGACCGATTATTATGCCCCGGGAACATCTCCTTCTAGTCAGAGAATATGTCGCCATCTACTTTTAGTATCTTGGCTAATATCGAGTACCATAAGTCTTCTTCCGAACCTAGCATTAAGCCAAGACCAAGATGAAAAAAAAGCCAGGTCGCCCACATTCGCTAGAGATATTGCAATACCAACGAACATAGACTTCCCTAACACATCACAACACAAATACACCAAGACGTTTGGTAAAAGGCCGGAGTCGAACCAGCGGGGCGCTCAACCTCCTTACGAAGACTCGAGAGTGTGGACCGGAGTCCGACACTCTGTCTGTCTTCTCGGCAGGGCCTGACGTAGTCTTCCGATGACTACCGCACTATTGAGTGGATTTTGTTGGTGGATGTACTTTTCCGTTGTCTTGTGTGTCTTGTGTGTCTTGTGTGGTGTGGTGTGGTGTTGTATGATGGAGGGAGAAGCGGAATTGGAGGGGAGAGATGTAGATTTTGTGTGGGGGTTTTTTTGGCAGTATTTAGCCTACACCGCCTACCGAGCTCAGCGATGGAAGCTCGAGCTCGAGCTCGTGTCAATCCAACCTACCTTAGGATTGGAAGAAAGGTGTCGAATACTGTACCTTACTTCCATTCCCATTCATTCCCGACCATTCGGGAATTGGGGATTGATCCGAACATGTCCATATCCATGCCACTCCACAATGGCAATGGCAATGACAGGGCACCCACCGACGCCCTAGACGCGGGTAATGCATCCATCCACGCATCCATCCCAACACCTGTTGACATGTTCCAGTCGACTACAATCCAATTGACCACCTCAACGCCCTCTTCTCCCACCCCTCGACCCTCGCTCACGTCTCCCAAGTGTCGCAGTCGCTGCAACGACACCAAGATGCCCTCGACGCCGACATTTCCCATCTCGTCACCCTCCAAAGCACCTCCGACTCGGACAGCGTGCGACGCATGCAAGATGCCAAAGCCGAACTGGCCGGATTGTTTGCCAAAATCGAAGGGGTTCGCGAGCGGGCATTGGAGACGGAGCGGGCGATTGGCGACATGACGGCCGATATCAAGAAGCTGGACAGCACCAAGAGGAATCTCACCTTGTCCATGACGGCATTGAAACGATTGCAGATGTTGACGACGGCTTATGAACAATTACGAGCATGCATCCAGACGAAGCAATATCGAGAATGCGCCCATCTCTTGCAAGCCGTCATCCAGCTCATGGCGCATTTCAAGAGCTATCGGAGCATCGATCAGATTGCCGCCCTGAGCAAGAATGTGGCCGAGGTGCAGAGGGCCTTGCTGGAGCAGATTTGTGAGGATTTTCAAGTCGCCTTTGCCAATGATGAGGTGCAGCAGGATCGGACCATGCTGCACGACGCCTGTCAGGTGCTGGATGCGCTGGGCGACGATGCCCGCGCCCGCCTCATCACATGGTACTGCAATGCCCAGTTGAGGGAGTACCGACGCGTCTTCCGCGGGAATGAAGAGGCGGGATCGTTGGACAACATCGCGCGGAGATATTCCTGGTTCCATCGCATGTTGAAGACGTGGGATGCCGAACACGCCCTCCTCTTCCCGCCCGCCTGGAAGGTCAATGAGATGCTGGCCAATGCCTTTTGTGAGAATACGCGAGACGACTACAAGGGAATCTTGCAGAAATCCATGCGACGCGCCGATGGTCGCCCGCCGGATGTCAATCTCTTGTTGTCCTGCTTGCAGGAGACGCTCGACTTCGAGCACAGTCTGGAACGTCGCTTCTCCCTCGGAGAGTCCCGGTCCTCCATGGACACCGTCATGTCGGGGGAGGAGCGGAGAGCGGGCTTCAGCCAGGCCATCTCCGAGGCCTTTGAACCATATCTCAGCATCTGGGTCGAGTCGCAAGACAAGCAGCTGTCCTCGCTCATCCCTAAATACCGCCAGCAACCCCTCCGCAATCCCGAAGAGGAATTCAACGCCCAGCTGGTCATTCCCTCCTCCACAGAGCTCTTCCACACCTATCGTGTCACTCTGGCCCAATGTGCAAAGCTTTCCACCGGAAGTCGACTGTTGGAGCTGTCCAAGACATTTGCAAGATATCTCGATGCCTATGGCCAGCAAGTTCTCTTCCACTTCCTCGCGGAAAAGACGGGCGGGCCGAGTGTGGAGGATGCGGTCATAATCCTCAACACCGCCGACTACTGCTACCAAACCACAAATCAACTGGAAGAGAAGATCAAGTCTCGTATTGATGAAGATTTACGCGAAAAGGTAGACTTGCAATCCCAAGCGGACGCATTCCTGGGCGTCGCCGCGGCGGCAGTCAAAAGTCTCGTCCACAAAACTGAACGCGACTGCGAACCTGCCTGGCGAGAAATGCGCACCATACCGTGGAGTAGAATGGACAGCGTCGGGGATCAATCACCCTTCGTCTACTCCCTCCTCCAACGGATCAAAGACGGCAGTAGAGAAATCCTCAAATACCTCCACAAACCACAATACTCCCGCGCCTACTGCGACAACATGGTCGACGCTTTCACCAACACCTACATCACCAACATCGTCGCCAGCCGTCCCATTTTCGAGACGGGAGCGGAACAGATGCTCCTCGATTCATACGTGTTGAAAAAAGGTCTCGCAGAGCTAGCAACTCTCACCTCCGAACCGGGAACACCTCCCAATGCCGCCTTTGTCAAGAGGGTCCAACAAACGACTGCGAAATTGGATCCCATCCTCAAAACCCTCCAAGTCCGAGCCAGTCCTCCGGAAGGGTTGGTTCAAGCCTATCTCATCCACATCCGCGATCGCTCCGAAGCGAACTTTAAAAAACTGCTCGAAATTAAAGGGATCGTGCGGAAGGGAGATCAGAATCATCTTGTGGAACTCTTCAACGCGCATAAATCCAGTCCGGCGAATGAATCTCTACAAGCCAGCAACCCATTGATTGCCGCATTACAACTCACCCATCCATCCAACCACCTTCCCGCAAGCACGACTTCCTCCGTCTCCTCCGCCGTGGGACTGTCAACGCTAGCGAGTCTGAAGGATTCCGCTGCGACGACGGTGGGGACGCCGAGTCTGCAGGGGAGATTTGATCCCGGGAATTTCGGGGCGGCGTTGATGAATGCCGCGAGGGATGCGGGTGATCGGTTTGGTGGTGGAAGTCCCGGGGTTGGTGGGGGAGTTGGGGGGAGTAGTAGGGTGGGGAGTCCGGGGATGATGAATCTTGGTGATGAGGGTTTGGAAGGCGGGTTGGGGAAGTTGGGCAAGTTTTTTAGGGGGAGGGGCTAGATGGTGGGGTGTTGATGTTGATGTTGAGGTGGAGGTGGAGGTGGAGGTGGGTTGGAGGGGAGGAGAGGAGATGATGGATTGTGGGGATGCGAGGGATGGATTGGAAATGTGATGTCCCACAGTCTCCCACTTCCCGCCGTCTTCCTCCCTCGGTTGTGCCCGCGGCCTCGGGGTCGACGCCGTGAAAGATCGGTGTGGCACACGAAATGTCTCCTGAAATGTGCATGCACTACAGCATGTGATGAACGCTAGGCTGACCCACTTAGGTGAGGTGAGGTGAAGTTGACGAGTACTTTACATCCGAAACTCGAGACCCACTCAAGTGAGGAAGTGAAGTGAATTTGGTCGTTTCATCCGGCAAAACCTGCCCACATCTTTTATCTCCATCCACATCCCGGCATGTCAAAACCGCGCACGGTAAAGGATAAAAAATCTCGCCGTGTTCGCCGTGCTCGCCGTGCTTTTTGTCTCACGGCACGACATCGGAATTGAATCCCGTCGATCACCACTTGACAATTCACTAAGCTGGAGATGGAAGTAGACCAGGGGAGGAGGAGGAGGGCCGTTGCTGAAGATGTCGATGAACGGACCAGTTCAACGTAGATAGTTAGACATGGTCAATAATAATGATATCATTCGCGCGAATCCCCAACCATCGGCAGCTAAAGGTACTTGTCCGGAGACGGCACACACACACTAAAACCAAAAAAATGATTCGGAGTCGGAGAATTAAATTCCATTTGGTGATGATTTTGATGAGGTTGTGTTGGTTATCTCCCTTCCCGTCCTATCAAACGTCCGAATGATCGCTCCCCGTCCCCATCCCTCCCCMCTGTGCTTTCTGTGATTCCTCCTGGACTTGCGTGCAAGGAAGTTCGGCACGTGCCCAAATCTTGTTGGAACATCTTAGTAGGATGATGATGATGATTACGTCTAGATGTGTCATGGTTATGTCTTTCTCTCTCTCTCTCTCTCTCTCTCTCAATAATTAGAAAATCAAGAGATCTATATAGCCTCGAGTTGTAATAAGGAAATAGAAAAGGAAAAAAGGAAACTAAGTTCCGGGCCTTGGAGTTACCCCCGTTCAACAAGCGCGAAGGGAAGAAAAATTAAAACCAAGACTACATGGACGGACGGACAGGGATGAAGGGTTAGGTGAGGAGAGCTATTGTGAAAATCCTCGTTTCGATCGCTGGTTTCCTCTTGGAGATGATAACCCACGGAAAACGAAACAACAAACAAACAACCAAACAACCTAATACATAGAACTTTACCCCGGAGTGCCAATACTGGAAGGTTGAGGAAAGAAATAAGACGAAGAAGCAAGCAAGTCGGCAAGAAAAGAAAATAGAAGAACAAGATGGCAACATCACCACCACCACCACGTCAACCCATCACATTCACCGCCGCGGATGGGGTCAAATTAGCCGGTTTCCTATATCCAGGAGCAGAAGGAGAGAAACGTCCGACGATAATCATGAGTCCTGGTGTACGCATTTCCCTCCCCTCATGAATACATCCCCAAAATCAAAAAAGAAAAAAGAAGAAAAACAAAACAAAACAAAACAAAACAAACAAATGAAAAGAAAATCCAACAATCCCAAAAACTAACCTCTTCCTCTTTCCCCACCCACAGATGCCCGAAAGTATAGAACCCTTCCTAACAGCCCTGGCCTCGAAATTCCAATCCCACGCCTACACAGTGCTCCTCTACAACAACCGCAACTGGTACACCTCTTCAGGCCACCCACGGAATGAAACCGACCCCCTGCTCCAAACCCGCGACTACACAGCAGCGTTGAATTTCTGCCTCGATCTCCCCTGCTGCGATCCCAAAAAATGCATCTTCTGGGGCGGAAGTCTCAGTGGAGCGAATGCCATTTCCGCCGCTGCGATAGATTCTCGGGCTTGTGCTGTGATTGCTCTGGTGCCGACTGTGAGTGGGGAATTTATCACGCAGGCATTGGGACCCATGGGGAAATTTATTCTGGCGGATAGTGTAGGGGTTACGGTTAAAGGGGTTGGGAGTCAGAGGTTTCCTGTTAGGGATACGGTGAATGATTGTTGGGGCGGGGAGACGGGTTATGGGGGGTATTTGGAGGAGTGTTTGCGACTTGGGGGTGAGTGGGAGGAGGAGGCTACGACGATGAGTATGTTGTGGTTGCAGGCTAGTGCGCCGCAGAGTTTGATTGCGAGGGTTAAAGGACGGGTGTTGATGGTTATTGCTGAGGAGGATGTGGTTGTGCCGGTTCCTGCGCAGAGGGAGATGTTTGGGTTGATTGAGGGGAGGAAGGGGAATGAGTTGATGGTTGTGGRGGGTAAGGGGCATTTTGATGTTTATTATGGGGAGACGGGGGAGATGGTTTTGGGGAAGATGTTGGAGTTTTTGGGCGGGTTGTTTGGGTGATGATGTGTGTGTGTGTGTTATTAATGGTAGTTAATTGATGCGCTGTAGGGATATGGTGTGGTGTGAGTCTTTGCGATTTGAGCGGCATGTCTTTTTTGGAGAGGGAATGTTTTGTGATGCATTCGTTGTAGGTGTATAGAGAGATGAAAGTGTAAGATTGAGGCGTAGAAAGATTCATWTGGAGGTCAACATCTCGATTCCTTCACCTCCTCCCGATCTCACGGAACATGGAATGCATGAATGGTACCTACCATCGATCTGCGGCTGAAAAAAAGACACATGACACATCCCTCACATTTTGATGAGAACCAGACTCTTCAAAGTCCGAAAGCAGGCAGGTACCACCCACATCCGACCGCMCTTTCCTCCACAACTTCTTTCCCAGGTCAATGGAAAATCATTCTCTCGCAAGATCCGGAATAGGATAAAGCAAGCAAAGCAACGAAATATAGTATAGTACATACGTCAAAGCTACCTACCTCGGACTAGAAGATCGACCAGCAAGCCACCAAGTACCACATCTTCCGTCTTCCTTCCCAAAAAGGAAAGTGCAGGGCAACTTTAAAAAGAAAGGAAAACGGGTTGCTTGTTTTGCTCGGAGTAGGATCCGAGTTACTAATGAATGCATTCCCATCATTTCTCCCCGATTAAGGACCTGGTACCTTAAGGGAGAAAGTCCGAGAAAGAAGGCATCACGTACAGTTGATATGTACAATCGAGAAGCAATACTCTACTTTGCTCGTCTCCAGTACCCTAATCCGCGCTATCGTCCATCTCAATCAATGGAATCACTCAATCAAACTCTATAGGTACGGTACGGTACCTCATCCATATATGATCTAGGGGTCCACTGTACGTATCCGACTACCTACAAACGGAAAACCAACCTGCATCTCGGAACTCGGCAATGTAGCCATCTATCAAAAGTCACGTCTCATGACATACACCTCATGCACAGGAGAGAAAGTCAAAATAAAGTACCTTACATCCTCCGAAGACTGGAAGATTGATTTTCATTCGTGAGGAAGAGGTCGACGCTACGGAATGTTGGGCTTGGCGGTGGTGCATCTTCCCTTTGGGGTTAATGAATGCCCTGAAGCTGTTTCATGGTTCATGATATGCAGGGATCGTTGGAGCCGGGGATGCGTTTTGGGTTTTGTATGCGATTACTGCTTTGGGGTTTGGGTGGCGTGCACTCCATGATGAAGGATAGATTGGTGTCATGTGGTAGGAGGGAATGGTGGTTCGTATGGAGGAGGCTTTGGGGCTTTCTTTGGGTATACATACGCTTCTTTCATCTTTCGAGTCTCCATCTATCATGGATTTGATCCATCAATGCTTCTGATCCTGTCAGAAAATATCAATGATGTATATCATACCGCTTCAACAAATCAATCGAGACGCTCAATGACAATGGCGCTGGCACCACCGCCCCCATTGCAGATTCCGGCACAGCCAATCTTGGTCTTCTTCTCGCGGAGAACACCAATCAATGTTGTGACAATCCGAGCACCACTTGCTCCCAGAGGGTGACCCAATGCAACGGCACCACCATGGATGTTGATCTTGTCCTCGCTGAGACCCAGCAGTTTCATGTTGGAGAGGGCGACGACGGAAAAGGCCTCGTTGATCTCCCACGCATCGATATCCTCCTGTTTGAGCCCGGCATGTTTGAGGGCTTTGGGAATGGCCAGGGCCGGTGCGGTGGTGAACTTGGAGGGACTCTGTGCGGCGTCACCCCAGCCGAGAATCTTGGCAATGGGCTTGAGGTTGTGCTTGTTGACGTAGGCCTCACTGGCGAGCACCACCGCTGCGGCACCATCGGAGAGAGGAGAGGCGTTGGCGGCGGTGACGGTACCGCCCTCGGGCTTGAAGGCGGGTCGAAGCTTGCGGGTGGCCTCTTCGTTGAACTTTTTGGGCTCGTCATCCTTCTCCACCACCGTGTCGGGCTTCCCTCGCGTCCCTTTGATGGTGACGGGAGCAATCTCCTCGCGGAACCATCCGGCCTCGTCTGCAGCAATGGCTTTCTTGTAGCTCCGGATGGCATAGTCATCCTGCTCTTGTCGGCCAAAGCCGTGGTCCGCGGCACATTCCTCAGCCGACAGACCCATGTGCTCGTTCTTGTAGGCATCCGTCAGACCGTCTTTTAACACCGAATCCACCAATTTTTGATCGCCAAACTTCGCCCCCAGCCGCATGTTGGGCAGATAGTGGGGGGTGTTGGACATGCTCTCGGTGCCGCCCGCGACCACGACATCGGCCTCGCCGGTGAGGATGGTGGCCGCGCCCAAGGAAATGGCCTTGATGGACGAGGCGCAGACCTTGTTAATCGTCGTGGCTTCCGTGGACTCGGGCAGGCCCGCGTGGATGACACATTGTCGGGCCGGGTTCTGGCCCAGGTTGGCGGAGAGGACGTTACCGAAGAAGACTTCTTCCACTTCCGTGGGTGCAATGCCCGATCGCTCCACCGCGGACTTGATGGCGTGGGCTCCGAGTTGAATGGCGGTCTGGCTGCCGAGCGAGCCTTGGAACATGCCCACCGGCGTGCGGACCGCCGAGAGGATGTAAACGGGGGAAGGGGCCATGATGGAGGCTGAGGTGTAGGTAGGTAGGGTGGAGGGTTGTTCAAAGAATTGGTGGCGTATATCAACAGGACAGGACAGGACAATAGGTAGCAACAATCACAACGAGGGGCCCTACTTATTGTTCGACAATTCTTTAGCTCTATCGTACGAGAACCCCACTATCAATGCCTGTCTGCAAGGGTCGGAAAAGTCTAAATTCCTAATGGGGGAGCTTTCTCCAAGGCGGTGAGGCAGAATTTCTACGCCAGCGGAAAAGTACGTAGGTACGTAGGTAGGTGCTTGCAAGTCGCGATTGGACATTTTTGCCCTCCTTCCCTCCCACAACCACCACCATGAGCGACCTGTATGACGAATTCGGGAACTTCATCGGAGAGCCCGAGGAGGAGAGTCAGGAAGAGGATAACGGGGCATATGATGGCGCACAATACTTGGACGACGATGAGGAAGAGGCGGCGGCCGGCGCGCCTTCAGGCCAGGAATTGATGGACATTGATGATGACGCTCCCTCCAATGCCGTCGTCCTCCACGAAGACAAGCAATACTATCCCTCGGCATCACAAATCTACGGTCCGGATGTCGAGACGTTGGTGCAGGAAGAGGATACCCAGACCCTCCAACAACCCATTGTCGCGCCGGTGGAGCGCAAGAAATTCACGGTCGAGGAGGAGAATCTCCCCCAAGTCTACTTCGATCGCACCTTCCTCACRGACCTGATGAGCTTTCCCGCCCAGATACGAAACATTGCGCTCTGTGGACATTTACATCATGGAAAGACGAGCATCATGGATATGCTGGTCACCCAGACACACGACATTTCATCCTACATGGAGGGAAAGACTGGCAAGGCGCGGGATGAGCACATGCGATACACGGACACGCACCTTCTTGAGCGGGAACGAGGATTGTCGGTCAAGTCGAGTCCCATGAGCTTGCTCTTGCAGGGAACCAAGGGAAAGAGCCATCTCATCAACATCATCGACACGCCGGGACATGTCAACTTCGCGGATGAAGTCGCTGCTTCCTTACGACTGGTGGATGGTGTGGTGCTGGTGGTGGATGTGGTGGAAGGCGTGCAAGTCACGACGGAATTGGCCATCAAGCATGCCGTTCTTGCCGGCCTCCCTCTGGTGCTTTTGATCAACAAGGTCGACCGATTGATGCTGGAATTGAAGCTTCCTCCAAACGATGCATACTTTAAGCTCAAGCATGTCGTCGAGGAGGTCAACACATATATCGAGAACACCATTCCGGGGAGAGGCGAGAAATACCGCGTCAGTCCGGAAAAGGGAAATGTCGCGTTCGCGTGTAGCAGTATGGAATGGTGCTTCACTCTTCCATCATTTGCCTTCATGTATGCCGAGAGCTACCCCAATGCAGACTTTGACTCGACCGAGTTCAGCCGGAGATTGTGGGGAGACGTCTACTTCAACCCGAGATCACGAAAGTTCACCCGCAAGGCCATTGAAGACGGTGCGAAGAGGAGTTTTGTCCATTTCGTGCTGGAGCCCATTTACAAGCTCTACTCACACACCATCTCGGAATCGCCCGATGTCTTGAAGAAGACGCTCCAAAGCTTACACATCAGTCTCAAACCGAGTCAACTCCGAGCGAATGCCAAGGATTTGTTGAAGATGGTATGCGAGCAGTTCTTCGGTCCCGCGACCGGTTTTGTGGACATGGTCGTTCAGCACATTCCATCACCGGTGGAGGGTGCCAAGCAAAAGTTGGACAAGTACTACACCGGACCGACGACGGATTCAAAGACTGCCGAATCCATGCTGGCATGTGATCCAGAAGGACCGCTGGTGGTGCACATCACAAAGCTGTTCAGCACACAGGACGCACAAGGTTTCCACAGCTTCGGTAGAGTGATGAGCGGAACTGCGAGACCCGGCCAGCAAGTCAGAGTGCTGGGAGAGGGTTATAGCATTGATGATGAGGAAGACATGGTCAATGCAACGATTGAGAGTGTCTCCATCGCGGAGAGCAGATACAATGTGCCCGTGTCGGGGATCCCAGCCGGTAACTTTGTGCTGCTCGGCGGAGTGGACAACTCCATCATGAAGACTGCAACCATCGTCTCGCCCAAACTCCCCGACAATGAAGACGCATACATCTTCAAGCCGATTGCTCACTTCTTCGAAAGCGTCTTCAAAGTCGCAGTGGAGCCCATCAACCCCTCGGAACTGCCCAAAATGCTGGACGGGCTTCGAAAGATTAACAAGTTATACCCTCTCATCACAACAAAAGTGGAGGAAAGTGGTGAGCACGTTGTCCTCGGAACGGGAGAATTCTACATGGACTGCGTGCTACACGACCTCCGAAGATTGTACGCACAAATGGAGATCAAAGTCTCCGATCCTGTCACGAGGTTCTGTGAGACTTGTGTGGACCAGAGTGCCATGAAGTGTTATGCACTGACGCCCAACAAGAAGAACAAGCTCACCTTCATCGCAGAGCCTCTCGATGACGGCATCGCTCAGGATATCGAAAGCGGACGGGTCTCCATCAAAGATCCCGTCCGCAAGGTGGGAAAGTTCTTTGAAGACAACTATGGCTATGACATACTGGCCGGCCGTAACATCTGGGCTTTTGGTCCGGATGATTCCTCTCCGAATATCCTACAAAATGATACGCTGCCTTCGGATGTGGATCAAAAATTATTGCGGAGTGTCAAGGATACAATCCGGCAGGGTTTTGCTTGGGGAACGAGAGAGGGACCGCTTTGTGAAGAGCCGATACGGAATGTCAAGTTTAAGATTACCGATGTGGAACTTGCAAATGAGGCGATTTTCCGAGGTGGTGGACAGATCATCCCAACGGCGAGACGAGCATGCTACTCCTCCTTCCTCATGGCCGGGCCGAGACTGATGGAGCCCGTATACCAAGTACAAATGCTGGGCAACGCGAGCAGTGTCTCGGCGCTATACACCGTTCTGGCGCGGAGGAGAGGACACGTCCTCAGCGACGCCCCTGTGCCGGGGACCCCTCTGTACTCGGTTAAAGGCCTGATCCCCACCATCGACTCGTTTGGTTTCGAGACCGATCTGAGAATCCACACTCAAGGCCAAGCGACGGTCAGTCTGGTCTTTGACCGCTGGTCCATTGTCCCAGGCGATCCGCTGGATAAGAGCATCAAGTTACGACCGCTGGAGCCCGCGAGTGCGCAGGCTACGGCGAGGGATTTTGTGCTCAAGACTAGAAGGCGGAAGGGGCTGAGCGAGGATGTTACGGTGAGTAAGTATGTGGAGCCGGAAATTATGCGGCAGTTGCGGGAGACGGGAATGTTGGATTGATTGTTMGAGGAGGAACAAGTGGAATGAAGGTGCAATCAAAGGTACAATCTTCGAGGTCCATGTGTCCGTCCAGCCGATTCATGTGAGTGAGGATGCATTGCATGAACAGTCGGTTCCACGGCTTTGCTTGAATCTTCTGTGTAGAGTGTGGATCTCAGGCAGGCAGCAGAGAAGCGGAGAGGCGGAGAGGCGATGCGATTTCGACCTGCTCTTGTCGTGGAAAGAAGGGCTGTTCATATTTCGAACCAACGCGGGCGGTTCGATACTCTGAATGCTGCAATATATGCAGGGAATGAATCGAGCAAGGTGTTCTTGAGAACGTCGTCTTGAGATGTTAATTTCACGGATGTGGACTTGTGCGGATTTTCAAATGTGAAGAAGGTAGGTTTCGTCTGTTGTATTCTATTTTGTATGCTTGTGAAAGCTTCCCTGCTGGCAAAGATTCATGCAAACCGCCAAGCATGAGGTTGGTTATCCGCCTCTCTTCCTCCTCCAGCTCTGATTTATTTTCTATACATAAGGTAAAATGTCAAAGACCCTGCATCTCATATCATGCCCCTCACCTCAACTCACCCTTCCTCCCTCCCTCCCTCCCTCCCGTACTCCCTCCCAACCACTCCCCTTCAGAAACTCAACCCCCGTCCCCTCCCCTCCCATCATGAATCCACACCAACACCAAACTCCCCCAACGCCTTCATAGGCCCAAATTCCATCCAAGCATTATATTGCTCTTCAGTCTTACACCACACCATCCCCGCCATACAAGCGGCATTCGCAGCAAACTCCCCGGCTCCACTTCCCATCCAAGCTTTGGGACGGGGGATCGCGACCATGATTTCTCGAGTCAGGAGTAAATTGTGGGCGGTGCCTGGGTGGATGTTTGTGATGTTGCAGAGGTGATTCCAGATTTCGAGAAGGGTTTCTGGGGAGGTGGGTTTTGAGGGGTTGAGGGGGTGGGCTGCGTGTTTGAAGGGAGTTTTGGGGAGGGTGAAGTGTGTTTGTGCTGCTGTGGCAGGATTCTTCTTGTTCTCTGGTTGGAGGGTTTCCTCGGACTCGTGGATATGCTTGAGGAGAAGTGCGAGGAAATTTTCATCTTCGGGGATGGTCTCGGGGAGAGGGATGACTTGTAAATGTTTATGTCCGACGGATGAACCTGCGTTGACTCCACAGTTGAAAATCCCCATGTACTTGTTGTTGTTGCTGCCTTCCTCGGGCAAGTCCATCAGAACCTGCCAAATCGCGGCGAAATCTTCTGCATTGAGAGGATTTTGCTGCGGTTCGAAATTTTTGGTGGGAATGACGAATTGGGGGCGTACGACGGAGAATTTGTTGAGGATTAAACGATGATGGGGTCCGAGATTGGGGAGGATTTCGAAGAGAGAGTTTTCGTCGTCAAAGGCTCCGCGTTGTTTGGTTGCTGTTGTTGCTGTTGTTGAAGAGGGAACAGGGGCGGTGGGGATTTGTTGTTTGTCTTGGGGTTTGGAAATTAGACTGGCTGCCACGCGGAATTCAAAGGAGAAGGGTGTGGAGGGATGGTAGCGGGGTGGGACGTCTTGCCAGAGGAGGTCGCCGCTTGCTACTAGTTGGTCGAAGCGGGAGAGGGCGAGGGCTTCTAGGGACATTTTTGTTGTGTTTGGAAGGTTGGGCCGGTTTGGAGTTTGGTGTTTGAAGTTTTGATGTACATGGATGGAGGGAGTGGAAGAAGGAGCGTTTGAATTCCGAGAAATGGCTAGCGCTTTCCGCTTTTGGATATCGATGTAATTGACGCGCGGAACCTCATCCTTGCAAGTGAGTGAGGTGCTTTCTTCTTCACTCCATCATCAATTTGCCTTTGATCCACTCATTAGTCCTATAGTCTTGGAGGCAAGTGCGACATCATCGGAACGGGTGGCAGGACTTGACTATTCAGAATTATGGCCAAAGTGAGCGGGTATCGGCACATGCATGGAAGAAGCCCAGCCCATCGGGACTGCGTGTAGGGAGTAATTGGCGAAATGGAGATGCTGATGTCATGGCAGGCATTTTTGACGACGTATATAGTCCCAGTCCTGCATGCGGGAAGCTGAGCGGGAAGTTCGAACCAATCCTCGACAGAAAGAACGGAGTGTATATTGGTCGACAACCTCCCTGTTTCTTTGCCGTGCTTCCCGCATATAGAACTGRAGCTATATGCTGCGCTGGTGAGCATTCCGGAAGAAAGACTCACAGATTCAAATCTGTAGATAGGATTATTCCGGCCTCCCCGAGCTGTGTCTGGTGCATTTAACGTGGTTGTCGAAGGGATTGTGAGCGCTGTCTATACCCCTTTGCCTGGAATATGAGGATAACGAACCAATTGAGTGTCTACGATCGAGAGTCTTGGGTCTTCTCGCGTCTTAGACCGGCGGACGTCTTCCGAGCGTATATTTCCGCCTGCAAATTTGACTCTGCATACCGAGTCTGTCGTGCATACAGGAATGGCTGCAAGAAACCTCGTAGCCAATGTGCGTGGAAAGCTCACTCATCTACGGCTCCTATGAGCCTAATTCCGTTGGTGGAGAACACGCAATATTGCCGCCTGCGAATTTGAATCGGTATAGATGGATTGTCGTGAGTTTTCTGGATTACAGGAAAGACAGAAACTTGACGACCAACTCCATGCTAGAAGCAGAATATACAGCGAGATTCCGAATGTAAAGTGGTGGGGATGATGAGCTTTTAGCTGCGGCATATGATGCAGGTCGTTTTCGCTCCGTTTGCTGATGACACCGCAGAACTGAGATCCCTCTAGCCACAGGAGCCATATTGATTGGACTGGATCCGAATCCTCTCTCGCATTTACCACTGCTTCTAGATCATGCCAGTCACTTGTAATGGCTTCTCCTTCACCAGCCAAGCTTGAGCGAATAATGAGCAGCGGACCCAAGCATGCCTGGAAGGAACTGCCACTGCTTTCGAAAGTCCGTGTCTCTAAGACCTAGTATACCAAGCTGACAAGCACGACTTGCCAGACATCACGGATACTCGCAACGTTACTCTGGAGCTCTTCACTATGGACTATGATTCCAATTCTTCATCATTCGGCATCTCAGCCTAAGCTGCTCGATATCAAGTCATCCTGAGACATCGCATGCAAACGCCATCGTTCATCATCATCAAGGCCATAATTGAGCCTCTGGAGCTAGTCATCCAAGCACATCTGGCCGCTATCAAAGCCACTTTCCCAGATCAGGTGGCTACAAACTTGTAGTATCCAGAGCTCAACACCAAGGCTTTCGGGCCGTTCTTCAAGATCCACTGTGCGGAGCAGGTCGGTAGGCGCAAGCGTCTTGCTTGGGAGAAGTTTGAATACCCGGTTGAGTTGACGACTTTGACGTGGGAGGCGCGCTACTGTGGTAGAGTGTCGGGCATTAGATTCGAAGTCTTATCGTCCGTTCTGTAAGACTTGCAAGAATTTGTGGCAACTTGTAGCCGTGACAGAACCGGGTTGAGTTAGGCCATGCATAGCTGTTTCGGTTCTGGAGACACGGAAAGTACGGTCAACAGACTTACCACTTACTTCCCCTAAGTCGCCAGAACTCTGGTCTAGAATTGATGCCTGCCCGAGGGAGTTGGCGAGGAATGCAAGGGAGATGGCGCCAATTGTGCGTCATCTGTGGAGTTTAGGCAACTATCCCTGTGCAGGTCAGTGATGCCTGCCCGCGTTACACCGAAGCACGTTGACCGGGCCTCTCATAAAAGAGGACTCCTTCACCTCGTCTTCATTCACCTCGTTTCATTTACTTCAATCACTTCGCCTTCATCAAACCACCACATCTTTCGGATCACCATGGGACAGCGACATCAGTTCTATGTCATTGCCAAAATCAATGGGTGCCATCGCCTTCTAGCCGCCGCTCATCATCAGTGGTGCTATGGTGATGCCGCAATCGCTCAGTGTCTGCGAATACTAGAGATTTTCTCTGCAGCTGKCAATCTTTCTGGCATCCAAAGTGATCTTCGGAGTGCTCTGGATATAGACTGGGAGAATGACATTTGGGTCGACAAATCCAAGGTAGTTCGCTTTTCTAATGCATGCAGGCAGCCCTTCCATATGCTTACACATTGCTTCCACAGAATCAAGCCTGCGAATTCCTCTTCCCCTTCATTGCCACTTGCCTCACAAGCGGCTCTTCTGTCCTTTTCCCTCTCGACACTCACTTCAAATACCCCGTGAACGATGATGGGATCACAATTTACGACATTACCGAGCCACAGAATCCTCGATATGCTTTCATGTTTCCATTCGAAAATGTCCTCATGGATGCTCTCCAGTATTCCGAACGCTACGAATACGAATATGCTGACGAAGAAGAGTTTGACGAAGAGAGGTTTGATGAAAAGAAGCCTAGACGGCCTACGACCTACGAATGTAAAGCGAATTCGCCACCCGATATCAGATCTTGCCTCGATCATCGTCCTGTCACAGTGGAAGCCATGTATGACGTCTGGCCGCAATGGTCGCAGCAAGAAATCAAATTCCATTCCGACATGCAGGRTGTCAGCGCTTCTATGGTACAGGATCTGAGACCTACTCTGAAAGAACAGTCTCTAGCTCGACTACTCGATATTGCTGAAGAATCTACGGATCTCGACTGGTTGGCCGAAGCTGAGTCTCTACCAGGATTTCGAACCGCTCTTAGGACCAAGTTGTATCGTGACCCTAGAAAATTATCATCGACGCCCCTGGGTTTGGAGCTGCTGGCAAGGGCGTTTTCAGGGGAATCTACCATCGACCTCAGCCCCTTTCTACTTTCATATGAACAAGTTCAGAAAGTTCTCCGACAAGCTTGGGAGGGCACATCTCCTACCTTTAGGTCGCTTTCTTTGCCTGACATCGAGAGTCTCACCACGGTCAATCTCAAGAGCATTATCGACGACTTTACTCCCTCGAAGCTTATCCTGGGCATCACATCAAGAATCTCCCTTCAGGAACAACTTCAAACAGTCCAAAATACCTCGGTCATGGACTTCATATCTCACGCAATGTACAAGCGATCCCTTGAGATGAACAGCAGGTACAGCCACAAGCCTTCCACACTACCCCCGGCAAAGTTCCTCGACCAGCAGTCACAACCGCAGATGGTATGTCAGCTGGTGATTCTCAAACACTTTCAACCTTCGTGGGTTGAGCCAGCTCCTCGTTCACCAAGCGGWGCGATCAAGTGGTCAGAGCTCGCTCCCCACGCTGATGAATGGGTTTACAACGAAGATCGGTCAACCGCAACTGTGATACTCCCATTGCGCGATGCACCCATCTCACCGAATAGGATATCATCTCTAATCCCTATGCTCGTATCCCTCAGCGATATCAAATCTCATGACACCATATCTTTCTTCATAGGTCCCTTTGTCGAGAAAATCGTCAAGTCCTTTGCTTCCGCCGACGAGGACAGAAGGGTTCGACCTCTTCCAGCGGAACTCATGGCAGAATATTACCGGTTCTTTCAAGCGAGCTGCGAAGCTCCACTCAAGAGACTGGAACTTGGGTCGAATCAGTGGACGCTGCTCGTCACATGCGAGACGGCTCGCAACTTTGACGAAGTTCGCGGAATTGGAACTTCACATAGTAATGCGGGAGACGTTGGAAACGCTGCGGAATCTGCTGCAGATCTTGATGCCCCTCGAGCATTCGATGATATGTTGGCCAAGTTGGCTCATATGGACATTGCTCCGGAGCAACAGCTCAGATACTCCTTCATCCGCCGCGATCAAAAAGGTGAAGTGTGCATCTTGAATGCGACTGACTTTGTGCGAACCGCACTCGAGGGTTTTGAGGGCCATATACCGGACTCGGAAGCTAGTTGGAAGGAGGGTGTGAAGCAGTTAGGTCGGAACATTTCAAGACCTCTTGTGCTAAGACCTTGTGATCCTGAAGAGGTACACGAGGCATTGACTTACCTGGATGCCAGAGATTTGCGGATCGATAGGTTTGTGGAACTTAACAAGGAGGCCCCTGAGTGGTGGAGGGAGTCTCAGCTAGAAAGGTGATTTTGCGTTATTATACAACAACTACCACAGTTTATAGCCATTCGAAATCAAGTCTATTGTAATTTTCTCTTAAAAGGAACACATGCCGCTCGCTATAGAGCAGCTTATTAGACCATCGTTGGACTTCTACTAACTAGAGATTAGAGGACCAAATTCAAGAGAGACTTGAGCAGTCGAGACAACGCTTCTATTAACGCAGCGTCCTTGTGCATTGGAAGTGACCAAATGCCTTTTTGCATCACAAATTTTCCAGGGTCAATTCTGCACGGCGTCGAGAGATGGAAGTGGCCTACAGCAGTGTTTGTCTTGGGCGCAACATCACGCTCTCCAATGTAATGAATGTGAATTTTCCATTCTTCCTCGCTTTTAGCCTAGTCTATCCTCCAAGTCCATGTATGCTTCATCAACACACACTTGATAGCGCTCGACAACTCCTCATCATCTATCATCTATCCCCCTTTGTAACCCATTGGACATTTCCCCTTCATAAATTTACACATTTCCTCTTCAAATCATCACATCTCGCTGTATCTCTGAAATTCCAGCTTCTGCTCTAGTCGTACTTATAGCAGTAAATATTGCTCGTAGCGGTCATAGCATCCAGAATCGTATAATTCTGGAAAATCGGCGACATATACAGAACAGTATCGAGTTGAGCCTCTGGAACTCCAATGACTGTTGTGGACATGACTTCGTTAAAAAAAAAAGGACCTTTGCTTGGGGTAAATATTAAATGGCATGCATGGGAACTTACAATTGAAAGCTGTTGTTCGAAGCGGGAAATAGGTGTCGGAATCCAAGGTGTAGGTTCGGGTGTCAAAGTCCAGGGCTTGCCAAATGGTCCACATACGGTCCTGTTTTGTTGAGGAGATTAGTTTCAAATGCTAACTTTGGAACGGTTTGATTGTTAAAGGTAGGGAAGACTTACCATGGCTGCGTGGTGGAAGAAGAAGAATGGGTCTTGAGAGGATACGTAGATGTTGTCCTGTAGACCGCCAACATACTGAAGTGTGGGCGTCAGCATGTTGTTTGTTTCACGAAATAGCAATCTCGTGATGGACTTACTGTGTGAGGGAGACTGTGATATCCGTCCGTCTTTTCGAGTTCGTAGTGAAAGGAGACGATGTCTGTTATGAGCCGATTAGAAGACCATCAACACGGGCGTTTTTATCGACAAGACAGCTTACCATCGTGGTTGGATAGTAGATCCGAAACATTCGAATACGAATACCACTTCTGCATKTAGCCCTCGGGTTTGATGTTCCGCTTGATACAACGTGGGTTGGGCTGAATACTGGCCGTGTCATCAGGCGGTGGGATATTCACTGTAAAGTTGACAAAAGGTCCATCTTCAATGCAATTGTTCGGACCAGTTCCGTTGCCGCCGATGGATGTTTCCGAGCCATCAAAGAGGGGGTTCTTGTCGAAGGGTTGGTCGAGGTATTTGCTGTAATCCCAATAAGGCATGTAGCCGGGATAGCTACATTCCTCCCGCATGGTCTTCTCCAGGACCCATACAAAGTGTCTGTGCCATGGTAGTAGTAGGCCGGACCAGTGAATGTCTGCTGTGTTGAGGGTGTGAGCGACGCTGAAGTCATCCCAACGGTTCTTGGCATCTGGGTAGAAGCCCGWGGCCAGTTGTGATGGTAGGTCTTGCATGCATTGAACTGCTGAGATGAAGTCGAGCTTCTCTTGCTCGGACAGGTTGCCCCTGTGTCGTATTTTAGCAGATGTTATTCGGTGCCATCGATGTATGAAGTATACCATTCTTTCCTGGTGGCAATGTTCTCCTTGGTACAGGTGCCGCCCAGGGCAGCCTCCGTGCTTGCAACATACTGGCCATGGAGATTGTCCACTTGCGTCTTGGCCGATTGGCGAGGGTTGATCGCTGCGCCGTGTACTGACGTACAGGCAAGGAGTAATGGAAGTAGCGTGCGCGAGAACATGACGGAAGATGCTGCAATCCAGATGATAGAGTGAGTACGAGTGAGTGTAGAGCCAAACCAGGCTTCTTATTATACGAACGTGGGCGAGGGTGAAAATTCTACCCTGTTACCGATACGAAGAGTCTGACATGTTGAAAAATCTGCTTATCAGTATGTCACATCTTCAACGCCTTAGCAAGGAAGCAAAGACCACGAAGCCTGAGAGTTAGGGTAGGATCAAAAGTCTTCACTACGGCCAGTAACAAACCGGGTTGAAGCAGAGCCACCGGAGGCCGAGTCTGCAATGGGTTGGGAGGCCCGGTAACTGTTGCAGCTCCATGGATTTATTCAAGCTTGCAGTAGACGCCAAAGTGGAGTATCTTGAAGCGGTAGAATCATGCGTYCCTGGTGAAGCGAAGAAGTTTCCCGGTAAAGCATTCGTGGATAATTCTGGCTCCTATGACTTGACTCCGGGACTTGGCGGTGGATGGATGGATGTACAAGTCATCGGGACATCCAGGGAAAGGATATCATTGCCGTAGTGTAGAAGTTGGAACATGTCAAACATGTCCATCGTAGCRAGGTCGGCGGGGCCGGCCGGAGGAAGAGCAACCACGGAAGACCAGTGCGAATCGCGCGGCACTAGACTGGCAGCGTTGAGCAACGCCTTGAATCATTCCTAAGTCGGGCTCTTTCGAAGGGCGGTGGATTCCAATCGCTATGGCGCAGTGAAGGTCTCCATACTGTACCTCCGAAACCCTGGCGAAGCTGTCAATCGCAGTACTAAAGCTACTTCACCTCTCTCAGACTCGCTCGAAGGCCAATCGTAGCCAATCGTAGCTCCAGATAAGCGATAGCACGAGCGAAGATAGCTGTTGAAGAGCATGTAGTGGATCCACAGTGGATGGTGAAGCTGGTGCGAACAATTCCAGTGAAACTGTCCTTTGAAGAGGCCCTAATTCTTGCTAATGCAGGCTCGAGAACCTTTCCCACCTTGATCTGGAACGGGCAGTTCTGTAGAGTGAAGCCAAGACAGCTAATGACGGATCTTACGGAAACCGCATCAACGATCTCCTAATGTAGAAGGTGTTTCGAAGGCGTGATGTCGCCTTTGGCGCTAGCAATGTAATGTCTAGAGTGCGGTCGTCCAGTTGTGCTGAGGTTCCAATGAGCTGGTCATAGTTCGTAAGGGATAAATACATGCCAGGTTCATCTAACTTGATGCCTTCCCGATCAATCGCCATGAACGTCTCCAGATCGTCTGCTGTCTGATAGAGGTTGAACGGGCGGATACGTTCTCCCGCGCGGATCCTATATGATTGTCCGTGCATGGGATGGAGATCGGTCTAGTGGGCTCTGCTCTTAGTTCCAACGGAACTGTGGAGTCTGCCATATCTCTGTAGATTCCTCACCGACGGGCCGTATGCGAGTCGGAGAAGGAAGGGCGAAAGAAGGATGGCTTGTGCAGCACCCTCGTGCATTGGAGTATTAAATCGCTGAACTCCCAGCAGCCTCGAACAGCGTACTGTATGTCGCTAATAGCAATCGTCGGAAGCAGTAGGACCCAGATTCATTGGCTGCCGCCTTCTAGCGTTTCACCACTCCGATGCACGAGCGTGTTGTACTGTAGTTGCATTGCTTGGGTAGTGCCGGCCGGCTCAACGGGCCGATGAACGGTTCGAGCCCAAAGATAATGACAGCTTATGTAAGGTAGCCTGTGATCCACACTGCCTTAGGGCAAAGGGCCGAGATTGCCGCCCTACCTAATTTAGAGCATTTAATGAAGATTTTGTGCTTTCTATGATGACTACAGTACCTCCAAGAAGATGATTCTCGATAGGACATGCACCTCTCCGTGCGGCCACTCCTTTTCTGTGCCTAGATGTACCTCGGGTGGTCGCGAGCAGTGTCGTCGGCCCACTACAAGGAGAACCCAGCAGCCTTCGAATTCGCCGGGTCTTTGGAGTATGTGGTCTACCTGACTCCCATTGAAACTTCGATTGAGAGATGCAATTTACTACTATCTTTACTTTTGTTGCTCGGTAGTATTCGACCGCAACCCAGACATCTAACCAGTGGTATGGAATGGAGAAAGAAGGCCTGCAGACTGGTAGCCTATCTAGTAATCAAGTGAATGTCTATATACATCTATTGTCTTCGAACCCACATAAATGCATCTCGCGCGGAAAACCGCAAATGCTGCAAGGGTCACAAGCATGGATTTCTTCCAGAGCTGTTCCCGGGTCGACCATGCGTACAATTGTGCCAAGGACTCCTCAGCCCGAAGTAACATGCAGAGGCCCATTGCCATCGTCAACAGGGCAAGCGGTACCGTTAGACTCAAACTCAATCACACAGCTGGCATCGGTTCCAATAGCGATACCGATAAAAGTCGTGTCCTTCTGGGCGTCGGCTTTTCCCAGGCTGACTCCCGCGCTGTCCAGTACCTCGCAAGTAGAAGGGGCGCCACCAAAGTCGGCAACGCAACTGAATTGGCGGCCAGTATCCCAGCAGTCGCCTTCGATGGTAAAAGTGCGGCCGGCATAGGTGCACGGTACGTGATCATCTGGGTAGTCTTCATCGTAGATGGCTTCGCCGGCGTCGTTGATGATTGCAAAACCGCTGTATCCTCCATTTTCATTGCCCGAGGGTCCAGAAATGGTGGAGAATGTGCCTGATGACCAGACGACTCTGAGATGCTCGGCGTAGGTGATAGTTGCGGAAGTAGCCATCAGGCAGAGAAGGGTATGACGGAGGGAGAAGGGCATGATTGATTTGTTTGCTTGCGATGCGGAATGTAGTTTGTTTTGTTCTGAAATCGCAGGTCGAAAGGGTACCTGTTGGAATACTTATATACCTACTTTGAGCCATACGTGCGTCTGCGTTGAGATGCTCAGCAAACGCGTATGATGAAGTGCGAATCCTTCGCGGCTTTTGTGGATGTTGTGCCGCGAAATGGCTAGGTGAAGACAACTCGAACAGAGGGCCATCATGTCATTTGTGGAGTACCATTCCTACGCTACTCACCACGTATCGWTCATTTCTATTCCTGGTAGAAGTCTCTGTTTCGATTCGGACTTCCAACACATACCCGAATAGGTCAAGTGACTTCGTTGCTCCATTCTCGCGGAGCCAACGTGCCGAGCCTTGCCGCYGGTGGACAATTCGCGTCGTGGGAGGAAGAGGTGAATGTTCGAGCCCTAGGCTCGTTCCAACGGCTCCCGCCTCTGAGCTGGGGTCTGTTAGTGAGCCCATAGCAAACACTCTTGCGTCCTTGCCCAAGTCGACGTTGTTGTGCTGTGTTTCTTCGAGGACTGCGGTAATAATTCAATAAGTCTGCCATCCTCGTAGTTTCGCACCGACACCAGCTGACGGGAATCGCTGACATGTACTGTAGTTGGGTATATCAAAAGTGAAGAGCGTCAAGCTGCCACATTCAACCATAGATGCATAAAAGCAAGCCATCCCGTTATCATTCAGTCTCCTGCTCCGTGGGTAAACCCATCCGGTGGCTCTTCATCTGACGAGAGAGGCCATCGTGTCATAGCCTCGACACCGGCATGTGCTGACTTCGATCTTTCTTCCAGATTTGTCACCTCCACTGTTTTCAGCAACATCCCGACACAATTCACGACGACTGCTACTCCAAACAACGGTGCAACTCCTGGAACCGTCTTTGTTGTGGTTCCAATCGTCTGTGTCACCACGACAAGCCTTGGCGACTTTCCTCAAGTAACTGCGACTACTACTTACGATGCCGGTGGTCCTTCAGGCACGATTATCGTGCAGGTTCCCACAGAGACTTTGGCAGCACCCACTGCATGTGACAACCAGGGTCTGGCGTGGGCAGAGTACAACAACGCCCGGGTCGGCCTCACGAATGGGTACCCACAGTATGATCTTCAGGTAAGATATTAATACCCTTGAAGAGTGGAGAGCGTTACTAACGACCAACAAGTAAGTCTATCAAGACTCAGACACCCAACTACCAGGGAGTCACAAGTTCTATTGGAGGCTACGTCTTCAACTCAGACACCGGAGGCACCACTACTATCTACGATGGCATTCAAATCCCCAGCGAATTCTACACGCTGAACCACCAAGGTTACATCTACCCCGACATCGCGGGAACTTATACCTTCACATCCGTCAACGCCGATGATCTTGTTCTTGTATGGATTGGAGACACCGCTATATCCATAGAGTTTGACTTTTGACTTCAAATCAGTCAAAATCAGTCAATTATTAACTGATTTGACTTGAATTAATAATGTTTAAATAGCCGGTAGTTAGTCAAATTATGGTAGCTCTTCGGTGCGTGGATAAGGCGTAGTTAAGCCGGATTCGGACTATATAGTTATTCGGTGTTCGTTTAGTTTAGTGTAAGAAGCATTAATAACTATAGTAACTACTCGTAAGGTTAGTAAAGCGTTAGTTGTATATAGCATTAAACTAAGGAGTAATTAGATAAAAGAAGAGCCCTTACTAACACTACTACTATCCTCTTAGGCTCTAATATCCTTACCTCCGGAATAGCGTATAAAGAAAGAGGATATTTAGAAAGAGCGTGTTATAAAAGAGCGTGTTACGTATGCTATTAACTTAGGCTATATCGCTAACCTCCTCTTACCCTTTACTAGTATAGCAATTATAGAGGATCCTATAAAAGCTTATATTACTAACCTGCTCTTACGTAACATTATTAATAATGCTATAGTATCCGGAGAGGAGTGGATTATAATATAAGGTAACTAATTAATATTAAAGAGCGAGAAGGAGTTTATTAAGCGATTCGATAACGACGTACTAGATACTCGGATTGCGAATATAGAGGCAAAAGCTAGTTAAATCCACCCTAAATATTCGAAGGATATACGCGATAGAGTAGCTCTAGAGGTATAGTATACGGAGGATACGGAAGGGCGTATATAGCTATTATAGGTAACTTAGTCGTAGGACGACGATTTGCGGATAATTTTCGAGTAGTAGAGGGAGGTCTATATAGAAAGGTAGTTAGCGTATAGATAAGAAGGTAGTAGTTATTATAGATAAGAAGGTAGTAGTTATTGTAGATAAGAAGGTAGTAGTTTCGTTTAGTAGTTTTAAAGAAAGCTAGTATACAAATCGTTATCGCTTCCGGAGCTACTTCCGGTTAGAATCCGGCTACTCCCGTATACGGGGGAGCTAATTAAAATTGCCGTTTAGACATCTACGTAGGCGTAACGTAAAAAACACCCTACGTTTTTTTACTATCTTCCCTTAACTCTACTCCGGAAGCAGCCGAGTAGTAGCCGAGTAGTAGCCGAGCRGGGCCGAGAGATCTAGGGTAAGGGTTAGGGTAGTAAAAAAAAGCTTATATCTACAACAACATATGTAGTTCCTAGCCGATTTATACGATTTTAGGCCTAAAAAATCGCGTAGAATTAGGGCTATCTAACGGGAAAACAATCATGTAAATCGGTTAAGAATTGCAGAAGTTGTTACAACTCTAATAGTTAAGATAACATATCTTAAGATCGGGGACCGAGAATCGCTAGAGTCCTCCTTAACTTCCTATATAATAAATTCACTTTATACTAACTTTCTTTATACTAAACCGAATTACATAATTTATAGCTTATATTAAAGCGTAGAACGAGCT